GGACTTGACCGCATGAAGACGAAACTACGAAACTACGAAACGAGAAAACTACGCAACTACGCAACTACGCAACTACGCAACTATGCAATTACGCACGCAACAACAAAAAAAAAAAAAAAAAAAAAAAAAGGAAGAGTGATGACGGCTTTGTTAGCTGTCGCCATGAACAGGGTACATAAAGAGAAGACGTAAATATCAATCGATATGCGTATGAAGACCAACCAACGCTCCTTTGACGCGTCTACAACAAGAGCGCAAATAAAAGCAGTGTGAGAGGAAAGAGTAGTACGTGAAGAAAGCGTAGGGGAATAAGATAAGGAGGGAGCGCGTAAGAAGGGGATGAGATATAGAGACAGATAGAGAGAGAAAGAGAAAGGGAGCTTGTCCTCGCATGACGATGAGGACGGCGGCAGACGGAATGGGGAAGGAACTGAAAGGTGGGTGAGAGTGGGTCTAAGAGAGAGCGTGGGTGTCCTGCGGAGCATTGCGGATGGACATCATTCGTCCATTCGATATCCACCCACGGCGAAGCAAGTCTGCTCCACCGCGTGTGTCTGCGCGTGGCGTGTGTGCCTGTCCCGCACTCGCTCAGAAAGACGAAATTCCATTGGCCAATTGGTCGTGTGTGAGATAAGATAGGACGAGTCAATGGATCCCCCGCCCCGGTCTTCTGGATCCCGCTGCTCATCCATCCTCGCCCACTCTCATCAACCTCCCAGCCGCCACCTCCTTCTCTCTATCTTTTCGTCATCTGCTTTCTCCTTCGGGGTAATCTCATCCTCTGGCCCCATACGATCCCCTCCTGTGGCCACTTCGCCCCTCCTCCCCTCCTTTGCCGCCACTGAACTGAAAAGCACAAAAAGCAAATAAACAAAGTCCGACCGCACCCACAGGGACTGACCGCACACTCTTTTCCCCTTCCCTTCATCAGCCCATTCCCTTCTTCCTTCCTTGCCCCATCAATACCTCCCATTCATAGCCCACTGCCCATACACCCTCCTCCCGACTCTCCACCATCACCACCCACCATTCCTTCCCGCACAAAGCCCTCCAAGATGCCTCCTCCTATGCCACTCGACGATAACATCTGGAATTTAAACAGGCACGTCCATTCCTTCAACACTCCGCACGTCAGCTTAAAGCACTTGCATATCGCTGTCCGATTGATCCATGGCATTATCCGCATGAGGATATTCGTGTCATCGTCGTGCTGTCCAATTGACTCTGACACCTCTGTCTACTCCTCCCCAAAGGGAGCCGTTTGAATTCACAGTGGTCCATGGCTGGGGCGATATGGTGGGTTGGGGATTTTTTTAATCGCCAGGCCTATGACTAATAACCTTCAAACTCTTTTTTATCTCCCTCTCGCAACAGTTCTTCAGATCGGCAACACACTGAGGCTTATGGATCGACCGAGCTCTTTGACGCGTCCAAATATACCTTTCCCCGGGAGCGGATCCCCGAGCAGATGCAGGGTATGTGCCTTACCTTCCTTGTGCGCAGCCTGACCGAACTTCAGTTGCAAAGACGAAACACGCCATTGGGCCGTCTACTGATGCCATTTGATCACATCGGTTGCGTCTTTCAAGATCCCATATCCGTGGATGATCCCCGCCTGGCAGAGTTTCTCACTTTCCACTCTCTTGCGCATTCCTGTTCAATAATAATAATAATAATAATTATAATAATAATTATAGATGAGTCCAAGACACCCCTGGTCATCGTAGCATGCGGATCGTTTTCTCCAATCACCTACCTTCACCTGCGAATGTTCGGTAAGCAATCGGCTTTTTTTTTTTTTTTTTTTTTTTTTTTTCCTTCTTCGTCTTTTTCAGATGACTGGTAGCGGTCGCCTGATGCGATCAAGAAGAAACTATAGCACTTGAGGACATCGTGAACTGATATCAAACGTCCGTTACCATCTCTATCATTAGAAATGGCCAGGGATTATATTCAGGAAAACACCAACTTTGAGATTTTAGGCGGCTACTTTTCGCCCGTTTCTGATTTCTACCAAAAACAGGGACTGGCAGAAGCAAGACACAGAGTTCGCATGTGCGAATTAGCCGTGGAAAAGTCGAGTACATGGCTGATGGTTGACAGCTGGGAGAGTCTACAGACCAGCTATCAGAGGACTGCCATTGTCCTGGATCATTTTCAAAACGAGCTCAATGGCGCCGATGGAGAGGGCGGCATTCGACTGGAGAACGGTATGCTCTACTGTACGATCGTACGATAGGAGAAACTTTTATTATCGAATTAGTAGGACGCATGAGCTAATCCTTGCTGCCGTGATGACGGCTGATGCTATTGACAGGCCAATACAAGCCCATCAGGATCATGCTTCTTGCCGGTGGAGATCTGGTGCAGTCATTCGCAGCACCAGATGTCTGGGCCACAGCAGATGTGAGTCAAGTTGCCCCTGAGGATCTTGTTTAGCGCTCAGGTTCTAGAGACATCCCTACGAATACTGACCAAAATATGTTGACTATACTTTTATGCGATGTAGCTCCATCATATCATTGGAAAGTACGGATGTCTGATCCTGGAAAGGACCGGCTCGGATGTCTACGAGTTCTTGCTGTCGCATGATGTCCTGTACAAGCATCGACACAACGTCTTTGTGATCAAGCAGCTCATCTACAACGACATCAGCTCAACCAAGATCAGGTAATGTTCAGGAACTCTGAACTTCAATCGTGCCCATTAGCTCACCTTTTTATTGCTTAAACTAATATTCCATATTCCATATTCTAACTCCTTTGATGAAACTAGGCTGTTTATTCGCAGAGGCATGTCCATCAAGTATCTTTTACCAACGGCGGTAGTCAACTACATTTACGAACAGAGGCTCTACAAAAACGACTGAGTACATGGAAGGGGCTGCTTTTTTTTTTTTTTTTTTTTTTACAACCATCTTACTCACCACAGGCAGGGTGGCACATAGACAGGATACGGCGAGGAAAAGGCATGCGGTAGAGAAAGAGATATGAAGGAAAGCAAAGGATGTATGTTCTTTAACGACTGACATCCACAGGCCGCCGAACAGCAGCTTGACCTTGGGGTACTAGTATCGGATGTGGAGCTACCGTAGCATAGAGGACATCATCTTGATGGCATGAAAAGGCGGTGGCAAACAGGAAAACAAACATCACATTTTTCACAGCAGCACCCTTGTAACAATAGTCAACTCGCATCAGCATCAATACAACAACACTCTCGTAATCTGGTTATACAGAGCTCTTTGGCATTGGTTCTTGTTTATTTCATAATGTCGGTGGTTCTAATGGTGCATCATACCCCGTAAGGCATGTCTGTCTGAAAGTTGTTCCCGCTCAGCGCTGGTAGGGATGATATGAGCCACCGCCTCGTCCGTGACCTCCTGCGGACGATGGCCCGCTACCGCCACTGGTGCCTCCGCGCACGGGTCCAGCAGATCCGCTGCTAGATCCGCTGGTGGAGCCGCCCTGGCGTCCTCCGCTAGAGTTGCGGTTTGCGCCATAACTTCCTCCTCCGCCACCGCCCCTGGATTCATATCCCCCAGTGCTGTAGCCCGATCTTTGGGAAGACTGCCCACCGCCGCCGGATTCCTGGTCGCCGTACCCACCGCTGTTGTTCGATCCAAAGCTTGACTGACCACCACCTTGCTGTCCACCGCTGCTGCCGCCACCACCGTACCCAAACGGCTGGCGATAAAATGCTGACATCGCCACTGTGGGATCATATCCTCCTCCTCCTCCTCCTCCTCCGCCTGCGTTGCCGCCCATGCCAGGACCCTGTGGACCACCTCCTGTCCCATTGTTGCCTGCATACGCAGCAGCAGCAGCGGCCGCAGCCATACGATACCGTTGTGCCAAAGCTGCTGCCGCCGCTGCCGCTGCAGGATTCGCCCCAAATCTGGCGGCGGCTGCTGCATACGCACCCATGGCTTGATATGGATCCGCTCCGACCCCAGCGCCACCACCATAGCCGCCACCAAAGCCGGCGCCACCCATCATGCCGCCCATAGAGTCCATGCCAAAGTTTCGTCCGCCTCCTCCCATGTTGGCTCCGTAACCGCCTTGACCGCCTCCAAATCCTCCGTAGCCACCTTGTCCACCGCCATATCCACCCCCACCGTAGCCACCACCGCCACCAGCACCACCAGTACCACCACTACCACCAGTATTTCTCGAATCAGTACGATGCTTGGGCTGGGCTCGCTTGACTTCAATCTATCAGCAGAATGCAGTTACAGGGATCATTAAATTCAAGGCGCCTAATCCAAGTCTGTGACAAAAACTCGAATAACATCTGTTGCAGACAAGGCATCTAACTTACCGTCTTATCATGAAGTGCGAGATCACGTCTGCTCAATGCAGCTTCCACGCCCCGATCGGACTCAAATGTGATAAAACCGAAGCCTCGAGGACGTCCTGTTGCCCGATCGAGCATCAAGGTCGCGTCGAGGACATGTCCAAACTGAGAAAAATAATTGGCAAACTCCTCCTCTGTCACGTCCGCAGCGATTCCGCCGACAAAGATCTTCTCCGTCTTTTCCTGTTCCTCGCGAGGAATCGCACGTTTGGGATCGATCTATGGCAACAATAAGAAAGAATAGCAGTGGGTCAAACCCGTCAATAAGTGCGCTTGACATGCAAAGAACCACAGCAGTGTAACAAACACATTATATAAAACAAAGCATACCATCTTGCCGTCCAAATGGTGGTCTTCCTTCAAAACAGCGTCGACGTTCTTGGGATCCACAAAGGTCAAGAAGCCAAATCCTCTTGATTTGTTCGTCACCGGGTCCTTCATCACCATGCAATCCGTCAGCTCTCCATATTGTGAAAAGTAGGCCTTCAAGCTCTCTAAAGAAATCAGTCATATAACAAAGATAAAACGGTAAAATAAATAAATGTCTCCAATACAGGTAGCTCTTGTCTAATGGGGCCAACGTATTACAATAACTTACCATCCGTCGTTTCCCAGTTCAGGCCACCAATAAACATTTTTCTAGATTTATGCAAATGTTTTGTAAAGCCAAGAGGGGTTTATGGGAGGGTTCATAAAGATATATCAAGAAAGCAAAGTTGGCCCGATAAATATCGAAAAGAAAGTGGAGTGGTAGAGAAAAAGCATAGAGGCGGCAATAGACGTAAGCATCCACAGCGTTTCAAGCAACAGTATGATTGAGGCCGCATAGAGCATAATGAAGAAAAGTGAAGGTGGGAAGGAAGGAGAGGAGAGGATTAGATACATCAGTAGAAACAAGACTTCATTGGGATATGTGTGTATAGCTCTACACGACCTATCTTATCTCTGCTGCTTCTGTCTCTGTCTTTGTGCTTAGATGTCTTTTTTCTTCTTCTTCTTTTGAATGGATCAAACTGAAGGCTGTATATACTCATATACTCATATACTTATATGTTGCTATGCCTAGATTGACTGTCGCATATCGAGCGAGGTGGGGAGCATGTACGCTGCGAAATAGAGCAGTGCGAGGGAAAGCGATAGCAAAGGTCGCCTCCCATATGGATTCTTTTTCCTGGTTCAGCCGCAAAGGACAAAGGGAGGCAGGCCCTAATCCGTTGGGCCTGGTGGCCACGCAGAGACCCCAACTGCAATTGTACAGATCATGCACCAGTCCTGAAGTCATCCACATATCGACTTGTGATCAACAAACAATAACCATACAAAGAAGATCTTACCCATGATCACGACCACTAGAGGAAGAAGACTGCGACTGTGTGTTTTGTTGTTGCTGCTGTTGCAGGGATGCCTGCTGCTGTTGGCGGGGCTGCTGATTGTACGAGCCCCCTTCTGAATTATAATGCGACGATCCCTGCTGAGAGGGTCGTGAGTATTGCGACGAGCTTTGCTGCTGTGATTGCTGTTGGTGCTGTTGTTTTTGGAAAGGAGAATCCCGCTGTTGATGGTATGGCTGTGCTGGATCATATCCGCCCGCGGAATCGGAAGCGTCCTGGCCATCCCCCCCAGACTGGTACTGGCTCTTTTGGTGCCCATAGACTGTATGATCGTCGACCTGATCGCGGGGCCTGCTGTCAGAGGTATCTCGGTTGCTCTGGAATCGGGATCGCTCACCCTCGTTGCCTGCCGCGTCATCATATCCACCACGCCCACGATCGCTTCTATGACTACCGTGGTAGTAGTCATCGTCGTCCTCGGCATAGGGATCAGAGCCACCGTTCCCCCCCGAGGCCACATACGGATCGTCGTAGAGGTCAAAGTTGTCGTCCTGCTTCGATGCCATGGTTGTTTGGATGAGAAATGAAGGAAACAATAGCGAGTGCACTTGACTTGGGTGCTGTGGATGTGGAGGAGGAGCGAGTCGTCACGTGCGAACTGAGCATCTTGGTAGGCGGAAACGCGAATGTAACCAACCATGCAGTCCAGGGCTCCGTATCCATACTGTTCAAGCAAGGGGTACTATACTACATGCATCGCGTTTATTCTACAAGAACGATACATTGCTATTGTAGAGTATGTTATAGTATAGTGCGTTATGTTATAATATAGTACAGGCTGTCAAATCAATAGTTCTACTCTTTGTCTAAGGCCTCTGCTTTCGCCTCATCGTTCTGCATGCGCGACAGGTATGCCTGGATAAACTCGCTCTCTTCCAGAGCGCGTGTCTGTGCTTCTCCGAGAATATTACCAATGTGGACCAGTAGGCTCATCTCCTCGTTCCGATAGCTCTTCATGGTCGATGCCAGGTGCAAAACTAGGGCCTCGGCCTCGACCTGGCGAGTTGTGATGGGGTGTTCATGGTCCGGCTCAAGCAGTGTTGGTATCAAACATTCGCCAACGTTGGTATTGCGTCGCAGTTTCGCCGCTGGTACCTCAGTATCCTTTGAAGAAGAGATCGATCCGGCATCAGACGGCGACCCAATGTCGTAGTTAATAGCACTCACGATCTCTGCATCTAAGACCTTCTGGACCTTGTCGCCTGTTTCCATGATCCGCGTAATATAGATCTCGATCTGCGTAGCCACAAGCACTAATGATCGCAGGATCAGTACCGGATAGATCTCCAGCTTTGGTATCGTCATATGAAGCAATTCCTTCGAAACAATTCTGGTATCCTGAACCGTCAATAAAAGACGACCGACGGTGTCCTCATCAATTATATCCGCTTCCTCCATCATTTCGTCCTCCTTTATCATATTGTCGATGTCTTGAGCCTTGTCCGGTAAACAGACCTTGAATGTTGGTTCCTCGATCAATGCCCCGAGACCGTCCTCTTCGTTGAGTGAGTAGATCCAAAGCAGATACTGAGACTCTTGTGTGATCCATAGACCGTCACAGAGCTTCACCAGGTCCTCGGGTCCATCATTCGTGTCCAAGTATATGGCTATCCTCGGAGGAATACCCAGCCTCATCAACGTGTGTGCCTTGGGCATGTAATAGGGGTCATCTTCGTCCATTGGCATCGGCAGTGTCAAGAATTGCGTCGGGTTGTCCTGTAGCGTGAACCCATAGAGGAATCTAACCAAAAAACGCATAGATATTAAGCCCCTATCGGTCAGGAGTTGCGATTGTTGCGATTTACTGAAGATAACAAGTTTATAAACGACACGATGAATACATACAGCAGTTCCATGTTGGGTTTGCTGCCGTAGGATAAAAAGGCTTCCTGCTCATGGCTCTTGCTCTGAGATTGCTCGTCGCCATTGACCTGATCCATGAACGAAGGCTTGGCCCAAGCGCGAAGTCCATCCGCATCTACCTCCCATCGAATGTTAGGCTCCGTTGCGTGGTTAGCAAAGTCTAGAAAGGGGACCATGTGCAGGTCCTCGGGTGGATTGTTCTCCGGCTCCTTGCTGTCCTGATCTTGGCGCAGCTGGGTCCCGAAGGACAGGACGCGGGACCAAAAGGTCGCATCAGCCCAAATATAGTTATCGAGTGAAGGATGGACAGGCCAGTCTTCAAACACATCCAGATTGCCGCTCAGAAGCTCAAACTCGGACTCGAGCTTTGACCGTTTGGCGCATACAGAGTCCAGTAACAGCGTGCCTGCGAGGTAGCCACGGACCAATTCTGGGTCCAATGTTACGGGAGTAGAGATGTCTGGAAGTATGGCGATGTACGGATCAAAAAAGGATATCTGATTCATTGGATCGGCATCAGACTCATCAGACGAACCGTTGGCATACGCAGTCTCATGATCACATTCCTTATGCTGCAGGGTGAGCCTGCGGAAGACCAGGAAGAGGATGAGGGCCAGTCTCTCGGTGAGGTTATCAAGGCCAATGGCCTCGAATGTCCGTTGAAGGGGCAAGGACTGCAGCTGAAGGACACGCGATCGGGAGAGGAGGAGCGGACGCGGTATGAAGAGCAGTTCGCCCTGGTCGGACCCCTCTACATGCTGGGGATCTTGGTCATGGTCAATAAAGAGGCCGGTGCCCTTGCCCCTGGATTCTTTCGGGACAAGAGAGGAGGAGACACCGTGGTCCTTGACCCAGGCGCGGAATGGAACAAGTGGGATGGTCATGGAGAAGTGGCAGCAGATTAGATTAAGAGGAGTGTTGTCTTACGAATGAATAGAGCCAGGGAAAGTCGAGTGGAGGAAAGGAGAGATGGCAAAGCAGAAGCGGTGAAGTAATGTCCGGGGACTCTTTTTTTACAGGCGTTGTTCTGTGCGTAATATTATATCACCGAGAATGAACTAGGATGAACTTGGCTCCGAAAGCCCCGGCTCGTGCAGCTAGGGAGCGAAGAGGATGACATGCACTAGAGGAGAGCCACTTTAATTTAAGTGACGTGGCAAAAATGATCTCCAACACGGTTCAAGGGCCCTGGGGGGGGTGGAGCCACGACCGTTTGCCCTCATCCTCATCCTCATCCTCATCCTCCGCTTCTCATCCCCCCTACTCCCATTCCTTATCATTCCCCGCATCCTCAGCTTTATTCTTTTCCGACGGCGCTCTTTCTTTTTCTTTTTCTTCCTTTTTTTTATTGCTTTCTTCTGCTGTTCTCATCTTTCATCATTGCCATCCGTACGAGGAAACTGATCCTGCTGAAGCGCGTCTCATCCCAACACCCTTCACGACCAATTCGCCATCTCAGTCAAAATGCAGATGCTCACAAAGGTATCGCTCGCTGTCTGGTTCTTCGCTGCGGGTCGCTTCAAGACGAACCCATGCCATCACTTGGCAATGCCTGTACTAACATCCTGGACACAACGACTCCGATGATAGTTCGAGTCCAAAAGCAATCGCGTCAAGGGCGTGGCCTTTCATCCAAAGCGACCATGGATCCTTGCAGCCCTCCACAACGGCTCGATCCAGCTGTGGGACTACAGGATGGGCACCCTCTTGGAGCGCTTTGATGAACACGATGGTATGTGCAGCACATGGAAGCTAGAGATGGTGGCCGGGTGCAGATGACCGACATGGTGCTCTTTCTGATCGCTCCTCTGTTTGTGCCGCTTGTTTTGTCAGGTCCCGTCCGAGGAATCGCGTTCCATCCGTCGCAGCCACTGTTTGTATCGGCAGGAGACGACTACAAGATCAAGGTGTGGAACTACAAGACGCGTCGCTGCCAGTTTACGTTGACGGGCCATCTGGACTATGTCCGCACCGTGTACTTCCACCACGAATACCCCTGGATCCTGAGTTGCTCAGACGACCAGACGATCCGCATCTGGAACTGGCAGTCGCGCAACTGCATCGCCATCCTGACCGGACACAACCACTATGTGATGAGCGCGCAGTTCCACCCCAAGGAGGATCTTATTGTGTCGGCGTCGCTGGACCAGACCGTGCGTGTCTGGGACATCTCAGGCAAGTCTTGCAAGCGGTTATGTGGAGGCGATAAAGGGTGATAAGCGGAAGGGAGGGGGGAGAGAGGATGGGGGATTATTGACAATAGGCGCCAATATCGCTGGATGACTATGTGGGAATAGTTGCTGCTATAACGGCTGTTGCCATTCTCGTTCTAACACGTCGTTTGTTACTCTGCCTCTTTGTTGCCACGACTCTAACAGGACTGCGAAAGAAGAACGCGGCGCCAGGGACGGTTGCGTACGACGAGAGCGCGCATCGTGCCTCACAGCAGGCGGACATCTTTGGAAGCACGGATGCTATTGTAAAGTACGTTCTCGAGGGCCACGACCGCAGCGTCAACTGGGCGACATTCCACCCTACCCTGCCGCTGATTGTGTCTGCCGGCGACGATCGCCAAGTCAAGCTGTGGAGGATGAATGGTAATTGATGGCAATTAATGGCGATGTGCAAGGGTGCTTTCCTGCTCCTCCCTTTCCTTCTTTCTTCTTTCTCCAGCAACGACAGGAGATGATGCACATGCACATGTTAATACGGACGTTTGCTCTTGCCTCTGCTAATCGGCCTGAATCTCTGTAGAAACCAAGGCTTGGGAGGTTGACACCTGCAGAGGCCATACAAACAACGTATCGTGCGCGATCTTCCATCACCGGCAGGAGCTCATTATTTCTGTTGCCGAGGACAAGTGCATCCGGGTGTGGGACATGTCCAAGCGCACAGCGGTTCAGACCTTCCGACGCGAGCACGACCGATTCTGGGCGCTGACGGCCCATCCTGAGCTTAACTTGTTTGCAGCCGGTATGTATATCGGCGCTGATCAGACTGCATGTTGTTGTGCATGATAGGTATTCGCATGCACGTGGGATGGAGTGACTGGGTCCTAACTGTCTTGGTGTGTTCTTGTGCTGAAACGCTATGCCCAGGTCACGACAATGGGCTGATTGTGTTCAAATTGGAGAGAGAGCGGCCAGCGTATGCTGTGCACCAGAACAGCCTGTACTACATCAAGGACAAGTACCTCCGCGTGCACGACTATTCCAACTCTCAGGACACGGCTGTTCTCTCTGTGCGCAGGACAGGATCGCAATTTGTGCAGCCGAGGGCGCTGTCGTACAACCCGGCAGAACGCGCGGTGTTGGTCACGTCGACGGCTGATGGAGGCACGTATGAGCTGTACAGTCTTCCCAAGGAGATTGGGGGCGATGCTCGGGAGCCTACGGGCGACGGCAAGCGTGGCTCAGGCAATTCGGCGATCTTTATTGCGCGCAACCGCTTTGCAGTGCTGGAGAAGGCGAACCAGACAATCACGATCCGAGATCTGCAGAACAACAGCACCAAGTCGTTCAAGACCCCGAATGTGGTGAACGAGATCTTTTATGCGGGCACGGGACAGCTCTTGCTCAGCACGCCTACCTCTGTGATCCTGTACGATATCCAGCAGCGCAGGACCATTTCCGAGGTGACGACGCCCCCGGTCAAGTATGTGGTGTGGTCGGCGGACATGGCCTATGTTGCGCTTCTCAGCAAGCACACGATCACGATTGCCACCAAGTCGCTGGAGCAGACGTGTCTTATCCACGAGACGATCCGCATCAAGAGCGCGGCGTGGGACGAGAGCGGGATCCTGATCTACTCGACGCTGAACCACATCAAATACGCACTTCCTCAGGGGTAGGTTGGCGGCGCTGCTATGGATTACGGGTGGGCCATGAAATGCGAATCCATGTGTGAGACTAGCTGACACTGTTCATTTGTGTGCTTAATTTCTTTCTAGGGACAATGGCATCATCCGCACCCTTGACCAGCCCATCTACCTGACACGGATCCGAGGCAAGAATGTGTACTGTCTGGATCGGGACGGCAAGACGCGCACGATTGCGATCGACCCGACCGAGTACCGGTTCAAGCTGGCGCTGACGAAGCGCAACTATGACGAGGTTCTGCAGATCATTCGTAACTCCAACCTGGTGGGACAGTCGATTATTGCGTACTTGCAGAAGAAGGGATACCCTGAGATTGCACTCCACTTTGTGCGTGAAGACAAGACGCGGTTCGAGCTTGCGCTGGAGTGTGGCAACCTGGAGGTCGGACTGGAGACTGCCAAGGCGATGAACAAGGACGAGTACTGGAACAAGCTAGCACAGGAGGCGCTCCGTCAGGGCAACCACCAGATTGTGGAGCTGTGCTACCAAAGAGTCAGGAACTTTGACCGGCTCTCGTTCCTCTACTTGGCGACGGGCAGTGCCAACAACCTGTCCAGGATGTTGATGATTGCAGAGAAGCGAGGCGATGCCATGTCGCGGTTCCACAACTCGCTTTTCCTGGGCAATGTGGAGGAGCGCGTCCGTCTTTTGCGGGAGGTTGGTCAAGGTGAGTCATGGGTTTGCGAGCAGCTAATGGGCAGTGCTTCGGTGGTTGCCTGGCATGCCATGTATTCTGTATTTTTTATTTTCATTTTTGCTCTTCTGAACAGGAGTGACTGGGAAGGCTATGGGCAAAGACTGACAGCTGTTTATTTCGTACTGTTCGACATCTGTGTTGTGCCTATGACTAGCACCGTTGGCATATCTGACTGCAAGGACACATGGCATGGACGAGATTGCAGACGAGATCCTCGAGAGTGCTGGACTTACCCCTGAGGACGTTGCAGATCTGCCTAGCCAGGGCACGCTGCTGGTGCCGCCGAGACCTTTGATGCAAGTGCACGACTCGAACTGGCCCCAGCTAGCGGTCTCGCGCAGCTACTTTGAGAGCGTTTTCTCTGGAGACATGGAGGGGGTTGCAGCGCCAGAGCCGATCGCTGCATCGGAGCCCGAGGCTCAGGCGGATCAGTGGGGCATGGATGACGAGTTCAGTGTCCCATCGGCGGGTCATAACGGAACTTCACTGGCTCCTATGGCCAACGATGGACTGGACATGGACGGCGATGGTGGATGGGATCTGGACGCAGACCTTGCAGCAGAGCTCCATGCAGAGACAGGGGCGATTGTTGCAGAGGACAGCGGGCTGACGATTCCAGTTGCAGGCCAGAGTGAGGCTGAGATCTGGTGCCAGAACTCGCCCTTGGCTGCGGATCATGTCGCAGCAGGCGCGTTTGAGTCAGCGATGCAGGTACGGTGATGGGAAGCGTTGCTATATGAAAGCTAATGCGGCCATGTTTGATGGCTCCCAGCTGATCCCTTTCTTCTTTTTTCTTTCTTCTTTCTTCTTTCTTCTTTCTTCTTTCTTCTTTCTTCTTTCTTTCCTCTTTCTTCCTTCCTTCTTCTTTCTTCTTTTCTTGTCGCGTATGTCACCAGCTGCTGAACCGCCAGGTTGGTGCTGTCAACTTTGAGCCGCTGAAGGACCACTTCCTGTCCATCTTCCAAGCCAGCCGTGCGATCGTCACAGGAAACGAAGGGATGCCCTCGATCATGCTGCCAGTGCGGCGCAACCCTGCAGAGACCGACCAGAGAAAGGCACTGCCTGTGCTGGTCAAGAGTTTCCAGTCGCTGATCAGCAAGGAGCTGCAGGACGCATACAAGGCGACGACATCGAACAAGCTTACAGAGGCGTGCACATTGTTCAGAGGAATCCTGCATTCGCTGCTGTTGACAGTGGTCACCCAAGCATCAGAGGCAGAGGAGGTATGGCAGGGATCTATAAAGGACGCACGAGGGCATGATGTGTTGCAGGTATGAGCGATTAAGAAACTAATAGGCGACGTGCTGGTTGTTTTGTGTGCCCCGTTTGTTCCACATAGGTGCTTCAATTGGTGGGTGTCTGCCGTGAATACATCCTCGGACTGAGCATTGAGCTGAGTCGCCGTGAGGTGCAGAACGATGGGTCGGCGGCAGGCGTCAAGAGGATGCTGGAGCTCGCGGCGTACTTCACAGGGGTCCAGCTCCAGCCTAGGCACATGATCATTAGCTTACGCACGGCCATGACGGCCTGTTACAAGCACAAGAACCTGCAGTCTGCACAGACGTTTGCACGTCGCCTGTTGGAGCTGGCTCCTCCTGGGCAGGCAGCGACGCTAGCACGGCAGATCCAGCAAGTTGCTGAGCGCAACCCACGGGACGAGATCCAGCTGGACTACGACCAGGTAACATATACAAGTCAGGAAGAATATGCGGATGGCGGTGCCTTTTTCAAGGCAATGGAATGGAGCTCTTTCGTTTCCTTGTGCTAACCACTGCATGATCCCGGTTTCGTTTTTTGCTCATGATATAGTACAACTCGTTTGTTGTGTGCGGCATCTCGTACACGCCCATCTACCGCGGGTCGCCCAGCGTGCAGTGCCCGTACTGTCGCGGCCACTTCAAGCCAGAGTTCCAGGGCAACCTCTGCACAATCTGCGACATCTCGCAGGTCGGCGGCACAGGCACAGGCATGGTGGTCCTTCCTTAGACGGCATTGCGCAACCATGCCAGAGTTCTTTCTCTCTTTCTCTACAATTTGTCTACAGTTCTGTTACCCTTGAGAATCAATCCCCCACAATAATAAAATGAGTAACATGGATATATATCACATAGTAATGTGTTGCTGGAATGCACAGACCATGTTACACAGGAACGGAAACAAATTACGCTGCTTCACCTAAGACTATCTCATAGGGGGAATCGAGCATCGTGGCGCTGTAACCATGACTTTATTAAGGTAGCTCCTGAGACCAGAGGCTGCTCCCGGACAAAAAAGAGTGTTAATGATGATGACAACGACAATGGTTTTGACCGACGAGAGCCTTGAATACCTACACATCTATTTTCCTTGTCTCTCACTTCTCTCACTCTCTCTTTATTCCATTTCATTCTTCAAGTTCATAAGATAAAACAATTCCTTCTCAGCGCATCATTCTCCATCCACGCATATTGCATTCGTCTTAACCCCTGTCATTAGTACATCTGTGCTCAGCCCTGTTTTCTCATAGGCTACCAGCAATATAGACTCTGCTGACTTGATCCACATGAAGAAGAAGCGTTCTGCCTCGAGTTTTGCTCTTCAGGAACTACACGTTAGCTTGAAGGCAGCGCCTTTAGAGAGCGTTCAAATGAGTAAAGCTGACAATGGAACTCCACCGTAGCTCCAAGGTGATATGGCCACGTCGTCATTTGACCCTGATACCGTTACGATTCGTCCAGCACTTCAGGCTTTTTCTCGAACAACTACGACCGCATCCAGGCCCCACTGGGTTGGAAGCGGACCATCTCTGGGGGGAGTACTACTGGCAGTGGGACTGGTGCTTGGACTCTGCGGATTCCGCCTTCTTAGGTTCTTGGTGTTCTTGACAGGTTTTGTGGGTGGAGGTATTTCTGCTGTTTTTTTGTCCTGCTATATCTGTATAGATCGTCACTTGTCCAACGAAGTGAGTTTGCATCGCTGCATACGCTATCCTCTTGAATATTGAGCCTAGCCATCTCTGATCCGACTGTATTTGATCTATGTTGCAGTCTGCATTGCTGCCGGTCTTCTTATTAGTGTGGTCCTCATGATCATAAATAGTTATGACCGGCGGATCATGGAAGGCGCGGGAGGCAACGGCGCCGGAAACAAGAGCAATGAATGGTCTTATGTAGTCATTAGGCAACATGACTAGGTTGGAGTGTACATTTTGGGTTGAAGAGAAGGTGGACAGATCCACAATGCCGTCGGGCGTATCTTCTTCATGGCTGGTGCTGCAGTTATTGGCGTCTTCCTTTCGCTGTTCCTTGGCACCCCCATAGCTGTCTTTGCTACTGTCCTCATCGGCAAGGCGAGCTGCGTGTTCGTTCCGCCAGTAGTGAGTCTGGACAAAGTTTTTCTAAAGCACAAAAATCCCCTCACTCTACATCTGCGAGTCTAGGCGGATGCATGTTCAAGCTAGGTCTGGGCATATTCCTGGATTCCTCGAAAACTACAGTATTTCTTCTGCGCACCTCCGTTATGCCTTACCGGGTATATAGCGGCTCTATTTGTGTTGTCAGCGAGCATGGACACCCGTAAACGCCGTTCGTTCCGTCAACAGCAGCTATGGACTATATGGAGGCCACAGCCGCAGCAGTCAATACGGTAACTACTGGGGTAGTCAGTACGGCAGCAGCGACCACTTGAACGTCCCTCACCACCAAGCGCCACCAGCTGAGTACACTTGGTGGAGGAAAGCGAAGGAACAGGGATGCGCATGTAAGCGATCTATACAGCAACGGCTACCATGAAAAGGGTTACGACAATTTATAAAGTCGGGGCCGTAGCAGTACGAACCATTACAGGAATCAACATGCCGGCAAGAGCGTCGACCGAGGAGGGCATGGTTCCTGAACCAAGCATCGAGGTCAACACGACTCAGCCAGCTCATCCTGGCGCTCTTCCGATCACTGACGACAGAACCGTTGCCTTTGAGGAAAACGAGAATTGGCTAGGTCGAACAAGATAGGTTCTCCCAGATCCGCGGCTGCCTCGCCCTATGTCAAACCTAACGTGGGCACAACCGCTGGCACCAGCACAGATGCGATCACGACTGCTCCTGCTCAGTAGTTCAGTATTCTGTCCTCTCGAATACTCTATACTTTGTCCTCAACACTATTTTGGTACCCACTTCATTCTGGCATGATTAAAAGGACACACGGCGCTTTCTATCTATACTTTTGATAACAATTTATTCAAGTTCGCAAATGCAAAAGATCTTTTTATTACTGCTCGAGATGGATTGTGGCGGCTTTAGGCTATGAATCTTCCACTGAATGACTGGAAACTGCCTCAAGCTGATTAGAGTTATCAGAGGATGTATGAAAGGACATCCTAGTGGGGGTGTAGCTGTGTGCAATGGGTTCTCCTGTCCAAGAGAGAGATCGACCAGAAGCAGGCCATGCTGCACGCCTGAGCAGTCCTCGACGATATGCCAGAGAGAGCTGTAGAGGGTTTCCTCCCAAAGGGCTACTAAGAGATTCGGTACGTCGATGAGATGCAGTCAATACAAGCTGCTGACTCCTGCTTAGAGGCTGTCCTGCTTCCTGTCCCAAAGGCGGTCGATATCGGTTTTGGATTGTGTGGTGATGATGTGCATGCCATGCTGTCCACCATGAAGGGTCGTACGAAGGCGGCGCCTGGTGCATGTGCGCTATCGAGTCCGCCTCTATATCGTGCGACTCTCGAGTGACCCAGAGCGGTTCATCGATCCCGCGAACGCGTCCCTGTCCTGCAATGTCTTCGTAGGGCCAGTCGCTGTTTAGGGATGAGCGCGGCGAGGTGCCAAGAGAGTGTATCGGAGGCACTTCCTCGATCGAGGAGATCATGGAAGATTGAGCAGTGCCAACTCTGAGGTCCATGGACGAAGTATCTAATCTATATCGCTGTGACCGCGAGGAGGACAATATGGATGTTACAATGCTTTGTCTGCGCTCGACCGAGGCGCTACTAATGGCATTAACAATCTCTGGACTTAGAGGGCCTAGGGGCGATGTGGTGGAATAGGCCGGAGCTGCGTCTGGAGTGCGTCTTCCCGCTTCATGTGCCTCATTTTCATTGCCTACAGAGGATCGACCCTGTAGGGCTGCGTGCTCAAGGCGTGCTTGTCTTCTTGCAGCTCCGGAATAGATACAACAGATGACCGCCAATAGAAGTATGGAAGCTGCAGTGATAGCGAGAACCTTTGCTATGAATACTGCTTGGTTGCCCGTGCTTTGTGGGGATAGAACGGTGTGAAGTCCCTTGGAGGTTAGTTGTCTTCCTCCTAGGAAAGATTATCGCAAAAAATCGTTATCAAATGCTTCTCATTACCCGAGAGTATTGTTGTCGAGCTGGTCAGTTGCAATTGGATCCATGTCAGCGTTGGGTATATTGAAACAGTAAATAATCCGGAAAGCATGCACCGGTTCCTTGAATAAACTGTGAGGAGGCAAAGCAGAGACTGCCAAGACGGCTGCGAGGTACTCTTCAAGAATAGGCACATTTCCAGTCTTGATATGATCGCCTCTGGCTTTTTGAAAGCAGAAATTGCAGCAGAGCAAAGAGCAGAGAGCAGAGAATAGAGAGACAGGAAGAGGGAGAGACAGAAAGAGGGAGAGAAAGAGAGAGAGACGGCAAGAAAAAGAGGGTAGCTTAAGGAATTAAGAAAAGCGAGCTGAGAAGGGGCCACCAAAGATCCCGATCAAGAAGGACGGTAAAAACTAATGAAAGGGGTCAAGGGGATATGGAGAGCTTAATACTGCATGATAGAAGAGATGGCACCCTGCGGGATGCTCTACCCCCGTGTTCCCCTTTATCTCCCCCCCCCCCCCCCCCCCCCCCCCCCCCCCCCCCCCCCCCCACACACACACACACACACACACCTTTTTGAGCAGAGACCGGCAGCGATGAGAAGTTGGGTACGCTTCTTTAACAGCCAATGCAACAAGCAACGGCCAGGGTCGGGGGTCAAGGTCACCAGAACAGCCAGGACAACGCGAGTACTGGGCGTGTTATCATGACATCTTAAAGCATCTACCCATGAATGCTGTACGTATTTCCTATATCGCATGGGCCTGTACAACGCAGTGCAAGATGGTCTGCTACAGGAAACAAGGGGCGAGGCATTTGATGCACTATAATACAGATTTTATTTAGAACTGACACCGATGATAGCTAAAGGAGTATGCCCGTACCATCAGATGAGCTCTATTTGACCACGCTGGAGCAGCATGCGCACAGTTTTGTATCTAAAGATGTAGATCTGACCTGTCTCCAGCACGACTGTCTCATCTCTATCGACAGTAGGCATAGGAAAGCAGAAGGTATAAAAAATGAGTGAGACTGTAATAGAGAGCATGGGCGACATGAGCAGCATTTGTGTGCATGCACTCACTCATCCAGCTGAAAGTCGCCGATGTCCTCGATGATGCGGCAAAAGACTGCCTCGTCCAGTCTGGGCTGCGATACTACATTGCAGAAATTTTGGAGCGACAAACACGTTGATATCTATTCCTCTCAAGTGGTACGTGCGTCGTCAGTCTTTCGTGGCAACAGGCGCTTACTCATGCTTAGCTTCCTGTCAAAGATCGCATCGTCTTGACCTTGCAGCGAGGGAGGCAGTGAGGACAGGAAACTAGAGTGATAGTGTTGTCGTGTTGCCCTCGAATAGCTGGATAGGTACCCTGCGTTAGGATGTGTGGCTTTATTGCTGTGCAGCATCCTTGGTCCATACACCGCGCTTGCTCCAAGCGACTTACTTTTCCCCGTAGATAACTTCTGCTTTGGAAAGTCTTTTCTTTGAGGCGGGGTCGGCAAGGATGAACTCGCAGAACCGTTCGATCTACGACAACATGTAATAATCAGCCGGATTGATCTGTCAGCACCGAAGAGGTGCCAAGAAGCACACAATAAGCAAATAAACAAATTCAACTTCGCAAGCCCTAATGGCGTCCAGAGTTGGTTACCTTGGATATCCGCGTCCTCAAGTAGCTCCTCAACACAAACTTGACGCGCTCAAGTTCCGTTTGGTAAAGGATTGATATAATCATTGATGTATCATTGCCAGCGTCCAATTCGTCGATGATAGCGGTCTACATGCGTTGGAATAAAGAGGAATGAGCATAGAAAATGTGAATATGCATGATCAATGCTTCCAGCCTTTGGGAGCCATGTAGCACAAGGGATAAATACGCCCCTAACCTGCTCTTCTATCTTGGCAAGAAGACCATCGATTGCTGATCTCTCATACTGAAGGATATCTGGTGCTGCACGTTCGTTGATCCATGCCTGTGCGAGATGCTCAACGTATTTAGAGGGATCTGTTGCTGGTTCTGCGGTATCCCGGGAAGTCGGAATCCTGTAGTTAAAGTCGTCCAGGAAGAGGTCGTCGTCGTCGGCAGACATCCTTGGTATATATAGTTATATGTATGCTCCCGTCTCTTGTTGTCTGCCTTGTGTCCTTGGCAAATTAGGATAGCAATATCGGACAACGAACAGCGAGGTATAGAGAAATGTCGCCAGAAGAGCTGACTTGTATATGAACAGGTCCTTTTCTATACGTCCCGAAACAGCGATGGTTGATGAACACGATGGAGCTCGCATTCGCGACGCGTTTTTGTTTGTGTATGTTTTACTTTCATTTGATTCGACGAACAGTCACCCCGCGCGCGATAAACGACATCGCCCTGCGCCCAAGGCTTCTTTCCATCATCACATCTAACCACACAGAGAGAGATCGCCATGTCAACATCAATCGAGGACAACGAACTACCCAAGGCTATCTTGACGCGAATTATGAAGCAAGTGGTGCGTATGCTTTTTCTGTATTGGTACTTTCTTCTCGTAGCCCTAGGAGCCAGTGTGGTTAGCCGTTAGAACCGCAAGCGATCCGGTTCTCAGGCTACCAGACCGCACGGCCGATTACAGCTACTTAACAACGCCTTTACACATGCACTCATTCGTTCTAGCTTCCTGAGAACACAAATATCCAAGCGAATGCTAAGGTGGCCATGACTAAATCGACAACTTTATTCATCAACTACCTCGCATCAGCGTATGTTCTATCATGCTTGCAATCTATGATTCTTCACCATTGATGGATCTATTATTGCATATATAACAACATATGCATCTGCTTGGAACGATATAGTGCGAATGAGGTTGCTTCTAATGCAGGGCACAAGATCGTAAGCGGTACTCATGTTCTTAACGCGCTCGAGTCTCTGGATTTAGAAGAAATGATCCCAAGGCTGGAGGAAGAGCTCAAATGTAATCTGAGATGCAGATGAGTTTCCACAACTGTCAACAGAGTAGGGATCGACGATTAATATCCTCTTTGTGAATATTAATAGCGTTTCAAGCTATTCAGAAATCACGGAAAGAAGGTGCAGCAAAGACCACAAAGGACAAGGATGACTCTGCGGCAGAATCAGCATCAAAGAAAAGAAAGCCAACCGCAGAGGGACCAAAATCAGTTTCAAAGGCCAGGAAGTCGTCCACTAATGCAAATCCCAGGGATGCCCAAGATAATTCCCCAGAGGGTGCGGGTGACGATGAAGAGATGGACGAAGACAGGGATGTCGAGCGCGACGAGGACGACGAGGAGGACGGAGAAGCAGAAGCAGAAGCAGAGGCAGGTGATGATAATAACGGTGTTTCGTTAAACATGGACGAAGGAGAGCAGGATATCGATGAAGAAAAAGTATCTCATATGGACGAGGAGGAAGACGACTCAGATGGATTCTGAAGCTCTCAAACAGCGAACAGGGCATTAATAAATTGTACAGTTGTGAGAGAGAGAGAGAGAGAGAAGCGAAGGTCCGTAATGGTTTACTTCAATGGCTTTGATGCGGCCGTCATTTATTATTCTACAACTTTGCGCTGCTGTGGTGCCACGGAGTAGAATTCGTCCTCTCCTAGATATTCCTGCACATTGATGTAGTCTACGTAAAGATAGGCGAGGAGCAAAACCGACATGTGTTAACTAACAGCACTCGGATGAACTCTGAAACAAGAACGGAAGAAGACGCAATCAAACTGACCTTGGCGGTAGAGGATCTGCTCAAAGTGCGGTAGGAATTCTTGTCGGGGGAGATATAGATTAAACTCGAGCAGGGCAAAGACCTGGAACTCATGCTCCTTGATATCCTTTGCGCTGACATACATGTGCTTTGTCATTTGTTTCATGAGCGCCGTAAACTCTCCTGGGGGCCTTTTTGGCTCGTTTACTTTGTAGGCCAGCAGCAAACATACACCTAGCGGACGAACAAATAAACAAGTTATAAGAAAAAGATTATCAGTATTACAGCAGACCATGATAGCTCAAGTGGAAATGGAAGCATAGTTTCAACCTACAGGCCATCAACTTCCGGTTCTCTTTGGTCACAGGCGACGAAGTCGATTCAGTCGATAGTCCTTGTCCGTCTTTGCCCTTCCAGCTGCCTTTTAGTATTAGCTTTTCAAAGTAGGCATAGGCCAAAGCGGCCGTCGAAATTTCTAAGTCCAGCTCCTCCGATATTGCTAAAATATCACTCTTAACCTTGCGAATTTTTGACAAGGTAATTGATGGGTCGATTGTCGGGTGTCGTGAGCGAAAGTGCTCGTTGAGTTCTCGTTTCAGATCGGACGGTCGAGTATATTGAATGACGGAGCCCTGCAGGAAGAAGAGATGTTGTAGTTGTCATCGTTGTGGTGTTAGGAATCCAAACGTTACATGAGCACATAAAGAGATATAGTCATCTGGTCTACGGTACCATGTAGCACGCCAGAGAGATGACCGTTCTGTTCTTTCCTGTTTTTAGCTCAGGGTCATCCAGATAGTATGGGTCGTATGAAGACGAGTCCTCCTGTTCGGGGCTACATTGGCCAAAAGTAGCACCGGAGACAAGATCGACATTGTTTTTGTAAGCAACTGCATACGTTCCCAGGCCATTCTTTTTGGTTAGCAAAGGCTACTTCTCAATGGTTTTTATGACTGTCACGCAACATACCTTAGTGCATTGCTCTGCGTGAGGAGGTAGGCGAACGAGTTTGCCTTTTTCCCGACAAGGGCCTCTTTCGTGATCTGCTGTAGGTATTCCCGATCAAATCGTCGACGCCGCCGCTTGTTGGGCGCCTTGTCGTCATTGTAGCGCAGAATCGAGGAGACCATGAGAGGACTGCCATGCTTGGTAGTGAACATAAAGGCATGTTGACTCAGGTTCTCTCCGAGACTGATACAGCTGTGGACAAGATCGCCTCCGTTGTAAAAGATGTGCCGCTGAGTATCCTGAGGTGGGTTCAGTCGCACAGTGTTCTGGGAGCTGGTTCGGTACAATGAATGCTTGGTTACTGACAAAGGTGTATGACTAGCAGAGGTCGATGAATGGCTGGTATTGTGCCTTAGTATGCTGATGGAAGGTCTCCTGAATATCTTCTTGACAATATGGGCGGTTCCTGAGGCGATCAAGGGCTTAATGTGTACATGGTCCGCGAGGGGTCCGAGCCAGCGACTGGGCGTTTTTTGCAAAGCAGGCCTGCGCGTAAGAGCCATACTCATGTCGAACGATGACGATGGCTGTATCTGAGAGTCGTTTTCGCGCGCGAGCAATGTGGAGAGCAACCCCGACGAGCTTCCAACTTGTGTTGACGTGTTTTTTGACAATAACTGCGTGTCATGTGAAGTGTAAGCTCCGGGACTTGTTGCCTTACGACGCCTTCCATAATGAACGCGTTCTGTTGAATTGGGCGCGTTGTCAGTCTGGGCCCTTATCCAACTGGACGCCAGCGAGGGTGTCGAAGACGAACGCTGAGATGAGTGATAAGGAACAAGATCTCCTTGTGATGGTGCTTGCTGGGCTGTCGAAGGCTCTGTCGAGCTTGAATTAACGATATTGACAATCTGATCCTGAGATGCATCCAGTTTAGGACAAGGTAGGTTTACTTCTCGGTCGCCAGGAAGAGTCCCATCGTGAGTACGGTCATCCAGTGGACCCCCAAGCAAGCTGATCCCAGAGAGAAAGGTTGTGGCGGCTTCTCCTTTCCTGCCAAGGGCTTGACTGCGTCTGTTGGTGTCTGTAGTAACTCCGTGCACCTCTCTCTGGATAGGCGACTCGTTGAGGGTGCGTAGTTGTGAATGTTGGTTGTCATTCGCGACGAGGCCACTGACCTCAGGTAATGTTGCCGTAAGTGGTGGAGTACTTTCATTTGGGCCGTTGCCGATGCCGTTATGAAGACTTTGAGCAGCCTTGGTGGATTCAAAGCACTGAGTCGTTGGTCTGTGTTGGGTCTCCTGGTGGTCGTGGTCCTTCTCCTGGAGAGTGGTATCGAGATGGGAGGCCTGGCCCGAGGCGGGGTCGAGTTGGAGAGATGAAAGAAAAGAGAATGCTGCCTGGCGTTGAGTTGTCCTCCGCCTCATGCTTGCGGTGGTGGCGACCATTGAATAGCTTCGTTCTTCTTGGGCTTAAGAAAGACATATAGCGGAGTAGGACAAGAAGACCCCATTTGAAGGGCAGCCATCGCCGCTGCTGCGGTGACGTAGATCTTTTGGTTGAAAATATTTCCAAAAGTGGACCTTGTGCTACCCGCAATTGCGATTGCCCGCATCCATAAAAGTCGTCTCTTTTCTTTACCCCTTCCACTGCATCCCACTGCACTCCAACTCCACTCCTCCGCAAATTACTCCTTCCTCCCCTCTATTTACGCCTTCTCCTTCATACCTTTCCTTTCCGTCTTTTACTTCATCTTCCTTTAACGTCCTTACTTCAGCAACTCCACTCACTCAGTCCACAAATTAATATGTCTTTTGTTCGTCTTGTCCAGCGCAACCCGGTCAGCCTATTGCGCAGCCTGCCTCGGTGCCAACCCAGGACCCTTCCCGCCACCCGTTTTATAGTCTCCCCTGCTGCTGCCGCCTTCCACACAACCGCAAAGCGACTGCAGAGCACAGAAACGCAGGTCCTGATCACCCCTTCAACAGGTAAACAACGCGAAATCGACCTCACAGCTCATTCCTCGGGTTTCTGTGATCAGGATGCAGCACTGCACACTGAACAACCGTTGCACTTTAAACTGAGACTCCCTGTCTCTGGATCAAAATGGGATGCATTGGGACCCCATATCTCTATAAACACTGGCGTCTAACCATAGCCATGTTTAAATGTTTTCATAGAGTCACTTGGATTCGAGGTCTCAGGTGTCAAGGATGCAAACAGTCGTCCCATTTACATGGATATGCAGGCCACTTCACCCACGGATCCCCGCGTGTTGGATGCAATGCTGCCATACATGACCGAGCTCTACGGAAACCCACACTCGAGAACACACTCTTACGGCTGGGAGACCGAAAAGGGCGTGGACCAGGCTCGTGAGGTAGGATAACGGGGCCACCAAACGTGTCTTTGAAGGTCGCTGAAACCTCTTGCACAGTATCATTAACTTTTTCTGTATTATCTGACAGGACATTGCCAAGCTAATTGGCGCTGACTCCAAGGAGATTGTGTTTACATCGGGTGCCACAGAGTCCAATAACCTCAGCATCAAAGGAGTCGCTCGCTTCTACAAAGGAAAAAAGAACCATATCATCACCACTCAGACTGTATGTGTTTTTTTTTTTTTTTTTTTGTGTACAAGTCGCTGGATCGCAGCTGAATTCACTTCAGCGGCTCATGGTACTATGGTCCCTTCTGAATCTCTTCTAACATCATCTCATTGAAAACTCTTATAGGAGCACAAATGCGTGTTGGACTCTTGCCGTGTCTTGAGCGATGAGGGATTTGATGTGACCTATCTGCCTGTCGGGAAGAACGGGCTGATCTCCATGGATGATCTCAAGGCGGCTATCCGTCCGGACACAGCACTGGTTTCGGTCATGGCTGTCAATAATGAAATCGGAGTCATTCAGCCTTTGGAGGAGATTGGAAAGCTCTGCCGCTCTAAAAAGATTTTCTTCCACACGGATGCCGCCCAGGCTGTCGGCAAGATCGCCATCGATGTCAACAAAATGAACATTGATCTCCTGAGCATCAGCGGACACAAGATCTACGGACCCAAGGGAGTCGGTGCCCTCTATGTCCGCCGCAGGCCAAGAGTCCGTCTCGTTCCCCTGCTGACTGGAGGTGGACAAGAACGTGGTCTCCGCAGCGGCACTGTGCCCGCACCTCTGGCGGTCGGACTTGGCGAGGCCTGTAGAATTGCCACTGAGGAAATGGCTGTAAGTGGGCAAATGCATGTCTGAATTTTTCTGTTATCCAGAGCAGAGGCCCAGCACCAGATGACGATCGTCCTTTCATCCCGGACATTGCTATAACGACCTAGTCCTGATTCAGCTGATACACTGTCAAGGTTGTGATGGGTTTCATGTATGACACGCCATCGCAGCTTTGGCTGGCCGAACATGGACGATGATGGCCCGTGCAGGGGTTCTGATGGTGCATTAGCCCTGTTACTTGAATGTGTTTTGGATGGAGCTTTTACATGAGGCAGACACTGGGTCCGGACCAAGACTATTTTATTGACCTTTTTGTTTCGCTTTCATCTGCCAATCTTTTTTTATTTAGTATGACCATGAGCGCGTCAAACGCCTGTCAGAGCGCCTGATTACTGGCATCCAGTCCCAAGTCAGCCATGTGTACAGAAATGGAGACGAAATTCAAAGCTATCCTGGCTGCGTGAACCTGTCGTTTGCTTACGTCGAGGGAGAGTCCCTCCTTATGGCCCTGAAGGACATTGCTCTGTCATCCGGATCCGCTTGCACCTCTGCATCACTGGAACCCTCGTATGTGCTCCGTGCGCTGGGAGCCGAGGATGATATGGCTCACAGCTCGATTCGATTCGGAATCGGTCGTTTCACGACAGAGGAGGAGATCGACTTTGTCATCTCGCGCGTTGTAGCCCACGTTGATAAGCTGAGGGAGATGAGTCCGCTCTGGGAGATGGTGCAGGAGGGCATTGACATCTCTAAAATTGAATGGGCCCAGCATGCCTAAACCATCAAGGCCCCACCTTTTTTTTTTTAGTTCCGCTGCATTTGAAAGTTTTTCATATTATGTAAAGAAATTAAATATGAGTGTATACATTTGAGTTGACCTGAGTTGCCCGATCAACTTGCCAGCCTTTATGCTAATAAAAAAGAAAAAAAGACACCTGCTTGAGGAATACGGCCCTTTGAACCGCCTGGTGTGTGATTGGTCTTCGTGATTGAGGCGATATCTCTTGATCTCTGGTTTTTTACATGGGCTGGATGGTTTAGTGCGGGCAGCTCTGAATCTTTAAGGCTCCAGACACCGTAATTAACCGGCGTGCTGGTGCCAAAAGCAGCACTTTGGGCAACCAAACAGGCGATGCTGCATCGTTTGATGTGCCCTGCTTGGGGGAATATGCATTCGCGAGATCATCTTTGTACATCGTCCGTTGTCGACTCTAGCCTGATACTTCCAGTGCTCAAGATCAAAGTTGGTTTCCTTTTTAGCTGGCAAGGACATATCGCTAGTTCGCGTTCGCGTTTTCGTCTGAGCTGGAGCGCATTGCATTACACCACTCCATGCATAAGACGATCTGCGATATTCAAGTTGGGCTTGCAAGGACCTATCGAAATAGGTGGTCGTACCGGCGTTGCCAAATAAAGTTGACTCCTTCGTATTGCCTTGGAGATCATAGCAAAAAGGTCGTGGTCCAAATTACTAGCACAGCATGCAGATAGATGCGTCTTCGTTTACTCGTTTGTGTGTCATTACCACCATAAAGTCACTCAAGTAGATTGTTTGAAGGAACCATTTTTTATTGCATTGTCTGTTATTTCTACAATTCCTATCGGCACCATCAGCTCAACTTGCTATCAGTCAACCTTGGTTGCAAAGGTTGTGCAGAGTACACCACGGGCAGGTTGCAAGTCATCGTACTCCGAAAAAAAACCGCACAAAGCCCAAAGAGAGCAAGTGGATAAAAAAAAGGGTTCAGAAACATTCTCAGGAACTCTTTTGTTTTTGCGTGAAGAAAAGGCGAAGCTCCTTGGCCCGAAGGCACGACCTGAGGTGATGATAACCAGAGGGGAGTAGGGGAGTGGGGGAATTTGGTGCTCCCGGCCCAAATGCACTGCTAGGGTTAATAAACCCTCTGGGGAGCGGGTATAATCCATAGGTTGAAAACCTGGGATGGGTTGCCGAGGGCACGCAATTAGTGAGGGGTTACAGTCCCAGGATCGAAGTCAAAACTCCTGGGACCTCTATGACTATCTACTGCCGAGGGCACGCAAGAGTGAAGAGATTCAGTCCCAGGATCGAAGTCAAAACTCCTGGAACCTCTATATTGCCGAGGGCACGCAAGGGTGAAGAGATTCAGTCCCAAGATCGAAGTCAAAACTCCTGGGACCTCTATATTTTCTATCTAGGGAGTGGTGGAGAGGGAGTGGTGGAGAGGGAGTGGTGGAATGGAATTGCTGACGAGAGTGCATGTGGAGGAGGGTTGCTGACGCGAGTGCATGTGGAGGAGGGCTGCTGACGAGAGTGAGCACAAGAGATGGAAGTGGGGTGGAGGAGAGTGGGACTGGGTAAAGGACGAAAGGCGAGGTTGTGTCAGTGAAGAGAAGTGGGATGGGGTGGAGGGTAGAGAGTGGAAGGTGAAGAGCAAAGAAAAATAACTTATATCATACGTACCTGGAAAGAAACTTGCCGTAGAGCGCGTGGGGAAGAGTGAGGAGGAGGTGGAGGAGGTGGAGAAGGTGGAGGAGGTGGGGAAGGGAACGTGTAAGAGGAAAGAAAGAGAAAGAACAAAGTCGAACTTTAAATGTGCCGCGTAATCGGTGGCTGAGTCGATAGCAAGGGGTCTACGGGGACCGGAGGGCTCATATGGCCGCTGGGAACTGGGGGCAGACTATGGGGAACGAGACGGTAGTGAGCGTGTGCCTGGGAGTGAGCGAACAACGCGCACGGCTCATCAGAGAAAAAAGGAATCGTCATTCAGCGCTGTCCACCATGAGCCCAACTTGCATCAACATCGCCTTTGCCAGCGATGAGTGTACTTTTGACAGCGAAAGTGCATGGTGGCGGACATGTTGCCACTAATTTCATGTTGAAGGTTGTTGAAGGTTGCTGATGTTCTGTTCGCGTGGTTTCTAAACAACCTTAAAAAGGAGTGCCAACAAACAGTGTACCAACCACACGCGACTCAGCCCAAGCGAGCACTGCCAATAAAGTTTGCACCAGATTTGGAAAGCATAAAACATTAACAGCGTCAACATGCGTTTGTTATGCTGCATGGTCCAAATTTACTGCAACAGAGAAGAGGCGGCAGATGCAGTACCACCATTCTATGAAAGGACAAGAACGTTGTCTCTAGTGCGAAATATACTAATATCACCTCGACCAGTGCGTGCAAGCGATTGCGATTCGACAAATCCGAGTCCTCGTGGAGAAGACAAGAATAAACGATAAGAACATAGTGAACATAGGATCCACAATGAGACATCCACTGTGGAAGAAACTCTTTCTTCTTCATCGCTATTGCTTTTGCCTGTAGCAATAGCAAAGAGACTTTCGTGCTAGCAGGGGGTGAGGAGGAAGGGAAATACTAAAATGGTTGGCGAGCCATTTCTGTGCGATAAAGACGTGCTCAAACGCACTCAGACGAAATAAAGCACTGCTTTAAACAGCTGAAAATCAGTAAACGAATATATTATGGATGAAAACAAATGAGTTGACTGGACAACTCAGGTCAACTCAAATTGTGCCTGCGCCCAAAAATAAAGACAGACTGGATCATCCATTCCATTTCTCACTTCTACACTCCTAACTCACTCCCATACTCCATTCATTCGCTTTAATAGGCAGTATCAAGCTCAGCATCAGCCCGGTCTTTCTCGCCTGAGGTAAGTGTAGCTCCGTTGATGCATGCCTCCTTGAAGTGGTGCTAGTACGGTTGGTCCATATCTTCGATGAAGGATAAAGCGCATGTCTCCTCTTTCAATCTCACTTCTCAATGGCGTACGAGCATCGCAGCCGAATAACATTTGTTGGATCCCTTTGCAAAGGGCTGTCTCAACCGCACATAGTACAACACTTTGCATGGCTGCGTGAGGTGAGAGGTGCAGAGATCGAGTAGGGGGGACCTTTTATTTTTATTTTTGTAATTGCTCCCGTCATTTTAGTGGACATTAAAGGATCAGAATGAGTTGACCTGAGTTGCCCGGTCAACTCAAATGTATACACTCATATTTTATTGCTTTTGCTCAAACCGATACTACTATTCCTCTAAGATCTGCATTGAGCTGATATCCTCAGTCTGTTCATGTATCGACAAGCAGTTTGTTAAGCGATATACACTGGTAGTAATTTCCATATTTGTCTTCATCTTGCCATAATTCCCTCTTCATTTGGGGACCCCCGTACCATCTTCCTTGGATGTCGGGAGCTTGAAGATGACTCCAGTGCTTACTGACTGGTGGTAATAGTGGTGCTGGCGGCACTAGGATAGGGAGGAGCTCAGAAAAAAAGCGCGAGCTGGGCATGCTGTGTTTTATTGGGTAAAGACTGAGGTTTAAGTAAGGGAGGCGCGCGTCTTGAATACTATAGCTTCAATCATTGTTCCATAGGGTCGGCTATCGAAGCAGCTTTGCCACCTTCTCTCATGCTTTGCAACACTCTTAGTGATATAGGATGGCTCGACACTCCTCTTTTGCTAGCTCTCTCCCTTTAATTTGTTTGTGCTTATTAATACGAATGTGCGTACTGTCGGTAGGGCGAAGGCCCTGTAACTTCTTGATTCGAGCCTGCAACACCTTCGTGTGGGAAACCTAGGAGGCGGCAGGAGCAGTATTTAACCTAAGACGTTTTTTCTTTCATTATCCGTCGCCTATTGATATGGAGAGTGCCTTGGCCACTTGAAGCGAATAATCATCTTCATCCGCAGCAGCTCCTTTTCTATATCCCAATGCATACAAAACCTGTCATTGCACGAAAAATTTCTGAAAACCTATTTTATATAGTCATCGAAGCCATCTTCCACAGAATCCAAGACTTCGATGTGGAAATGGCTTTTGAGAAAAACGCTCGCGGCTAGTGTAAGCAAACTTGTGCTTGAAAGACAACGGCGCACTTTGATTTCCGAAAAGTTGATTCAGCAGCGAGATCTAGGGGTGATGAAGAAGAAATGACAAACCTTTGTAGCGATGTAGATCCTTCAAAACAAGCGACAGAAACGCACTGTAAAACCCTCCCATCTGTACTCAATAGAGTCCTCAGTGATGTTATAGAGCCGGGGAATAGCATTCGTATTGGGAGAGCGTTTTTTTGCCACGTACGATCTTACTATCGTTGGTGGATCTATACATAGAATGCTGCTTCTCTGGTATTAAGAAACTGGTTTACCATTAGACTTGGGAATCTTCAATCGCTACCTTGCACAACACATTCTTTGCATGATGTATGAAGTCAGAGGCCCCTAGCGAAGGCAAGAAAGACAAGAATCTCGTTGCTACTGCTATGGCCAGAGGCGGTAGTGGTGGTAAAGGAATAGCTTGCTCCGCCATGGATGTCTCTTTGTGAACATGTTCACCGTGTTCTTATCGTTTAACGTGCTTCTTTATAGAGAATCAGGCTTGTCGCGTCGCACTAGTCGCGAGAATGTTGGCATATTTTGCAGCTCAAGTCAGGGCTCTTGCTCTTTCATGAAATGGTGAGATAGCATCCATCACGTCGTCTTTGCTACATCAAATGTGTCATACAGCGCAACAAATACATGCCAATGCTGCCAATGCTTTTTAAGCTTTATTGGCATTCCTCGACCAGGTCAAGTTAACTAACACCTCGATCATAACAACCACACATCGGGCGGCTCAAAATGATCGGTCTTTCCAAGCAAAGTGCCATTGGCTTTGCACCTGGACACGACTTTGCTATTAGGCGTCTGAGCCCAAAGATCCGCACCGCAGAGACGGTCCGCAATTTTTTTATTTTCTAACCGAATGATCGGCAAGTTACAAGACTCTCGATTTGCTTGCTCGGCAGAAAATTACTACACTAAGCGATTTGCAGGCCCCAGGTTTCATAAGTAAACTGACAGGTTTATCGTGCGTTCTGGGGCCTCTAAATCTCCCACCATTTGCACGTATTTAGTACACCCTTGCTTTTCTCGTTTCCCAAATATGCTCCTCCTTTAACACCATCACTTTTTGCCCAAATCTACGTGAACGCTCAAGTGGGCGTATCAATATTACTTGTACGGTTGTGGAGCGGGTTCGAGTTTATTTGTTTGAATGAAGTGCGATCTCTCGCGGATAGTGAATGGTCTAGATGCAATTAGAAAAAAAAAAGGGTCGTCTCACAGTTTCTGTCCTTTTGACGAGGCCTTCGGGCGCAGCTTGATGCCCTTTTGTGCTTGCAGCAGCTTTGCTTGGGATGCTAAGATGATAAAGTAATAACATGAAGGCAAAAAGGTCAATAATCAGCAGCACCAACTTTAACAAACTGCAGTATTAGGCGACGTCTTCCTTGTTTTTACCTCTAATGAGCTCTTCATCTTCCTGGGCGTTGAATGTGATCTTCACGGGCTCCTCAGTCGTCGACTTCGACTCATCCTTCTTCTTTCCACCACGCGAGCGCTTTCCAGAGTCTTCGGTGATAGGCGTGAACTCCTCCTCTTCATCTGGGTCGGCATTGTCCTCGTTCTTCTTGGGAATCTTGTTGCTTATCTTCTTGAACTTTGCGACGTAAAAACCATCCATGTTGTGCATGTGTGGGTAATAGCGCCTGGTCAAGCTGAGGGAGGGATGAAAGGCCTTCTCCCTGTAACGCGTAAATCCTTCCTTGCCGAAGTCCAGTCCAGTCGACACCAGCTTCACATTGGGACGCTTTCGGAGGGCGTAGTTGACCACATCCTCATTCTCATCAACGGTAACCGAACAAGTCGAGTACACAATGTATCCGCCAGTTTTGCTTCCTGCATCAACGGAGTCGATAGCGCTCAGCACCAGCTGCTTTTGAAGTTGTGAAAGCATCTGGAAATCCTGTTCTGATTTGTTGGTCTTAACGGACGCATCCTTTGAGATGACTCCTGTTCCTGAGCAAGGGGCATCGAGTAACACACGGTCGAACCCTCCAATCACACCAGGGAATTCGCGACCATCGTAATTGCAGACAACAGCGTTCTTGACTCCCAGACGGTGAATGTTAGCCACCAAAGACTTCGTACGGTCCTTATTTGCATCGTTTGCAAACACCATTCCTGTATTCTTGAGCAGTGCAGCTATAATGCCATAGAGATGAATGAAAGAAAATTGTTGTGTTGGTATCATGCTACTATCTAAGGAATACTTCAAGGTACGTCTTGGTCGTAAGGCGATATGCAACTTACCAATGTAGGTACTCTTTCCTCCTGGTGCAGAGGCCATATCCAGAATCCGCTCATGTTCCTGAGGAGCAAGCGCCATAACGGGTAAAAATGAAGATGCCGCCTGCAGCATGTAGTGTCCTGCCAAGTACTCAGGAGTCGCTCCGATGGGTACGGGAGAGTCAAAGACTTGAAGGCCGACTTTGCTCCACTTGCCGATAGGGTCGAGGTTCACTCCGCGATTAATCAGAGACTGAGCGAGCTCGCGACGACGAGTCTTCAAAGTGTTGGTGCGGATAGTGACAGGCCTGGGCACCTCGTTAGCCTCAAAGAATTCGATCGCCTCCGAAACAGGAAAGATATAGAACAATTTCTCCATCAGATATTCGTTATATCCGTAGTAGAGGCAAAGATCCTTGAGCAACTGGGAGATATAATCGTTACGGGATCTAGTTCGGCAGCGAAACGACCGATCGATAAAAGAGAAAGATGCGTCAATATCACGCTCTTTCAAGACCTGAACTCATCCGCAAACGAGTTAGTGGGTCGCTGAATGCAATTAAGGCATATGCCAATCTGTACCTGTTTCCTTCCCTCATCTCTCTGAAATTATTCAGCACCCTTATAATTTCCTGAATGCGGGCTTGAACGACCTGCAAGTCGGTGCTCTGAAGGATCTCATGATCGTCCCCGGGTAGCACATACTTGTCGCTCTCAAGCATAATGTTAGTCTGCAATTCCGCCTCAGCAGCCTCGGCCTCAGCCTTCTTAGCCGCATCCAGCTTCTTGGACTTTGTCTCCATATCGTCGTTATCCGAGTCTTCGCTGTCACTGGCGAAAATGTCCTCCTCGTCTTCTTCAACCTCCCCGTCCTGCTCACCCTCTTCATCAGATCCAAAGATTGCCGTACCTGGGCCCTTGGCTTCGTCATCCGAGGCTGCAAATTCATCACCCAAGAAGTCATCATCCAGTGCTCCGACCTCAACGTCTGAACCCTCCTCAGCGGATACGAACTCGTCATCATGCTAATAAGATTATTAACAAGGAACACATCAATGAGATAAAGCAAATCGCATGGCTAAGGAGTATGCCTGGGGGTGAAAAAAAAAAAAAAAAAAGGGACGGCATAGCTGTGTATGAATCTTAACAAAACGTACCAATTCATCGGCTTCGCTCTCGCTCTCGCTGACGGCTCCATAGGCCCAGGATTCATCATCGTCCTCGCTGTCTTCGGTGGCTGCCTTAATGGAGCCTTTGTTCATGGGTTTAACATTTTTGGCGTTTACAGAGGTCTTGCCGGCGCCAGAAGCGACCTTGGTCTTCTTGGAAGTGGCGCTATTGGAGGCATTCACTTTACGCTTATTGCTCTTTGGGGATGCTGCTGAAGATGCCTTAGAAGAGGCACTCTTAGTAGTAGGACGTCCAGCCATTTGGGAATGAAAGGGCGAAGAAGGTGGTAGTGGGTGTGGACGACGGAACTCTGAAGGTGACTTTTACAGGTTCAAGTAGGTTCGCTTCTTTTTTTTTTTTGCTTTGTTTGTTTCTTTTACAGTCGATCCACGGTCACGACGCTTGCTTCAGTACACGAACTTCACGTACACAATCCGACTCTGTGGCTTACGTTGACCCATGCCAACCAATCAGGAGACCGGATAATTTTTTCCATTTGGCTATTACTTGCAGGTGGCACCCAACCCACAGAAGATCCTTCTTTTCGCTTTTGAATCCAAACTTCGAATTCACAAAATGGCTCACAGCAACATCTGGAACTCCCACCCCCGCGGTTACGGCAAGGGCTCCCGCGAGTGGTAAGCAATTACACCATTGCACCACTGCACTATATAGACCTCGCAGGATACAGGAGAGAGACTTTTTTTTCTATTCATGGAATCGATCATCATCCATGCGGCTCATTGGAATCCTGCTACAATGCCAGTCAATTCGATTCGGCCATGTTCAACATCGCTTCTCAGCGGACGCATGCCAATTGCATGTGGGATCTATGGTCAATTGGTGGCGAACGATTTGCGAGCGTTTATGTTCAGGATGGCTTTGAGCTGGATGGCGGACCTATGTAGGATCGATTCTTCGATTCTCTAGTCGCTGCCATAACATCTGTGATGAAGTGTGACGCCTCAGCACCCAACAAGCGACTCGGCTTTTCTGTATCATCAATGTCGACAGACGACTGTTCCTGGATAAGCACTATCCTTTATTTATCGCTAGCTCCTGACGCTATTTTCTTCACTGTTTTTATTTTAGCCGTGTCTGCACTCACCCCGCTGGTTTGATCCGCAAGTACGGCCTCAACATCTGCCGTCAGTGCTTCCGTGAGAACTCTGCCGCCATCGGTTTCACCAAGGTTCGTCTACTGGCTGCAATGCAGTTGTTATTTGAAGTTGTCGACTTCGGTTGCCTTCGTATGTCATGAGCTAATTTTGTGATTATCTTCCCTACTCGGTCTAGACCCGCTAAATGCTACATCGTTTTTAGAAACTACGGCAACCGTGTTCGCGCGTTCGCTGGAATAAAAGATTCGATTTTCTAGCATGTCCTTGTTTCCTGTTGTAGCACAAGACTTGTTGATGAATAAATGTTCAATGAACATGTTTGCTATATGGAGCTATTTTGGGGTTGCTTGGTGCTATCGATTAGGGCTCGGCCTTTGACTTTATGGAGGTACCTCAGGGCCCATTGAATTGACTTGAACTTCAGTTAGAAGAGGTTTGGTGTTCAATTATATATTAAAATTTATTTCGCGACCTTGTTTGTTTCTTCAACTAAACCGCCATACTTCGATACTTCGACCAACCCTGCAACGGAAAAGCGAGACGCTGCGTGGCAACCTTGTACACCGAAGCATACTGAGGCTTCATTAGTCTTGCTAACTACGGCCACAGCTACAAGTGGATACACCTGGACAAAGCCAGTGTCGACATCCATCTGAATTCGCCGAGCCAACCGTTTTTGCTTCTTTGCGCCACCAATCGTTACACTTTGCAACTCATACAGAGCATTACTGAATGCCACCATGAGGATTCTCTGCGTTGCTGAGAAGCCAGCAATGTCAAAGTCCCTTGCAGCGATTCTGTCCAATGGGCAATACACTACGGTATGTTGACAATTTATTGGCAGTATCTTTTTTTTTTATTTTCCAAATCATGAACGTATAATAACAGTATCTTCTACAGCGGCCAACGAACGATCAATACACGCGCAACTTTGAGTTTTCGTATAGGCTACCGAACAACACGATGACTCACGTAGTCATGACCGCGGTGCGTGGACACTTGATGAGCACGGACTTTCCTACACAATATAGAAAATGGGGCAGCTGCGCTCCTGTCCAGCTTTTTGAGCTCCAAGTAGAAAAGGCGACGTCTAAGGTATATGTACCTTATCTTGGAATTGGATGCTGGGATCATACTGGAATCATGCCCTTCTAACACTCTCATCTTTCTTGGCCCTTTCATCACGCAGGATTTGATTTCAGTGGAAAGAAACCTTGCAATGGAATCGCGGTTGGCAGACCAGGTTATGATTTGGACGGATTGTGATCGAGAAGGGGAGAACATCGGAGCAGAGATCGCCAACGTATGCCAACGCGAGAATCGCCGGTTGAAGATATGCCGAGCACGCTTTAGCTCCGTTACTCCAGCGTAAGTCGGATCGTGTCTTTCATATGACAGCTAAAGGCTGTATACCTCAGCTCATCTTTTGCTGACACCACTGCTGCTGCCGCCAGCAAACTCTTCTAGTGAGGTGCATAGAGCCATGCAAAACCCTGTTCATTTAGATATGCGCCAGGCCGACGCCGTTGATGCACGGATAGAACTGGACCTTAGGATCGGCGCATCTTTCACACGCTTTCAAACCCTTACCCTCCAGGGCCGCTTCCCTGAGTTGGCAGAGGGCGTGATTAGCTATGGTATGTGCGAACTCGGTCGGCTGCATGTGCTCTGATCAGACAAGCTGCGGTACTAAACGTCAGCAGTGCGTACTATCAATGAGTTAACAATGTCTGCGTGAACGGATTTCATTTAAACGTAGGTCCATGCCAGTTTCCGACTCTGGGCTTTGTGGTGGACCAGTACCGACGAGTGGAGAATTTTATACCCGAAACCTTTTGGAAACTGGAGGTCAAGCACAGCAAGGACGGCGTCGATGCAACTTTTACATGGCAACGCGGACATCTGTTTGACCAGCTGGCATGCATGATTATCTATGAGGCTTGTCTCGAGAATCTCAGTCGCAATGCGCTTGTGACAAAAGTCAAGTCCCTTCCTACTAAGAAATAGTAAGCTAAATTTGTATATGGTAGTATTGATTGATGGCCGTCGTGATGCTGTGCTACTGACACCGATTAATGGGACACATAACTATTCTTATAGCAGGCCCTTGCCGCTCACTACCGTTGAACTTCAGAAAAATGGATCCAAATTTCTCTCAATTCCGTCCGATGAGGTCATGACCGTAAGTGCCTTGGTCGTTTGCTTTCTAAGGAACGATCATTGTCATGTTTTTTGCTGACGATATTTAGTACCGTTGTATTTATAAATCGCTGGAAACACATAGGCAGCAGAAAGTCTCTATACAAAGGGATGGATCTCATATCCAAGGACGGAAACGGACCAGTTTGACTTGAATTACGACTTGATGGGGCTGATAGAGAAACAGACGCACAATACTCAGTGGGGTCGATTCGCCCAACGACTGACCGAAGGTGGCTATCGTAACCCCAGGAAGGGCAAGAATAATGATCAAGCTCATCCACCTATTCACCCGGTTATGCATACGGAGAGCCTGGACGGTAATGAGAAGCGGGTGTACGAGTTCATAGCTCGTCGATTTCTGGCCTGCTGCGCTGAAGATGCAGCAGGCGACCAGACGGACATTGAAGTCAGGATTCACACGGAGACCTTTAAGACGACAGGGCTGATCATCAAAGAACGGAATTATTTGGATGTTTATCCCTACGACAAGTGGACTGGAAACGTGCTTCCAAACTTTGTTGAAGGCGAAGAGTTTATACCTAAAGAATTTTCAATGAAATCCGGTGCAACCAGTCCGCCTACACTGCTGACGGAGAGTCAGCTCATCGCGTTGATGGATAAGAACGGCATTGGTATGTATTCCAGCAAATGAACCGTACTCGGTATTGACTCAGGTTCTAACCTCCCCTCTGTGTTTTTCTGCACCGACTGAAGGCACGGATGCTACCATTGCGGAGCACATCAAGACAATTACGAAGCGGGAGTACGTTGTGCGGAGTAAGAGCGACAGAGAATATGTTTTTACGCCATCTACTCTTGGGATCGCTCTCGTCGAAGGTTATGATAATATTGGACTGGACAAGAGTTTGTCGAAGCCTTTTTTAAGAAGTGAGGTAAAGTCAATGGACGCATCTTGACAAGTCATTTTTGACAGTGCGGGAGTTGTCAGCACATCCTGATCTATTTTCTTCCCGCTATTAGCTCGAGAACAATCTTAAGCTCATCTGCTCTGGAAACAAGACAAAAGAGGGGGTCGTCAGAGAGAGCATCGACATGTACCGAAATGTCTTTGACATTGTCAACCGGGATCAGCGGGTGCTGCTGGAGGTACGAAGACAGCGACTTATTTGTCCCCGTCAAAAAATAACGGATGAAATTAACAGTTTATTGCGCATGGTCTTTTAGTCTTTGGAACGATACCTTGGACGACGCAGAGAACCAACCCCTCCTCCTAGACCAGCTGGGCAGCCTGCGCCAAGGAACCCCAGAGATGGGCATGGCCAGGCCCAGGATGGAAGCGTCCGTCCCAACTCTAGCAACAATTTCAGTTCTGGCAATGTAGGATCGAGCGCCGCCTTTCTTCAGACACATCAATTATCTAGGGGCCTATCAACCACAGGATCCGCTGCTGCGGTCATCTGCCATTGTGATGGTCGCCCTCCTGCTGTTGAAAGGAGGGTGGTCAAAGAAGGCGAGAACCAAGGACGGCTGTTTTTCACATGCAGCAAGCCCCGCGAACAACAATGTGGATTCTTTGCCTTCGCAGAGGATGCGGGAGTATTGAGCCATAGATCGACAAATCATCATCAACAACACCATCCAGTTGAGACATTTCCGCAGCGTGCCAACGAAGTAAGGCTTTTATATATATTTTTACACTTATGGCTACAGGGCTATGTAGCCTTAGTTAGACTTGATTGAAGGCCTGAATGCGTAAACTAACATTATGCTGTCGTCCACTCTGGGTTTATCTCACTCTTATCATGTGGATTTTACAGGCTGTCATGGAGGCGTTCATTCAAAATCTGCAGACAGGAAATGCACCAGAGACAAAGCCCAGGTGTCTCTGCGGGCTGGTAGCCATGGAGCTGAAGTCATCGAAGAACAACGGGCGAGTGTTTTGGCGCTGCAGCAAGCAGAGAGGCTGCGATTTTTTTAAGTGGGATGACGAGTTGAACTCAGGCCAAGCAGCGGGGCAGCAACAGCAGCACGGCGGTTCCTCTTTTCAAGCGGATAAAACGTGCTTCAAATGCCAAAAGGTGAATGCATGGCACCAGATGCACATATGCACGTCCTGCTGTTACGATGAAAGTATCCAGTTGCCCTTTTGCTATACCTGACGTTTTCCTAATATTATTATTATGTGTCATGCTTGTCTAGATGGGCCATTTCGCAAACGCGTGCACTGCACCGGCCGAGAAACAGCGCGGTACCTCTACAAAGACAAGGGCCAAGGGCACTTCCAAGAAAGCTACGACTTCACGTAGCGGAATTGCGGCTGTACGGGTGAGCAAGAAGGCGCGTCCGATCTAGAAAATCTTCTCGGCCCGATCACGGTTGATTACCTCATCATATATATGGATAATAAAACTTGTATTTCTATTTAACGACACTTTATGACTATGTCTTTCAATCTGATCTTGTCAGTCCTTCGTAAGAATATTATGGATGAGTAGCGTTTTCTGTTCTTAAAGTCGTCGTTAACCCTCGGACCAGTGCGTCTAAATCTTGGGCCACAGAAAATCGCGTCAATTTTGAAAATGACCTACCGCACGTGACAATCTCGTTTTTGAGGTACTTGTTCTTGGAATCACAGGAATGTTTTTTTGCTTCAACTTTTCGGATCGATCATCATGGCTCATAGTAACATCTGGAACTCCCACCCCCGTGGCTATGGCAAGGGCTCCCGCGAGTGGTAAGCGGTTGAAGCTTTGCTCCATGAAGGCAATGGCGAAAGACAGAGAAACTAGAAAGCAAGGTTGCGTCAATAAGACAGCACGATCGGACTACATCACGAATGACAGATCAAACCCAATGGAGCCGGGCTTTGGCAAGGCAGTCGGAGTGAAATCGCCCTATCGACCATAGAACACATATCTGCTACAAGGAGGTTGCTTGTAGCAAGACCAGGACTTAGTAAAGCAGCCTTTGGGCACAGCTACCAGTACCTGAAGCCAGCAAAACGACTTCTATGGAAACCGTTCGCCTATATGATACTCAGTACTATCCTAGTTCCTTGAATCAATTGGATTAATCGCTCGCTCAACCAATGCTTCATCCCTAATAGCCGTGTCTGCACTCACCCCGCTGGCTTGATCCGCAAGTACGGCCTCAACATTTGCCGTCAGTGCTTCCGTGAGAACTCTGCCGCCATCGGTTTCACCAAGGTAATGTTTCCTCCTTGGTTGAATTTTCAGCAATTGAAGTGGTACACCAAGGCTAACGATGTTTTTTGTCTTCATAGACCCGCTAAAGATGTTTTTTCTATCCGAGGGACCTAGCTCATATCAAGTAGACGATGCGCAAGTAATAAAAGAGAAGTGTTTTACCACGTTCTTAGAACCATCTACGTCTCGCACAGCCAATTGCTTGCTTGAGTGAACGTTTAGAGTGTGTACAGAAAAGTCTAGGGCGCGAAAAACCTGTCCTTTCTTCCATTTCTCATCACTTTATTTTTCATCGACTGAATACCTTCAAACCTCAATACTCATCCCCTCTTGCATCTTTCTTTTCATTGGCCTCGCAACCAGGAACTGAGACTGCAGCGAGTGAGTGTGCGAACCATCTTTACCACGTCCACCGCTAGTTCATCTTTTTCACGATGCAGATGCTCACAAAGGTATCGCTCGCTGTCTGGTTCTTCGCTGCGGGTCGCTTCAAGACGAACCCATGCCATCACTTGGCAATGCCTGTACTAACATCCTGGACACAACGACTCCGATGATAGTTCGAGTCCAAAAGCAATCGCGTCAAGGGCGTGGCCTTTCATCCAAAGCGACCATGGATCCTTGCAGCCCTCCACAACGGCTCGATCCAGCTGTGGGACTACAGGATGGGCACCCTCTTGGAGCGCTTTGATGAACACGATGGTATGTGCAGCACATGGAAGCTAGAGATGGTGGCCGGGTGCAGATGACCGACATGGTGCTCTTTCTGATCGCTCCTCTGTTTGTGCCGCTTGTTTTGTCAGGTCCCGTCCGAGGAATCGCGTTCCATCCGTCGCAGCCACTGTTTGTATCGGCAGGAGACGACTACAAGATCAAGGTGTGGAACTACAAGACGCGTCGCTGCCAGTTTACGTTGACGGGCCATCTGGACTATGTCCGCACCGTGTACTTCCACCACGAATACCCCTGGATCCTGAGTTGCTCAGACGACCAGACGATCCGCATCTGGAACTGGCAGTCGCGCAACTGCATCGCCATCCTGACCGGACACAACCACTATGTGATGAGCGCGCAGTTCCACCCCAAGGAGGATCTTATTGTGTCGGCGTCGCTGGACCAGACCGTGCGTGTCTGGGACATCTCAGGCAAGTCTTGCAAGCGGTTATGTGGAGGCGATAAAGGGTGATAAGCGGAAGGGAGGGGGGAGAGAGGATGGGGGATTATTGACAATAGGCGCCAATATCGCTGGATGACTATGTGGGAATAGTTGCTGCTATAACGGCTGTTGCCATTCTCGTTCTAACACGTCGTTTGTTACTCTGCCTCTTTGTTGCCACGACTCTAACAGGACTGCGAAAGAAGAACGCGGCGCCAGGGACGGTTGCGTACGACGAGAGCGCGCATCGTGCCTCACAGCAGGCGGACATCTTTGGAAGCACGGATGCTATTGTAAAGTACGTTCTCGAGGGCCACGACCGCAGCGTCAACTGGGCGACATTCCACCCTACCCTGCCGCTGATTGTGTCTGCCGGCGACGATCGCCAAGTCAAGCTGTGGAGGATGAATGGTAATTGATGGCAATTAATGGCGATGTGCAAGGGTGCTTTCCTGCTCCTCCCTTTCCTTCTTTCTTCTTTCTCCAGCAACGACAGGAGATGATGCACATGCACATGTTAATACGGACGTTTGCTCTTGCCTCTGCTAATCGGCCTGAATCTCTGTAGAAACCAAGGCTTGGGAGGTTGACACCTGCAGAGGCCATACAAACAACGTATCGTGCGCGATCTTCCATCACCGGCAGGAGCTCATTATTTCTGTTGCCGAGGACAAGTGCATCCGGGTGTGGGACATGTCCAAGCGCACAGCGGTTCAGACCTTCCGACGCGAGCACGACCGATTCTGGGCGCTGACGGCCCATCCTGAGCTTAACTTGTTTGCAGCCGGTATGTATATCGGCGCTGATCAGACTGCATGTTGTTGTGCATGATAGGTATTCGCATGCACGTGGGATGGAGTGACTGGGTCCTAACTGTCTTGGTGTGTTCTTGTGCTGAAACGCTATGCCCAGGTCACGACAATGGGCTGATTGTGTTCAAATTGGAGAGAGAGCGGCCAGCGTATGCTGTGCACCAGAACAGCCTGTACTACATCAAGGACAAGTACCTCCGCGTGCACGACTATTCCAACTCTCAGGACACGGCTGTTCTCTCTGTGCGCAGGACAGGATCGCAATTTGTGCAGCCGAGGGCGCTGTCGTACAACCCGGCAGAACGCGCGGTGTTGGTCACGTCGACGGCTGATGGAGGCACGTATGAGCTGTACAGTCTTCCCAAGGAGATTGGGGGCGATGCTCGGGAGCCTACGGGCGACGGCAAGCGTGGCTCAGGCAATTCGGCGATCTTTATTGCGCGCAACCGCTTTGCAGTGCTGGAGAAGGCGAACCAGACAATCACGATCCGAGATCTGCAGAACAACAGCACCAAGTCGTTCAAGACCCCGAATGTGGTGAACGAGATCTTTTATGCGGGCACGGGACAGCTCTTGCTCAGCACGCCTACCTCTGTGATCCTGTACGATATCCAGCAGCGCAGGACCATTTCCGAGGTGACGACGCCCCCGGTCAAGTATGTGGTGTGGTCGGCGGACATGGCCTATGTTGCGCTTCTCAGCAAGCACACGATCACGATTGCCACCAAGTCGCTGGAGCAGACGTGTCTTATCCACGAGACGATCCGCATCAAGAGCGCGGCGTGGGACGAGAGCGGGATCCTGATCTACTCGACGCTGAACCACATCAAATACGCACTTCCTCAGGGGTAGGTTGGCGGCGCTGCTATGGATTACGGGTGGGCCATGAAATGCGAATCCATGTGTGAGACTAGCTGACACTGTTCATTTGTGTGCTTAATTTCTTTCTAGGGACAATGGCATCATCCGCACCCTTGACCAGCCCATCTACCTGACACGGATCCGAGGCAAGAATGTGTACTGTCTGGATCGGGACGGCAAGACGCGCACGATTGCGATCGACCCGACCGAGTACCGGTTCAAGCTGGCGCTGACGAAGCGCAACTATGACGAGGTTCTGCAGATCATTCGTAACTCCAACCTGGTGGGACAGTCGATTATTGCGTACTTGCAGAAGAAGGGATACCCTGAGATTGCACTCCACTTTGTGCGTGAAGACAAGACGCGGTTCGAGCTTGCGCTGGAGTGTGGCAACCTGGAGGTCGGACTGGAGACTGCCAAGGCGATGAACAAGGACGAGTACTGGAACAAGCTAGCACAGGAGGCGCTCCGTCAGGGCAACCACCAGATTGTGGAGCTGTGCTACCAAAGAGTCAGGAACTTTGACCGGCTCTCGTTCCTCTACTTGGCGACGGGCAGTGCCAACAACCTGTCCAGGATGTTGATGATTGCAGAGAAGCGAGGCGATGCCATGTCGCGGTTCCACAACTCGCTTTTCCTGGGCAATGTGGAGGAGCGCGTCCGTCTTTTGCGGGAGGTTGGTCAAGGTGAGTCATGGGTTTGCGAGCAGCTAATGGGCAGTGCTTCGGTGGTTGCCTGGCATGCCATGTATTCTGTATTTTTTATTTTCATTTTTGCTCTTCTGAACAGGAGTGACTGGGAAGGCTATGGGCAAAGACTGACAGCTGTTTATTTCGTACTGTTCGACATCTGTGTTGTGCCTATGACTAGCACCGTTGGCATATCTGACTGCAAGGACACATGGCATGGACGAGATTGCAGACGAGATCCTCGAGAGTGCTGGACTTACCCCTGAGGACGTTGCAGATCTGCCTAGCCAGGGCACGCTGCTGGTGCCGCCGAGACCTTTGATGCAAGTGCACGACTCGAACTGGCCCCAGCTAGCGGTCTCGCGCAGCTACTTTGAGAGCGTTTTCTCTGGAGACATGGAGGGGGTTGCAGCGCCAGAGCCGATCGCTGCATCGGAGCCCGAGGCTCAGGCGGATCAGTGGGGCATGGATGACGAGTTCAGTGTCCCATCGGCGGGTCATAACGGAACTTCACTGGCTCCTATGGCCAACGATGGACTGGACATGGACGGCGATGGTGGATGGGATCTGGACGCAGACCTTGCAGCAGAGCTCCATGCAGAGACAGGGGCGATTGTTGCAGAGGACAGCGGGCTGACGATTCCAGTTGCAGGCCAGAGTGAGGCTGAGATCTGGTGCCAGAACTCGCCCTTGGCTGCGGATCATGTCGCAGCAGGCGCGTTTGAGTCAGCGATGCAGGTACGGTGATGGGAAGCGTTGCTATATGAAAGCTAATGCGGCCATGTTTGATGGCTCCCAGCTGATCCCTTTCTTCTTTTTTCTTTCTTCTTTCTTCTTTCTTCTTTCTTCTTTCTTCTTTCTTCTTTCTTTCCTCTTTCTTCCTTCCTTCTTCTTTCTTCTTTTCTTGTCGCGTATGTCACCAGCTGCTGAACCGCCAGGTTGGTGCTGTCAACTTTGAGCCGCTGAAGGACCACTTCCTGTCCATCTTCCAAGCCAGCCGTGCGATCGTCACAGGAAACGAAGGGATGCCCTCGATCATGCTGCCAGTGCGGCGCAACCCTGCAGAGACCGACCAGAGAAAGGCACTGCCTGTGCTGGTCAAGAGTTTCCAGTCGCTGATCAGCAAGGAGCTGCAGGACGCATACAAGGCGACGACATCGAACAAGCTTACAGAGGCGTGCACATTGTTCAGAGGAATCCTGCATTCGCTGCTGTTGACAGTGGTCACCCAAGCATCAGAGGCAGAGGAGGTATGGCAGGGATCTATAAAGGACGCACGAGGGCATGATGTGTTGCAGGTATGAGCGATTAAGAAACTAATAGGCGACGTGCTGGTTGTTTTGTGTGCCCCGTTTGTTCCACATAGGTGCTTCAATTGGTGGGTGTCTGCCGTGAATACATCCTCGGACTGAGCATTGAGCTGAGTCGCCGTGAGGTGCAGAACGATGGGTCGGCGGCAGGCGTCAAGAGGATGCTGGAGCTCGCGGCGTACTTCACAGGGGTCCAGCTCCAGCCTAGGCACATGATCATTAGCTTACGCACGGCCATGACGGCCTGTTACAAGCACAAGAACCTGCAGTCTGCACAGACGTTTGCACGTCGCCTGTTGGAGCTGGCTCCTCCTGGGCAGGCAGCGACGCTAGCACGGCAGATCCAGCAAGTTGCTGAGCGCAACCCACGGGACGAGATCCAGCTGGACTACGACCAGGTAACATATACAAGTCAGGAAGAATATGCGGATGGCGGTGCCTTTTTCAAGGCAATGGAATGGAGCTCTTTCGTTTCCTTGTGCTAACCACTGCATGATCCCGGTTTCGTTTTTTGCTCATGATATAGTACAACTCGTTTGTTGTGTGCGGCATCTCGTACACGCCCATCTACCGCGGGTCGCCCAGCGTGCAGTGCCCGTACTGTCGCGGCCACTTCAAGCCAGAGTTCCAGGGCAACCTCTGCACAATCTGCGACATCTCGCAGGTCGGCGGCACAGGCACAGGCATGGTGGTCCTTCCTTAGACGGCATTGCGCAACCATGCCAGAGTTCTTTCTCTCTTTCTCTACAATTTGTCTACAGTTCTGTTACCCTTGATAGTCAATCCTCCATAATAATAAAATGTGGAAACGATAAACAGGGATGCTGATATAGCTCCCATGAATTGGTTGTAATAGCAACAGTCTATGTGCTTTCTAAGGCGCGCCTAGCGCTTCCCCCGCAGGACTCAATCGAGAATAAAACTTCCAAGAGTTGCGAGGAGGAGCAGCAACAGCAGGATGACGATGGCGTGGAAGGCAAGGGCCGCCCTTAGTAGCCGCTCCTTTTCATGTTACTGCGATACCTCTACTCAGGCAATCTACAGGAAAAAATCAAGGTCTGAAAGTGTATCCAAGAGTTCAATGATCGAGTGCAAAACTTAGGCTTATTGAACAAATGAAATACAGTCGAGATAAAGACGAGAAGTGCATATCCAGGAATGCTGGCGCTGCGAGCTGCTATGTTACAGCTATCAATAGAGCTTAGGCGGAACTACAATAGAGGTAGCTTGGAGCTCTATGAAAAGGTAAGGAGCTGACTGAGTCGCCGCTGTCATATTCATGAGTTGAATCGAGAGCTATTCAAAAGAATATGACCTAACAGCAACAGCCTCCCCAAAACAGCTCAAACCGCAAAAGGAGAAGGGACTCTTATAAAACGACACATTCGCAGTGGTGTGTCCGCAATCGAAAAGTTCATCCTTCTCCTGAACCAGATCGGCAAGAACCCCCGCAAGCTAGTTTCTCTAACATCCGTGGAAAAGCAATTTATATCCTTTTCAGTGAACGAAGTAATCTACATCTTTTGGCAGAATGAGCTCCTCAGGCTCTAACTTCAGGCGCTGGCAAGACTCTACCTCATTAACAATTCCGTGCAGGCGGATGTAGTCAATTGGATCTTGAACAGAGAACTGGGGTTCCTTATCAAAAGTTTGTATTTGGATGTCGAAGGAGGTGTGACAGGGCCACGCAAAGTTCGCAGGAGACACAAGGTTGCGGTGACATTGATGCCCTTGGAAGAGATCCGACAACGTCTGGAACTCATTCAACAGGATATCCTGGATACCCTCGACGTTAACTCTTACAAGAAATGCGACTATGTTCTATGCGGCTCTGTTCGAACCGGCGGGTTCCGCCTTCATCTGTTGAATCTCAAGTTGAAGGAACTCCAGTCGGTCACATACAGGCGACTCCCACAAGACATCTTGCCCTCTCGAATCACCTTCACTGTCGGCAGCGCAAACTACTACCTGGCCAAAGTCTTAAACTTTGTCAAGACCTAAAAGGATATCGCAGCTCTTTGAGGATATAGACCAGAGCGAATCAAGACCCTAGGTCTCGACCTCGGCCAAGCATGTGTAGTCGGTGTGAGCGCATTGTCGCTTAAGAAGACTAGCCACGACCGAGATAGTGACACCCTTATGGGAGAGCCACCCGATGGCGCTATCTCCGCCACCGGCCCAACTACTTACTACAATCTGGCTGTGAAGCAGAAAGGCATTTACCAGCCAACTTTCAAGCTCAAATGCTAGATCGAAGAGTAGAAAGGAATAATGCCTCCTAATGAAACAAAGTCAACCAGTGACATCGAGAGCGATCTGCCCCCTCTCCGCAGTGGTGTCTCTAGCTATATAGATACTTTTATGGAGCTTGAAAAAGTTCAGGAGTGACTCGATAGCTTTTACAGCAACAACAACATGCGCTTTCGAAAGCACCAGTGGGATGGCAGAAAGGCCAGGGATGCCGCATTTACTATCATTACGGACCACTTGCTCAAGTTGGCTGGGTGGTCCATCGGTAGGCAGAGGGTTGAAGCCAACAGGGTTGTGATCGGGGTGGGTCTTGGACAGTTTTCATCAAAGGCCAAGCTTTTCCTCTTTGCATGAGTGCAGAAGGTTTATTATGATATCAAAAGTGCTGCGCCCAATAGGCAATAGCGAAAGAAACTTGTGTAACTCATTTTCTCCCGTACCTGGAAAAATAACTTTAATCTCGCTTCGTGTCTTTGGCGAGCTTTTGTTTATAGCATTAAGCACTACCGCAATGTTACCATCAAGAATGTTCTCTTTGCTCCCTCTCGCCTCTACTCCTCTTCTTCTCGCCTCTGTCTCTCTTCTGTACTCTTGCGCAAAGTCCAGCACGGATGCCTTCTTAACGTCTTCGCCTTGGAGGTGCCAGGACCAATCACGGACAACAAGGTTGCACTTCCAGCGGAACCTGTAGTGCCTATTGAAGTTGCCATAATGAACCTTCGCCGATATGCAGAGGACGTCCTGATGCCTGCCTTCAACGAGATGAACCGGTTCACACACTTTCGAGATGATCTCATTAAAGCAGTCTACGACCTACTCCTACTGACGACTGTGCCAAACCCGTCGAACTGGCAGATCATTCCCCCCCCCCTCCTAGCCTACTACCGCTTTGACTGGAACGAGCTGGAGCTCATTGTGCATCACCTTAGCCTTACAGGAACCTTCACGATCAATCGATACCAAGTAACGCAAGCTGAAGCAATTTGTCTGTCGCGTTATCAGCTCCTCTCTCCGACGCGATTCAAAGATGCCATGCAGTTTTTCCCATGGTCCCTCTCGAAGCTATTAGTCACGTTCAACATTGTGCTGAGTTTTTTTCTATGAGGACTAGTCGCATTTATTGCTCTTTGACCATGTGCGCTTGATGTCACAGCGTTTGGACTCCTTGGCAGCAGCGGTGCACGCGACGATTGCTGGGGATTCATAGACGGGACACATATTAAGGTTTGCCGCCTCATGGTCGACCGAGAGGAGCTTTATAGCGGGTACAAGAGGGCTCATTCCATCAAGTACCAGGTTATTGCAACACCTGACGGTCTGATTGTGCACCTTGGCAGCCCTTTCCCTAGTCGACGACATGATGCACGAATGCTAACAGAGTCTAAACTCAGGTTTTTTTCTCAGTCATCATTCGCATGGAGTAAACGGCCGTCCATTAGCCATTTATGAGGATGAAGGGTACGGACGTGAGTGGCCTATTTTTGCTCCGTATCGTGGTGATGTTACTGCACAGCAGAATGCAGATAACGAGGCTATGAGGACGCCTTGGTTCTATGTTGAGTGGGTATTCGGGTGATTTTCCAACACATGGCAGTTTTGTAACTATCGTCAACGACTGCGAGTCGGGCTTATGCGCGCTGGGGTCCTGTACCCGGTCGAGGCCATTCTTTCAAATTTGTAGGTCTGTATTGGGGGAAACTCTTCTACCTTGGCCTATTACGGAGGTACAGAACATCCACCCTCTGTTCAAGGATACCTCGCACCACGCGATCTCTGGAACTAACGAAGAGATGTCATGGCAGGACCTAACTATTTTGGTTTTTTTGATAAGGAAGAGGAGGATGATGCGGCGGAAGCTGTACCTGATGTGGAGGTGCCCGAGATCGAGGACATAAACGATGTTGATATCGGGTACAATGAGCAGAATTACGGCAACATAGAATACCACAATGAAGAGTGAAAGACAATTTATTCTTATTTATAAATGCCAGGAGGCAGAGACCTCATTGCCACCTGTATTTGTGAGGCTGCGACTTGACTGTGCTGGGCATCTGGACGTTGTCAGGTTTTTCGAGGCAGTAAACAGTTCTGGCTATCTCGTTCGTTTTTTGTTCAAGATAAAGCATGAACCGTTGCTGCCTGTCGATATGCGCGAGTAGTTGTTTGTTATGCTCGCTTTGTGCTGCAATCTGGTGGGCCTGCGCTGAAAGCTGTTGTGCCTGTGCTGGAACAATCGCCTCGAGCCTGCCAAGGTTACCCTTCATATCACCAATCTCCTTCTTGGCTTCAGTTACTAGGGCCTGCGAATCCCTAACAGCAGCATGCATACCTTCTGTAGCAGCATCGTGTTTGTTAACCAGATTCTTGACAACCTTGGTTACCTTTTGAGGCATGTATGTTGATCGTTTGTTTACTGGTTGTCGTGGTGAGTCGAAAGGGGAGCTCTCCAAGTCCGTTGCTGAGCTGAAGTTAGGGAAGCCAATTAGTTTTAGATCAGCTCTCGCAACCAAAAACGTCGCTCCGTTGTTAGATCCACTTGGCAGGGCCGCACCAGAAGAAGTCGAGCCTGATTGGATATTAACTTCCAACGGACTGCTGCTGCTGGACACATGAGTGCTGGACTGTGGACTGGCGCTTGATAGTGATCCAGCTGTAGAAAATGGTGCAGATGGGTGAGTTGATGTGGTTGTATTGGAGCTTGCTGTTGAAGGACCAGTCTCGGGTGTTGCCTCCCCTGAAGCATGATGCGCTGTTGTCCGTGGCGTTGCTGATTCTTTGCCCGTGAAGAGTTTCCGCGCTACCCGATCCTTCCTCACATCGGCCTCTATTTGTCAGCCCTCCTTCTCTGCCTGCTTTCGCCTCCGAGCCGAGGTTATATCCTGGTCCATCTCACAGATCTGTAAGGCGAGGTTCCCGAAATGCGTTTCTGGGACATTGAACCCCGTCAATATCTCCTGTAACTCCAGCATCTCGCGGCGCATCTTCACAACGCGCTCAAACATGGAGTAAAGCCCATGCTGTGTAATCTAAGAAAGCCTCGGCTCTGTCTTGTGTATTTCCATCGCCAGGTCTGTGAAGACTTTGGTTCCCTTTGTCAGACGAAGTTTCGACAGGTCGGCGTCACCCTCCGTCATCCTTCGGAGCCGGTCCTGCAGATAACGTGTTGCCAAGGATATATTCGGCCGGTTTTTTTCACTCAGTCCTGCTGCTCCAGGGAATTTCATCTGTAGCCCTCGGTATTGCACACCAGCGGCGGGTTGAACGGCGGGTTGAGCGGCGCGCTCAGCACTGGTGCCTGCATCCTCGGCAGCAGGAGCGGTCGACGCGGCAGGGATACCTATTGTTTTCTAGTGATGTCGTAAGTGTTTGCGCTGCTTGACGGCGAGCCATATAAACGCAATCATATTTGGCACTTACCCTCGGGCGATGGATCCAAAACACTGTTCATCAGTTCATCAACGTTCGGAGGGTCCTTGAAGAAGTCGGTGTAAGGCGCAAGTCTTGTGATGGGGCTAACCGATGTCTTTTTGCGTGCTCTGTCCGTTGAGGCAGCCTTGGCGGCTCGCTTTGGTGGCATATTGATTGTGATGTGTGAAGAGTTAGGATGTCGCACATGTCATGGCAGGGGGAGCTTGGGGATACCATTGCGCTCTAAGTCTAGTTGAGTACAACAAGTAAAACTTGCCTAACTCTATGTACCGTCCTTACTATGGATAAATTATGATATAATGTGTAGCGTAAGTACTTGTTTTAACAGAATAAATACCTTTTCGTTGATGGGGCCTCGAACACAAATCCTTGCATGGATGCTCTAGCATGCGATCTTGGTGCTGTTGCAATAATTTCCTGAAGTTTACTCACCTGTCAAACTATTGAATCCATCCAGAAGAGCCCTTAATACCGAAGGAATAGAGCACAGCATCCGCGTTACTCTTCTACAAGTAAAACGCGTCCTTCACAATTGAGCCCCAACAGGAAGGGTTGGGCAATACGTGTTACGCGTAGTATTACTCGCTAGACGTACAGATGGTAGCGGTACATAGAAAAATGGATAGGGGTGCTTGTGCGTTTTGTTGTGCAATGAAAGGCAAAATGGACGGTGGGTCCGTGCTGTATATCACCTCCCAGCTAGGAAAGAGGGCCGCTGCTGTGGCCTTGGTATCCTGGCACCCACTTTCACAACAATCAGCTGAAGTGAGACAAAGTCGCGTATCTGGAGGGAGTATGTTGTATTGGTTCGAAAGACGGCATTAGGATGGTTTGTGTGGTCTCTTTCCAAGGCGATAGAGGAGTGGACAGAAAAGAGTAAAGGTGATGTCAGCACGGGTGAGGATAGTTCAGTTACAGATTGCCACGTGCCAGCTGCTGGCCGCCTTAAACGAGCTAAGGTTTCGTAAACAACCTAGACGTCGATCCTAACAAGCTCCGTGCCTATCCTTATCGGCCCCTTGTCAGTCCCTTGACGCGCACGTCGGCGCTGGATGGTCCGTGACACTCATCCCCCCAAGCGCTCGTGCAAGATGATGAAACTCCATTCTGCCTTCGAAATTTCGCTGTCGTAATAATTATATCGCATGTCGCATGTCGCATATCGCTCATGACGTACAGACATGCACAGACCCATATTTGTGTATTTATGTCCGCGCCGATCCGGAATACTTTTCATTTCTGTCCTTTCACCACCAGCCAAATGTCGTCCTTACCAATCAAACCCTCTATCCCCGAGCAACCGGTGACCGTTGAGCGCCAGCCCTTCCTGCAGCATCAAAGCGCCATCAACCACTTCCCAGACCCAGGCACTGCAAGGGCCAACGTCGCTGCCACCCCCAGCCATCCAGCCGGAACGACCAAGGACAACTGGGCTGCGCGACACTCGCGCCAGACGGTCCTTCAGCAGCACTGCGAGTTTTTCGATCGCGACCACGATGGAGTCATCTGGCCCCACGACACCTTCTTGGGCTTCTATGCCATCGGCTTTAACGTCGTCCTTAGCCTGATCGCCGTCTTCATCATTCACTCCAACTTTTCCTATCCGACCTCGGCTTCCTGGATCCCCGATCCATTTTTCCGCATCTGGCTCCAACGCATCCACAAAGACAAACATGGCAGCGATTCCGGCACATATGATACCGAGGGTCGATTCGTGCCACAGCATTTTGAAGATATCTTTGCCAAGTATGCGCGCGATGGCAAGGATGGACTGACTTTGACCGATGTTTGGGGACTGCTGAAGGGACAGAGAGTCATCATGGATCCAATCGGTTCGTTTGGTGCTTTCTTTGAGTGTAAGTATTGGCTTTCTTGCTGTTATACTACGACCAGAGGCGGTGTATGGCACCATAACGAATGCTCATGCTGTGTGCACGGTTTTATATCATAGGGATGTCGATGTACTGGGTGCTCTGGCCAGAGGATGGCGTTATGCGAAAGGAAGATATCCGACGGATCTACGACGGAAGCCTCTTCTATGACCTGGCTGAAAAGAAGGCCAAGAAGGCGAACGCCGCCAAGAAAGTGCAATAAACAGCCAACATATGCCTCGTTTACTCTATCCTGCGCTGCTGTATATATAGCTGATATTTGCTACCGATTTTTCTTTTGTTTTGCTTTTATTGCTTTAACATACGCGATTGCCGTCGACTCTGCGCACGACACCAGCCATCCTACTCTCTACTCTCTGAAGACACACTTTATCGAGTTTTGCAATAAATGACATGCCTATTTCATGCAATTGTCAGACATCATCTTCCGCGATAATCGAAAGATACAGTGCAGGATTTTCATTTCAGCGGTTCCAGAAGTTTTAGACTGGACTCAGCTTGCGTTTGCTGCGGGCCATTTACATCTGTAATCCTTCCGCAACTCCTATATGCTGTGTAGCATGAATCAACTCTTATCTTCATCTTTAGATTGCGGTGGTTTAGTTAGACGTTATACTAGCCTCGTCCTCTTGGAGAGCGTGTGCACTCCTCTTTAAACTAGCGTCATGGAGAGTACAGTCGACCTCCAACATAAGTTCTATTTTGCAACTTATGTTGGAGAAGCAGTCATGTATTCAGTCCAATTGAAAAATATGTATAATTTATTTAAACAGGTTCGCGTTTACATGTTCCTCAGCCCATGCAAATCAATAAGCAATTCCATCGTATCGAGAGCTGCCCGAAGGTTAGCTTTCAATATAACATCGCAGTTGGGATCCTGTAGATCAGCTTCAGTATCCATGAACCCGTTTACAGTCTCTTGAAATGATTCTCGAGAATAGTCCTCATCTGGATAGGGGCTTGAAGGTGGTGAAGAGAAATCTTCGATGGGAACCATCTTGTCCACAGTACGGCCGCGGAGAACAGTTTTGACTACCTGCATCTCTTGATCATCGGCAACTGGTTTCGTGTCCTCGTAATCAGGATCAGAGTCATCATCGTCATCCAACACATCATTATCGGCACTATCCTCATCCACGAAATCATTTTCCTTGAGTGATAGGAACATTCCCTTGTACTCCTTGCGACCCATTATCTGGAGGACGAGCTCGTGGATCGCCTGTGTGGGCCCCTCACTGTGGATCATACTGAGGTAATTCAGAACAGAAAAGTCCTTCTGGAGGGCAATGTCTTCTTCGTTTCCTGCATACTGTTCCATGAGCTCTTCCTGAAGGCGATTGATTTGATCCGCCTTTGTATTGACTCCTAGAGCCTTCAAATGAATCTTTTGGTACTCGGACAGAGTTGGAACCTGGACGAAACAATTACGGATGCAGTCAGGAGTCACCTTTTTCCAAGAGTTGACCAGACATGCCCAGAGTCTCCCATTCGGAATTATTGTCGTAGATGACCTCTTTTGAACACGACGAGTGCAGACAACCTCTAGCATCTCTTGACTATAGAAGACCTTGAAGGTCCGGATAATCCCAGCGTCGAGTGGCTGAGTCATGGATGTTGTATTTGGTGGTAGCCGGATGACGGTGATGTTGGGAAGGCCCAGATTTTCACATTTGCCATGTCCTGGTGCGCTGTCGATCAGCAAAGCGATCTTGCGTCTCTTTCTGTGCATGTCCCAGTCTAGTTTCCAGAGCCAGTCGGCGAACAGATCGTGTGTCATGTAGCCGCTTCCTTGAAATTCAGCATCCATTTCCATCATTGTCGCTGTAGCCAACCCATTTGGACGGTGCTTAGCTGCATTTAAAAAGAAAAAAAATCAGCAAGCAACCCTTTTCAACTCCACTGTCACAGTCCTTGGATAATGCTTCATTACTTACAAAGAATATAAGGCTTGCGCTTGTCTGTGCCCGTGGCATTGCAGCACAATAAAATTGACACTCGAGCAATTCGGGTAATCTTCTTACCGCGGATGGGACCAGTGGCTATGGTCTTGTTTGACATAGCCTTTAGAAAAAGACCCGTCTCATCGCAATTGTAGATGTTGTCTGGGCCAAAGTCCTCGAGCCTCATTTGGATGTTCTCGATTTGGGGCTGGTAGAGACTTAAGTCGACTGATCCGCTTTCACCATGGCCAATGTATCTCTTGAATCCTTTCTGTTTCTTGAAGTTTCGAAGCCAGCCATTCGAAAAGCTAATCGGCTTTGGCAGGTGCTCGGGACGAAAGTAACTCTTCATGAGGATCCATATCACCACAGCAGTTCCTTTCAGGCGATAATCAGACACGTTGATGCCTACTAAAACATATGGATTAGGAGTATGCTTAAGAAACGAGCAACTAAGGGTCAGGAATTGACTTCCGTACCTAAAGACTCCTGCAGTTTATACCAGGCATAGAGGACCTCTTCCACAATCTCCATTGGTCTCCGTATGGCGCGTGCAATCGCTTTTGTTGCCGAAAGCGGCCGTGTCGCCATTGCTTGATGGATTTTGTCTTCCTCCTTGAGTATACGGGCGGCTGTGTAGGGGTGTATACCCAACATTCTTGATATGGCGACATGGGACTCAAATGGGTTATGCTGTTGCTCTGCACGATACTTTGTAAGGAATTGACACTTGTCGTAAAGAGTGTACTTCTTTCGAGACATGTGTGATTTGGAAGCGGAGGTACCAGAGCCAGCACGTTTGGTGTTTAGTGGATTAGGGACTGGGGCCGTCTGACCAGAGCGCGTTGTTTTGGGCATGGTAGAAGTAGAGGACAAGTTGGGTTCAGGAAGTGAGAGTGTGTGAACAAATGTTTAAGTTATTACGTATTTTCAATTGGACTGAATACATGACTGCTTCTCCAACATAAGTTGCAAAATAGAACTTATGTTGGAGGTCGACTGTACATCATGTTCTGGCGCACACCTTTTCCCCCAGTACATCCCAAGCTTGTGCCAGGAGTCGGTACTCAGAGGGCGCGTCGACTGAACTGCCATGTTTGAACGTATCAATGCCAATGCTGGCGTCTGCGGGAGACTCGGCACTCCAAAATGGGTTGTCCTCTTTACCGACTGGATTGACCGTAGGAGGATTGTTGTCATTTGTTAGAGGCGACCTCTCTGGCAGGTACCGGAGCCGGAGAAGAGGTAGTGACAGGCTTGTTGTGCTTAGGGGTGACCCTAGTGGAAGTACCGGTGTAGCGAAGTGGAGAATTGGTTGGGGCCTGCCATCCGTAGTGGATAGGGGAACTATTGAACGATGTCGTGTTACGATGGGGGGAGTGGCCAGAGTCCAGCGTTTTCTGGACGGGGGAGATTGAAACAAGTCGCGCGCTTCTCCTGGGCGAAATATTTAGAAGCTGGGTCTTGGTAGGCGTGGTCATTGTAGGCGTGACGACTGGCTCCTCGGAAACAGGCTGTCCAGCAGGAGCAGACATGTCTTTCCGTCCAGGCATAGGTTACGCGTCTTAGAAACCGTCTAGGGATTGAGGGAGTTCTTAATGAGCAACGGAAGGCTTTACATGGATTTTGTGCGGGGACACAAAAAAAAATGCCCCATCGTGCGTTTGAATTGATTCTCTATTCTAAATATTAGCGAATTATTAGGGACTGTTTTTTTGGGACACATTTCGTCCTAAGTATCGGTGGCTTAACGGGATTTTTGAATTGGTTTTTATTGTAAAAAATATTTGGGCATTACTTCTTGGCGAGGTCTTTCAGGGCATCTCTGTTGCCTTCAAACTTTGTTGTGCTGCACACGTTTCTCCTTCACTCTGAGCCCTAGGAATATATAGTTTTTAGGATCCTCATCATAAAAGCGCCTGGATTTTGGAGATGCCCAAACTCTGGCCCGCTACTCACTGTCAGTACCAGTAGACACCTAGCAGGCACCTAGAAATAATGGTATTTATTACATATCGCCGTCATTTTCGAACCACGGTACCCGAGTAAAGAGCTCAGAGGTTTTTTTTTTTTTTTCCTCCCACATGCCAGAACAGAGGGGATAATTTTCATGCGCTTAGAATTTACAGTCCTGAAAGTCAGCAGAGCCTGGATTACCAGTATGGCGTCAGCGAGTGATATCTGGATTAGCAGCATGGTCTTAGTCAAGAAAGATTGGGAGACAACCAGGAAGAACAGGAGCAGCTTACTATTGACCAATGCCCAACCAACCAACAGAGTACTACCTCCTAATGACATGGATGTCTACTCGCCCAAATCCTTTCTGGTAACTTGATGACTCGATGTACAATGTCGGCACTCAGTACCCTGCTCATCCAGTATTTTAACTAACGATGTCGCTTTTTTATCTCGCTCAGTCCTTGATTAGGAATCCTTTACTATCAAAGCATTCTGCCGAACGCCTGCTTAATAGTTCTTTAGGTGAGAGCGGAAAGCTTCAGGAAGTCCTCAAGGTAGAGTACTCGGACAGCGTTGATATGACACTTAAATAAATATCATGGATAAAGATTAATCGTGTACAGGTTTGCGGTTCTCACCCAGTCTTTCCTCGAGGGCGAACTCTCCTTTGGAAGAACCGATGGATCTTTATTATAGCAACAGTGACATACCAAACAAGCCCAAGGGACATCAAACAAGGAGATCTTGCTACATGCTATGGTGTCCAACTTAACAGTAGGCTAACATTTTTCTTCATTATGTGTCCGCAGTCTTCGCCTATTTTATCTGCAGTAAGCCCTGCTGCAGACTCGGTACCGGAAATTCCTTTCGTAAGTCCAGAATATAACCATGGGTCAGCGGGAATACCTAGTACGGCATTGCGATTACTCTATCGGACAACCACCGTGGGATTCATGGTGTCTCCTTGTATTTGAACGTTTACAACACCCGACGACGTAAAAGAAAAGCTGTCTATCTGAAGCAGCGCCTGGGTATTTACCACTACTGCGAGTTTCCATACACCCAACGGCCCAGACTCCCGAGAAAAAAGAAAGCATATAGGTTGCGCCTAGGGACACCAAAGGCTGCTGACCATTTCATGGACCAAGCTTGTTCGCATATCTTGTATGATGCATATAGTGGCGGTCCAGTATCCGAATAAAGCCTCGCCAAACCGTACAAGAGTTCACAACCACGCCAAACCATGCCAAACCATGCCCTTATCTGTACCCCTCTTCCAGCGAAGTACAGGTTGCTCTGAAAGTGACTCCATTGCGCCTCATGACAGGAACTAAGAGCCGCCCGCTTATCATGGACCTACACCCAGTTTTTTCCATTCAAATGGATCTATCGTACCCTCTGGGAAAGAGGAGATCTTTGAGACCTTAGCTTGGAGTTGTTGGAGCCTGGCCACACTGAGGAGTCCTTCTTCGCCCTTGTCTCGCGGATTCGAAAAGAGCTCCCAGACACCAAGGATTGGTAATAGTGGCACCTTCAGCCATCAAGTGCCAAGCATATTTTCCCAGCATTCACCACTTGCGACAGCTCTAAACTTTCCGATGACATTAACGCCCAGGAGAGCCTAGGAAGCGTTTTTCGATCGAGTGCGTCAAAGAGCAAGCTCGGTATCATGAACGAAATCATGGATGCGATACAGATTAAACGAGATTGGAGTGGAGTTATGAGCATGTCATGGATGTGTCCGATTGAACTGGATGATCGACGGCGAGCGATAATCCCTGTCGAATGTGCAGGATAATCCATGGTGCAATCGAAACAATATGCTGAGGTTGATACGACATTATTCGGGAAGAGAAGACGCCTGGTTCAGGAACCAGACAATACGGGCTGACAATCCGACGGGCCTCACTACTCAATGCGGTGAAAACGCGTATAGGTATGAATATAACACTATAATGTGAAATAACCAATCCATGAGTAAGGAATGACGAGCCTTTTTTGGTTCATGTTAATTGTGCCGGTTTACTTACCGGATGCTCAACAACAGGAGGATGCAGCGGCCCCTGGCCTCGCAACAGCTTGAAGTCTTGATGCTTGCCCATGGAACCCTACGAGAAACAAAGCCATGCGACAGTCCAAGACTCAGACGACGTAACAAAGTTTTCATACGCAAACTAATGGCAACGGTTTAGACAGGATGGGAATCCTTTCGCAATTGTTTGTCGCCCTGGGGAGAGGTGACTAGTCTCTTCAGGGGTGAGCAACCTTTTTTTTTTTTCATCCAAATCTCCGGTACCTATAGCAACATGCCATGCGAGGTGACAAAAGATAATTCATAGAACAAACCATTCGTTACACAATGCTGCACAGTGAAGTGGGCCACCGTCGCTCAATGCTACCGATAAAAAAGACCGAGGGTGGGTGAGTAGGGAATACAACTGAACTGCAGAGCCGCAGAACAAAGAGGGGTCAACAACGCAAGAAGCCAGTTGTTGAGCATGCACGACATTTAGTAACGGAAGAAGGAAGGCACAAACCTCGCCCCTACTCTTGCTAGGCAATACATGTGAAGGCGAGCTATGGCAGGGTATACCAAAGATGTTGCGGTACAGTGAGAATGGGGCGATCGGTGCTTTCTGTTCAGAATGGACAACCTCTATACATGTTCATCAAAGGGGTTTCTGGGGGGAGTAAAGAGGACTAGGAACAAATATATTGTTTTATTACTCCTTTCAACAAACGCGGGTCCAGATTCCCCTCCCGGTTGCGCCACTATGCATGCAAATCCTGATCTAGCTCTACATAAACATCGCCAAAGATGTTTCCACTCGTCGAGGCTACAAATCCGCATTGAGAAGAGACGTCCGCAATTCTGTCGTGGGCGAGTGAATACGAAGGAGTTTGTTTTGTAGCAAAATACCTCATGGGACTGGGGTCGCCATTCGCGTTGCTAGGTCTGGACCACATGGACACTAGCATATAGCGTGTTTAATCTTTAAATTCACATCAAAGGGTTCCAGGAGTGCTATAATGAGGACTCGGTCTTCTTTATTATTCTCTATTCTCTCCGTAATCCTCTTCAGCGCATCCTGAAATCTTGCCAGCCGTGGTTGCGTAGATTGCATAGGATGCAACACAGAGGAGGCTTCGAAATACCCCCCCCCCACAATTGGCTCGGTTCAATGTTTGAAAGTGTCTGGGGAAAGGTCCTGAAAAAAAAATTGAAAGTTGTGGTTATTCATGATGTGTTCCCATTTTGTGTGTTATGCAACAGGATTGATATCGTGGGGGTTTGCTTAGTAAACCCCTGCAGGGATATCCTGTGCTCAGTTCAGCTTTGGAAGAACCCTTCTGAATAAGCAAATCTTCATCGCGCGATCTGCAGTGAGGGACCTACGAGCAATGTCCTTTGGCGGCACTGTTTGGTCAAAATGTTTAAAATAACGCGGCTTTTTATTTCGTTGATATGTACACGAGGGTTGTGTAGACTGTACAAGGGAGAGAAAAGTCCTTCAGCTGCCATGCGCCATGTGCCGTGTTTGTTTTCTTGCTATTGGACTACGCTCCTTTAAGCAATCTTGGGCTCGGCCAGGTTAGGTCCATTGCCGGCGGGAACAATACCCGTGGGGTTGATCTGGAGGTGGGACTGATAATAATGATGCTTGATATGCTCCATGTTCACCGTCTCCGCAACCTTCGGCATCTGATAAATCCGTCTCGCCCACTTCAACAGATGCGGGTAATCCTTCTCGATGCCTTTGATGTTGCACTTGAAGTGACCATGATAGACGGGGTCAAAACGAATGATCGTTGTCCAAAGACGAAGGTCCGCTTCCGTCAAGGTGTTCCCGACAAGGTAATCGGACTTGCTGAGCATACCCTCGAGTCGGTCCAGGGACACGAAAAGCGGGTAGACGTTCTTGTCATAGGCTTCCTGGCTCGTAGCGAATCCGGACTTGTAGACTCCATTGTTGACGGTGTCATACACCCATTCGTTCACGGAATCGATCTCGGCCTTGAGGTTGTCCGGGTAGAAGTTGACACCGGCCTTTTCAGGCACAAGCTTATCGAACGCGGTGTTGAGCATGCGAATGATTTCACTGCTCTCGTTGTTCACTGGTTTCAATATCGAAAAACAAAAATGTTAGGAAAATATGAAGAACACAACCACTCACGTTTTTTTTCCTTCCTTTCTCGCACGACACTCCCAGATCGCATAAAAGAGAACATACCAATGGTCTCGGTCTTCTTATCCCAAAGAACAGGGACTGTGAAGCGTCCGGAATAATCAGGCTGGGCCTTGAAGTAGATGTCCTTCACGAACTTTGATCCATAAAGCGAATCCTTGTAACCGTCCCTGAAGGGCCAACCGTTCTCCTGCAGGTGCCAGTGGACCACATCGACCGAGATAATGTCCTCCAGACCCTTCAATGCGCGGACTAGCAACGTGCGATGGGCCTATTGAAGGAGGGTGAAAAACATTGTTAGTGTGCATTGCGCTCAGTTTTACGCAATACTTACAAAAACGGACGATTCGCTCTCTTTCAGAGATCTCAAACTTACCCACGGGCATGCGTAAGAAACATAAAGATGGTAACGACCACTACATCAAGACGAATAGCAAAAAAAGAGAAAAGATCCAGAGATGGGCGTTACTTTACAACCAAGAAAGATCCGTGAGAAAAAAAAAAAAAAGTCCCCATAATCCCACTTCGCCTCCACACTTTCAAAAATTCGATCGCTACGTACGCCTCAGGAGTGAATTTCGCGTTGGGCTCGTCAACAATGTTATCGCGGAAGGTCGACACCTGACGCTTGAACTCGCCAGAGTTACCGGCCCACTTGAGGATCTCAGGCTGGGAAGAAGCAGAGGTCGACATTGTGTTAAAGTATTGGTGTTGATTGAAAAGACTGTTGTCGTTGTTTGAGCTGATAGCAACCGAGATGGGTGCGATGCGGTGGGGTACAAGTCTGGAAGAGAAAGGGGCAAAGAGTATTGTCGTACGCTGGGCGAGGCTGAGATGGCGAGGAGTGAGGCGTGCAAGGAACATGTGCTGTGGGAAAGAATTGTCCGTTGGGGATGGACGAAGACACGGGCTTGTTTTATATCTTCCTGAAGGCGCGCATCACATCATGGTGCGTTTGGAGCGACGGGGCTTAGCCATCCAATTTGTCAGAGCACCAGCGCTGTGTTCGCGTGCTGATTTGTTATCAATCCATGCGCTTTGTCAATCCGTAATTCTTGTCAATCCGTCCCCCATGCGCCTTGTCAATCCATGATTCTTGTCAATCCGTCCGCTCCAAAAAAAAAAAAACGCAGAGCGCGTTTCCCCCCGGGTCCTGGCTTGACAAACCCCCCAAATGACGGCGCGTGGTTTATGTCTTTGAAATCCCCAGATCCGCTTTTTGAAGATGGCTTCAATAGAGTAAAAAAGTCATTTATTTTTTAATAGTTGGGTAAAAAAGAACCGGGCGGATAAGCAAGACAATTATGGTATGGGGGATGGAGCCGCCAATCCTGGCGCGCTTCTCCTTGATCGATCGGGTTTTACTTGCCACCACCGTTTCCGCCTCCCTTAGATTTGAAAACACCGAGCTGTAACAAAAGAAGAAAAGAGAAGATGGTTAGCCAACCTATATTCTAATAGGAAAAAGAAAAACATTTTAATATCACCGAATGAAGAGCCCGCTCATACCTGGACCATGACGATGATGACGATGATGATAAGAAGAACGATAGAGATGCACAAGCAGATCCACTTCTTCTTCCTGGCACCGCGGGCGTTGACGATCGCAACGTCGACTTCCTTGTTGCCGACTTCCAGGTGCTGGTCCGTCTGTTGAGTGTGTTCCTCGATCGTGTTAAGCACCTCAGCCTGCTCTGTGACCAGAGTTTCCATGTCAATGAACAACTGGTGCAGTTCCTATATAGTCCAAATACGATAGTAAAGAGCAAAAAAAAAAAAAAAGCATGACATTAGAAAGTTGGTTGCGGACACAACTGAAATGGATGATGCATGGCAAAGCTACTTACCAGGATGGTCTTTTCAATCTTCTTGATATCATCGTGGCGACTCTGAACCTCGCGAAGAGCTCTGTTGGCATCGCCATAACGGGTGCTTTGAAGAACCTGTTTCGCCGTAGGGAATGCATGCAACATGTTAGTATCGATTTTAGTCACAATCCTCGTAGACCGGGCTTCCGTGTGTTGTCTCAAGCGTGTCTTACCGATTGAGCAAAGATCTGTTGGTTGTCGCTCTCCATGACTTGGGCAATCTCTTGTGGGGTGGCATCAGGCTTGACTATAAAGTGCCGAAATGCATTAGTATAAGGACAGAAAGTAATATATATCTACAGTACACACACGCGTCATTTAAAACCGAGTCCTTACCAATCTTATACTGTCTCTCCATGCGGCCCTGATACTTCTTTCTGGCCTCGCTTTCCGAAGACTGGTAGCGGCGAAGGGTCTTCAAGAACTTCTCCTTCAAGGCTGCAGCTTGGGTCCGGCGGATCTGAATGTCTGAGGAGTTGGCCAGGCGGAGGTTGGCCAGCTCAATATCTACGGTTGGAACAGAATTAAATAGTATGAGTCAGTCTCAATTTAAAAGACAATGACATTCGAAAAAAAGACGTTGTATGAGGCATCTCTTTACCCTTGATTCTCTTCTTGGTGCGGTTCGACAACTGGGTCGTGTCCGCGGTAATGCCCTCCAATTGTCGGTTCGTGCGCGAGGACTGCTCCTCGGTGGCAACACCATTGAGCGAGACATCATGAAGCTCCTCAATCTTCGTGATATTCTGCTCAATCTTAGTAATATCCTCTTGAATCGAGGTAACCTAAGAAATCGCCAATGAATGAATTTTATTAGTCGTCTGAACGCCTTTAGCTGCATGCAGCTGCTGCAGCCTATTCCGAGGTGCAATTAGCCCAGAGAGCTGTCCGATGAAATTGGGTTGGTCAATGTTCTGGCTCCGCATAGAAAAAGAGGGCATGCATCCTGCGGTCGCAATTGCAGCCACAGTGGTGCTGGCTCTCGACTCCTATTCCTGATGCTCTCCTTCGTCTCCAGTTTTTTTAGGAAAATAACCATTGAGCCCGATACATATCGAACTCTTTTTTTTTTTTTCTTTCTTTCTTTTCGATTTTAAGTGTTGCCAGGTTTGAAAGACGGTTGCGAGAATGTGTCCCAGGGATAGACAGCTAGACATACCTCGCTGAAGAAGGCGCCCATGTCGCTGCCGGTGTTATTGCTTGAGGGGACAGCAGACATCTCGATCCTAGTGGGCGAAGCTGGCTGCTGGCGACCACCGTACTGGGCAGGCTGCTGAGAATACTGGCTCTGTTGAGCAAATTGATTTTGCTGACCGTACTGGCCCTGCTGGCCATACTGGTTCTGCTGGCCGTATTGCTGCTGCTGACCATATTGCTGCTGTTGACCATACTGATTTTGTTGTCCATATTGCTGCTGCTGGCCATACTGGTTTTGTTGACCACCATATTGCTGTTGCTGACGACTGATTCGTTTTAAAGCGTTGAACAGTTAGGACCACATCTTGAGCATTGGATGTGGATCTTTCGAAATAAAAATAAATAGGAAACGACAGGGGTCCAAGGGGAGGAGGAAGCAAGCGGAGACAACTGCATCAGGAAAAAAAAAAAAAAAAAAAAAAAAAAAAAAGAAAGATGAAGACTTACCCATAACCCTGGTTCTGGTTGTTGTTCGACTGGGCCTATGATGAACCATAGTACAACGATTTATCAGAAACACTTTGCCATGGAATGAAGTCGTGTAAACAGTCCATACGACCTTTTATTGCCTGCACAAAAAATAAGGTTGGTACCTGAAAGTCGGCCAAACGATCTCGTCCACTCATGGGTGTCGTGGTCTACTGGATGATGAAAGTGATGAGAAGTTGATGAGAGGGATCAGACAATAAGAAGAGAAAGCTGGGGGCTGTGGAAGTCTAAAAAAAGAGGATGTATTGTCGAATCGTGGATGAGATGGAGTGTGAGAGCGGTTGAGGGAACACTAGCACTTGAGAAGTGGTGCGGAGCGAGTTATATTAAGGATGGGTCGAGGATGATGGGAGGGATATAGCCAGCTCGGAAGCAGTGAAGTGGGTCTTGTTTACAGCGATATGTGTTTGGGATAAGTGGAGAGTGCAAGGAGAGATGGTTCCAGGAGCAGTACCTGAAAGAAGTCGGATGAGTTTAGGATGGGCGAGGATGGATGATGACGAGTGGAGATGAGAAGGATGTGGATGACGGAAGGATGGAGGAGAAAGAGGAGGAGGAGAAGGATGGAGGGATGGAGGGAGGAGGATGAGCAGAAGCAGACAAAAGAAAAGAAATAAGAGATGAGCAGAATAAAGAGTAATTAACACAGGGCTACCTGGATTGGAGAGGGTCCAATTATACTTTGAAACAAATAAACTTCTGTGTGTGTATTCTTTGTGCTACTCCTGGCCTAGTCAATATAGCCCAATTGGAGAGGATGTAGGTGATATACTAAGCACTAGGAGAATGGTTACCGTGAAGAGAAGGGTCTCGATTCTCCGTGCTTTCCGAACGAACGAGACGACCTAGCAGCTGCTGTTGCATTTGCGACTGAAGTTCCAGTCGTGAGAAGGAAGCACCATGTTAGTAGTCCACTGTTTCAGCAGGAAAACGCGTGGGTTGCGCATGTATATGGTGGACCTAAGAAAAGATGACGACGATAATGAAAGGCGAAGTCGAATGCGGGAAAGACGAAGATGAATCTAGAAAGGACGAAGGCGAAGAAGGCGAAGAAGGCGAAGGAGGCGGGGAAGGCAGAGAAGTAGGAGATATGAATGGGAATGACTTCCATTACGCGACATGCGATAAAGAAAAACGAGCGAAGCAGCGAACTGTACAGTAACTCAATGTGGGGTGTGCAGACCTTATCCCCGTTGGGCTCAGTGTTTCTGGGAATAGATTATTGCGAAATGTAGCCATGTCCAAAAGAGGAGAGGACGCGACATTTGGCGACCTTCAATGGACAGTTCTCGTTTTTCCCGCGCTTTTGTTTTTTTAGCACATCGGGAAAAGAAAAGAAGCAAGCTCCCATTTTATATTCGCTGTCGTCCGCCTCCAACGGCTGCAGTAACGGTTGGAAACCCTGGGATGTTTCTTCAGATTCTTCCTGGTGAAGCAATCACACCCACGTATGTACCAAAGCAATCAACCCGTGGAGGTCCTTTTGATTGCTATCATGCTATCGTTTAGTAGGGCCATTCTGTCTGTATCGTGTGTCAAGAAACCACTTAGTTGATGGCATATATTCCGTCCCACATGCTGCTTGTAGTAATAATTACAGCCCCGCCCCCTGCCTGGTGGCTACTGCCTGTCAGGATAGGACAACGTAATCCAGGGAAGCCTTTCTGTCGAATCATAAGCTTCGATCGACCGTCTAATTGATTTATCCCACCTTCCTTTTTTGAGTGAAATGGCATACTTTTTTTTTGTGTCTTGTTTCTTCATCTTTCTCCGCCCTCTTCGCCGTCGTCCACTTCCTCGGCGGTTCCCCGAACCCACTCTCGTCCCTCGACACTTCATCTGCACCAGTAACGACTACTTACAGCAGCTTCAACAGCTTCAACAGCTTCAACAGCTTCAACAGCAACAGCAACAGCAACAGCATCAGCAACGCAACACTAACGATGGTGCAGTCCAACACCGCCACGGCGGTATGTTCCTATTCACTCGACACAAAGTATCTGCTGTCTATCTTCCTTTTCCCCTTCGCACCTCGATGGTATCCCATGTCATCCCGTCCTATCCTTCTTTTTGCGTCTCCACGTCTTGTCGTCCCTTTCTTGCATGCAGCATCATCATCAATTTCATTACCTTCTTCAATCAAACTTGGTGCTCTACTCTGCTCTACTCTGCTTCTGGACCTAGCGTTCCCTTCGAGACTGGACCAAAGGGGTGGTGGTCCTCCACACGTTTTCGACATGTTCGGTTGGGAATGTCTGATTCCATTTCTCAGATCAAGGAACCAGCTAGGGACCCAACATTGGGCAATCGCAAAACAAGATCTTTCTCATTCACTCATTCGGCGCACTTGTTTGACTGAAGGAAAGGCAGTGCGCTGAGGCTGCAGTCTCGCATCTCGCATATTGTATGCTGGGTCGTATTGTTCCGCCCCTCCTCCTCTTGCTTTGTTTTGCTTTGCTTTTCTTGCTTTGCTTTGCTTTGCTTGGTTGAAGTGGTTGAATTGGGCTGGGTTGCTACCACTCTCTTCCCTCTCTTTTGTCGCAGTTTCCTACTTGGGGCGCATCCATCTGTTCTCTCGCTACAACTCTCCTTTTTCAATCGCCTTTTTTTTGTGCCCTTTTGTATTAGTACCCGCGTGCCCAATTGCTCCATCCTCTCATATACATCACACATCACACATCGCATCGCACATCGCACAAACACAAACACAAAGAGGAAAACGTTCTTTCCTTCGCACCATTATAATAGCCTCTAATTGCCATCCAAACCAACTGACTAACTCGTTCACGATATGGGCCATTTGTCGCTGAAAATACAGACGTCGACCTTGTTCCTCAAGGCGAAACACGCGTTTTCGCTCCACCGCAAATCCTCCCTCTCGGGCAACTCGTCCTCTTCCGCTTCTGCATACCTCTCATCTTCTGCCCCATCTCCTACAGACTCGACCGTATCACCTCCGCTCTCTACTGCCTCCTCTGCAGCCAATACCAATGCCAATGCCAATGCGAATGCCAATGCGACTGCAAATGGCGGGGCCCCTCACAAGGTCAAGCGCAGTAGTCGGTTCAAGGTCAAGAGGTTTGCCTCATTCAGGGACCGCTCGACCAGTCCACCGCACAGCAAAAAGGGCCAGGCCAATCATGCCAACGCCCCTGTCTCCGTCACAACTACAGCTACAACTACAACCACCACCACTCCAATCACAGCATCAAACGCGACTCCTTCAAGTTCTGCAGAGGCAGTAGTAAAGGCGACGACGACAAGGACAACACCACCAGCACAGACAGCGTCTATGAATCCCTATTCTCCCAGCTGGTGTCCCTCGACTGTTGCAGCCCTGAGGTCCCCCCTGAGGAGTGTTTCGTCTCTGTCTTCGAAATCGAATGGCGGACTGGATCTGTTACAGTCTTCACACTATTCACCAGCACCAAACCTGCTCCTACAGCCCAGTCCTGTGACTGACCTGGCACCGCGATATGGCACGGGTGCACGTCTGTCGCGGTTTCCTTCCGGTCAGTCCAGTGGTAGTCCAGTTGTTGGACCGCAAGGTAAGAATGCCATTTCAACATAGGATTGTTTAACATTTGATGCAACTGAGTTGCGGGCAAGTGGATACGGAAAGAAAGAGAGAGAGTCTGCGGGGTTTTATGTGGTGTTAGAAAACAAAAAAAAAAAAAAAAAAAAAGACTGAAACAGGGGGGAGGGGGGGTAATGGAGCGGTAGTGACAATGGTGAGCATTGGTGAGCATTGGTCATACAGAGCAGAACGAACACAACCGGAACACCGATAGGACGTGACCACGACATGCTCGACAGCAATATAAGCCCTACTATGGCACGCTTACTACTACCATTACTACCACATGTCCTATGTGTGATTGCTATATTGATTTGCTGTGCATCGAAAGAGACAATAGCGTGTGCTGAGGCTAATACAACGGCTGTTGTTGATGAGACTTGTACTGTGCATGTAGTCTTATCTTTGTATATGCTACCGGGACCATCTCTACATGGATCCATCTTTCCATCTACAAAAAAAAAAAAAAAAAAAAAAAAATGCATTCGATCTATCAGATCATCAGATCCAGGTGCACTTCGGACCTCTCGGACTATTTGGAGGACCGTTGTCAGGAACCATTGCAGATCCATTCCTGTCCCTATCTGGGATCATATCACCCTATGTCATCTCCACCTCGGGAACGACCCATTCCCTTGAGGCTCCTACGACGACGACGACGACGACGACGACGGCGACGACTTCGAGACAATTGCAGCACGAACCACGTTACTGTGACACCAAGGACACTAAACACAAGAGACAGAGCACAGGGCACACAGCACAGCGTGGTGGGAAAGTGACTATTGTGCTATTGTGTGTGGGTTGTGAATGTGTATCGGCGGGAGTGGAGTTGATCTAGAATTACGCGCAGACGCTCTTTTCTGGCCCGTTCGATCTTCTGGCTGGCTGGCTGTCTTTGTCCAATCCGAGGGTGAGGGTGGGGGTGAGGAGGAGTGAGGAGTGGGGGTGTCTGACCGACTCTTTTTTCTTTCTGCCTTCTGACTGACCAAAAACGTCTTTCTTCTCTTCTCTTTCCGTCCCTCCATTGCCGTCCTTCGCTTTCTTTCTTTCTTTCTTTCTTTCTTTCTTTCTTTCTTTCTTTTCACCTTCTTTTCCTTTTTACACTTTGCTCTGCTTTGCTGACATCATCCCCACCCGCTCTGCTGCCCCACTTCGCCACCACTGCCGCCTGGACCAATCACTCCTCCTCCTCTGCTTCTTCTTCTTCTTATTACCCCCTCCCTCTTTTTGGCCCAACCTGTTCGCCTTCTTCCTTCTCGCCAAACACATGTCTCGACACATGACTTCATCCCATCCCCCGAACCACATCCACTCCGACATCGACATCGACATCGACATCAACATCAACATCAACCATGCCGCCGACCCGCTCATCCATCCCTCCTCTCCCTCTGTCGGCCTCAATCGCCCGCCCCAACCCATGATCGACTCCCCCACCATCTCTGCCAACTCCACCCACTCCCCTGCCAACTCCACCCACTCCCCTGCCAACTCTACCCACTCCCCTGCCGCACCCCACTCCGACCTCGACCATACCTCGCCCGAATCCTTCGCCCCACCCTCTCCCTCGCCTCCCTCTGTCTGTCTCTCATCCTCGGAAACCAAACGGCTCCTTGACCAACACTACATCCTCATGCTCAATGGGCCTCGGATAGATCTCCTCTCCAAGCTGCCCTACGAGATCGCCATCTACATCCTCGGCTTCGTCGATATGCACAACCTCGCCAAGGTCGCTCGCATTTCCCGTACCTGGAACCAGTTTGCCAGAGATAACGAGGTCTGGAAGAGCGTCTTCCTCTACCAGAAGGGCTGGACAACCTCAAAGGCTCTACGGAGCTTCATCAACCGCAACTACTTCTACGACGACAACAACAACAACAGCACCAACACCAACAACGGCAATAGGCCATTGAACTGGAAGATGCTCTGTCATGACCGCAAACTGCTCGAGGAGAGTTGGACCACTGTGCCGCCGAAACATGAGCTGAACGGACATAACGATAGCGTCTACTGTGTCCAGTTCGATCACTCAAAGATCGTCACCGGATCAAGGGACCACACTATCAAGTTCTGGGACCTGCTCACGCTTCAATGCACCCATACGCTCCATGGCCACTCTCAATCAGTCCTGTGTCTGCAGTTCAATGACAAGGTCATGGTCTCGGGATCGTCTGATAACACCATCATTGTCTGGGACATGGACACCCGCCAACCAACAATGCAGCTTCGAGGACATACTGCAGGCGTGTTGGATGTATGTTTCGACGATCAGTACATTGTTAGCTGCTCCAAGGACACGACGATCCGGGTGTGGGATTTACACAAGGGAACACTGGTGAGGACCCTGATGGGACATCGTGGACCCGTCAATGCGGTCCAGTTGCATCAGGGACAGGTGGTTTCGGCCTCTGGAGACGGAATGGTCAAGTTGTGGAATGTGAGCACTGGGCAGTGTGTGCGTGACTTTATTGGACATGAGCGTGGACTTGCCTGTGTGCAGTTTGATGGGGAGACCATTGTCTCGGGCTCGAATGACAAGTCGATCCGGGTGTGGGATGCAGCCACGGGAAGATGTCGGAAGGTCTTGCAAGGACATACTGCTCTGGTCAGGACCTTGCATTTTGAGCACAACAGGATCGTGAGTGGAAGCTATGATAATACTGTCAAGGTGTGGGATATCTCGACGGGCCAGTGTATCCTCGATCTGAATGATGGTCATTCTAGCTGGGTCTTTGATGTCCAGTTCTCAGCCAGTCGCATCATCAGGTATTTAATGTTCCATACACTGGACTTTTGTTTCTTGTTTCCCCCTGGACATATTGTTAGCCTATCTTTTTTCTTTTTTTTTTTTTTTACTTACTCTCTCTTTCTTACTTTTGACAACAGCACCTCCCAGGATAATAAGATCGTCGTGTGGGACTTTACAAGGAATCAGGACATGCGACTGTTTGACTGAAGAGGCTGCAAAAAAAAAAAAAAAAAAAAAAAACAAGAGGATGGCCAGACGGACAGATGAACGGATGCACAGATAGCCTCGTTTACAGTTGGAAACGCTAGCGCTTTCGCACTATACCCGATCTCTTGTCTTGGGATCCACCTTTATCTTTACTGCCTCTAGCCATGCACCGTAGCCTCGGTTCTATAGTGATATCCTAAACCTATCTTTTCTTCTCTCGGATGTCTATGAAAAGACTTGAACCACGTATATAGTATGCCTTTTGTGTAGTAACAAAAAGGATGTAGGCTCGATCAAAGTGTGCGCGAGGAAGGACGGCTTGAAGCTCTGTTAAATGTTTAAAGAGATCGAGAGCTTGTCATACAACGATTTTTTTAGCATGGACATTTATTCGATTTTGTTAATATTACTATTACATGACGATCCATGTGTGCATGGATCGTTATTAGTTTGTTACAGAACCTGCGGATTTGTGTGTCGAACTCCCTTTCACATCCCCTACACCCTCATTTGCCGTTGTTGTCGTCGTCGTCCTCCCCAACTTCAACAACAGGAACGACCTTCTGTTCGAGAACGCCCTTGGCCTCCCAGAAGGAGACCTGCTCACGAATCTTACCCAGTGTCCTGTGCTCGAGTTGTGCCGTGATCTTGTCCAATTGCTCTTGTTTGCGTTTCGCGTCATCGACGAGCCGCTGGCGACGCCTGCGCAGGCGCTTCTCGAGTTTTCGTTGCTGGTGTTCGTCAAGGGGCTTGGGGTCCGAGGTGAGGGTGGTCGGGGAGATGGGCGAGGTCAGGCAGCTGGAGTCGGAGGCGGTGGCAGAGTCGAACAGGAGGTTTGTGGAGGATGTGAATGGGCTTGAGGAGGCATCGCTGTATCTTTCGTCATCATCACTATCATCGTCGTCCTCGTCGTTGTCTTCTTGATCGTGCTCGTTCTCGAGGTCTTGATCGACCTGTGCCATGGAGGGGTGGTAATGGTGGCCGTCGCTGTCGTCGCGGGTGCTGATGCTGGTGTTGCTGATATTGTGCTGGACGTTGCTTTTGGCCGGAATTGTCGATGTGGAAGAAGGCGATCGTGGGCGTAAATCGGTATCCTTGTCGTCAGTCAAGGAAAATGTGGTTTCTTGTAGTTCTGCTGGTTCTTCGGCAGCGGTACCGCGGTCGAGCGTTTTCGGTGAGTCCTGCTCGTTGCCTGAGGATCCATCTTCAAGAGCATCGTCATTGCTTCCGCTATCGTTGACCTCGTCATTGTGCAAGGTCAGCAGTCCATCAGGTGTTTTCGCCTCCCTGAGCTCTGTTTCTATTGCTGCTGCTGCTGCTGCCGAAGAGGAGGATAAGGGAGTGCGTGGCCGGCCAGGGTCTAAGGGTGGGGTTCGGCGCATGGATTCTTCGACCTCTCGAGCGTACGTGTCTGTCGATGCGTGCTTACACGATCTGTGGTGATGCGTCTCAGAGACATCGCCGCCGCTACCGTCGGCACCGGCGACAGTACCGGTCTCGGTCTCGGTCTCGGTCTCGTGTCCGTCCTTTTCATTGTCGTTCTTCACCGACGACAAAGACGTTGAGGAAGGAGATGGAACGCGTGGGCTCGCAGGTACGGAGGTAGACGACACGACTGACGATGCCACGATCGACGACTCTCTCGATTGGGACAACGATCTTTGTATAGGCTTGTCTCCCGCAAGTGAATCAGGATTTTCTTCATTCTCACCTTCCATCCCTATTTCATCCTTCGATTCTCTAGAGGGCGTGGCACTGGTCCTTCGCGAATGCGACGCAACCGCATCATGGACAGATTCCAGACTCGGATGGATTCCAAGCGAAGCTGCAGGGACGGACAATTTCAGAGACAACCCCGAAGAAGGTATTGAGACGGCAGAAGATGCTGTCAGAGCTTCTGCGAGATCCGACTCTGGTTCCGTCTTCGATTCTACAGCTCGCTCGTCCTTGTCCGCTGGCGCCGTTGCAAAGGCAGGCCCAGGGGTTGTTGCGGTGTCAGGATGTGGACTAATGTCTGACCTGGCACTTGATGATCCCGGGGACGTGGGTATCGAGGTCGCCGCCGACGCCGAGGCGCTTTTGGGGAGAATCACGAGTTCCAGATCACTCTCATTCAAAGCCTTCTCCTCTTGGCGCTGGTGCTGGCTATTCGATCGACTCAAAGTCTGGTGAAGATTAAATTTCTTTTGAGACGAAGAAGCACCGTCGGTTCGTTTGGGCGTCGAAGGTTCCGTCGAGTTCGATCCAAGTGCCGAATCCAAAGTCTCCGGAAACTCGGAGCTGGGCATTGAGGGTGGAGACGACGACAACAAAGTCGGCAGCGGTATCGGTGGGCTCACAGGTAATGCTCTGGGACTTCTTGTCTGCATGCTGGGTGCCGCATACGCATCATCATCATGCTCATGCGACCTGTCGAAGGCAGTAGATGGCGACGATGAACGCTTCCATGCCTGAGGATCGTGGTTCGCCTTGCCCTCCTTATGTTTGAGTCTCGGGTGAGGGTCGTTCCCATCGTGTTGCTCGCTGTTGCCAATGGTGCTGTTCCGGTTAGTGGTCAAAGACGAAGACGAAGACGAGGGCGGCGAATCTGGACCTGGGACATTGACGCTCCTAGGTCCTGCGGACGCCATGCCGAACCCCGAATCTTCGAATGCAGCCACCTCCTCGGGCTTAGCTCCTGCGGGCGATTCTTCTAGGGAGGCAATGACAAGGCAGGCCATGGCTCTTGAGCAGTGCCTGCACCATTTATCGGTCCTAGATCCTGTTCTTGGTGTCACAGGCGACGCGGAGCCCGTCGATTGTCTCTTCGAAGGCGAAGGTGAAGACGAAGCCGGAGCCGGAGCAAAATTGGATGACGGAGCGTCGTCGTCGTGGGGCGAGATCGACCGCCCAAGTTCTGCACTCTGTCGCTCCACCAAGTCGAGGCTAGCACGGGTCCGTCGATGATGTGCATGTCCCGCATGAGCACAGGGCCCTCCAAACATGACCTCTCCCAGTTTCGCGAGCCATTTCGCGCCCACCATAGACGCCATCGCGGCCTCAGAGTTGGGAGTCGAGGAGACTTTTGCTCTCGATCCGGAAGCGCGGGCGCAGAAGGTGGCGAGGGCGAGGAGAGAATGTGTGGCCGGGGTGGTGGGGTGGCGACGGTTGTGGAGGACGCTGTTTCCGATGTGAAAGTCCTTTGTCAAGTACACCTGTGCCGCTGTCGAACCTCCCCCTTCTCCTTCTCCTCCTCCTCTACCGTCATTTCCTGATCTTGGCGGTGTAGAAGTAGAGGGTTGCTTTTCGCCTTCAGTGTGGACGCGTTCGCTGGTGAGGGGATCCGCGAAACCGAGACGAGTCCGTTTCATGACATAGATGGTCAGACGGACGATCTCTTGACTACTGAGCGGAGCCAGGTCCTGGGGGCTCAGGTTCTTGAACGCAGTGGTCGTTGACGAGAACGGGAACTTTGTTCGTGTGGTCGTCGAGGACGGGGAGGACGATACGGATGTGGCGGCGGTGGAGGAGGAGGACTTTTGGAGGATAGTGCCGAAGGACTGTTGGATGGAGCGGGTCCTTGGCTGGGCGAGTGTTATTGGGTCTGAGCTTCCCATTCGAGCAACGTTTTACTTTCGGTTTAGTTTTCGGTTTTGAAGCAGCCAAAAAAAAAAAAAAAAAAAAAAATAGAAAGGAAATGATGTCGGAATTACTTGCCTCGCTGGGTGAGTGCTTGGGCAGACATAGCCAAGAGTTGGTCAGCGACGTCCTCGGGTATCTCTACCAAAAGCAATTGATCCATCGGTTCATAAAAATATTTAAAAAAAAAGTGCTTTTACATTGGAAGCAAACAACAAAGGCTTTTTTTTTTGTCGTCAAGACAAGGAAGGCCGCTTTTTTTTTTTTTTATCACCAAAGTGCGGACATTTTCCTTTACCTGACATACCTCGTTTCTGTCGCTGCATTAGGTATTGACGCAGCCATAACGGGAGCAGATAGTTCATGGCTAGATGAAAGGAAGGGAAGGGATAGAGCTGTGGCCTTGATGAACGGAGGATGTAGTATAGTAATGGTAGGTTATGAGATTAGAAATATAGATAGAGGAAGAAAAAAAAAAAAGGAGGGAGAGGTGGAGGAAAGAGAATCGTCTGTTGGCGGGAAGAAGGGCTCTTTGGGTATGTCACCGGCCAGGCTGCAGGAAGGTTACCCAATTGGATCTGATCCATTTTTCTTTTCTTTTTTTGGTGGTCAGAACGCGTCCCTCTTACTGCCCAGTCTTTTTTTTTCATAGGAAATTAAAACAGACATGTTGTCCATAGACATTTTTTGTGCAACAGTATGTGAATACAAAAAGACACACAAAGGCACAAGATCTTTTATTCCATGTATCCGACTTGGATACCATTTCATGTTACTAATCTACTAATCTATGGTAAAAGTAAAGTACGCTCGCTCTAGGAAAAACATGTCGCGTAGGTACCACCATCCTGCCACAGAGTATGCTCTCCCAGGCGCGATCGCCAGAATTCGACCCACGTACTGCTTACCAACGTCAGGATCTCGCTTGACTCATTCATCGCAGAGAGAACTTTGTCGCGAACTAAAAAAAAAAGGAAAAAAAAGTTTTGTTGGCGATATCATCGCCCACCACCGCTACGCTTGTTTTCCAGAGATTGCCTAGTGCCATAGCCACAACGCAGACCATAACTCATTTTACGCGACTGTCTTGAAAGCGGATAAATCACCTACGCTCGAACCACATCGCCCCATCATAATTTTCGATAGTACATACTTTTTTCTTCAACGGTCGGAATCTGCATGCCCCAGATCAAAAGCGGGCTTTGCCCTTGTTGCAGGAACAGAGATGCGTGGCTTCACCCCCTTTCCTTCCCTTTTGTTTTTTCTCTCTCTATCTCTCTCTCTCTCCCTGCCGTGCCTGCCTTGGCGCACACAGCAATGCGATAATGCAATGCAAGGACCACAACGGGCGATGAACAAAAACACAACGGACAATAAAACGACGTTGCGGATATGCAAGTAGATTCTATACAGAAAAAATAAATAAAGAGTTTCTCTTTTACATGGAGTTGGAGACTATGCTGCCGACTGAATGTTTATCTGCGCCCAAAAGCAAACAACCGCTTTGTTTTTTTTTTTCTATTTCCTGACCGACCGGCCCTCCTTTGGTGGCTCGATTCCTGCAAAAAAATGAAGATCGCGTGGCAAGAACAAACAACTATGCAAGGAAGAGAGATGTCCCTTCCTCACCCCTCGACGCTCTCTTCCCTTCGACGCTCTTCTTCCCCCCCCCTGACTTTGTGCAGCACAGTTCTCTCCATCTCATTTCCACCCTGTAGGATGAATGAAAAGAATAAACGTTGAGCAGGACAAAATGAAAAAAAGCGAGGAGTGGGAAATGCTTCAGAGAGGCCCGGGTCATTGAGAAAGCGGTCGTTGCATGAAAACAGGGAGACATAGAGAGCGAAAAGACAGATTGGGAAAAGAGAAGGGGGTCCAGTAGTGGTGGCGGAGGGGGGGGGACCATGTCTCTTTTTACAGGGGTGTAAAGTCCAGGCATCAAACGGCCCCTCCCAATTGAATGACGACGAGGCCTGTAACGTTTTCAATTTTTTTTCATTGGGCCCCATCAAAGCCAAGTTCTCCTCGACGGTACGCGTAAACGGATCCGGCCTCGGTTGTAAACGTGGGCTTAGAGTCTTTTTTTTGGTCAGACGTAATTGAATCGTAACAAATTGCCGGAGGAGGAGGATCCAGCGTCTCGCTGAAACGATAAAAAAAATAATTTCCCATCGCGTTCATTCAGGAGCCTGAGTGTGTATGTAATACGCGTAAGTAGACTGATGCATGATTTACAGATCGTGTATAGTCTATAGAGTCTACGCATGTATCGCGTTTGGGATGAGCGGACATGACGCGAACAGCGAGCTGGAAGAATAATCAATAGAAGTAATAGTCTAGTAAGTGATTTTGCAATCCCTAACGTTGAACAGCGCGTTTTGAATTTGATACTCCCTTCCCCCCCCCCCCTATCCCTTTTGTGATCATGATATGGAGTCATCTCCGCGTTTTTCCCTGTTCGTCAATAATGGCGTACTGTACGTACACAATTGATGCCCCGAAGCCAGACTGCAGATTGAGTTTCCTTGCAATCAAAGCAGGTCCCAGTTTGCTCGGATATGGTTGCGTTTTTTTTTCAATTCATGCGGAGGAGAGAGCCAGCAGGGAAGGAGGGTCCGCAATCGGCGCTGCATGTGTGGATGGATAGCGATGCAATGCGCCCGTTTCTCGTCTTTCTTCGAGTTGCTTAAAGTGTGTGCTCTATGTTTGTTTTTTTTTTTTCGCCAGCTTGATTGCTTGGTTGGTTGGTTGCTTGATGGAATACCTGACCAGAACTACATCGCGTCTTTGTTGTGGTGTTGCAGAGGCTGCTCGATTAGAGGATGTCGTGGTGGGTAAAAAAAAAAGGTGGGTGCGAGCACGGGACGTTGACGTTGCATGTCGTGTTACCGTACCGTTGGTCATGGTCTATGGCCCAATGGGCCAATGGTCATGGGGTCGTCCTCCTCGGTCGCAGCAGAATAGAGTCTCGACCTGCTTTTGTTTGATCCGGGCGCCGGAGCAAAATAATAAAAGGTTTGCCGTATGTTTGAATACAATAAAGTATTGTAGCCAAAGTCTATGTACACCTGTGTCATCTTTGATTGAAACGCATCTCAATCAAACGACAATTTAAAAGTACTTTAAACCAGAATGAAGGGCAAGTTGGGCTGTGTCACCCAATAAAACGGGGTCTATTGGATTGCGGGTTTGTGTTTGTTTGAGCTCTTTCTCGCCCTCCCGCGGCTCTCCGGGAGCCCCTTATTTGTTTCAGGAGGTATCATTTTGCATCTCATCATATGTCTGCATACATACACCGAGAGCACCCCCACTGCTCTTCTTCTCTTTCTCTCTCACACCATCGCTTCCATCGCTTCTATCGCCCTCAACCCCTATGCCATCATGTCTTGATGCCGTGGGACCACTGTCGGCAACAGAGACAGCGAGGAACTATGATGACAGAGGAAAAAGAGGAGTGGAAAACGCATCAAGGCGGGTGCTGATTCGCGATGTCTCTGATTGATATCGGAGGTCTAAGGGGACCATACACCACAACCATGTCTGAATCGTACTCCCTGATCACCCGTCCATTTTGACAAGGGGGGCTCGCTCCCTGTTAGAAGATGTGGACCCAGCCGACCGACAGGCTGGCACATCTTGTCTGAATGCATCGGATCAAAAAAAAAAAAAAAAAATTGGGCCTCGTTTCTGCGTTGCATTGGCTGTTCGCATGGGCGTTTCGATTGGGAAGATATGCTTTAGCATGTGTGCAAAATGGTATATTAGCCTATAATGTACAACACCTTGTGCCAACATGCTTCAATGCTTCGAGGATGACTTTGGGGAAACTGTAGCCAAAGGCTCTTTTCCTCTGTAGGGGTGCGTATCTGTCGATACAACAACAACTCTCATTCTCATACGCTCTCTCGTTCTACCTCCTTCCTACTCTAAATGAGTTTCGAGATCTGTGGAAAGATACGACGGATGTGCTGGCGTGTGATTGCGGATTGCCTAGTTTTGTAGACAGATAGCGTCGTAGTTTAGCCATTCTGCCGCAGAAAGGGTGTATCGGTAGAGCAAAGTATTGTTTTCAGAGCTATGAGGCAATGGATGCGACCGCTGCCTTCCATCATTGTCCTGAGCATATAGGCAGACAGACCGAGCTTGTGGTGAATGAATCAAAGGACAGCAATTGTACTCTACATGTACCAAGAGAGCTGTTTAGCGATCCGTCATATCAAACAAGAGAGCTATTAGAAAAGAAATAAAGAAAGTACATACTGCATGCCATGGATCTGACCAGAGGGTTCATTTCCTGATCGTTTGTTTTCTCCACGTCCCTGCCCAAAAGTATGAGGACCAACTGTGCAACCCTCGTTTATTCTATAGGCGTCTGTGTTTAAGTATTAAAGGAAAACTCTATTGGAAAGAATAAGACGAGAAAAAAAGGGAAAAAAAAGAAAGTCAGGCTAGCTGTTCATGCCTTGTACTTGTATACCCTTTTCGCAACGGGCATCAACAAACAACAGTGCGGTATACAGTACATGGGTCACATATCTTTTTGAAGTCCTTCCGCTGGCAGAACACAGGGTAGCTCTGTTGATGTTATTCGTATTAGGGGTGACAGAGATACATCGACTTTGCTGCTTTGTTCACGGTATCTCCTCCGGAGTGTGTGCGCGGTGTGGAATAATAGGGGGGAGAGAGGTATCGGTGCCTGGATACGTCCGTTGAAACACTGCCCACTTTAACCCGCGACTGGGCTCCACCACCATTCTAAATCACCCTGATGGGAAGACGGACAGAGAACGGTCGCAGCAGGATCGATCACCGTCTTCGAAAGCCATGTCAGCGGAGGATTGGACTGGGACGACGACGGTGACGAGAGGAGGTTCGTCGTTGCATTGTCCCATTGTCTGTCATGCTGCTTGCCCCTGGATTCGAATTTTTTTTTTCTCCGTCTATACCGTTCGTTTTCATTCATAAGCAAAGAAGAGACTCAAACAGAAGAGATCGAACACAAACACGATCGAAATCCTTTCCTCCGAGTCCCAGTGATGTCGAGCGTCCCTGTTAGAAGAAAAAGGAGGGAAAGAGGGAGAGTCAGCATCCGATGTCTTGTTTTGGCCAAGGGTCCTTGGATGGATGGCCGGGCGCTCCAGGGACTTTTTTTATTTTATTTTTGCTTGGCAGCGGCAAGCGTTTTGGCGAAGGAGACGGGTCGATCCCTCTTATCCTCTGCAGCAGTTGCGATGGCCTTGCGGGACAGAGATTTGATGCTTCTTTGTTTTCCGTATTACGTACTGAGAAGATGAGAAGTAAGTACATGTACATGTCGCTGGACTGGGATGCCCTACTGACTGGCTGACCTTTCTGGCAGGGGTGAGGGCTGGCTGGCTGGGGGCTGCTCAGGTCCGCATGGTATGGTCCGCCCTGTTCCTTTGGCCTTTGGGGGTTCCGTCTGTCGCTCTTTATTTTTATCTCCTCTCTGCCCGCGGCAGACCACCAAAGTGCCCTTTCTCTCTCTCTTTCTTTCTTCTCTCCTTCTTTCTCTCTTTCTTGTTTTCCCTCGTTCCTTCATCCAGACTCATCAACGACCCGCTCATTCATTCACTTTACATCCCTAACCCCATAACCCCATAACCCCATAACAAAAACGTCGTTGCAGGCCCTTTTCCCCTCGCCTCCTCACCTCACACTTCAGTCACACTCGACATACCCCACACCTTCCTGGCGGCCTCTCTCGCTCCCTCTCCCCTTCAAAAAAAAAATAAAAAAGCGCGCCTTCGAAAGATATCTCCTCCTCTCCTGCTTGCCACCCCTTCCGCCCCTTGCGAACCTCCTTTGCCACGCTCCATTCCTAGAACCCAAACCCCGGCCCTTGTTCTCTTTCCCTTCCTGTGCTCTCCCCCTCGCCACGTTCATCTGCTTATCTCTGCTCATTAAGATTTCCACCAGACCGTTGAACGAGCCTTGCCACCCTTTTTTATTTACCTTCCCTCTGTCCTTTTACTTCTCTGCCGGTTGTTGATCAATCCCAAGGCAAAAGCACACCCGTATAATGTAAGTCGAGCTGTTATCCCAATCCTCTGTGCCTGCAATTGCCCGTTGGGCCCCCCAGTTGTTGACAATGAAGCGCCTACCAGGGTCGTGGATCCCATCTCGTTATCGGGCACTGACTGGGACCTTGAACCCATCCACCCGTCCAGCCAATGACACAGTCGGCCACCAAAAAAAAAAAAAAAAAAAAAAAAAAAGCAAAAGCAAAAACCTTAAATGTCCTAGTACAATCCCCCTTTTCCTGGTCCGCACCCCCAATCCCTCTCTTTTGGACCGAGTGCACCGCCTCGGTTTGTTTTTACAGAGGTGAAGAGAGAATGAAGGGGGGAGGACGAACCCATAGGAAGGGCTGTCGTAAAAAAAAAAGGGAAACGTGCTTTTTTCTGGTTTGATTCCTCATCTCATCATCTTTCTCCGCTCTTTCCGCTTGACTTTGTTCATTCCTCATCAGCTCCTCCTTCCCTCTCTCCCTCCCTCGTCTCTCCCTTATCTTCTTTTTATCCCTCGCATCCCTTCCCCCCCACCCCCACCCTCCCCCCTCCTCCTCCCTCCCCCTCCCCTCCCGCGGCTGTCTGTCTCCCCGCCAGTGTTCACATTTTCTTGCTTTGTGCTTTTTCTGCGAGGTATATTATTAGACACAGATTTTGCACACATCCGCAGAGACCATTGGTTCTTGTCGCAGTTCCTTCCCCCATTGGCCTGCAGTTCTATTTTGGCCCTCTTCTTCTTCCCCTTGGAGACCCACAAAAAGGGAAAAAACACTTTCTACGACCACTACCACCACTACCACCAGCAAATTGTCGTCCTTTCACCAGTGGGGAAAGACCGCGACAAAGCGCAGATATTTCTGTACTGTGTCAATCCATTTGCCTCTATTTTCCTGCCACGGCTGTTGTGCCTGAAAGAAGGATAGGGAGGAGGAGAGAGAGAGAGAGAGAGAGGCGAGATGTTTTTTGATTCATCTTTTCACTCTCCCTCTTTCTCACCCTTGTTTGAGAACAGATTATGGATTCAGTGGGGGGGGGGGGGGGTCTACTTGAACGCACACTTTTCATGTCATCCTCCCCCCCGTTCTCCTTCTCTTCCCCCTCTTCTCACCCTCCACCGCCCTCCACCGCCTCAGGGAAAGGTGTGCGACGGACTATTTCGCTGACTCGATTAGCGACACATCATCCCGCCCCGACTGTATATCCCACTTCAGTGGCTGCAGCCACCTTTTGTGTCCTTGTGGCCGACCCTTCCCTATCTGGTCTTTATCTTTTGTCGATTGTCTTTATCTTCCTTGACGCGTCCATCGGTTCTCGCCCCGTCCTACACCCATCCTGCTTCTTCTCGCCTGTTTCGTCTTTAAGAATAATGTACGCTGTCTTCCTTGACCTGCTGGCTGTTAAGAAACCAAGAGGTGCTAATCCGCGTGGTGTTTCTTCTCACCCTTTCTTTCTCCTTTAGTATCGAGACCCCACCAGGTTGTACACGCTTCCGTTAGTTGGCCCATTTCTCTCTATCTCTCTTTCGATAAGACGACTTCATGAACCCGTATGAAGGTGGAGTAAAGGACTTGAAGCAATCACAGCCACAGCATCCATCTGCCGCGTCATTTCAGTCTAAGCAAGATCCGTACCAGAGCCAGATCCAGATCGTCAAGCAGCGTCTACAGGCTCAATTGACCCAATCCTCTGCCTACATCAACAGTAACGCCAGCAGTAATCCTGCCTATCCACAGCAAGGCACCAACATGCTCACTTTCAATCAGCAGCCTCAGCAACATCATCTCTCCAACCAGTATACTCAGCGTTTGCCCCCTGGCCCGGCTATAAAGAAACCCGAGCTCCTTCTTCAGTCTTCCACACTCCTTGCCGATAATAACAGCAATAGCAACATCAGCAATTCTCAAATGCACGCCGGGCAACAGCAACAACAGCAGCAACAACTTCTTATTCAGCAGCAGATGCAACATAAGCAACAGCAACAGCAGCAACAACAACAACATCAGCAGCAACAACAAGCACAGCATCATCATCAACAGCATCATCTTCACCAACAGCATCAATACCAGCAGCAGCAACAGCAGCAGCAACAACAACAACAGCAGCGTCAGTTCGGCAACTTTGAGACCCCAAGCCCGCCAACACCCTCACCCTCACCAGGCAACCACCCAACGGTCCTTATACCTCACCCCAAGTTGCATCAACTCGACATGTCTCAAAATTCTCCCAGCGGCGATCCAGCCTCCTCACCCTCTTTATCTGCATCCTCGCCCACAAGTACGACCTCCAAGAAGCGCACACGAGCCTCTGTTGAGCAATTGGCCATCCTTGAGGACACTTTTTTGACGAACCAGTCGCCCAACTCCAAAGTACGCGAAATCCTCGCCAAGAAGGTCAAGATGTCGGAGCGTTCCATTCAGATCTGGTTTCAGAACAGGAGAGCAAAGGTGAAGCAGGCTCTGAAGAGGTCAGAGCTCGTTCAGCAGGAGGCCATAAAGGCTCAGTATCTTAGCAACTGCGCTGCTGCCGGCATCACGCCGCAACCGCTCTATGGCTTTGGAGCATCAGCTGCAGCTGCAGCGGGCGCAAAGGCCTTTCCCATGGCAGGCCATCTCCATCCTAATGCACTGGCGCGTACGCCGCTCTCGCGAACAAACAGTTACGATGCCGCTCGCTCAACAGCAGCAGCGCAGGCGCGGTTTGCTCAGACGGGTTTGGGCATCAATGTGCCTGGGGCAGCCCACCCAGCGCTGTGGGGTGCACAGGGACCTTATGGAATGCCACCTCAGGCCCACCCCGGCTTTGCGTTCCGTCCTAATGTTCCTCAAGCCATGGCCGCTGCCCGTGGCATCAAGCGATCTTTCGGTAATGCAACGCTTGTTGGTTCATCTCCCTCAATGAGGCTGATTTCTGGATTTTTCTAACGTTCTTTTTTTCTATTCGGCTCCTGCTTCAGATGGTGTCAATGGTCCACTTGCTCCCGGTGCTGTTCCAAAGCCGCTTCACTTTCCCGTTGCTCTTGGTGCAGATGGGTTGACAGAAGGCGTGGCATCAGCAGACATGATGTTTGCGGCCAACATGGTGCCAGGCGCATCCCAGATCCCCACGATGCCGACCTTCAACTGTGACAACCTCGCGATCGGAACCTGGAGGAGAATGTCGACGTCAAACACGGATCTAAGCTGCTTCTACTGTCCCACGACGAGGATCATGACCTGGCAGATCATTGACCATGCGGCGCGCTTCAAGATGACTTTCCCCCTGAGCAGTATCTCGCGCATTGAGCATTACGAGGTTGACCCAATGTACTCACAGGTTGACTTTGACCTGCTTGAAACACCCCAGTTCTTCATGGAGACCGTCTCGGAGGACAACCAGCGAGATTGGAAGAAGTGTAGCGACTTTACAGAGGGCAAGCAGGCAACCTTGGTGATGAAACACACCATCCACGGAATTTCCTCGGCTCTGAAGATGCAGGTCATGAGTCTGACGATCGCCTATCCTCCGTTGCAGGCCATCACCCATTACCGCGAGACTCAGTTCCCGACGCAGTTCCACGCCTACACTGCCCCGATTCCCCAGATCTCTCAGTTCCTGGACCCCTCGCAGTACGACCGACGATTTGCCAACCCTATGACTGCCGGCGGCTATCTCTTGCACGATGGGCTCGACTCTGGCGAGGGATCTGATCTTGGAGAGGATTTCTATGATGGTTCTGGAGCCTTTGGAACACAGTTCAGCTCAACAACGAGCGCACTGTTGGACATGGGAGCTGATGGCACTCAGCAGCCAAGGCTGAAGTCACGGCGGACGGCAAGCATGCCCGCACCGGTGATCAACAACTTTATGTCCACAGGCCTGAACTCCATCCCATACCACGCATCGCCCCTGGGAATGTATTCAACCACGGGCAATCACCTGGAGGCGTCGACTAGCGCAGCAGGGCTCATGGCCGGTTCAGCAGCGGCTACATCCGCAGCGACAGCAGCAGCTGTGGCAGCAGCAGCAACCTCTGCCACCACCAATGTCTCAGGCGATGCACAATCTATGGCTTCTGCCTCTTCAGCAGCATTGGCCCCATCTGCCTCGACGACGCCTGCCATCCCAGCACCGACAACATCGGGCGCTGACCCATCCACGATTGGCGTCTCGACTCCATTGGAGACACCGATTACTAGCGCGACTATCATGGCGTCCTCGATAACGACGCCGACAGCAGTTAGCGGAACCCTTGCACCCTCGATGATTGCAACAGCGACGACGATGCCCAAGGTGACCATCACGACATTAAGTGAGTCGGCAGAAAACGGCGGCGCTAGCACAGAATCGACTACTGTTGTCCATGGCGAGAACGAGCAGGACAAAGGCAAGAAGGAATCACAACAGGAGGAGCAGGAGGAGTCCAGGCAGAGCGAGAACCCCATGGGTTTGACCTCGCAGTTCAACGAGTTCTTGGCGCAGGCTGTAGTTTCGACACCTGCACCGATGTCGGCCTCCTTCCTTTCGCCGGGTTTCCCTCCAGGCATGATGTATGCTGGCCATGGTCACCCACAGGCATTCCAGCTTGGATCATTGGACGATGGCTCCGACAGCGGATACGAATTCAATGGATACTATGGCATGATGCCCGAGCAGGCCTCGTTTGTGTCCATGAGCGATCTGGAAGGGAGCACCGGCCAGCAGACGGACGGTGAAGAAAGTTCATACGGCTATTAAGTCTCTTTTGCCAGCCTAGGTTTTGTTTTCTCCTGCTGCCTGTTGTTCATTGTTCTTTTCTGTGTGTACCATCAACACCGACCTGTTCTATTAGCCATGCCCTTGATTTCTCTTTTTTTTTTTTGTATGGTGCCCTTCCTCTTGTATAGTCTCCATCCTCCCCCCTTTCCTTCTCCAACCCTTTCCGCCTAACTTATCTCGACCTCGTCTTCCTTTACGCATGAACCCTCCCCACAGTCCTTCTTCGGACTCGATCTGTTATGTTTTGTTGTTTTTGTTATTTTACTGTTCTCCTAGCATATGTATTTCATTTTCGTTTTTGAAGTGAAAAAAAAAAAGAAAGAAAAAGAAAAAAAAAAAGAGACATGCCCATGCTAGACCTCTCTCTTGCACTCGACCCACCTCACCATGGATATCCTCCACACATGCATACCAGTACGACAAGTATAAATAAGTAAATAAATAAAAGAGTATTTAATATATACAATAATGTTTATGTATGTCTGACACCATTGGGCTGGATGTTGTTGTTGGGGGGAGGAGAGTTCGTACTTTACAGCGCAGAAGACCCAGCGAAGCGCGGATCAGGATACCTACCTGACAAATCGCGCGATACCGTCGTCGTCACTGCAGCCGTAGAACGCTCCACAACTTTTTTTTTTTTTTTTTTTCTTGTGCTCGCACTTTGCGAATCGCATTCTCGCATTCCCTTCTCTTTTTTTCCACAACTTGACCCATCCCTCCGAAGCGTCCTGTCCTCATCACCAACAAAAAACTGCGCTTCTCTTGCTGAACATATTCCTCCTTGAGTCTCCTTTAGTCCTTCGCTCTCTTTTCTGTTCTCTTTTCTGTATTCTCACACATTCGTTTTTTTTGGTATCATGTCCAACAACACACTGCCGACCCTCCCAGACGACTGTGTCTTTGATGTGCTCCAATACCTGTCTGCTCATGGTAACTCTAGTCGTTGCAGGCCATTCCTCTCTGACTAACAGGCAGGCTGAGCGGCCTTATCTCATTACCTCGTGTCATCTCCATATCCCCGATAGATCTCGCAAGAGCATCCTGCACCTGTACTGCATGGCACCGCCTGTCCGAAAAGAACAGTCTGTGGCAGCGTCTCTGCCTCGAACGCTGGCGGACGTGGCCTTCACCTCCACCATCCAAATCATACTATGGCTCAGCGAGCCACAGCAATAACCACCAGGACGACCCTCGACTTGCAGGAAGCCCGGATACAGGAATGCCTTACCTGCCTGAATCCCTACCTGATCTGCGTGCGCCTCGACAATGGTATTCTGTCCCACATCCACCGTACGACATGGCCTCTTGGAAGGAGGTCTACCGGGAAAGAGACCAGAAGGATGAGATAGTGAGGATGTTGCTCGACGAGATGATCGAGGATTCTAGAAACAGGATGCGTCATATGGACGGGATCGCAGATATCGGCATGGTTCATGCGCGTGATGTCCTTGAGAACATCATTGCGGGACAGAACGGGGAGCAGAGGGACTTGACTCGAGTGTACTACGCCCGAAAGACGCTCAAGAGGCTGCAGAGAGGATGGGTGCTCGAGCAGTGGCGCGCCTATCGACTGAACCAGCTGAACTTTCCGATTTGGCAGGGGTGCGCACTTATGGCCATGTTCTCGAACCACATGATGGAGCTTTCGGATATTGATCGGCAGTTCCAGGATTTGGCGGACGAGTTCCTTGTCAAGTCGCCTTTGCAGAACGAAGACAATGTCTCCAGCAGTGCCTCGCCCATTTTTCCCACAGCCAACCACTTTGACCGGTACAGCCCAGGGTCCTTTTCCACATCTGACTCTGGAATGGCACTGCCATCGTCTCTGGGCAGCTCAAAGAGACGGTCAGCAGCATCTCCTGATTTGCATCAGGAAGGCGGTAAAGCGGAGACGTGGAGTGAGGACAAGTATGTGAGATATTACGAGGCACAGACGGATCGACTCCGGCATCTGATCCAATTTTTCACGCAGGAGAAGGGCTTCAAGGGCAACACCGAGAATTACTATGATCCGTTCAACAGTTTTATCGACAAGGTGTTGGCGCGCAAGGTGGGGATTCCGATTTCGCTTTCAATTGTGTTTGCGGAACTGGCGCAGCGCGTCGGTCTCCATGGAGTGGAGCTCATGGGCTTTCCGCAGCACTTCATGATCCGCTATCGCCCTACCGCACCGAGCTATGTTCGGCCCTCAAGCCCATCGTCTACACCAGGGGAATTGTCTTTAGCGAAGCCGGTGCCACCGCCGACGTATTATCTGGATCTGTTCCATCCACCGCATCGGTTGATGTCAACGGAGGAATACGAGGATTATTTCTCTAATTTGAGTATACCTCGACCGGCGACCGTGTACAGGGAGCTGCCGACGCCACCGCTGGAAATCTTTTTACGATGTTTGCGAAACATTATCCTGGCAGTTGAGCAAACTGGAGGCGCCGGAAGGTATGTTGCAAAGGAAGTTGTTGTTGTTTTTCTTCTACTGTTGTTCTTGTAGTGCCTATTAGGCTGCTCACCCGTAATACTTTATATATCATTTTATAGGATAGGATCTGATCATCAGACAAGTCTTTATGCCGGCATCACACAGCTCCTTACCTTGCACCCAAGCGAAGAGTACGTGTTATCCTCGTATTGTTATTTGCATAGAATAGATTATGTATGTACTATGGTTTGCACTTTGTATACTAATATATACATGCATATTCTTCACATTTTCCTTTTTGCCTAGATGGAGTCTTTACGTTCTGTGGCTCAAGTATCTGAGTAACTTTTGGCCCGAGGATGTTGGGTTCATTAGGACGGCGATCGAGGATATGAGAGTGATCGACCATCGCCGGTTCGTCGCCAGGGACCATATGTCGTCGTCGTCGTCGTCGTCTTCATCATCGCCATATCGCCTCACGACCGTGGGACCAACGGCTTATTTCGCATCTTCCACGCACGAGACCATCAAGATCATGCGGTCCCAGGTGTTGGAGTTGGAGATGGCGGACGAGATTGGGGACGTGGGGCAGATTCGCAGACGGAGAAGGCCTAAAGCAACAACGACCCTTACGGAATCAGCGCCAGCGCGATCGCTCTTTCTTGCCTCAGAGGGGCATGCTGTGCACTCGCACGATTTCCAGAGTATTTCGCATCCGGGGTTGTCGACTGCGAATGAGCGGGCTGTGGGACAGAGTTCGGTGCAGGGTCCGCTATCGTCCTCACCGACGATCGATGGCCAGTCGTCCTATGCGCATCATCAGTGGGCGCGACAGAGCTCGATCTCTGGAGAACAGCAGAGTGGTTCGCGTGGGGCCGTGGCCGGGAATACGGATGGACAGAGAATCGAGAGGCCGATCCGTGTGGGTGCTGCGTTCGGGGGCGAGGAGAGGCGGCGGCCTGAGCCGGAGTACTATGTGGGCGAGGTGTTTCGGCATCTGATCTATCGCTACACGGGTGCTATTTACGGCTACGATTTGAGTAAGAGATCCATTGTCTGTTTCCTTTTATTATTTATTTATTACTTTTGGGATGTTCTTGTGGAAATTTTATTGAGTTTGCTACGTTATCTATTTATTTTTCTTTTTTTTTATCATTTATTATTTATTATTTATTTTTATTTTTTCATTTTTTTCGTCTTCTATAGAATGTGAGGCAGGAGAAGGATGGATACAATCGATGGGGATTGACTCGCTCGTCTATGGAAGACATCAACCGTTTTACAATGCACTTTTAAGTGATGGTTCAAAACGATATGTGGCCCAGGAAAACATCCAGGTCCTCTTTCGCGATTTCAGAAAACCAGCAGCAGCAGATGCGGATCCAATTCCTTCCCAGTCCCAAGAGACCCAGGAGACCCGGATCGACTTTGGATCAAGTCCAACTGCAGTCCCAATAGGATCTTCAGCACCCACTTCAGCAGCCATAGCATCAACATCGCCAGTAGCGTCAATGTCAACGTCAACATCAACGACCGCAGGGGCCAACGTACCGGCTGGGACTGCAGACACTCTGCTCCCAGGAAGCCCTTCGTTCAACCTTCGGTTCTCAGAGCTGGGGCCGTTGGGGATTGAGACTGTTGGACAGTATTTCGAAGCATGGGATGGAGTCCATGGTCACTATGTCCTGAATAAGGAGCTGCGCAAGGTCTACCCGACAGAAGACTATCTATAATAATAATTATTATTATAATAATAGCGAACCCCTCCCCCCAGCGACCAAAGCACAACATTGCTCCGATCGAGGATCTTCATTTGCCGAACAAAAAGAGACTTTTTGATTTTTTAATGCAAGGGGAGTGTACATACACGGGAATTTATGCCAAATGACTCTATGGATATGTTTGTTGCTCAATTTGAAGCGGACGAGGACGAGGACGAGGAAGAGGAAGAAGAAGAAGCAACGGGTGAGAGCACAGAGGCCGGGAGGGTGGCAGCGACCTTCTCGAGAAGCTGTGCCTCTTCCTTGGCAAGTTCCTCGAGCTCCTGAGGGGTCTGGAGGCCCCTGGTCTCCTTGCGCAGCTCGTAGAGCTGTCCGAGCTGCTGATCTGTCATCTTATCGAGAAGCGCCGGGTTGAGCTTCTTGCCAAAGAGTTGGCCCTGGGCGACTAGGCGCTGGAGAGTGGATTCACGGGCTGATTCGGCGGAGGATACTGAGGTGGGGTGTGCTGAGGGTGCTGTTGCTGCTGCTGCTGCTGGAGATGATGTTTGAGTATGAGTAGTATGAGAGTGGCTCTGGTTCTGGTGCTGGTCCTGTTGGGAGTTGGGGGAGGCGGAAATGATGTGGTCGAGATATTCCTGCCACTGCTCGAGGAAGCCGACGATGTAGAGGGGGTTGTCGACGTCCTTGTGGCGGTGGAATTCTGCCTTGACGTAGCCGTCGCCGAGGATTCGGAATTGTGGGGGGAGATGGACTCGGTGGGCACGGAGGATCTGTCGGTAGAGCTGGAGGGGCGGGATGAGCGCCTTTTGGGGGGACATGCTGATTCTTTTTGTGCGGAGAAGGGATCGGATGGAAGGAGGAAGGAGGAAGGAAGGAACCGTACATTGGAAGGGGGGTGTGGAGGGAGGGCCTTTCGGAGGTTATGGATGCCACGTGATGGACTTTGCCCCCCCGGGGCGGTGCAGCCACGCACATGCCCCTGTCCTGGCTGGTAAAGTCGCGGCCAAGCACCCACCCGCTCTCTGGAAGTGTTTGTTAGGAAGGGAATGGAGGAATGAAGAGTGAATGTTCATGGCTGGCTTTATGATGCATCCCCTTCCGGCTCGGTGGATGCGAAGACGGAGTGGACTCGAGTGGAATGGTGCTCACAGGCTGGCTGCGAGATAAAAAAAATTGGTGGCAAAAGAGATACGATGTGTTTGCCGAGGGGTCAAACGATGTGGATGGGGGTGGAGGAGTGATAAAATAAAGCAATAGGACCATCATATCATGCTCTCTCTTTTTTTCCCTTCTTTCCTCTCCCCATCTTCACCCATCCTGCCACTCATCTATCCTTCTTCTCTCCGCACTTGGTACCTTGTCGTAGTATTCTTGAGCACCCTTGCTGGTGAATGGCTTTAGGATGGGCATTCACAAGAGTAAGATATAATACACGCAAAAGGTGAATGTGGGGGACGTGAAGGGGAAGAAACGAGATACTCGCTAACACCTTCCTCTTGACTTGTATGTAGACCTCTTCAACGACCCGGAACACATCCCTGCCGAGTTGATATGTTCATTATGTTCCCATATCCTCTTTCAACCCTACCAGGTCCTATGCAACTAAGGTAAGTTTGCTCCATTTCCCACTGCAGGTGATACTTTACTGGCCATGATCACTAACGAAGCCTCTGCTTTCTGATTTCAATACTAAATAGACCATATCTTTTGCAAGGCTTGCTTGGACAGCTACATTGAAGAGTGCTCCGGTGGATTAGAGCGACCAGAGACACTTCAACCCGACAATGACTCTGTCAGGGAATCAACGGCAGCGGCAGGAGGCCGTCCACAAGCGAATTTGCACACGCAAGACACTGAACGGTCCTCGCGCATGGGTTTGTCCTATGAAGACATCGCTCTCGAATGTCCTGAGTGCAACCGAAGCCAAGACCCATCCTCACCCCTTCAATTATGCGCTGTCCGACCAGCCAAGTTTGTCGAAGTAGGTCTTTAAGAAAAGATTTCTCAGGGTACTGTCTTGGCTCGTTTGCACCTTCCAATAGTATTGACAACTCTGTATACCTACGCCATAATTAGAGGATGATACGAGCACAGCGGATTCGCTGTCCAACAACGATGAATAGATCCTGTCAATGGGTTGGAGCCATCGAGGATATGGACCAGCATCTCGATGTGGTAAGTAACAGCCCAACTTAATTAGGCGCCTGGAAGATGCCTGTAGAAAATACACACAAATCCAACATTGGACTCTTTTTCTTTTTCTCTTTTGTCGACCTTGTAGTGTAGGTTTGCCATCGAGCTGCTGTGTCCTCACCAGCAGTACGGATGCACCTTTAGAGGCGCAGCTTTTGATATTGTTGCGCATCTTTCCTGTTGTCCCTTCTCCTCTCGTGCGATAGGAAACATTTCTGAGCGCTCAGAGAGTGCCGAAAGAAACGCCCCTGTCAGCCAACATACTGTACCAGCGCGTGAACTTCCCTCTCCACCAAAATCCTCTCCACCAAACCCTCCAATGGAAGATGGAGAGCACAAGTGTGGTCATTTGGATAAGAGTCAAAGTCAGGAGCAACGATCCGTGTCAAGGTTTGTGGAAACGGATGAGCAGTTCGTAGACGTTTTCCGCACGCCACCTCTGCATACCATGGACGAATTCGAGACTGTTGACGAACCACACCCAATAAAGATGGAGAGAATGGAGGCGGACTATGATCACGACGCGTTTTCGGAACTTATGGAGGATCTGGAGATGTTGGATATGACGATCTCGCCCACCAAGACGCCGCTACCAGGAGACTGCCAGGAGCAGCAGGTTCATCCTGAGAATGAATTGGTTCCGTCACCCGCGCCTTCAACACGCAGGCGTAGGTTAATCATCGAAGAAGAGTCGGATACTAGCGGCGAGGTCGTGAGCCACCGGCCAGAGCAGGCAGCAGCTGTGGCGATTGGAATTTATTCCGACGAACAACCTGGTCAGGAACGCGTGCGTGTCAATAGCGAAAGTCGGTCGCCGAAGAGGAATCGGGTTTTGATGGACATCACGACCCCTATACCCGCACGCATCAGACGGTCACCACCAGCATCGAGTCCCGTACCAAGACCAAGAGAATTTGTGATACAGACGCAGGCGCAGGAAGCGGGACAAGATACCGGCGGCGATCTATTTGGCAACCACCAAAGTCAGCAGGCCATGTCAGCAGAGAAGCAAGGTTCCGCTGGATCACAGCAACAGACACAGCAGGGACTATCTCAACGATATCTTTTGTCACAAATCCCTGCAAGCTCGCCAGCCGATCTTCATGAGAGGGTCTTGCAGTTCCAAGGCCCATGGCAATGGCAGGTTCATCGCGGAAAGGAGGTCCAGTCGCAGACATCGACAGTTATCACGTTGACGGACATCACTTCTGCAGTCGCTGCGAGTGCGCCGACAGTGTCGTCGCCTTCACCGTTGCCCTCACCGAGACCGGTGGTGACAACGGCGCTGGGGACACAACGGAGTTTTGCAGGGTTTTTTGCGCTGCCTCAGCAACCGTCGTTATACATGGCAGAACCGTCTGCGTTTTTACCGCTACTCGTCCATGTCCCACGGTACCTCCGACCACGGCGAAAGGTAAGCCAACTGAAGAAAAAAAAAAAAAAAAAAAAAGACGCACTGTTGAGCGCGCAGATCTCGATAACCTGAATCTGATTATGTGTATACACGTACACATATTTATACACGTACCTATTTTAATAACAGAAAATCCTACGAGGACAGATTCGCTCGAAGCGTTTGACGCCGATTGTCCAGACCAACAGGACGCCGCAGGACCAGCTGGGACGAGAAAAGATGTACAGGGAGATTTTGATGATGGTGACACCGGACATTACCTCGCCCGAGGATTCGATCTCGTCCCACCACAGGAATTCTGTGCACCCCCCGCCGCCTTCCTCAACGCCACTGTCGTAGTCTAGTCTAGTCTAGTCTAGTCTAGTCTAGTGCAGGCGGGCCCAATATATAGCAGCAGCTGAGCATTAATTAGTGCTGTGCACGCATGAGGTGCATAAGCAGCGCGTTTTTTTTTTTCTTTCTTCTTTTTCTCTTTCGAAATTATGCATGGGGGTGTCGGGAGAAAGAAAGGGATAGGGTATCCTTCACATGTCTTCTTTGTTGTGTTGCAAAAGAGTATAAAATATATAATAATAAACAAAGACACTTGCTATGAAGGAAAAGTAACGTTGTCGGGGGTGTTGCATACGACCTGCGTTTGCACTTGGACGCCTCACAAAACCCCCCTCCATTGTCTGGGCCAGACGCGATTTTCTATGTGTGCTCGTGTAAACGATGGCGTCTGCCTGTCGGGTGGTCGCAACACTCGAGACGAGCGCGTTTCTTTTGAATTCTCTCGTCTTTGATTTTATTTTTATTTTATTTTCCTTGAAGGGATACCATCCACGGGCAAAAAAAAAAAAAAGATCGCCTCGTCTACTGTCCTTTTGCGGTACAGCGCAACAAGTACTTGAGGAAAAGAAAGAGGAGTCCTGATTGGTCGTTCGTAAACCAGAACTAGCACGGAGCGTCTCCCAAGGGACGTGGCAAAGTTCTAAGGAGGTCCCAAGTGGGCGCCTGATTCGTCTGGTTTCTGGGTGAGGCTCTCCCAGGAAGCCTCTGCAGATCCAAAAGGTAGCACCCAGTAAGATTCCTGTCAAACATTGACCAACAAGTGGCCCGCCTCCCCCCTCCCCGTGGAAAAAAATAATGGCCGTTTTTTTTTTTTTTTTTTTTTAATGGACCTGGGAACTGGAACCACAAAAAAAGAAGAAAAAAGAAAGACCCTTGGGGTAGGTAGTCGGCCTGGTTCCCTCGTTCTCGCGCTCAGCGGCTCCGTATTTTGTGCATAGAAAACGAGCAGATCATGTAGTGTAGCTGGGCACACGGTCAGAGCTTATGGCTGCCTGCTCCGAGGAACAAAGCCGGACAGGAGGTAAAGGGTAAAAAGCTTTCGTCTTTTGCGTATACACCTTCGTACCTCTTCCTCCCCCCCTCTCCTCTGTCCCTCTCCCTAAAAAAAAAAAAAAAAAAAACTCCCCCAATAGTCAACAACACGCGCACGAACCATCTTCCGCCCCTGCCTTCGTTATCACCCACTGTCCCTCGCAACAACCGACATCTTCTTCCCTTTGCCCTCTTCCTGCACACTTGTGCCCTTGGCTGGAAACACACTAGCACCAAAAAGTAAGGCCGCCTATAACAACAACAACAATGTTGATGCTTCCTCTTCTCTGTCCTATGCTCCTTCAAAAGTATCGTGTCCATGCCCCGCCCATACCATGGCCCGCAAAGCATGTGCTTTTCATAATTCGGCTGAAGCAGATCCAAATGTCCATTCCCACCCCCCTCTTTTTTGCCCATTCAATCGTATTTTTTTTGATGGGCTGGATGTATAGTTGGTTATACAGCAGACGCGTCTTTTTTTTTTTTTTTCTGTCGATGCATTGGGTGTGGGCGTCAAGGGGGGGGGGGGGGGGGGCATCGATCGAATGAACAGTCAGAGTCAGAGAGGAGAGGGGAGGCGATCGTGATTTACTTTGATCAACAAAAAAAAAATAGACCCTGGGGCAGAGGAAATTGTTGTCTAGGGATGTACGGGATGAGCGACAAGGAATAAAATAACAAAAATGGACGCGCTTCTGAGACGGTCTGTGTATTTGGGCATTAGGAATGCTTGCATCCATATTTATCCATATTGGGCAGGGAAGGAGGAGAGGGAGAGGGGGAGTTTTTGTCATCTGCGATTGCAACTATCGCTGTACTGTACGGGTTTCTACTGCGGATGAGCGACTGAAGCGGGACAGGGGCCTTCCTTTGACCTCTATTCTTGTTCGCGAATGCCGTTGAGTCGAGTCCAGTCGAGTCGAGTCCTCTGCCTCAAAGTCTCCCGTACATCCAAATAATAAAGAGGTGTGTGCTTCTCGACATGCAAACAAAGGAGGCGTCTCCATCTCTCTGCCGCTCTCTTTCGCGCTCTCTTTTTATTAGTCCGTCCTTATTGCTCCTCTCCCTGGCCTCTTTGGGTACCTTCTTTTCTTTGCGTTCGTGTTCATTCCGTAGTATTCTTTGTATCTCTCGGCGCTGGAAGATGCAGCTGCTCCTTTGGCCCTGTCCTCCCCTGCTTCCGCAGCTCTCCTTGCTCCCTCCGTCTTTCCCCCCTTGTTCCTGGTCCTGGTCCTGATCCTTGTATCCTTGTCCCTGCCCTTCCCTATACGTTTTTGCTCATCAATTTTGTCCGCCCTCCTTCTCTGCCTCGTACCTCCCCCTGTGAGAACTGTTCTGTGGATTCTTCCTTTTGTTGATGTGCTCGAGCGTCAGTCAACAAGTGCATGCGCGTTTGGACGGGATATTATTTAAACTGGGTTAATTTCAAGAGTGGTTGCTTGGGTGGTTGCTTCCATAAGGCACGACGCGTTTTTTTGCATGTATTTTTGCTCATGTAGTACGTTTGCTTGGCTCGTTCGCCCGTTCGTTCGACTGCAGCCGGGGGCCCTTGGACTAATTACTAATTGAGAGCGAGGGGGTGGAACAAACAGACCAAGGCCAATATCACGGGTCGTCCATCGTGTGATTGCTTTACTAGCTCCATTATTTCATTTGAGGTGCCCCGTTCGACCTCGACACTTATGGGCGGTTTTCAGGGCAGATGGGGATGACGATCACGATGCTCTGCCGGATGATTCCATCAACCATACGACTGAATCGAGGAGGGAGGAAGACGAGAAGCGAGGCGAAAAAACTGCTGGTGCCATCCTAATAATAATCCTCTCAGCTTCTCAGGAAGCATAGCAATATGGATCTTCTTTGGCACAGACAGACACACAACTAATCTAGACTAATCCGTCTTGGTCTCTGTGTTTGGTGTTCAATGTAGAGCGTGAGCCGGCCTGGGATCCGTTCACGATTGAAGAGGCGCCCATCTCTAGCGTTCACACACACGCACAACTGCATGACAGTACAGTCGGCAAGGCATGTTTACCACATCCTCCCCGCCTATTCGTCACTCTCCGACCCCGTCGTCACTGTGGATCCGGAACACCAGTCAAACGCGCACGCCCCACTCCATCGATCCCATTAAAGAATACGCTATGGGCAGCAACAGCCATGTGTACAACTTCAGCATCGGAGTTGACACGCTCACAGCGGCCTACATCCCTACTTTGTCCTCCATGTCGCTCTCACCCGCCTCGCCTTCTGTAGCCAGTCCCTCACTCGATCCTCGTCCTCATCAGTCTGACCAGTATGCAAGTCTCTGTGCTGGCAGTGACACAGAAGGAGGAGGAGAGGAAGGAGGGGAAGGGGGAGGTCCCGATCCCGGCGCGGGTCCTGATCTGGGGAACGATCGCGCCCTGAACGCCGACATGATGACTAGTGTTAGCGTCAGCTTGGGCTCTGGTGACACGGCGACCACAAAGACGAGCGCTATCCCAAGACAGTCTGGTGTGATCCATTCACGCCAGACTCCTTTCTGTGCCCCTATCGTTGTCGTTGTCGCAAATGGCTCGGACAGCGGGATTGTGGATTTGAACAGGGCTGATGGTATCGATGTTGATGTAGCTATGACCAACATTGATCCTGACCCTGACCCTGACGTTCTTGTTGCTGCTCCTGTTGCCGGGGCTGCAGAATCCCGCAGCAACAGCCACGAGCAACACTCGAGGATGCAAACAGCAGAGCACGAGCCCTGCACTGGCACCGTCTCTGTTGCCCATTCCCGCTCCTCCTCGAACTCGCATGCACAGGCACACGTCCATCGACGATATTTTCGCTCCTTTCCTCCGACAGAATCTCACGCTTTTCACGTTCATTCTCACCCTTGTCTTCGATCCCAGTCACTCCTCCAGCTCTGCTCTCGGTCTCACTCTCAGCGTCAGTCCCAGGCGCACTTTCAGTCTCGGTCTCAGCCTCCGTCCGAGATCCAAGGGAACAATGGTAGGAGAGGATATCTTCATTGTGCAGCAGTATTGTCATATAGTCCATCTGCAGTTCATCGATCTCGGTTTTTTTCCCCTCTTTTGCACACAGTTCATTGTTTTCAGTATTCAAAAAGGAAGACCATCGCTACATTTGTTGTGTTGTGTTGTGTTATGTTGTTGTGGGTGTCTTTTTTTTTTTTTTTTTTCCTCCTTTCAGACCGATAGACAGCCGAACAGATACACCAACCAACGACTCGACCAACCAGATTGAGTTCATCGTGTTTTCTGCTCTTTTAATGGGCTCGCTCTCCCTCTCTTCTTTTTTTTTTTTTTTTTTTTTTTTCGAGCACAAACCAACAAGGGGGGGAGTGGGGGGGGGGGGGGGGAAGTGAAGAGGGAGGACAGACTAAAAGGACAAAGGGAGGGTGCAAAGCAGGCAATCGGAAGCAGGCCCAGGGTGCGACACCGACAGCCAGACAAGAGACAAGGGACGGGGTGGACGGTGGAGGGAGGGTACAGTAGAAAGGGTACACCCATTGAAGGCCCTTCCCTCTTTCTTCTTCCCTTCCCTTTTTCCTTTTTCCCTTTTTCTCTCTTTCTCTCTCTCCACCCTCCGTTCGTTCATCCACTGCCCTGTCTTCGTAGTAACATCCATCCCGTCCTTTGTAGCCCTTTGTCCCTTTGCTCTCAGCGTCTCCCACCCGGCAACCCCTCTCTCTCTCTCTCTCTCTCTCTTTTATCTCTTTTATCCTATCACAAAAAAAAAAAAGTAAAACACGTCTACGCCCCTGCTACGACTCCTACACCTGCAACACCCAACACCCAACACCCACACCCAACACCGCGCACCACCCAACCAACCCCCATCCTCGCCCTACCCATCCATACACGTCGACATCCACAAACGCACACAGCACTTTCCACCCAACACCCCTTCTCTCTCCTCCCTCTTCTCTGGCTGCATCCATCCTGCTTTTCCATTCCCGACCCATCTCTCATCCCCCACTTCCCACCTCTCGCTCATCCCCAGCCCTCTTCCCCCCTCCTCCTCCTTTCCTCATCTCTCCCACACTCTCCCTTCTTCGCGTCCAGGTTGGTCCTTGGAAGGAAACAGAGTGAGCCGAACCAGCTGAACCGTTGTTATCTCTCTCTCCATCCTCTGTAATGTCCTGTCCTGTCCTGTCTTGCCTTGTCTTGCCTTGTTTTGCCTTGTCTTGTCGACCCGCTGTTCGCTGTCCATTCCCTTTCTCGCTTATCTTCCGTTCATTTGCTACCCTGTGCTCTGTCTCCTATCTCCTATCTCCATCCAACGCGCTATCCACTCTTCCACTTTTTCTTTTTTCCCACTGTTGTTGTCATCGTCGTCGTTACTGTCCCCATCTTGGCGCCCTCTCTTCAAGTCCCTTTATCACTTCCTCCCTCCCCCATCTCCGAAACACGTTCTTTATCTCGACCCTGACTGTCCTTTCAATTCAGTCTCGTTCTTGCACATGAATGGTACGATTGACACATTCAATTGCCTCCGCCCCTTCCCTCTATATCCTCACAGCCCTCTTATGGCATTCCTTGGTTGGTTCGTTCGTTCGTTCAATCTATGGCTGGCCAATGCTTTTTTCTCTTTTTTTATTATTTATTTTTTAAACACAACTATTTATGTGTTTGTGTGTTTGTGTGTTTGTGTGTTTACTTAGTGTAGTATGGTTGTACGCGCTCTCCTTCTCTCGACATCTTCTGGTGTGATGTGGACCCTGTTCTGTTGCTCTTGTTTCTTTTTTTATCCTCCGCCTTACAAAGAAGAAGAAAAGAGGCTGGCTCACAGACCCTGTTCTCTGTTCCCAGCCGGGAGCCCGCATCCTCCTTCCCCTGGCTCCAACTTTTTTTTCTTTTTTCTTTTTTCTTTTTACTGGTTCTATGGTTGCTTGGCTATAGCGTTTGCTCTTGCTCCTGCTTTTTTGCTTTTTCTTTTCTTTCTTTCTTTTTTTGCCTCTAGGCCCTGGACGAGAGTGCGTTTGGTTAGACCACGTTTGTAAAAGTGGACACAGAAGAGCAAAGCACACACCTCCACCGACACACACCCACCCACTCACATGCACACACTCGTATCCCGGAAGAAAGGAACATTGACTTGTTGCATTTTCCCATGCTGTATATCCGTGTACGTGTGCTAACCATCCGCTTTCTCTTGCTTTTGTCCTGCTTCACATCCGAATGCGTCGGTCCTCCCTCGGTCCTTGTCCTGATTGTCCGTGTTAACGGCCATTGTCTACGCGTATGTATTTGACATTTTCATTTGTCCATTTGTCCATTTCTTTTTTTCTTTTGCCTTTGGTTCCTTTTGCTCCCTGAAATGGTTTGATTCGATTCGATTCGGTTCGATTCGATCCATCTTGACTTTGACTTTGACTTTGACTTCTCCTCGGGGGGATGATCATCGCTGCCCTCGTTGCCGGTCTCGGTCTCGGTCTCGGTCTTGTGCTTCCGTTTCCTTTCTTATCGCTCTCTCTGTTCGTTCTTTCTTTCTTTGTTCTTTCTTCGGAACGTCTTTTTGTTTTTCCATGTTCTCATTGACAATCGCACTCTGGTAAACGACTTCCCTGCTGGCTGCTGCGTCGACCATATCCTCCGCTGTTTGTCTTTATGATGTTCTGTCCCCTGCAACACTCTTCCCCCCTCTTCTTCCTCTTTTTCTTCTTTTCTTCTCGGTATTCCGGTCTCGCTCCTTTTTGTCTTTCTCTTTTTATATTTTTTCTTTCTTTCTTTTATTTCTTCCTCGCCGTGTCACCTTTATTCTACCCCTTTGATCACATTTTCCGCTCCCACACACACCCACACCCATCCGTCCACACCCACACCCACACCCATCCATCCACACACGCCCAAACACACACACACACACGCACAAACACACACACACACACACGCACAAACACACACACAAACACACACACACACACGCACAAACACACACACACACACGCACACGCACACCCCGTACCCATACCCATCCACATCCAAAACAAACAAACAAACATACAAACAAACAAACAAACAATCCTCTGTGTCCTCTTCGTGTTTGTCCTCTCCCTCGCCGTGTCTTCGCCCTTTCCCTTCCTGTGTCCTTGTGTCGCCACCCACCCACACCGACATCCCTTTATCTCCTCTTCATCTCTGCCTCTGTTCTCTTCCCTCTTTTCTCTTTTCTCTTTCCTCGTTCCCTCCTTCTCTTTTTTCTCTTTTTCTCTTTTTCTCTTCTCTTCTTCTCTTTTCATCCCCACATTCTCCATCTCCCCCCCTCTGCCCTCTTTCCCCTGTACCATTTGCCATTTGCTGCTCGATATCCGCTAAATGCTCGCTGCGACCCTGTGTCCTCATACCAATCAATCTATCGATCTGCCCTATCAATCTATCAACCCCATCCAATCCCATACCACCCAACCCTAACCCGAACAAACCCTCCTCTGGCCCTTCCGCCCCTCCTCTCTTTTTCTGCCCTTTGATTGGCACCCGCTGCCTTGTCCTGTGCACCTCCTTCCATCTAGATCCCAAAGAGGCGAGCAATACCGCAATTTCCGACTACACTCCCACTCCGCAACCGGACCAAGACCATACCCACAGTTATATCCACATCCAGATCCCAGGCCTGTCCCATCAGACCCCGTCTCTAGGAAATCTGCAGGACATGATGATGGAGCACCCGCAGCAGCCCCTGGACTTGCGACAGTTCCAGCTGCAGCAGCAACAACAGCTGCCGCCCCAAGTCGCCGCTCCACATTCGGATACAAATGCCTCAACCCCTCTTGGCGCCATGACCCTCTCCCAGTCCCTCACCATCAACGAAGCCGTCCATCCCTTCCACACCGCACCCGTACCCTCGATCACCCCGACCGGACTCTTGCCCCCAATGTGCTCGGATCCACCCACCATCCACCCCCAAACTACAACCATCTCACAGACATTCGCAGTAACCTCAAGACCACTCTGGTTCGACAACAACGGACTCACCCACCGTGCGTCCTTCCACAGTCTGCTGTCCGCGGGTGGAAAGGACGAGAGACTGCGTGCGAGACGGGATCGCGGGAGCATCATCAGTCTGGCCTCAACCGTCGGAGACGATTCGCCCTCGGATTTCAACTCGCTCGACCTCGATCCTTCATTCAGTGGCGATCTCCATTCTCAACAGTCATCGACCGGAGTTGGATACGAGGATGGTGAATACGACCATCAGGGTATCGGCACTGGATTGGCCATGATGAGCTTTATGGATTTCATGCCCCACTCGCACTCGAGTCCAGGTGATACCAGTGTCGAGGGTGATCTCTCGAGCACCCAGCCATCAAGAAGCAACAGCGTCATGCTGGACCCCTCCACGGTGATGAAGGTCAACGCTATGTTCGAATTGGGCGATGACTCGCTTCAAGCACAACAGGATCGATTCAACAGTGGGCTGGCGCCAGCACACCCCTTGTCGAGGGAGGCACTCCAGCAGCAGAACACTTCCCAGGAACCGGCGACCCGTCTCCAGGCGATGACCCCTGGTCAGGGCCCCAACGAGACCGAGGGCATGCTGCCACCCCTGTGGTCTACCTCGATAGAAATGCTCTCAACCCCAGTCCACCCTTTTTCGATATCTCCATATATGGACGATCGTAGTCAATCGATCTCGTGCGCTGGCGACCCCACCCTCTCGGAGACCTCGAACATGAACGACCGCGAGGCACTAGCACAGCAAGTTCTCAACGTCTATGAGCAGGAGGGGTCCCGCCCGAGTTTGCAGACGCCGGTAACGACATATGCGAATTCGCAGGTCTACTTTGTAAATGCAGATGGATCGAGAACGATAGAAGGACAGATGCCGACTGCCATTGCCGATGGGTCCCATCAACAGCCACTGACGCATCAACAGCAACAGGCACTACTTAATCAGCAGCAGAGACAGCAATTACAAATGCAGCAGCATCTCCAGCAACAACAGCAACAATTGCAGCAACAACAGCAGCAACAGCAGCAACAGCAGCAGCAGCAACAACAGCAACAACAACAACAACAACAGCAACAACAACAACAACAACAACAACAACAACAACAACAACAACAGCAACAACAGCAACATCAGCAGCAACAGCAGCAACATCAGCAAGCACTGCAGCAGCAACAGCAGCACCAAATGCGTCTTCATCTGCGCTCTCAGACTCTTTCCCAGTCGCAATCACCTCATGCACGCGGCCTTTCAAGTCCAGGAATCGAGTATGCCAAAAACCCACATTCGCTCACGCCTCCTCTGCACCCACAGCAACAGCATCAGCTTGGGCAAAAGATGTACACCAGCCCTACGGGCGCAGCTAATTTCGGTGTGGGCAAGGTCGCACGGATCCGTAACAGGACAATCTCCAGTCCCGCTGGGTCCTTCCAATATTCTCCCTCAAGCATGACAGGATCAACCCCGACAGGCGTCAACATGTCAAGGCCACCCTCGGGTCTTTCATTCGGACCCATGCCAGTACGAGAGCGCAAGCGATCACTCCTGGATGCCAACATGGCCCAGGGTCTGGATCAGGTCCGTCAGAACAACGGCCAGGGGTGTCACTCTGCCTCATCGTCCTCCTCAGAAGGCGTCAACTCGTGCGGCACAGGAAACAGCATTGGCAGCAATGGGGTCGGCGGCAACGGTAACGGAGAAGGAAAGGTGGGTCTGTTCTCGGTCAAGCAGGAGCCATCAGATCCGAATCTCGTGGGCCTGGGTCTTGGCGGGAGCAGTCCAGGCGATGCCTCACCTGAGGAAACATACCATCGCAAGAGGACGAAATCTGTGGACATGTACAGCAGCATCATGGGCTCCCTTCACTCGTTCACTCCTCCTCCTCCTCATCCTGCTCCTGCTCCTGCTCCTGCTGCTCCTTCTCAAACGGGCGCTGCTGTCGGTCCAACGAGCATGGATATGACCTCGAGTATGTCGGTGGCGTCGAGTCAGCCAACGTCTGTCCAGAATTGGCAACCTCCAGATATGGCGATTCATTTGCAAATGTACCAGAGCAGCATGCATCTCAATGGACTCGGCTCAGCGTTACCACCCAACTCGATACCGATGCACATGCAGATGAACGGCCCGATCCATCCTCACCAACTGTCACCTGGAATCATGGGATCGGACTCGAATCTGTACCATCTTCAGAGCATGCCGATGGCCGATCATGGCCAGGTTCTCCGCCACTCGACCTCGCACGATCGGATGGGTGTCAGCTATGGTCTGCCGCAGCAGCAGCAACAACAACAGCAGCAGCAACAGCAACAGCAGCAGCAACAGCAACAGCAGCAGCAATTGACTGGGGTCAAGATCAAGACGAAGGTCAAAGGAAGCAAGGGCGCTGGCAAGCCCAAGCTCAAGGGACGTTCGATGTCGATGGGGGACGCCCTGGAGGCGACGGGGAGGCAGAACGTGGGGGGTGAGGATGAGGATGGGACGCAGGGGGAGGAAAAGGCGGTAGCGGGGTTGGACTTTGAGGGGAGTGAGATCCATGGAGACCCGACGGCGAGGAAACAGAAGCTGCGGTACGAGGGCGATCAGTACACGCCACAATGGGTCCGTAATACGGGGCAGGCCAAAGAGGGCTTTTGCGACACTTGTGTCCCCGGCAAGTGGCTACAGCTCAAGAATAGTGCCTTCTGGTAACGTGCTCCATCCATCATGTCTTTTAGTTGTGTGAGAAAAAGAAAAAAAAAGAGGAAGAAAACAAGAAAGAAAAGAGAAGTGTGTTAACTAATGGACTTTTACTTTTTCTTCTTCTATTTCTTCTTCCTACTCCTCTTCTTTTTTTGTACTTGTTCGATTCTCTTATCCACAGGTACCACAAACAATTTTTCCATGGAATTTCCTCCGTCTCTGGCAAGTTGTTCTCGAACCCGGTGCAGACCCGGCAGATGGAGCAGGACGATATCGAGGGACTCTGCCACCAGTGCAACGAATGGATCCCGATCTCGAACCACAAGCGACAGAACTCGATGCTGTGGTACCGTCATGCGCACAAGTGTCATATCTACCACAAGCCCAAGACCCAGGGCCAGAGTTCCGCACGCTCGTCGTTTTCGGCCCCACAGCCTCTGCCGACGTTTACGGATGGACAACATGGGCATGGTGGGCATGGCCACGGACTTGGGCTTGGGCTTGGGCATGGACTTGGACTGGGACTTGGGCATCCGATGATGCAGAGCGGTAGTAATAGCAGTGGTGGTAGTGAGCAACAACAACAGCAGCAGCAGCAGCAGCAACAACAACAACAGCAGCAGCAGCAGTAGCTGATGTTGATGCCGATAACGACGAGGGCAGCGGACAATTTTTGAATGGAAATAATACCATCCTTTATCTAGGGGTAGGGGGGAAAAAAAGAAAAAAAGAAAAAAACCCCCCCTTTTTTAATCTCCCCCCTCCCCCCCTAGCATTTCACGCTGGGTCTTTTTTCACCTTTGGTTGTTTTCGTTTTTTTTTTATTATTTCTCTCTCTATTCTGGTTATTATGGTAGCGGTTGCTTTTGCGAATTCTTGTACTTTTTCTTGTCCCTCTCTCTCTCTTTTTTTTTTTTTTCTTTCGCTCTTTTGTTGCCTCTCGAATAGCTCGATTCTTACTGTGTTGGTGCAACAGACAACAGACAGACAGCTGAACAACTTTTTTTTTTTACTTTCTTCTTCTTTGGGTTGGTTAGTAGTATATTCTTGGTTGTCCCCTATTTTTATTATTTTATTATTTCTATTATTTCTATTATTTCTATTATTTCTATTACTCTTTTGTTGCATGTATGTATGTAAATATAAAAAAAAAAAAAAAAAAAAAAAACCGAAATAAAAACCCCAACAGCGTCGTCCTTGGGATAGGATGGGACAGACAGACTTACATGTGCGGACGTACGTATATATGCGTGTATGCGTGTAGACTATGTGTGTATATGTGTATATATGTGTCTATATGTGTGTATGTATATGTGTAGTGTGTATTCCAACAGTTTGTGAACCAGAGCAATGGTAGTCTAGTGCTATATGCTATGCTATGTTGTGCTGCTGTGCTTTTTTTTTTTTTTGATGTGGTTTTGCTGTGCTGTGCTGCGCTACGCCGTGGATCAAAAAAGTCCGCTCGTCTTTGATGGCAAACTTTATTTTCGGAGATATATATGATATATCGTGTTTGTGTGTTATGTGTGTTATGTGTGTGTAGGTGTGTGTGTGTGCGCTTGTGCGCTGCTATGCTTGTTCAAGGTCCCACACTTTGCTTTCCTCCTTTCTTCTTCTTCTTCGTCTTCTTCTTCGTCTTCTTCTTCGTCTTCTTCTTCGTCTTCTTCTTCTTCTTCTGAGGGCTCCTTTATATCATTGGACTTGGATGGGCATGTCGACAGATGGACAGATGGACAGACAGACAGACAGATTGATAGACAGATAGGATGGATGTCCCCCACAGAGTCGACGGCCGCAAAGCTTGACGCGAATAAAGAAGCGGGAGCGAGAGAAGGGGGGAGTCAGGCCAATGAGAGCGGCCTGGTCAGGGTGGTGCAGGTTGGGATATAAAAAGAGTCCTCTGGTCAGATGTGCGATGAAACCTGCTGCAGTAGGCCAGTGCGCCCTGTATGCAAAGACCAAAGGGAGGGAGCATCCGTTATCTTTTTTCCGTTCACTCGTTCACTCACTCATCCATCCATCTATCCATCCACCCACTCCTCTCCGCTCCTTGCTTCCTCTTTCTCTTATTTTCTCTCTTTCCCTCGCTTTCTCTTCACTCCCTGACCCCGCTTGGACTCGCCGGACGGACGCACAACATGGACAGGGCGGAGGATACGGCCGGACAGGAAGCAGACCCAGCAACCGCCTGTCGGTCCGGGACCCAAGGGTTGTTCTACATCAAAGACTCTGATCTGGCGGCCGAGAGCACCAGCCACAGCAGCACCGATGACGATGACGACGGCAACGGCGATGATGGTGATGGTGATGATTACGCAGACGGTCGCGACAGCCCGCACCCGCCCGGCAACCTCATCCAGAAACACCACCTCCATCACCGCCGCTTCTCCCATCCGTCCGACAACCATAGCAACAGCAGCCGCAGCAGCAGCAGCAGGAACATCCACAGCATCTACGATCGGAACACGGACAGGGAACCGATCTCTTCAAATCGCTCATACACTGACAGTGACGTTGGCGGAAGGATGATTCGAGGACGTGGCCGACGGAATTCATTGGAGGAAGGATATCCGTGGTCGCCATGGTCAGGATGGCGATTGATCCTGAGGCTGTTGTATGCGGTTGTCGTACCCGCGGTGATCATTTTTTTGCTCGGCCGATTTGAACGGTCTCTCCAACAGCAACAACACTATCTTTTGCATCAGCAGCAACAGTATGAGCATTTCCAACAAGTGCGGTGTGGCCAAGGCGAGATGGACTCTTGTGCACCGTTGTCGAGTCGAGGACAGGACCAGCCGTTGTTGGTGCAACATGGTGAGGGAGATGAGAGCAGCAGTCCGTGGAGACAAACCTTGTTGGGCACGCTCGAGAGATGGCGCTCGCATCTGCATCCGAGAGGCCATCATCAAGATCAGGAACAGGATCGACAACGACAACAGCAGCAGCACCATCACGACATCAGGCCAAAGGGAACGACAATGGTTCAGCAGACGTTCTTTGACAACTTTGTTCTATTTGGGGACTCGATCACCCAGGTGAGGGAGGATCAGCTCCATCACCGTTCTCTGCATTTGCCAGCAGGACCTCTGAGCGCGTTCCTGACGTTTCCTATTCTTTTCTTTTCTTTCTTTTCTTCTCTTTTCTTTTCTTTTTTCTTTTTTCTACGGCGTTTGATGTTGTCTATGGAGTAGTATTCGTTTGATGTGAACGAACGGGGATTCGGCGCCCAGCTCGCCCACCTCTTCCAGCGGCGCCTCGATATCATCAACCGCGGATTCTCAGGTATTAGAGCACCACACATACCCAACGCGTCAACTGCCACAGCAGCTGCATCGAACTAACAGCAAGGCGTTCTTTCTCTCACTCACTCGTTCTCTCTCTCTTTTTTTTTTTTTTTTTTTTTTTCCTCACAGGATACACATCCGAGCAGGCGATCCACATCCTCCCACAACTCCTCCCTCGCGTGAACTCTTCCCTTTCCTCCTCTGCCGATTCCCTATCTCCTCCAAAGATCCAGTTCCTGGCCATATTCTTCGGCGCCAACGACGCCTGCCTCTCCCCATCCCCTCAACACGTCCCCTTGCCGCGGTACATCCAAAACCTCCACTCTCTCATCTCCATGGTCCACTCCCCTACTTCACCCACCTACTCTCCCGAAACTCGAATTATCCTCTTCTGCTCACCACCGGTCGACGAGGCTCGCTGGGCGATCCGACGAAAAGAGCGTGGTATGTTTATGGATCGGGATAAGGAGGTTACGCGGACCTATGCAGAGGCTTGTCTCAAGATCGGACAGGAGTATCGGGATAAGGGCCGGGGAGAGGACGGGAAGAAGCAGGAGCTTCATCGGGTCGATGTGATCGATACATGGGGGTTGATGATGCAGAAGGTCGAGGCTGGGGAGAGGACTTTGGAGGATTATCTTAAAGACGGACTTCATCTTGCTTCTGAGGGGAACAACGTAAGTCAATCGGTCGCTCAATCGATTCATTTTTTTTTTCTTCTTTGTGAGGGTGAAAGCAATGTGCTTTACTCTTTTTTATTTCGTTTTTTATTCTCTCTATATTCTTTACAGCGGACCAAACTATTAACAACGCCTTGTTCTTTACTATTTTTTTTTCCCTCCTTCCTGTGAACTGGTTCGATTTACGATGAGGACGCCCAACAGCTGGTTTTCGAAGAGATCATGAAGATCGTTCGAACCAGGTACCCAGAATACGACCCTGAGACCATGCCGATGCATGCTCCCTGGTGGGGTCATCTAGACCATTCTCATCCCGAGACCGATCTCTTGATCTGCGCCAACAAACCGGCAAAGTCATGAAAATCAACATCGATTCATTCGCGATGAAAAGAAAAAAAAAAGAAAAGCAATATCAATGGAATCTTGAACAGGATATGCAAACAATAAAGCGCAAGCGGAGGAAAAACTTCATCGTAGTTCTTTTATTATTATTAATATTATTAATATTATTATTACCATCGTTGTTATTACTATTATTTTTCGTGTTGAAGATGTTACAGGTTTTTGTTGGGTTGGTTAAAGACATTATCGGGTGGGGAAGAAGACAAAAGTATTAGGGTACTGCAGTTGGTATTGTACAAGAGAATTAAAGAGTCGTTTGTTTGAGACTGCCGTGAATGAAGAGTGGGCCGACATTGAAAGAGAAAAGGCTTCAAAGAGATGATCATAGAATGGTGGTGACCGTCGAATAGGAGCCCATGATGACCACTAATGCTTGGATGAGGCCCCATAGAAAGGGCACCCAGGTCGACATCCGATACGCGCCCGCGTTGTATATCGCTGCAATGGCTAGGCCTTTTGTTAGAAGAGTTGAAAAATCGTTGGGGGGAAGGTTAGATAGATTCTTTTGGGATATGTATGGCGAGACATGCTGATGTTGGCATTGATCACCACAGGACCCAAGGGCGATGATCATCCAGGTAAAAAGAATAAGAAAAAGAAAAAAGAAAAAGGCTCTCCCTGTTAATTAAAAAAATAAAATTCCTGCCAATGTAATTAATATTCCTTCTTCTACTTTTGTTGTCGCCGTTGTTCCTGAGATCCGGGATCGGTCATCTTTTTGTGTACTGAACCCGGGTATTGTCGTATGCACACCATTTTGATTCCTTATTCCTTTGTTCCTTTTTATTCCCTGTCCTGTTGCCAACTATCATCGTCGTTCTGCTTCGTTTCCTGTCGGGTCATTCCAGTTACGGAATATGTGATTTTTTCTTTTTTCTTTTTAGAAAGAAAGAGAAAGAGAGAAAGAAAGAGAGAAAGAGAGAAAGAGAGAAAGAAAGAGAGAAAGAGAGAAAGAGAGAAAGAAAGAGAGAAAGAGAGAAAGAGAGAAAGAGAGGGAGAGAGAGGTGGAGATGAGGGGGGGAGAGGGTTCACACGAGTCGCTTGTGGTTATATTGGCCCGTGCTGAATCCCAAGGTGATGCATTCTCCCTCTATCCGTTGCCATTGCTCCTGACATGCTCCTTGTCCTTATCTCGGTCCTGCGTATTGCGTATAAATATAGAAAGAAAAAAAAACTAGCCCTTGCGTCGAAATTATGAGTATGTGCGCGCGGCGCGCGCGCGCACGCACTATTTAAGAATACGTTCAGTCCAGTCCATACACATACCAACAAGACTCCCGCTCAGGATTGCAATAAATGCACCGGTGATAAAGAAAAACACCGGGAGGAGGATCGCCCATTTGTAGTGTCTCCGACTAAAGACCAGACAGGCCCAGAGTCCCGCAATGGTGTAAATGGAGACGATGAAGATGAGTGTCCAGTACGTCGTGAAGCGCCAGATGTCTATTAAAAAAAAAGAAGAGAGGGAGTTCCATTCGATAAGAAACAAGGTTGAGAGAAAGAGAGAGAGAGAGAGAGAGAGAGAGAGAGAGAGAGAGAGAGAGAGAGAGAGAGAGAGAGAGAGAGAGAGAGAGAGAGAGAGAGAGAGAGAGAGAGAGAGAGAGAGAGAGAGAGAGAGAGAGAGAGAGAGAGAGAGGAGTTGGCTGCAGGAGGGTGTCCAGCATAGTGATGTGTTGGTGTGGATTAGTTACCTTTGGGATAGTACATAAAGATGCCATGGCCTAGAGGGTCGGTGATGGGCCAGTAGAGTGATGGCCATGGCGGGGTCGTGTAATCGGATGGCGGCAAAAAGCCGTTCTGGGCCATGGAGTGTTATTATTATTATTTTTTGTGAGGGGGAGGGCTGAGGAATCCCCTGAAGGAACGACTGGAGAAGCTTCCTTTTCTTCTTCTTGTTCTTTGGTTATAATTGGAGACTGGGTGGGAGTGTGAAAGAGAAAAGAAGAGCGGGTAAAGGAATATGAAGGGGGAGGAAAGGAAGGAACGGTTGGATGAGCAGGTGGAGAGAACGTGTCAGGATGAAAGTGCGAGCCGGTGAGAGAGCTAAAACTGGAGTGGAATTCGATCCTGCGGAAGAAAGAGAGGGAAGGGGTGTGGGCGGAATGGAAGTGGGACTATGTGGTGATCGTGAGGATGATGATGGCCGGTGGAGACAGAGAGAGAGAGAGGGCAATGAGTGGGAGGGGGGCCAGTGAGTGGAGTGGGCGAAAGACCAGAAGCGAAGCGCGCGCTTGCTTGCCTGGTGCTTATTGCATGTGTGCGCCCTGTGACGAAACGAAATGCAGACATCCAACAAACAAACAAGTAAGCGACATGCGCGTATGCGTGTGCGCGTAATAGTTGTCGATGTCCTTTTAACTATGTTGATGCTGAGAACGGAGCAGACATAGTCCGACCCATCAAGGATCACAGTCCGCGAAGGCACTATCCCTTTGATTGATGAAGCCGCAATGGGTGATAACTCGGTGCTGCAAGTTCAGCCTTACTAGAGGTGGGTGGGTGCAGGGCGACGTGGCCGGCAGGACGGCTCCGGACGGGTCTGATCTGGTATGAAGGAGCGCCCGATATTGCTCATGTTGTGTGATCCTACATCATCCCGATCCACGTAGCGGCGGCCTGAAGTAGCATAAATCGGGCATTTGGTGGAGGTGAGGTACTCATCGCAAGATACTACGGACGTATGAAGCCTGGATGGCACATTCACATTTGAGAGGCATGACATTAGAAGAGAAGACAAACAAAAATAAAATAGCATACCTTTTCAAAGTGTTTCTCGAAGGACGTGTGCTTTGATGACAACCCCCGTTCTTGTGTTGAAGCTTCAGTCGCCATATGCATACGCGGCGGGTCTTACTCGCAAGCTTCGACGCTCCATAAACCTCCAGATCCCTCTCCACCTGCGTTCATTTGGTTCTCTCCCAGTCCACTTCCTGAACAACTTGGAGTCGTAAAACCCGCTCAAAAATCATTCTCGACTTTGCCATCATATAAGGAAGATACGACCTTGCCGGGTGGGGATTTCCCTACCTCCAAGACACCGGTGAGCTCGATTGAAGCTCGGTCTACTGTGGCGCATCAATTGTATCGTTCTTCGAGACGGTCGGACAACAGCGCTTCAGGGTTTCCGCTGCAAAGCAGTGTGACATTGTTAGTGAGTACAGTCCAGGCTGCGCGCCTTACCTTCAGAGTATTCACTCATCGAGGACCTATCGCACAAAACGAGATGTGGTGATTTTGCCAGGGACCATGCCGACCGCCACTGCATCTTCGTAGCCCTTTTCCGTGATCTCCACGATCGACAACTGCGTGCCGAATTGTTTGCTGATGTCCGATATCTTGGGTTTGAATTTGTCACGCCGCCATTGTCTCCTGACATCAAACGCTATCAAGTTCGAGAGGCAATTCGAAAGGGCGTATCTTCCGCCCATCTCCGCACTGGAAAACTTTTGGCCGATCCTATTGTGCTCGCTCTGCTTCAATGGCTTCTTTTCGCTGCTGCGTATGGGGGCAAAGATCCCCTCCATGTAGTCTTGAAGCGCCTTCACGCCATATGCCTTCGGCGCCTGTTGCGCGATCTTGGCCATAGTTGTCCATCTTTTGACATTTGTCGTCTGTCCTCTGCCTCTTGTTCTCCATGATCTCTTTCCTGTTCTCAATAAAGAGGAGATGCAGCAACCCTTCGTAGGTGTCTCTCGCTAGATCTTGGGTCCTCGCTCAGTACCACATATTCTTCTCCATCATCGTCCTCGAGTCTCTGTCGTTGCTGGCGTTGCTGTTTCCCCAAAGCAGTAACTCATGGGCGGACGTCCGAGGGCAATGCAAGATAAAGGCCCCACCACTTTTTAATGGATTACGAAACATTTCGCCCTCGTCGTTTCCACGCTCACCGTTCCCTGATCTGCCGTCTTCGAGCTCGTCATTATCTGGTCAACATTGTCCGGCTCATCAATCTCAGGATTGTCGCCATTGGGCTCTTCCTTATCTGGCTTTTTTTCGATGTCAGTGTTCAGGCTAATCTTCATCCACAAGAGAAAAAAAAGTTTGCAGAATAGTACAGAGATGGAGGTGTTACTTTTCGATTAATTGTGTCTAGGAATGCTAGCGGATCACATTGTATGTTTGCGGTGGCATTCATCTACGATATACCGAGGACCAAATCTTTGATCGGCCTAAAATTCGGTATGGGTTTTGTGAAAGTTCTCGGGCAAGCTGCTTAACCTGGATCGTTAGCAGATCCTTTATTGGTGGCGCTCCTGAGCCGACCATGCCCATCGCAAGCGAGAGAGGCGTCCTAATGACCGTAAAACCGTACTTTCCATGCAGAAATGTATCAAGTGGATCCATCCGCCTCTCCTTCTTTGAACGGCTGCTGGATACAATATTGCTTTAACGCGCAACGGAAAGAATGATCCTATTGACGCGTTGCACAGCAATTCTTTTTTTGGAACGACGGAGGTTTTTTTTTTTTTTTTTTTTTTTTAGTTCCATTACCGGTGGTGGGTATGCTTGGTTAGCATTGCCAGAGAGTCCTTTCCTGAAATCGCCACCAACTTGTTTTATTGACATATGTGCCTACTTGCTTTTGTCGGCTCACTCTCTACCTCTTTGTTCCTCGTGCCGTCCATTTCGCCACCAATTTCTTGGACCTTTACCTGCTTCTCTCCAGCTAGCTTGCTACAGACCTCCTCTACCTTGTAAGTATGGAAAATGAGCTGGAATACATCGGTATGTTTGGATATCGCTACCTATCTTCCTTTGATAATTACCACGTGTAAGTTCCTGCCTTCATTTCACCGAGCACCGTTCACTGTGCACATTTTGCCCCTACCTTGTAAGTATCCGGCTGATTTGTACACGGCGTTGGACACGTTATCGATCATTCTCTTGCACATGGCATTTTTTCAGCAATCGTGCAGTATGGGCATGGACGTTGACGGGGCATTCCCACTGCTATCAGAGAACGGGCATTGTTTGTCGAAAAAGAATGCAAAACTTTGAGAAGAACGAGTTTTATGCCAACATTTTGTCGGGCTATTTTTTTTTGGGTGCATACACAGCGGGATCTCAAGGCGACACACCAAGATCATCAGTATCGCTCAACATCCTGTACGCAAGATATTAGCCAACTAACAGCGGATCGTACAAGGGAATGGCCTGGGTTTCCTGCATATCAGCTCCATTATCAGATTTAGCCTGGACGCTTTTATTCAGCAAGTCGGTCAACGTCTCTCGGACATCGTCCAGACTCATTGCAGAAGGAATACCACAGAGCCCGTAACCCCTGCTAAATAAAACAACGTCGAGTGGGTGTTAGGCAAAGGTTGCAACATCTTGTCGGGGGTCGGTCTGGAGCAAGGGATCTCCAATGTCTATGGCCAAGTTTCTCTCTTTTTTTTTATTTTTTTATTTTTTTGGGGGGGAGGGGGGGAGAAGGGATAGGCGTTGGTCCCGGTGTAAGGAGTACGGCAGCAACATGGACACTAGGAACCTCGCAGTTGTCATTGGTCTGCTAGGAAGAAGTTTGCTAAGCAACTAAATCGCCCTTTTTTTTTTTCGCCTCTGGGGTTTCCGGATTGGGTAATTACTGCTAGTGTTCACCAGTTGGTTAACTATCGCTTCAACAAGTTGCCAGCAAGTCGTTATCACTGGAGCATAACAGCAAACAGAGGCATGGTAGCTCAATCCTCATGGTCAAAAAACATATCAACAACCGCAAGAGTGGACATGGCGGTCGAGAGGATGATCAATATAGCTGGTCACAGGGGCCAACTAGGAGAAGGTTCTGAGCTTCATCGACCTGTCCAAACAAAAGGCAAGCGGATAAAGCATGGACAAATGACACAAACGCTTTTGAAAAATACTTTTCTGCTGACAGGTTGAAGCAGTCGATCTCAGAGCTGTAAGGGTAGGTGAATTTCGAACGAGCGTCACTTGCTACAAGTATAGGGTTGTAGGCAAGGGCGATCAAGTGCGATGGATGGGACGAAGCAAGAGATAAGGACTACGACACCGGCCACAACATGGTACGAGCCGCCTTTCACTTGATCCAGCACGGAGGATGGGCTCCAGATCTTTCAAGGCCACCCCAACAACAGCAACAGTAAGCCCCGCGTGAACCTTGGCTCATATTTAGATTAGTCGCTATCCCTTGGGGCATGAGGAGGGGGTAAAGTGGATGGATGCAGTGGGAATCGAAACGAAAGAAAACAAGCAGGTTTCTGTCTTCTGGACGTTTGCCCCAACGAACGGAACGGGTGCCTGTCGCATTCTCTGCAGCCGCGTTTCTGTCTGGCATCTGATAGGACGGAGGGAGATACGAAACAGGCAGACCGCTGAAAATACGACACGCGAATATTTTTGCCACCAAAGTGTACGACCACAAGAGAGTGCGAAAATCGTGTGCTGCATCTGCATGCGGACACATACCGTAAGCAGTTGTGGTGCCAGAGGGCGCCTCGATATGCTGATTACCCACTGGAATTGGATCCCGACAACTGGGGTCCAGCGGAGAAGATCCCGTAATTGTTAAGTGTAGATGTGGTCATCGGCTACGATCGATCCCTTCCACCCTCCTTTCCTTTCTCCGTTCTGTATCTCGCGCTGCTCATCCCCCGCTTATCGACGCGTGTATCCTTGACTTGCCCCCTTCCCTCCCTCCCTCCTTCCCTCCTTCCCTCCTTCCCTCCTTCCTTGACCACCACCACCACCGACAACCACCGCCTCCTCCTCCTCTGCGGACACATCCCTTTCATTCCTTTCATTCCTTTTCCTTTACTGTTTGTCTCCCTTGAATATACGCGCTTTTTTTCTTTTTTATTTTGTCATTGTCCCGAAGCGAATCACTTTTTTGCGAAGATTCATCCCACTTCACCCAACGCTCTCATTCAACTTTGTCAAGAAAGAAAAAAAAAACTTTGTTGGCGGGTGGGCAGAACAGAGCACACACGTTACTTTTCCCTACACCCGCTACAATAGCATATCATTTCGTACGCGCACACCCTCTTCTCCTCTCTCTTCTCTCCTTCACTTCTCTCTCCACCCCACACCCCTCTCTCTTCCCTTCTTTTAGCCCACTTTTTCTTTATTATTATTTGTCAACACAGCCTCAAACCAGTCTAAGCAAACACACCCTCCTCCTTCCTTTTTCTTCTTCTCTTTACCCCACACTTGCACACCTCCCCATATCTCACACTCAATTGCTTACATTCAGAGTACACCCTCCTCGCGACACCCACGTACTCTCTCATCCATTCATTCCCTCACACTCACACCGGGCACTCCCGCATTCTCATGAACAACACCAATATGGAACCAGGTGGAATGGCCATGGCATCTCTCAGTCCAATGGACGACGCTGCTCTACGCGCGGAACAGTTTCAGGAACACCAGCTTCGTCTGCAGGAAAAATTCCGGCTGCAGCACCAGCAACAGATGGGGCTCGCTCAGACCAGTGCCCACCCACACGAGCCCGACGGCATGCAACCTTATTACAACTCCCAGGGCCAGCTTACCTATCCAACCTCAAGCCCATGCTACGAGGCCAAACCAAAGTACGGTCTGGGTGATTTTGACCTCCTGGAGACTTTAGGTAAACTGATAGAGGGATCGCTCTTAATTTTTTTTGCCTTTGGTCAATCTTTTCCTTTACTATTGGTCCATCTTTTCCATTTTTTTCTTTTTATTGTTGGCGCGCTTTATTTTTTTTTATTTTATTTTTCTTTGCTGCACTGTTCATTTCTGATGGACGATGCGAGGGGGAACGAGCCAAGATATGAGACATGCATGCCTGCTCATGATGGACAAAAGAATGAAAAAAGGGCGCACGATGAAAGACCAAAAAAGAAATTACACAAAAAGGGCACTGAGCACGCACACACAGTGAAGATGAGATCCATTTGGTGTTGGGTGAGTAGAGTGGGGAAATGGGAGCGCGAGGGTGTCCATGTGTGTGTGTGCAACCTGGCTTTTTTTTTTATAACACTCGGCTCTCAATCCAAACAACACAACAAAAACGGAGGCGTGAGTGTTCTGGTCTTTGCAAAGTCTTTTCGTCTTCCTAAGCATCCGGCAACCAGCAACAAGCACCGGCAGCATGTCCAAACAGCGTTGTGTTGTCCTCCGTCGGATCGATCTGCTGCAGTTTCGATTTGGCGTACGAGCGTGTATGCGTCCTTGTTGTTGTTGCTGCTGGGGGGTTTTTTTTTCGGCATGCGTGTGCGTATGGTTTTTTTTTTTTGAGTTGGGATGCATCGGGGGGTGCACGCAGGAAAACACGATGGACACACTCTCTCTGACCGAGAAGGACACCCATCCATCGGACATGGGGTTGTTAGTCTTTTGCTAGCAGCAAAATAAAGAGAAAGAGTTCGACATACAGTACACATTCCCACCCTATCGCCCCCTTTCCCTTTCCCTTCTTGTTTTTACCACCATTGCCGTCCGTCTTTCTTGAAGAAAACTTTCTTTTTTTTTATAGGAGCAACATGAAATGGAGTAGGAGAAACTGTACAGTGGTGGTGCATGTCCCTTGATCTCTTGACATACTTCCTGGAGGATAAAAAAAAAAAAAAAAGAGGCGAGCAAAAGGGAAAAAGGAAAAGAGCCAGGCATGCGAATTGGTACATGGACTGAAGTCTCGAACTCAGTGGCGGGCGGACTTTGGTGCAGAATGACGCTCAATGATGCCGAGCACAAGCGCGCGGGAAGACGGATTGTCTCTTTCTGGGAAGAATTGGATCTAACCCAGATCAGACCGTCAACTCTCATCACACCTTCCTACCCTCTTTTGCCATCACCGGGCACCACCAGCTCGAGCCATTTGTACCAGCAGCGACATGTTTGACGTGACGATGGTAGCAATTGGGTGATTGGGGAGAGGGGCGAATGTTCCCACTGTGCTTACACATCTATCATTGTCGTTCTGGTCACCGCACCAAGAAGGCCGCACTGTCCTGTTTCAGTCTTGCGGAGTGTCTTTAGTACGCATTCATAAAATACACACACGCGCACTCGCACACAGACACACCCTAAAAACCACATACACATGTACATCAGGGGAATTAATTAGCAAGAGAGAGAACGTGAAGAGAGGCATTTGTCAAGGTGGTCCGCCCAGTCGACTCTATCTCAGAAATAAGGTTGCTGCTCGGGAGGGTGAAGCATTGGGCCTGATCTTTTTAATGTGCAAAAGAGAAGGGGCAGTGAACAAGTGGGACACTTGTTGTTGTTTTTCCCGGCAAGCCAAGAGGCAGGAAGAAGAAGAGGAGGAGGAGGAGGAGGGATCATGCTAAAGCATAACATCGCCATCCTATCCATCTCTTTGCTGCTGTTGCTTCTGGATGGCGTTTTGCGCGCGTGGATTGATATTGGTTACACTTAGGTATATGTTTAGATCCCGGTGTTTTGGGCCCTTCTTCACATGCAATTTTACACACCCCACACCACCATTGCTGCTCTTGCACGAAAAAAAAAAAAAAAAAAAAAAAAAAAAAAAAGGCTGGGTCATCATGGTTCTGGGCAGAGATGGTATTACATTTATTCCCCCTCTTCACCCATTTTTAGAAATGTGCGCCTATGTGTGGTTTGGCACGGTGGTTTTGTCCACAGCTTTTTGGCGTCCCTTTTTATTTGCCTTACGCTGGCACGTTCATTTGCTGTCCTCTTCCTCTCAGGCCCCGTGCAATGATTGCATTCCATTCTTTTTCAGGGGGGGGAAAAGACAGAGTTGTTTGGAGGGAACAATGACAAAAAATAAAGCGGATCTAGTGGTTGAAGAAGAAAGAAAAAACGACCGAGCGCATTATGCACTAACAGGTCCTGGAACTTATCTCTCCCTACCCCTGTTTTCTTGTTATTTTCGTTATCTAACTTCTCTATCGCTCTTTTATCTCTACTGGCTTTGCCGGCTAGGAACGGGCACATTTGGACGTGTGTACTTGACAAAGTTCCGCCATAACCAGACGTTTTATGCAATGAAGGTCCTCAAAAAATCGGAGGTCGTGCGGCTGAAGCAGGTCGAACACATCAATTCCGAAAAGCAGATCCTCTCTCAAGTTCATTTTCCGTTCATCGTCAACCTGTACGTGAAAGGGAGCCTGGGGGATACAGCGCACAAAGCGGGGGAATGCCAATGAAGAAAACAACAACACGCAGGTCCGATCGCTCGTTGTTTCTCACACACAACACGCAATCCTATTCTATACTTTGTTTGTCATACAGGTTCACGACATTTCAGGATGATCGCAATTTATACATGCTCCTGGAATATGTCATTGGAGGCGAGCTCTTCTCTCATCTGCGGAAGGCCGGTCGATTCACGAACGACATGACGAGGTTCTATGCAGCGGAAATCGTACTAGCCATCGAGTACATGCACGAAAGGGACATCATTTACCGCGATCTGAAGCCAGAAAACCTGCTGCTTGACTCTGCAGGACATGTCAAGATCACGGATTTCGGCTTTGCTAAACGGGTAGAAGACAGGTAAGCTTCACGACGAAAGTTATGTACACGCGCCGGTCCTCCTTCTCAATGTTCTGGAGCAGCAACCATGGCGAGGTTGAGCATGTGTTTTATGCTTCATGGACTTTATTTAGGCGGAAGAGCCATGGCTGGCGTCATTGCGCGTTATGCACGCGCATCTAGTTTTTATTTTTGTTGAGATGTGAGCCTACTCTGCGCCCTAAGAACTGGACTGATCGGTCCAGTCGACAACGGATAATGGAGGCATTGGACAGTCGGGATGCTTCGGGAAACAGCTTACGGCATGAGAGTGAGCACCAGCATCTCTACAAAAGCTCGGGGAAAAAGAATTCTTCGGAGCTCTTTTATGCATCATCTTGCCGACACGTCAGGATGGATGCAAGGTGAAACTTTAGTAGCACAGCTGCAGAGACTACAGGAACATCTTCAAGCTTACAGCACCAATCAAGGGTGCATTTCTGAACATGCACGGTCGACTAGAAACTAACGATGGATATCTGCTTCCCGTACCATTCGATTGCGGACACTAGAACGTGGACGTTGTGTGGAACGCCCGAGTACTTGGCGCCAGAGATCATTCAATCAAAAGGACACGGCAAACCAGTTGACTGGTGGGCGCTGGGCATTTTGATCTTTGAGATGCTGGCAGGGTATCCACCGTTCTTTGACGACAATCCCTTTGGTATCTATGAAAAGATTCTGGCCGGAAAGATTTATTTCCCAGCACACATTGATTCGGCAGCGAAGGATTTGATCAAGAAACTGCTTACCGCTGACCGGACCAAGCGCCTAGGGAATCTCAAGGTAAATGATGCCACTCCTACCTAAATGTCCGAGAGATCTGCTTTGTGGTTGCATGCAGATGAAAAAAAATGCACTGTTGCACAAAAGGATCTAATCGTGCTGCATAATATGGCATGTTATCGGTGTCTCCGCAATTAGGGAGGATCGGACGACATTAAGAGCCATAAGTGGTTCAGGGGCGTGGACTGGCAAGGACTGATGGACCGGACGGTAGTTGCACCAATAGTACCGCCCTACGTCCATCCAGGCGACACTGGCAATTTCGAAAAATACCCCGAGGTCGTTGACGAGGATGCAGGGCACATGGGCGACCCATATAGATCGTACTTTGTCAACTTTTGAGGAAACAAAGCGCCAGACATCGAAACGGACTACTGAGGCAGACTTTTTTTATTTTACAACCACCACCACCACCACCACCACCCCATTTTATTCTCCGCATCGATACCACCTCAGTACGCTCCTCCGATCGGTCATTCAATTGACAACGCTATTTTATCGACCCATGCAGCCAGAAGGGACAGACAGCACAATACAAAATGTCCTTTTTTACTCCTCCCTCTTTTCTCACTTCCGCGAACTCGAACGTTTAACAACACTCTAAAAACCGATCGACCGACAGCCTTTTTTTTTCTTTTCTTTTCTTTTTTTTGTTCTTTTTCTCTCTCTCTTTCATTTGTTCAGCATCATCCCATGTAATTTTATCTCTATGAGTACCCCCGCTACGAAAAAGAAATGCAAAAAGGATTAGTGTAAGGGATGCGATCGAACAAGCCCGTGCTACCAATTCATTTTAAGAACCTTGGGGGCTTTGGATCGGAGCAGTTCACTTAAGGGACCCCCAGATCAGCAGCAGAGTTGTGACTATTCGAGAAATACGGATACAAAGCATGTAGCACAGCACAGCGCAACGCAACGCAGCATAGCATACAAAGATTACGGTTTCCTTGCAGGTCCTCTTTGCTGATCCTCTTTGCGACATCCAAGAGCTGGTTCCATAAAAGCGCGCTTCCTATCCTTTTTTTTCTTTTTTTACTTGGCGGTTCAAAAAAAGAAAAAAAAAGAAATAAAGCAATCTTTTTAATATGCCATTTTTTTTTTCGAATTAAAACACCGGAGAAAAAAAAAATGCAGCCGCAATCATAATCATTATTCGACATGCACTTCCTTTCAATCTTTATGCTACGGAAGCCGGGACAAGGAGCAGAGTCCATGGCGCATGAGGGGTTCATGTCACACATGTTTCAAAAGGGATCCAATTTGGGCCCATCCGTTGAACCCAATTATGGCATTGCTTCCATTCAAGATACACTTTTGTAGACTTTGGCACAATTCGCAGACGCGGATGATGAGGGGAGTGGGGGAGGGTCATTTCTTTTTATCATTGTGTATTTATTGGACAAATCGATTATCAAAAAAAAGGTCCTTCGTTCGTTTCCTTTCAAAAGTAACTTGCAGAAAGAAAAAAGAGAGAAAAGAAAAAAAGAGAAAGAATTTCTTCATATCTCAAAAGGATAAATCCAAAGAGTCTGTCGGTCGCGTCCGTCCAATGCTTCCCTGATATTTTTTTTTCTTCAAGCAAAGCTGTGGTAGATAGATCCCAATGGCTCCTCCAAAGAAAAGAAAAATAGTCCTGATGGGTTGTGTAGAAGTTTCTTCCGCAATTGCTCGTCTCCCGTATGCATTTGTCGGGTTCTTTTGATTAATCGATTTCTTCTTCTGTGAATGCTCTGCCGCCTCTATCGTATCGTTTTTTTTTTTATTTTTATTTTTTATTGTTGTTGTTGTTGGTGGTGGTGGTGATGGTGGTGGATATACATCGCGGTCCAGGTCCTTTAGTTCTTGACACCCTGTTACCACCAATGGAAAAAAAAATTCCGAGTGGATGTTAAAAAAACCGTCGATTCAACATATCCTGCTGTTCCGGTGAAGATATAATGATGATGATATAAAAGATGAGAAAGAAAAACTTACACGAGCCATCTTGGTGGCACCGTAGAGGCTTCCGATAAGACCGACGGTCATCAATCCGGCAAAGGCGGTCATGATGAACTTGTCACCACCCTTCTTGAGGTAGATTGGGACGTTGGTGTTGGTCTATGGATATCCAAATTGCAAAAACAAAAAAAAGATATTTGAGTATTTTGATGTGAGAAACCTAAAGGTAGGCGCGTTTTTCATGGTTCTGGAAGAGGTTGGTGGGTATGAGTAAATGTATGACATCGCTTTTTTTTTTTTTTTTTTTTTGGCGTTCAAAGTTAAGAGGCCTGGAAGCGATTTTGGTGGTCCTGTCGGAAGTCGGAAAACGAGCTCGCGTTTGCGTTCACGATCCAGCATCCTTTGTTATCATTATTATCATTGTTTGTCCGATAGCATCTCCGTATAGAACTCCGAAGTCCCGTATACGAAAGTCGAGTGAGGATTGCAAAACAAAAGGGAGTAAGGTCGTTCGCACGTACCTGGTAGAGACGCTGGAGGTGGGGGACAGGGTTGGGGCGGTTAACAAGAGACATGGCTGATTGCTGTGTGCGTTGGGAGTGTTGAAGTGTCGGATGTGATGAATCGATCGGCGAAAAAATACGGAAAGGAGTGGCCAGCCCACTGGTTTTGCTCACGTCACTTGAAAGGTAATTGTCACGTGCGAGACCCCAATGGAAAATTGTATCTTGAAGCGGGTTGCCTGCAGAGGTGAAATCCCCCTCTTTTCTCTAATATCCAAACGAAGATGACCAAAGGTGATTAGAGGGAGAGCTCATCCAACACACTCATCGACCCATCGATCCAATTGCAGCCAGGATACTGATACGGATCGACATAAACTCAACAGGATGTTTGAAGGATTCATCGATGGATGGGCTTATCGTCTTCAATTGCAGTCTCGCCATCGCTCCGCCCTCATCCTTTCATCGAGCCACGCTTTGAAGCAGCAGGTGGTGATCAATGGCAATGGACTAAGGATGGGTGAACGCTAAAGGAGAGGCAGCGTCTGAGTAGAACTACTCAAATTGCTGCCCGAGCGACTGGTCTAGGATCGTCAGAGGCATCAGGAATAGCACAAAAGAAACTGAACTACATCCAGAAACGCTGCTCCACCACCATCCAACCATTAAGATCACACAGGAGAAAAGTCGATGCGCTATGGGAGGAACTTTTGAAACGACCTTTTTTTCTCTTATCAGGAATCAACCTTCCGTCAGACAAGCGCTCAAGATCGCAGGATTATGAAGCACCGAAACTGATCCATCCTCTCTCCGTCTTCCTCATGGATCTGTTCTTGTCGTAGCTGCTTCGGATAAGAACAAGGCTCTCGCCGCCAAGAAGGCTGCCTTGAAGGGTGTCAACGGTCAGAAGGCTCGCAAGATCCGCACCTCGACCACCTTCAACCGCCCCAAGACCCTCAAGCTTGCTCGCAACCCCAAGTATGCCCGCAAGTCTGTCCCTCACGTCCCCCGTTTGGACCAGTACAAGGTCTTGAAGGCTCCCCTCAACACCGAGTCCGCCATGAAGAAGATCGAGGAGAACAACACCCTCGTCTTCCTCGTTGACGTCAAGGCCAACAAGCGCCAGATCAAGGATGCCCTCAAGAAGATGTACGATGTTACCGCCCTCAAGGTCAACACCCTCATCCGGTACGTTCACTCATTTTTCTTCAGTTTCTCTGGCTGTTTTAATATTATGATCCAAATTGGAGCCCGGTGGGAAAAGTCACCGGAGGAAAAGGAATGGACAGGACCGACTTGATTGGAATACACAGGATCCCATTCAGTAGCGCGTCTTTGGTACTTGACAAAGAGCATTACAATATGGAGACCATGGCAACTGAGGCAACATTGTTCGAGCAAATTGACAGTATGCAACCAGGATTGGCCCAAAAAAGATCGATACATCTTCAGCATTACTATTATTATTATTCAGTATTCGCTGTGCTTGAGCATACAATCGGTGTGAATACAGCAACAACACGGACCTTTATCTGAATCCCTTTGGTGTTACAATTGAACCATACCTCTGACCACGCTTTACTTGATTTTTGATTTAATTCGCATCATTAGCCCCGATGGCAACAAGAAGGCCTACATCAAGCTCACCGCTGATGTCGATGCCCTCGATGTCGCCAACAAGATTGGATTCATCTAAATGCGTTCAATAAACCTCTCTGCTGCGCGCGCGACGTTTTCCGTGTTGGCAACTTTGAAATTACACATTTCACATCTGTCATCCCTTTCAACTGTCTTTATCTATCTGTATATCTGCATGTCTGCCGGTTCTGTTCGGCCTTGATTTACTTCTGGGTTTACGTATTTCGTACTTGATCGTACAGCGGGCAAAAAAAAAAAAGAAAGAAAAAAAAGAAAAGAAAAAAGAATGGTACAGTACAAGGAATGCGAGCAAAAAAAAAACAGTAAACCAAAGAAGGGTGTTGTTATACAAAGAATCATTATGTACAAGGACAAAATAGCCAATAATTCGAAGTGGGGTTTCCCACCGGAGAAAATCAGTCGATCATCGCAAGCAAAAAAAAAAAAGAAAAGAAAAGAAAAAAAGAAAAAGATGCAAGGGGCCTAAACGGTGTACATAGCCTTCGCTCTTTTAACGGATTGTCGCGACGACACCAGAGAGTCCATCGTCTTCTCGCCTTTCTGCCCGACTCTTCTGGAAGACGTTCCAGAATCGTAGGGTCTCATCTCCGGCGCCTGTGACAATCGTCTGGCCATCGGGAGACAGGGCCAAGTACAGAACACGATATGAATGTCCGGAAAGTGAAGTGATCTGCTGCATGCTCGGGTATTTCCACACCAACACTTGATTCTGTGAGTATCCATGTGTCGAGACCAGCTCGTTCGTCGTCTTGGACCATGCTAGATTGCATACCTATTAGCGTGTGGCCGTGTAGATAAGGTGATGAATATATATCACTCTCATATAAACAGAGAAAGGGCTGTTCTTTAAAAACCTTACTGGACACATTACCTGCGACCCTGTGTCCGTGGCACCAACAGATACACCGGTAGTTGTGTTCCAAAATCGGATATGTCGATCGGCGGTACCGCCTCCGCTCGCTAGGAGTCCAGACTGGTGTGGGTTCCAATCGATAGCCTTCACAGCTGCATTGTGATCTCTAAACTTGTACAGCGGCCGGAGCGCGTCCCTCTCCCAGACCATCAGTTTGTTGTCGTTGCCTCCACTGGCGAGCTGCGTTCCTGCGCTGTTCCATTTTAGTCCGCAAACCTATCGCAATCAAAAGCGAAGGCATATTTTAATAAATCAGCCCATCTTTGAAAGGCCTGGCAATCATTCTAGAGAGTGTACAATGCAATAGATTTTGATTTTTTACCTCTCCGGTATGGCTCGTCAATTCGTGCTGCCACATCTCGTGCGAACGCACATCGCGGTGATAGATGTGCCGATCGCGACTCCCAGAGGTTAGAATATGATCGTTCCATGCCAAAACACCGACTCGTTGGGTATGACCGGTCATAGTCCGGACTCGCCGACTGTTCTGTACGTCCCAGATTTGAATTAGCCCATTATCTGTACCGACAGCCAAATGCGACCCCTGTATTGTAAAAAAAAACACAAGAATAAGCTGTTAATACGACGATCTTTACGTGAGCATGTCTAAAAGGCGCTATGATGACAACTTCTGTACCATTGAGATCCAGTTGATGGAGGTAACACTGTCATTTTCGCCAAGATCACAGAGTTGAGTGACCTTGCTTGTTAGGGCACTCCAGAGATAGACGCAGCTTCCTAAACCAACTCCCAGCACGTTTTGAGACGACCAATCGACCAGGTTCAGATAGAAGTCATCCTATCGGGAACAATAAAAAAGAAATATTGTTAATAGTGCTTATCGCATGTCCGACATGAAACTGCTGAAATGAAAGCTCATGTGGGGTTTACTTACCCGCAGATCAGGTGCATCCAGGACTTTGAAGGGCACTTTGCTGATCAACCGCGGTGCCTTCTTGGGACTAAGAAGGATATTACGACTCTCCTGCGTCACAACCGTTTGCGCATAGATTTGTCGTGAAGGCGAGTCGAAGGGCATGTTGCCGTTGTTCGCACTTGTCGAGGCGAAAGTAAAGAGTCGACGCGGTGCGCCCATCAGGCTGCTTTCGTGAGTCCCAGGCGTGTTAGTGAGCATTAGTTCGTTGGCAATGACTGTATCGTGGGCTTGATTTTGAGCTTATTGTACGAGCATTAAAACGCGCCGTCATAAATGGAGACGAAGAAAAAGGGTTAAGAGCATATCCTGAAAGGTCGATCAGGGGTCAAGATGTAATTCAATGGACGTACCTGATTTATAGTGATCCGCAACCTGAGAAGCTTGATTAGGAGTGATAGACATGTTCCGTACTCGCTGCCGAGATGGTGTCGAGGGTGTATCTGGTAGCAGTTCAAACTGCTCTGCAAGCGCTCCTTCTCGCTGCGGGATAAACCTATAGGAAGTACTCCACAGATACCTTAGTGTACAATCCTTGCAAAGGATCTTATCTAATTGCCGGTTATTCGTAGAAGACAGTCGACTTACCTGTCGTAGCGCTTCTTTGATGGTGATTTTAGCCCTGGTGACCTTAGTCCTGGTGACCTTAGTCCTGGCGGTAACCCAGAGCCGCCAATGGTCTCGTAATTCGGCTGAGCGCTCGAAGATGGTATATTGGCGCCGGACTTTGCTGCGATGCCTTCTACATTAGACATGTTTTGGTTGGCAATATTCTTTGCGCTGTCAGCGTTGATGTTGATGTTACTGAGGTTGTCGATGTTACCCATGCTGTCACCGGTACCATTATTGCTGATAATGTTGCTACTGATGGCACTGCTACCGCTGATGTTGTTCGCGCTCCCCGATAAAGTGTTGCTCATCATCATCATTTTAGCCTTTTTCACGCCTGTCGAGGTGCTACTTGCCACTACTGCTGTTGTAGCGGTGGTAGTAGGAAGGCCTGCATTGGATGACCGCCTGATGGCGACGCTTGGAGGTGGCACGAGGTTGTTCCCCGCTGACCGACGCGGACTTGCAGCCCTTGCTGCATTTGCTGTCGAGAGCGAGGGTCCGTGACCGAACACACTCCTGCCGATGGTCGGACCCGTCGGTGTTCCTGGCGGCCCACGAGCTCTAGCTGCTCGTACATGGGCAACTGTTGTGCGAATAGCTCCGCCGGCCATCCTGCTGGACTGTGCACCGTTCGTTGAGGTTGGAGAGAGGAGACCGGGTTGATGCGATGGAAGGGCATGGTTATGTCTAGTGGCCGAGTGTTCGTCTGGCGCAGCTGGTGTTGCCGGCTGGGTGCTATCGGACTGTTGCACAGCCTGGACGCGCCTCTTGAACTCGGAATCCATGCTAATGTATAGCGTTGTTAAGTGGTGAGAGAGTTGGTGTGGTTGAAGAGACGGGGTTTATAAGACAAGTGCTTATGCGAGAGTCGAGTGCCGTTTTTTTTTTGCACCCGCTTTATGCTGTCCTGAGTTGGTCTCTGGATAAACACCAGCAGCACAGCTGTTGTCTTGTCGTGGGTCGAGCGTGAAAGACTGAAAGAGAAGGCGGCAGAAGAGAAAAGGAGGAGCTGGAGCTGTGCTTTATGCTATGCTGTTGTACTGTGCTGTGTTGTGTGTGTACATGTGAAGGACGCGTGTGTATTAGGTCGTCAGTCAGCTCGTGCGCCCTGGATTGTTGAATAGTTCGATAATTGGATATTGGCGGTGCGATAGAATAGATTGCCCGATAGAATATAAGATAGATAGAGTAGCTTCGGCTGAGCGGGTGGTGGGTGGGTGGGACGGGTGTGTACGTGCTCAGACTATCGCGGGAATGGGTTATCGGTCTTTTGGTGCGTGTGCGTGGACGTAAAGGAGGCGGCGAACGGCGACTGCTGTTTGGATTTGATTTCGATTGAGATTAACAACAAAAAAGGATGGAGATGGTGGTGAGCTTCGGAGAAAAAGGAAGTGATGAAGATAAGAAAGAGAGAAAGAGAAAGGGAGAGAGGAGAGAGAAAAAGAAGGTTGTGATTGAAAGGGATGAAGGAAGGAAGTTGATGGAGATGGATGAGGGAGTACTTGATGGTCCTTTCGAAAATATACTCTTATTTTTTTTCTCTGTCGCCCTTTCCGTGTCGTTGTTTTTCACCCTGGCAGACATGAAGAGCAACGCTTTGTCCATTACAGGGAAGCCTTCTTGGGAGGAGACGATGATGACCGAACGGGTCCTGGGTGCGGAATCCTCTTTCTTGCTCCCCAATACCCACAAAGAGGACTATGTGGACTCCCCAGGAACCTCATAGATTGCCACCAATATGTTATGAATATGAACATCCACTATTTGCTCGACCACGGTTCGATACCCACAAAAAGCGACCACTTGATGACGAAAAAAAAAAAAAGGCGCCTCTGGCAAATGAAACTCTCTTCCTACCCCAGCACATTGTGCATTCAATGAGAGCTTTTGCAATAAGACTCGGAAATACATGTGCAAGAGCACATGTCATGGCTGTGCAAGTCCCAACCTGGCTCCCCCGTTTGACACAGGACTCTCCCTCACGCCTGGTTCATACCCCTTAAATGATCCTGTAGCCTCTGAGTACGACCCTCTTTGTTGTTGTCCTATCAAATAGTGGCTTAAGCACCTTTTTTTTTTTTTTTTTTTTTCTCTTCGCCTTTTATGGAGTCCAGTCCTCTTGCTCTCTTCACCTCATCCTTCATCAACACTCCTCATCACCTCAACAATGTCGGCCATGGAAGAAGACACACAGACCGCAAAGGACTACTACTTCGATTCGTATGCCCACTTCGGTAAGTTCTATTTGCTCGCACTGAACAATTCTTGGAAAAGCTCAACTGCTGTCAAAACGTCGCTCTCTTCATATGGAAACGAAGGATAAACCTAATGATCGGTACTTCATTTCCCATACTCTACCCTATATTCATTGCGCCCTTTGGTCTACTTCATACACAGGCATTCATGAGGTAAATGTCGGCGCATTATATAGACTGATTCTGTCCTCATCAATGGGTCTAGATATCGTGCACTGTCAATCGGATTGGTCACTGATACTCTTCTGCTCTATTCTCTGTTTTGTGCTCTAGGAAATGTTGAAAGATGAGGTCCGTACCTTGACCTACCGTGCCTCCATTTACCAGAACCGCCACCTTTTCAAGGATAAGATTGTTCTCGATGTTGGATGTGGAACCGGTATTCTTTCCATGTTTGCCGCCAAGGCCGGTGCCAAGATGGTCATTGGTGTATGTATTACCATTTTTTCTGTCAACAGGAACTGCTACTCAGTTAAGGAAATAGCCTGACATGTCTTCCCTTTCCATGCTTTCTACAGGTTGATATGTCCAATATCATTAATAATGCTCGTGAGATCGTCAAAGACAACAAGCTGGATCACATCGTCACCTTGATCCAAGGCAAGATGGAAGAAGTCGTCCTTCCCGTTCAACATGTCGATATTATCATTTCTGAGTGGATGGGCTACTTTTTGCTCTACGAGTCCATGTTGGATACTGTCCTTGTCGCCCGTGACAAGTACCTCGCCCCCGGTGGTCTCATCTTTCCCGACAAGGCTACCATGTACATTGCTGCCATTGAGGACGGTGATTACAAGGATGAGAAGATCGGATACTGGGATAATGTCTATGGATTCGACTACTCATCTATCAAGAAGGTTGCCCTCAAGGAGCCCCTGGTCGATACCGTTGACGCCAAGGCCATTGTCACGACCGAATGTGCTTTCAAGAACATTGATATCTTGACCGTCAAGAAGGAAGATCTGGCCTTTAAGGTTCCTTTCTCCATCACCGCCAAACGTGATGACTATATCCACGCCTTCATCTCGTGGTTCGATATCTGGTTTGATGCCTGCCACAAGCCAGTCCATTTCAGCACCGGTCCATTTGCCAATTACACCCACTGGAAGCAGACCGTCTTTTACACTAAAGACGCCATGACCATTAAGGAGGGTGAGACCATCACTGGAGAACTCACTTGCGCGCCTAACGGCCGCAACCCCAGAGATCTTGACATTGTAATCGACTACGAATTTAGTGGCAAGCAGATGTCACTCAAGGAGAAGAACGAGTACCGAATGTGCTAAGACGGATCCGGCCAGGGCTGATGCTACCTATTATTCTTCGCGTTCACTTTCTCTTCCCTCTTTTCATTTTGTTAATCTCGCTTCTTACTGGACTCTTTAAAGCCATGATATCCATCCCCTCTCTTTCTACCATCCTTCCGAGGACTGGTGGACTGGAGGACGGCGAAGAAATAGTGAGGAAGAGAAGCATCGATTGTACCATACATAAAATTGCATTTCGTCTACATACAATACTTCAAAAAAAGTAACAAAGAGTGCTATTTACATGAATACAGAAGCAGAAAAAAAAGATGCTCAGAGCAATGCCTTTTACTCCGTCTTGATCTCCGACTTCTTCAAAAGACCCTTGCTCTTGGCGAAACCTTCAACCTTGTTCCATTGCTCCTGAGCCATCTGGCGACCCTTCTCAACATGCTCTTGCACCAGCCCATTGGCCTTGGCCACTTGGGCATCGATCAATGTCTGATTATCGATGTACAAACGAGGGACAGCGAACAGCGAGACCAAGATCATGGCCAGGAGTGTGGTCGTCGCAAACCATGTGCGGAGAGTCCAGACTGCGTAGAAGATACCGATATACTAGATACCATGCAAGCAAGCAATTTAGTATTAGTTATGTATCTTAAATCAACAAGCTAATTGTCAAAGATCTTGAGGATGATGGCGTTGTTGTTGTTACCTTCAGACTGCGCTTGTTGTTCTCGATAAGCACGACCTTGGCCAGCTCTGTCAGGACGACATTCAGACCATCTGTCACATAATCAACCCTGCGGTGGAGAGTGTCTGTATCAACATGCACAAACTCGGCGGAACGGGAGTAATATTTTCTAAAAGCGAGGCATCGATTTTTTCAACACGAGTCAGTTAAGATCATGTATGCACGGCATGCAGTGCCTGCAATGTGAGAACATCAAATGCCTTTTTTTTCGTACTCGAGTGGACGGCCGCCGGATTTGTTGGTGACACGGTTGAACGCCAAGAGACCATTGACATAGATAAACGACCCCGAGATGCCCAAGACAAAGAGTCCAGAGACGAGGTTCAACAACGAGACCCATCGGCACAAGAACACGAGCGTCAACGATCCAGCCAGGTGAGCGGCCGAGATGACGGGTCGCTCCCACAAAAGAACGCTTCGTAATTTTGGTGACATATAAGCTGAGTGGTCTATCGATGGCCCATGTATGTATGTATGTATGTATGTATGCGTTTAGTACGATATCTCTTTACGGGACCATGGAGAAGGGGGCCGTTACGGTGAGATATCGAGAAGAATACGTACCAGTGACACCAATCTTGCCCTCGAGGCTGGCCTTTGGCGAGTCGCTGCTGCTTCGCTCGCGAGGAGCAGGTGTGGGATCTGCGGACGCAGGCACGGATGCATGTTCGGAGGGATGATTCACCTCAAGGTAACCCAGGCTGGCGCTGTCTTGGTCCATAGTTGAAGAAGATAGGAGAATATGAGCGAACTGTTGGGGTCAGAGAAAAGGACTTGAAGAGAGTATGGTAAGAGAGAGAAAGGATGGGCCAAATTGAAGAAAGATGAAGATGAAGACAGCTTTTATATCGAATGGAGTTCCGCCACGCTTGGCCTGAGGTCCACATTCCCGGCCAGGACCTTTGGTTTGTCGCATGAAAGCGATGCAAGGCAGATAGACTACATGTACTCCAGAGTTTGTTCCCCAGCGACATCTTTCTCCTCTGCGACTGTTGATGTCGTGTCCATTCCCTTCTGTCCCGAACCCTTTGTGTTGCTGCAGCATAAACATCATTTCGCAGGAGAAAGCGCGATATGGAGGGCGGATGAATCGGGAACAAATCCCTCGTCGCTATCCGCAGGATGGATTGTTGTGCAAAAAAAAAATAAAAAAATCAGGGGCAGCGGGAGGGAGAGAGGCTGGGAAGACCAGCATGGGTAAAAACTACATGTACCGCCATTGTACTCACTCACGCTGCGCGTGCAAGGAAATACTATCGACTGGCATGTGCAGCCGTTGGGGAGGGGTTGCCACTGCAGAATGACCAGTGAGAATCGACAGAATTGGCTGTTTTGGACACGACACCTCTGAGACTCATGATGACTGCAGGCAGATGTTACTATGAGACCGAAGGCACATTGGGAACAGGCATTTGCACCACTGACTTGTAAACGAAGTTCGAGTAGGTCGCATAGACATCTTATCTAGATACATACTCCTAGCTGTACATGAAGGACCATCGAGCGAGTTGTTGAACTGGCAAGCGCCAGCCGTACATGTGCACGTACGTGGATGCAAGGATGCTTATTCTCGAGGCGCCGTCTCCATCACTCTATTCATCTTCAACTGCAATCGTCTGGTCCTCTTTTTTGTGTAATAGTCAGCTGCAAAGTGTATCCAGGCTCCAGCTCCTATTTTTCGCCGCTCTGTTTTCCTTTTCGCTTCGTCCTCTGCCTCCTTGAGCTTTGGATGATGAAGCATCCTTTTTCTTACTATTTTTTTGGGTCTATTCTGCTGAGAAAACACGGAGTATCTAGCCTATCGGAGGATGTGACTACAAACAGACAGAGCGCAGCAATACGAAGCTGCGACCGACCATCGAGGATGCGCCGTACACCAGACGTGTCCTACTTGTCTACCATGTCTTTGGCAAGTCGGTTGTCATCAATGAATCTGATTCGCCTGCCCTGCCCGTTTCCTTTTTCGTTTCGGACGAATACGACGTTAGCACAGCATCTTTTCTAGATCTCTTCAAGCAGTTGACCGCATACCCGCCTCCGCCCACTATCTAATATGCCCGTTACTCGCTTTCATCGCGTACGTCTCATTTACTCATGATCAACCTAACAAAGTTCTTTCTGGGATACTTTCTGAGAGTGAGAGAGCTGGCTGAGGCTACTGATAGCACGTCCCCGCGTTCGTCGTCTCTCCTTTGTCATCCTTTCCATTTCTGACGCATGATCTGCTTAGGTCTCTCTTTTTCTTTGCTGTTTCTCCTTTCTCCGTAGTCGTGATGACCCTTGGTAGCGCAAAGGGAGGATGAAGATGAGCCATGGCACTGATGAGCGTTCTCTTTTTTTATTTTTTTTATTCTATGATCAGTTAGAAGCCCCGTAGTCTCGGCCAGAAACTGGATGTCGAATAATGTATTGCCCGCAGGCAACACAGCTCGTCCCGAACATCTCAGACTTCCTTGCAACATTGGAACTCTTGGCATTCTTTACCTCTTTCAAGTTCTACTTTTGATTTTCACAACTCTTTCTCTACGCTCAGCACTCGCAAGATCTAATAGTTTTCACAGCTTCACGGCGCAACACTCCGCCAGTAAAGAAATATTGCCCTCTTTTCCTGTATCCGTTCAGAGGTAATAGTTTTACCTGAATTTAGCGCGACCCTCTACATTCGCAGGCGTTTGATAACGCCAGTTCCCCTTGACAGTTTTGAATACTGAAGGACCGTCCTTGGGAAAAAAAAAATGCGAATATATATAGGAAAAAAAGGATTTTTGCACATTGTTCTTCTTCATACCTCAACGAACACCCCTTCCCACTCGCGCTTGCTAGAGCACTATGAGAATATGAGAACCCCCACTGACAGTTACGTTTTCTATTTGTTCGCTCTGCTTCGCCAACGTCCATTTGAACGTCAATCCAAACTTGAACGACTCCGCTCTTCACCTCGGACAGACAACACCATGAGTGCCCTCAGATTCGCCGAAGGCTACATTAAACCAAAGTAAGCCGCGACAGCGTCAGATGCATCTTACATGTCACAGCGACCGCTATTATGCCAAACATATCCTCACATTTTTGCTCCTTCTTTCATCTCGACCCTGCAGGGAGGTACGACAGTCAACAGGCAATGCTAGGAAGCGAGCGAGTATCAGGGCTCTGGGATCCATCACTTACCTTCAGAAGTACTATGCTTCTGGCGGAACCGTCCGTGAAGGGTAAGTATATCGTTTCCTTTGATAAAAATGCTGACTTTGTAAATATTTTAAATACTAACGAAGACCATTTTACACATAGGCTAATGCTTGATGACTCCAAGAGAAGCTTCGTTGACTCGCTCTCACCTCGCTCAGGACTCATGCCGCCCAGCATCGAGGTCCTGTTGAGAGACTGTCATGAAGATATACAGTTCGTTCTTGAAGTGTGGGGCATCATTAGCTACCCATCGCCATCCGCACATGCTGTCGACGGTCAAGAACAAACGCTGGACTCGCCTCTGTCCGGAGACGAGAGCGACGAGCTGCATCAGCTGGGACATGGCAAGGATCTCTCATACACATCTCTCAATACCGGGCAGCAACATAGATATGACGCTGTGACAATTGACATGCTGACCTTGCTTGAAGCGTCGACCAAGGCTATCTCATCCATTAGGACGTACTCCATCCATGCACCGACTCTTTCATTAGAGTCCCTATCGGCTCATCGGCAGGCAGCTCTCGCTGTGATCGAGATGCTATCGGTCCTGGAATATAAAAGCCGCTTTGAAGATGATGATAGTGAATCTGGATACTTGAATGAATATTCCTACACCCGCCCCAGTTTTGGCGACCTAGAAGAAGAACGCACAGAGATGAAGAAGTACTTGGCTGTAGTGCAGGAGCAGCTGTTCAAGCCTCAGGCGGAGAAAATCAGGACGCAGCTGGAACAACTGCTGATTGCGGACCCTGCCTCTAACAGTGCTGAGGGAGCTGCTTTGCCAAAGTGGATTCTTGATGAGGAATGGACTCCTATGGGAGACAACGAGGCATCCCTTGGTAAGCCCTGGTAATTTTTCCTGATAAGGAGCGCATTGAATTGATATGCTAACAGTTGCATTGTTGCACCAGATCGCTGCCATTCATTCCTAGAGTTCTTTGGGCCTGACACGAGAGATCCTCTCCCATCTCCATCCTCAGACCTGGATGGATTCCTGAATGCCCTGAGGTATGCTCTCCGTTGAACCTGCTGATGGCATCTATGCCGCGTTCGGATGGTGCCTCTCGCTAACATGTCGTCTTTATCCCTGTATATGGCAGTGATGGATATGTGATGTGCATGGTGTTCAATGCATTTGTTCGCCTCACAAATATGCCTTTTGGCTTGGTGGACAAAATCCATGAAGACACCACCCGGACTTGGAGAGCCGTCGATAACTGGCGCTTCTTGATGCAGTAGGTCTTTCTGTCTCCCTTTTTGTAGATCTGTTAGACTGGCAGGCACAAAGGCCGTTTTTAATAACCATTGAGGCGTCTTTTTGTTAACTTGAACTATATAGGGCATGTAAGTTCCGCCTCGAATTCAAGGTTTCTGATAACTCCTTCAAGCCCATTGAGATCGTCAAGTGCACCAAGCGCGGTCGCGAACAGGTATTTTCACTCTCTAAATTCCTTTCTTCTTTTACTCCTTGGTAAAGGCGCTAATATTCATATCTTTTGATTTTACTCGATCTAGATACAATCGTGGGTGAGGATGGTCGTTCATCGAGGCATCCAAGAGGCCAAGGGCACGTTGGCAAACAAAAAGCCAGTATCCCCTATTGAAACATCAACCATCTTTCCAGACTTTTAATGGACGCTTTTTTATTTTTTTTATTTATTGAACGCGCTTTTGTAACATTAATCACCGCCCTTGCATGAAGCCTATTCTTGCAGCGCTTAGAACGATAGAGTAATAAATGTTTACGATAATACATAATAACGTCTCTTGCTGGATGCGTCTCCCCATCTTTGGACGATGGAGCCACATCTACAGCGAATTTTTAAGTGATGCCACTATCCAAAGATGCCATTTTCTGCGTAATTCCTGGACGCGCCAAAATGGCCCCACATCTCAAGACACGCTCGGTTCGATCAGATCGTCGTTGCACAGATAGCTAACATCAGTATTTTTCTCCGAGTGAGAAGCATAACATTACAGCACTCTCTTGAGCAAACTAAGTTTAATTCGTACTTTACAGCCATTTCTCAGGATCATTCAGCAGCGTAATATACTACTGTGCTATATTATGGGTATCCCTTTTACATTCGACGGTGGGGCCGATGATGGTGCGCGTGAGTCGCTTTTCACAAAACGCAAAACGTATATACGCTTGTATCACATCCAATGTACTCATTAAGATATCGTGCTCGCGCTTGATATTGATAGGCCGAACCAGCCTGTGCACAGCCTCCGACTGCCATTGCCCTGATTGCGGGCAGAGATATATGACCCGCCTGGAATCCGCATCCCAGGACTAGCAGCAGCGTCATGATGGTCATGGTGTCCTTGCAGGGCATATCTTCACAGAGCTATCAGACTACCGGTTCAGACAAATACAACCGGTCGTTGACGAGGACAGCAACAGCAGCACAGGCATTCCTGTCTACGATATGATCAGTGGCCGCAGTGGAGATCGAACTACTAGCAGCCCATTACGACCTCTCGCGCTTGATGGTTCGCCTCTGTTAGAGACATCATTCTTGTCCTCGAACATGAATCTTGGTGAGAGTGTGAATGTAACGCACCTGCAGTCACCGTCGCTTGAAATGTCGAAAGTGCGAAGACGCAATCAACAGGCGATAATCGATGAGCGCCAGCTGCAGGATCGTAATCGCCTGCAGGTTCTAGACAATGTGCGTGATGGGCCACAGACAAGGACCCAGGAGTGGGCTGTTCGTGTGGAGGGGCTAGAATATTACCGCGAGAATGATCAGGAGTCTAGAGGGATGTCGAGGCGAGTCGGGCGAGTAGACAGAGTCGATAGCAGAGTACGGGAGGAGATGCGATTGCGGTACGGTCGTAGGCGGAGAGATAGACACGTTCGTGGGGGAATTGAAGATTAAATAGATAGACAGACAGATGGGTGCAAATGTGGATGCGAAAGTAGTCTGAGCACATGATGGATCTATCCATTCATTCTTTGTAAGCACGACAGCCCATGACTACGGATGCTTGTAGTTGCGGCTGTAGCCAAGGAAGCAATTATAGGGCGATAAAGTCGACTATAGATGATACACAGTTGCAAAGTGCGGGGCGCGTCTGTGCCGAATGCCTTGATGCAGGAAGGAGAAAATGGATGTCTGTGCTGGTCCAAGCAGCCAAGAAACGAAGAATGGAGCAGAGTAATAAAGAACGTGTCATGGAAGTTCCTTTCGATTGCGCACTTTTGCGCGATGCGCGTTAATTCAAATCTAGGTTTCGGCACCACCAGACAAAATAAAGAAAAAGAGGACCTGCAGAAAACCTGTTTGGCACATTTCTGAAGACTTGCGCTTTTTCGAGAGCTGGTGTTTCCGACAGGGCTCCCCTTTCTTTTCATTGCTTTTACCGGTCGCATCCTCCTCCGGTTCCACACTGCGAATGAAGATAGTATTCAGGCAGGCTGTAGTGGAGGATGAGGGTGGGGATGAGGATAGGGTAAGGAAGGGATGTTGAGTGTGCATGCTCCGTTTGTTCAATTGCTATAAACCCACGTACAGTAGTCTATTTCCAGGGAAATATGAGGTCGACTGTTTGGGGGTACACGCAATGACCAACGGAACAAAAGATATGATCGAAAAAACAATCTTCCAGCCCTCGACAATTCAATTTATTACACTTTTGTGCGCTCTTCTGCGCTTTCTGTCTTCCGCCCCTACCGCTGCTGTTCTCTTCTTCTTTTCCTTCTCTTTCTTCCATCGCCGCTCTCCCCCCAACCCACTCCCTCCCTCCGTTTATCCATTCACTCATTCACTCATTCTCCATTCCATCTCCTTCACCCGTCCTCTGTCCTCTTCATTCCTCTCCTCCGTCATCTTCATTCCCTTCTCATCCTCACCGGCCCACTTCCCTCCATCTCTTTCCATACCCACTCCACTCTCTCTCCATATACCATTTTTGTCTTTGCCACCAAAGATTTATTAAAAGGCACCACAGTCAATTAACCCTACACAGCAAATCCAGCGATGCCCTCTGTTGCTGAAGGCCGCTCCTCCCCACTGCAATCGGAGATCGTGTCTGGGCAGCCTATCTACCCCAACAATCACAACAACGGCAGCAATGGCGAGGTCTACATCCGCTCGTCGCCGCAGCAGCAAGACTTCTCGTACAAGAATGGGATCGCCATTGGATTCCGTCAGCTGTTGACCATGCTCCGGCGCAACACCACCCTCCAGGTACCAATAATACACTTGAATTGATGCGCTTCAAACTCAGTGTTTCAGCAAATCCATTGACAATGGTGCATTTCTTGTTTATGTAAACCAGCTTCGGTACAGGAGATCTACGTTTGCGCAGACCCTGCTGGGTCCTATCCTCTTCCTCTTCCTACTCTGGGTCCTCCAAAAGGCAGACACCTCGCGTCAGCTTGAATCAAATTATCACCCTGACCCCTGGTCCCTGCCCGGAATTGACAATTGCCAGGTAAGCTTCGTTGTCTTTGCTATGCCATACGCCGTGGCTATGCATGCATGTATGTATGTTCACGATGTATTGAAATTAAAACTAAAGTCGATCTTCAACCCCCATTTCTTTCCTCTGACTGTCGTACATGTGTCCCTTTCCTCCTTTGCTTCTTCATATCCTATGCACTCATACATCTTCAATACCTAGGGTCGCACGCCAAAAAGTCCCTGCATCAACATCATGTTCACGCCCGACACCCCTGAGATCCGTCAGATCCTCACTACCGTCAACGATCGCAACCAGATCCGTGAGCCATTCGTGAATCTGGGCTTTGAGAATGCCATGACTGACTTGTTAACGGTCCCGACCTCAACTTTGGGAATGGTTCCCGTCCCCAACAGCCAGTTTATCTATAACTACACGCTCCAGAATCCCAACACCACTCGCTTTGGCATCGAGTTCTCAATCGTCCCTGGCCCGCCCAAGAACTATGTGTATCAGACGTGGTTCAACTTTACGACTACAGCTAACCAGACAGATCCCTTTGGCGATTCTTTGCTCTCATTCACTCGGGCAGTGGATGAGGCGATTATGCAAGTCTCAGAGGGAAGCTCTGCATCCCTGGGCGCGACGCTGAAGGACTTTCCATTGGTACCACCCTCCCGTGCCGCGAATCAGATTGTTTCAACACTGGGTGCCATGTTCTTCTTCTGCTCCATGATGGTCATCTTCATATGCGTGCTCAACCAGATCGTCACCGAAAAGGAGCTCCATTTGCGCCACAGCATGCAGATGATGGGTCTCAAGACACTCGTTTACTGGTTCTCATGGTGGTTGTCGAACGCGCTCCTGGTCTTTATCAGTGCCCTCGTCATCTCCGCATTCGGTCGGGCCTTCGGATTTACAGTGTTCACGAACAGCAACTTCTTGGTCGTTCTGATTACGTTCTTCCTTTTTGGACTCTCCATGGTGACAATGGCGTTTTGGATCACGACCATGGTCAGGGCCAGCAGGACCGCCATTTTGATCGGTATCTTCCTTTTCATCATCGGTCTCTTGTTTGAAAGCATGGTTTTTTCCAATACCTATGTCGGTTATCTCTGGTACGATTCAAGCACTTCCCCCGTGGCAAGATACGTCCTCATGTTTATCCCCTTCTTCAACTTTGGCAAGATGTTCCTGGACATGTCTATCTTTGCCACCGGCCGCCTGGACGTTCTCACGGAAACATATATCCCAGGTCCCGGCTTCCATTGGAACGATCTTTACAACAAGATTCCCGACGCATCGACGCCAACTTACGACGACGCCAAGACGCGCCACCCGGATGTGCCTGCGCCGATTCAGTCCTGGTACCTTATGTTGATGAACATTGCAGTCTTTGCCATCCTGACTTTGTACTTCGATCAGGTGGTCGCGGACGATTACGGCAACAAGCGCCACCCACTCTTCTTTTTGGACCCCACATTTTATGGCTGGCACATCCGCAAAAAGTTGGCCGGTCGCGAGTGGATCGAGGCCCAGGAAACCAACAAGGCCCAGAGGGATGCCCATATGGTCAAGATGACCAAGGGCCGTAGCGATCTGCCTGTCGAAGATGAGGACGATGACGACGTCAAGGTCGAGAGACAGGCGGCTCTGGACCCCGACTTTGAGACCCAGGCGAGGATTTGTAATTTGCAAAAAGTCTTCCGGGAGTCGGCTTTCCGAAAGAGCCCACTAGATAAGATTGCGGTCAAAGATTTGTGTCTGACACTGCAGGAAGGAAAACTGCTGGCGTTGCTCGGACAGAACGGTGCCGGAAAATCAACTACGATGAACATGCTGTCGGGACTGACAAAGTCGACAGGCGGAGACGCCACGTTTTATGGCCTATCTATGAACAATGAAATGACCGAGATCCGATCTATGATGGGCGTCTGCCCGCAGCACGACATCTTGTTCGACGATTTGACTGCAGAGGAACACATTCAGTTGTATGCGGGACTCAAAAACGTACCTAAGCACGAAATTCCCAGACTGACTGAGGAGCGTTTGAAGGCTGTGCGGTTGTGGAAGGTCAAGGACAGGCTGTCGCATACTTACTCTGGAGGTATGAAGAGACGTCTGTCGATGGTTATTTCCACCCTGGGCGATCCGAAGATCATCTTTTTAGACGAACCCACTACTGGTATGCATTTCCTATCCGAGCCCGCTTTTTTTGTTTTTTTGTTTTTGGTTTGGGACATTTCGTGATAATAATCAGGCACTAATCTATTTTACTCTCAGGAATGGATCCGACCAATCGTCGCCACGTGTGGTCGTTTATTGAAAAGTTTAAGCAGGGCCGTATCATCATTTTGACCACGCATTCTATGGAGGAAGCTGACATTCTCGGCGATCGTATTTGTGTCATGGCCCACGGTCGTCTTCGCGCAATCGGCAACTCGGTCCATCTCAAAAACAAGTTTGGCGCAGGTTATCGCATCTCACTGGTGACAGATCCCTCGAACACTGAGCTGGTCAAGTCGTTGATCGAGTCTAAAGTCCCAGGTTGCATCCTTAAGGATGACTCTGCTGGCGCACTACTCTACCAGTTCCCTCCTACATCGATGGGTAGCATTCCCAAGCTGGTTCAATGGCTCGAAGGTGTCGATGGAGGAGCAAAGTCCGCCAGGGACACCCCAACGAACAGGAGCACCCAGGGTTCGAACGTCAACAGCGGCCGCAACACGCCCCTCCCTCTGAGTAGCAGCACAAACGATCTTGCTACAGGTGTCAATGCGGCTACGCAACCTGATTTCAACAATATCGGCAGCGCTCAGGCTCTGATTCATGGCTATGGTATCTCTCAAACGTCACTCGAGGAAGTTTTCTTGAAGCTAATCCGAGATGCCAATCCGGAGGGATATCAAGGCTATGAGGTCACCAAGCCTTTGCGGGACGAGAAGACGGAGTCTGAATCGACCCTCAGGAACCGCGGTACTGGGCGTTAAAGTGTGCATGCCAGGATGCAATCACGATATACCAACTATTTACCCAAGATAGCGCTTACAGCTCATAGATTATTGCACTAATGTAATGACAGTTTTGAGATACATAATCTGCCCGTGCCACTATCCATCATGTAGGGATAATATATGGACAAACGTCGTACAAAAATGCATTGCCAACCATTTCAGTATTTCTTTCGCCTTTTTATCTGGCCAGCATCAAAGTCTTGTAGTTGCAATTCGTGTTCTAGCGGTTCGAGCCTTTCTAGTTTGTTTTTCTCACTCTCTACCAGCACAAAAGTATCTTTGCTATTTCTGCAGACAAAGGCAATAGCGATGAAGAAGAAAGAATTTCTTCCGCTGTAGATGTCTCTTTGTGGACTTCATGTTCCCTGTGTTCTTATCGTTTATTCTTGTCTTCTCCACGAGGACTCGGGTTTGTCGAATCGCAATCGCTTGCACGCACTGGTCGAAATGATATTGCTCCTTCATAGAATGGTGGCACTGCATCCGCCGCCTCTTCTCTACTGCAGTAAATATGGACCATGCAGCATAACAAACACATGTTGACGCTGTTAATGTTTTATGCTTTCCAAATCCGATGCAAACTTTATTGGCAGTGCTCGCTTGGGCTGAGTCGCGTGTGGTAGGTACATTGTTTGTTGGCACTCCTTTTTAAGGTTGTTTAGAAACCACGCGAACAGAACATCAGCAACCTTCAACAACCTTCAACAACCTTCAACATGAAATTGGTGGCAACATGTCCGCCACCATGCACTTTCGCTGTCAAAAGTACACTCATCGCTGGCAAAGGCGATGTTGATGCAAGTTGGGCTCATGGTGGACAGCACTGAATGACGATTCCTTTTTTTCTCTGATGAGCCGTGCGCGTTGTTCGCTCACTCCCAGGCACACGCTCACTACCGTCTCGTTCCCCATAGTCTGCCCCCCAGTCCCCAGCGGCCATATGAGCCCTCCGGTCCCCGTAGACCCCTTGCTATCGACTCAGCCACCGATTACGCGGCACATTTAAAGTTCGACTTTGTTCTTTCTCTTTCTTTCCTCTTACACGTTCCCTTCCCCACCTCCTCCACCTTCTCCACCTCCTCCACCTCCTCCTCACTCTTCCCCACGCGCTCTACGGCAAGTTTCTTTCCAGGTACGTATGATATAAGTTATTTTTCTTTGCTCTTCACCTTCCACTCTCTACCCTCCACCCCATCCCACTTCTCTTCACTGACACAACCTCGCCTTTCGTCCTTTACCCAGTCCCACTCTCCTCCACCCCACTTCCATCTCTTGTGCTCACTCTCGTCAGCAGCCCTCCTCCACATGCACTCGCGTCAGCAACCCTCCTCCACATGCACTCTCGTCAGCAATTCCATTCCACCACTCCCTCTCCACCACTCCCTCTCCACCACTCCCTAGATAGAAAATATAGAGGTCCCAGGAGTTTTGACTTCGATCTTGGGACTGAATTTCTTCACCCTTGCGTGCCCTCGGCAATATAGAGGTCCTAGGAGTTTTGACTTCGATCCTGGGACTGAATCTCTTCACTCTTGCGTGCCCTCGGTAGTAGATAGTCATAGAGGTCCCAGGAGTTTTGACTTCGATCTTGGGACTGAATCTCTCCACCCTTGCGTGCCCTCGGCAGTAGATAGTCATAGAGGTCCCAGGAGTTTTGACTTCGATCCTGGGACTGTAACCCCTCACTAATTGCGTGCCCTCGGCAACCCATCCCAGGTTTTCAACCTGTGGATTATACCCGCTCCCCAGAGGGTTTATTAACCCTAGCAGTGCATTTGGGCCGGGAGCACCAAATTCCCCCACTCTCCTACTCCCCTCTGGTTATCATCACCTCAGGTCGTGCCTTCGGGCCAAGGAGCTTCGCCTTTTCTTCACGCAAAAACAAAAGAGTTCCTGAGAATGTTTCTGAACCCTTTTTTTTATCCACCTGGTCTCTTTGGGCTTTGTGCGGTTTTTTTTCGGAGTACGATGACTTGCAACCTGCCCGTGGTGTACTCTGCACAACCTTTGCAACCAAGGTTGACTGATAGCAAGTTGAGCTGATGGTGCCGATAGGAATTGTAGAAATAACAGACAGTGCAATAAAAAATGGTTCCTTCAAACAATCTGCTTGAGTGACTTTATGGTGGCAATGACACACAAACGAGTAAACGAAGACGCGTCTATCTGCATGCTGTGCTAGTAATTTGGACCACGACCTTTTTGCTATGATCTCCAAGGCAATACGAAGGAGTCAACTTTATTTGGCAACGCCGGCACGACGACCTACTTCGACGGGTCCTTGCAAGCCCAGCTTGAATACTGCAGATCGTCTTATACATGGAATGGTGTAATGCAACGCGCTCCAACTCAGACGAAAACGCAAACGCGAACTAGCGATATGTCCTTGCCACAGCTAAAAAGGAAATCAACTTTGACCTTGAGCACTAGAAGTATAAGGCAAGAATCGACAACGGACGATGTACAAAGATGATCTCGCGAATGCATATTCCCCCAAGCAGGGCACATCAAACGATGCAACTCGCCTGCTTCGTTACCCAAAATACTGCTTTGGCGCCAGGGGGCCGGTTTACTATGGTCCTTGGGGCCCGAAACGTCCAAAGATCTCGCGATAAATCATGGTAACTTCTTTGCTTTTTTGCTGCCGATGTTCTTTTTTTACTGCGTTGCTGTTGGCCCGCTGTTTGAGCTGGCCAAGGGTTGCAACTCGAAAACCAATTCTAAGGGTCGTAAAGCGAGGGCTCGATGAGGTTGAGAGCCATGCTCCGTTAATCCGACAAGCCCCATCACGCCATGCGATCCAGAAAGATCGAGCTTTCAGAAGGCGCCACTTTACTATGTAACATTGGAGCCTAAAGGTCCGTAGTACCGCGCACGGTGTATACGTCTTATTATTCTATTAGACTAAAACCCCGAGTTGCAAATCGAATCCGCCGTTCCTGGAACAGGAAGCCGAGATGAGCTAGGATTCTCGGTCTGCGCGCTTAACGAAGCTGACCAGATTAAACGATTCGCATGGGTCAGGTTTTCCAAGTAAAGTGTCATTACTTCATTACTCTTTGCAGGACACTGCAAGGGTATTATATCTTCTGAGGCCTAAGAAAGCAGCGCATTTTTAATTCGACGATTGCCTCCAGTAAATGTGCTATTCACTTATTTGAACGCTCCAGATGACAGAGGTCGCAGCCGAACATGAGAGGTACCGATGCGTCCATGTAATTATATTTATTCAGAATTGATGCGTTCACGCTATAGTCTAATAGTCCTCGTCACCCTCATCCCCGTCGCCCTCATTCTCATCGCCCTCATCGTAGAACGCCTGGGCCTCCAACTCTTCGTTGAGCTCGTCGATAGCGCCCACAGGATCGGCAGCGACACGGAGGCAGGCCTCAAGGGCATTCGACATACCGACGACAGTGGTCAGGGAAGCCTGGGCATAATCTCGGATCTCGTCCGTCTTAGAGACACGGAGGAGCTCGGTGCGGTACTGATTGAGGACATCGGCCGCAAAGATCGGGCGGGTGGTCAAGAGATCCTCGTTCTTGGCAGCAATCGACGACTTCTCGAGCAGATCCAGGAGCGAGAGCGATCCAGCCGCCAATCTCTTCAGCTCAGGAGATGCATCCGCGGGCAGGTTCAGGGCCGGGCTGGTCTTGACCGACTCCGAGACCACGAGGCGGTAGAGATTCGCGAGATCGTTGCAGTGGGCTACCTCGATCCGGACTTTGGACGTTCCGGTCACGCACTTGACGAGATCGTTGACGGTGGATTGGATGCTTGTCAAGAGGCGCAGGAAAGGCATGTACAGAGACTTTAGAGGTCCTGTGGCAATCACACTCAGCGTCGTCTTGGCCGCAGAAAAGATCAGGTTGACGGAGAGGTACGAGGCACTGTTTCCAAAGGTCAATGCTGAATCCACGATGCTGTTGAGTTTATCGAAGGCCGTCTTGACATAAGACAGCAGCTTGCCGACTACTGGGATGTTGATCACGATATCGATGACACTCTTGGCGGCCTCGAAGGCATGCTTGATGATGCTCTTGGCTCCGTCGCAGTTGACAGCCATGGCCTTGAAGTCACTGCTATTCTCCAAATGGGTCAAGAACTGTGAACGGAATTCGAGTTCAGAAATGGTCGAGGATAATTCCTCCTGTTGATTCGCAAGTTCCTTGTTGCCGCCTTCAGGAGCCCAAGCATAGTTCTGTGGGTTGTCTCCGGTAGGGGCCATAGGATCGATGGCTGTTGTAGTAGAAATAAATTATTACGCGTCGGAAGAAAAAAAGTGTGTGTAAACGCGTTTAGTCTTTGATTGTGATGATAAATCGACCTCTCTCTCCCTCTTTCTTGACCCGTTCGCTCGCCGCCATCGTCTTTGTGCTCCTAGTTGTTTCAACTGCACGATTTCCTGCTGTGCTTACCTTGGACTGCAACACATGTTACTGCAAGGACGGCGAAGGTGAATGGTACGATCTTCATGTTGGATATATGTTATTACGGGTCGAAATGGGTGGCAGTAATGCAACGAAAGCGAGGCAATTGGAAGACAGAATTTGTGAAAAGAAAAAGAGGAAGAAGAAGAAGAAGAAGAGGGAAGAAAACGGTCATGATCGGTGGCCTTTAACCATGACATTTAGACGTCCAAAAACAAAACAAAAATGAACAAGAGGATGGCTTCATCGCGTAAAACAAAAGGGGAACGGAGCGTAGAATAGGGATCGCGAAAAGGGGGGAAGAGAAGGAAGAGAAAAAGGACGTCTTGGTTCAGACCGATGATAGGAGAATAAGAGGAATTTATTCTCTTTCCCCTGATACATCCCTGCCTTAAACTAGCGAGCGATCCCTCTTCTTCATTTCTTCTGGATAGCTTATGTTATTCTCCTATAGCGGCGGATTAAGCGCTTGCCCACTATAGAGCCTTTTACGAAACTTTTATGTGGTTCAAGCAATGGGCGCTTTGCCTCTAATTACAATGTCTGCTCCTATAGGCCGCACTTGACAGAATCCTGTTAGTAGGCGATGATCCGCGGTAGATTGCGAAGGGCCGAAATATGCTGGAGTTACTCCTATAGTTAATATATCGAGGAGGCATAGAACCGAGCCGCCCTGAAATGACATAGATGACAAAGGCTGTCGTAGTGTCGTAGAGGTGCATCCAAGGGCTACGAAAATCATAGGAGTCAAGGCACCCCCGTTAGAGGAATGTGCCTGAGACCCGTAGTAGCGAACAGCTGTGGGTTTTACGTATGGCGGGCTTGTATCATGACAAGTGTATTCTTTCTCAACCATAGGCTGTCGATAACGACCTGGTAGAAGGAATCTACGAGCAAAAGATAGAGGATTCAAGCTCGGAGCCTAAATTCAAAGAGCGGACAAAATGCTCGCACAGGTCATTCTTCTAGGAAAACTATTTCCGAAAGGTCGCCATTTCATCCGCAGAGCATCTGGCATTGTGCGCATAGCAGCTTTACTGGTAAATTCGGGACTCGGTGCTGGCAGCGCGACGTACTCAGACACGAAACTCGCGTTCGCGATCAGATTTGATCCACTGCGAATCATGAGTGGTGCTATTATCCTGGAGACCAGCACCATGGAAGCAATATATTCGTGTCGAGCAGCCTCCGGACAGTTTCCACCAGTGGCCGCGCGAACAAGGATGCTTCTTTAGCGTCTTTTCTTTATTATTTTTTTGCTGAGTGCGGTATGGGTCGAACCTATCGACATGTCGATTAATGGGCATGCAAGAAGATCCATGCCGGCAGCAATTGAATAGGATACCTAAAATTTCAAAATATAGCAATTGAGCGAGTAGCAAAGGGAGGACTTGCATCGATACGACTCCTCCCTTCCCGCCGTTGATAAACTGCGAAGGGAATGTGCCTCAGATTTTCCATCAGTCCGAAAAAAGTAGCAAAGGATCGCCGCAAACATGCTTCTGTCTATATCGCCTACATTTACAGCGTCCTCGACGGAGTCTTTGCTAAGGACAGCGATGTCGATATCCAAGCCTATGTCCCAAAACGGAGATCATGCTAAATTCCACTAGACAAGAAAACGAGCTGGGTAACATATGCAATTAGCATGCGCGTGAATCGTCTACCTTTGATCCCTGTATTGGCTTCAGAACGTCGAGTAGCTGCAACCATTCTGGCTTGCTCAAAAAAAATTGCAAAGGTTTGTAGATCAGCAACGTGTTATCTAGCACTGCTACCAAACATAGTGCTCGCAATACCTTCTCAAACGCCTTAACAAACCCATAGCATATATCGCCGGCAATGCAACTAATGACAGCGACAAAGATTTTACTACGCGTAGACTTTTTTCTTTTTTTTTATTCAATATAATTATCTCCAACTCACTGCTGCTTCTTTTGCTTAGTTCTTCAAGACCTTCGCTCCTGCATTGCCGTCCTTGACATACTTTTTCAGCACCAGTAATCCAAATCGCTTGTAAAAGATCATTTCAGAGATCGCCCTTGGCATGTAGCGAATAAATCGGAAGAGGTTTGAAAGCGTGCCATAGTCGATGTAGCGAGGAGGCGAAGACTTCAGACACTTGCCAACCACATGTTTGGCGAACTTTGCAGTAGGCGTGCAACCAGGTTCTGTGAATAGCGTTGAAAGGATTGCAATGAGATAACTGTGCGATAGCCAGTAGAGACAGGTACCTTCAGTAGAAAATAATATAAAATGAAGCCACTACTTACCCTGGGACGCGTTGGCTCGCATCAAAACATATTTGAGAACGGACTGGTAGACAGAGTCTATGCACACGGTTTTGCTGCAAAAGTTAGTACCCAAAATCATTACCGGGAATGTTTGATTGTGACACAAAAAAAGACTTACTCTCAGGAAGGTGGAAAGCCTTGAGGTTGTTATCACCAATGTTGGACTTGATCGCTCCGGGCGACACGACTGTGACATTGACTCCAAAGGGCATTAGTTCCATACGCAGCGCATCCGACAACGAGTGCACGGCCGCTTTACTGGCAGCATAGAGACCGCCCCATGGTGTCGCGAGGTAAGCAGTAACCGAGCCCACATTCACTATCAGACCGGATCCTTGACGGATCATGTGCGGTGCGACTTCCTTGGACATTAGAACAACCGAAGTGACGTTTGTATCCAGCAACTTTCGCGTAGTTTCAAGCTGTTTGCGTTCATTGTGGGAGGGACGATCTGTTAGGCTCTGGCGTTCATGTACGAATTGCATGACATGTGCAGCTCCTTGATCCGTGCAGACTTACAGACATGTCGATCAAGGGGCAGGCGAGACCCATGCCGGCATTGTTGAACAAGATATCTACACGAAAAAAAAAGATACAACAGGGTCCGGTTAGATTCTGAGCACCAGTGTAATACAGCCGTTTTACATAACGCCTCGTTCTCTTACCGATGCGGCCTTCTTTCTCGATGATATGCTAAATCGACATGATATAACAGGCGGCATTTGCAAAAAGACCGTTAGTTTGGACATCGTCGACGCAGTAATAGGGCCTTTTAAGTTATCAAATGTGCTCCAGCTTACATTGACGGCCTCCTTGACCGACTTTTCATCGAGAACATCAATATAGACCTTCTCGATATCCAGACCTGTATTCAAAAGGGCACGCAGCAGCATGTGTTAGGCAGGTGTTGTATTGCCTGAGCATGCATAGAGACGTCACTCGCATTCCTCACTCTCAATCCCTGTGATAGCGTCAAGGCGTCTGGCAGCAGCGTACACTCGGCAACCGCTCTAGTTAAAGTCCGATTCCCACCGCCGGCGAGCATTAGTATCACTGCTGGTTCACTTTTCAAGCATTCAAAGACGAGAGTCGTTTGTTCCTAGCACTTGCCCTTTCGAACGCTTTGGCGGTTTCATAGCCAATACCGCCGGTGGTGCAACCAGTAACAAGAACGACTTTTTTTCCGTGAGACATGGTGGAGCGTGGTTGCTGATTAGCAATGATGTAGGTTGAAGGGAGAGGAAATGAGCAACACAATTGACTGAAAGTGCCTTTTAAATTCTTTCTCGGCTCGCAAATGCATCTCATAAGACGTGTATCCCTCGTGTCATCCGTTGTGGCTCTTCGGTTACTCTAGCCGATCGGACCTTTCGTTGCACCCTCCGTGTGCAGTATGATCGAACAATGGACTAATGCGCCATCGAAAAATGTGTATTGGATATGAAATACTACAATTAAAGAGGCGCGGAATGAGAGTGAGGATACATAGGATATTTTACACGGCCATAGTGAATTGATACGTTCGAGGTCCCTTCTTCAGGAGAAAGCTTTGGTGGTTCAGGGTGTCGATGAAATCCTGGAAGCCTCCGGTGATGCCAGATAGTTGCATCTCTTGAAAAGTGCGATACAATTGATCGTAAGAGAACATGTTGTTCGAGGTCGCCAACGCAATCCTCTGCAGCTCTGCGACGTATCTATTTGTAATATAAAAAAGAAAAGCTGCATTGTCAGCCAAAAATGTGTACGAATGTCGTGTGAACATTTATAAATTTGCAAATGAAGACGCGTGAGTCAGTAACTGTAAACGAACGCACCTTTTAACGCTAGCACCTTTGCCGCGACCAGACTGGCCTTGACCTTGATTCAGGTCCTGGGACTTTACAGACATGAATGTATCTTGTAGACTGAACGTCCTGTGTACAAGTGATCAACAGCATGCATTCGTGTAAGCGTCATTGCAAAGAGCAAACGGCAGGCAGTAATCGCAACAAAAACAAAAAAAAATCGTGCCATACATGATTTCGATGACATCCATGGCATCCCGTCGAGTGACAACTTCACGAAGTTCCATGCGCGCCTTGGCCTCAGCCATTCTGATGAGAGATTCCAGCTGGCGTGTCGTAACTGGCGTCCCGTCTGGAGAACGATGCTTGGCCCTGAGCATCAAATAGAAGTCCTGCAGCGTGGCCGCGGCTTCTGGAGAGAGTCTTGGATGGACGTATTGTCTAGCGTAGGCGATGTACTTCCGCAAGAGTGGCTGGGGAATAAGTTTGAAGTCATCTCCATCTTCATCTGTTATCCGCAGCCGTTCTGATAAGGGATGATCCATCCTAGGCTTGCTGTCGATGCCTTGCGATGACTGGTTGTTGGTGTCCTGAGAAGAGGCTGCCCTGTATGCCTGGCCAAGGTTCTTGTTCCCGGAGTGAAGCCCCATAACATGCCTAGAGAGATACTGATCCATTTCGCCGTCGGGCTTGTCCATCAGAATGAAAATCAGGTCAAAGCGCGACAGGAGAGCACTGTTCATCTTCAGGTTCTCGGCCACCGTTTTGGACATGTTGTAATGCCCACCGGCAGGGTTTGCAGCGGCAATTACACTAGTCCTGGCTGGTAACGTGCAAATGATTCCTGCCTTGGCGATACTGATCGACTGCTGTTCCATGGCCTCCAACAACGCATTATGGTCCGTCGTCATTTTATCAAACTCATCGATACAGCAGCACCCTTGGTCCCCGAGAACTAGAGCTCCGGCCTCCAGTGCGAAGTCTGATCCCGATCCTCTGACAAGAGTGACAGTCAGGCCACTAGTTGATATTCCACTGCTTCCGCATACATATACGCCACGAGGAGCCACCTTCACAGCCGCGGAAAGCATTTGGGACTTTCCCAGTCCAGGGTCTCCAACCACCAGGACGTGAGGATCACCTCGAATGGCTGTCCTGTCAATCACTCCATTGCCGCGCCTCCGTCCACCAAACAGGGCAAACAAGATCCCAGCCTTGACCATCTCATGACCATATATGGCTGGACTGAACGAATTCACGATCAGCTTGAACAGCTGTGGTTGCAGGTGGACGTCCTCGATGGCATACAGGTCTTTGGTGGTGATTTGGATGCTGTCTTTACTATCTTTGAAATTGTCCTTTGAGTTGAAGTCCTGATAAATATCATCCTCCTCCAAGGTCATGGTTGATTTTTGAAGATAATTGACGTCCAAGTACAGAATATACATTGTGTTCCCTGTCTTCATGCGCGAGTATGCTAAGGATACGAACAATAAAGCGAAGCATCAGTACAGCTCTTGATAACTCAAAGCAGCCCAAATCTGCCCATGAGGCTTTGTGGACAAACCACCTTACATTTCTCAGACTGGGAAACCTTCACGATTCCTGTAATTTCGACAACGTCTCCAGGAATGACCCGATCGACAAGGTCGTTAGTGACTTCGCACTCAATTGTCCTCGGAACCCTTCCCGAATCTAGCCTGTCATCTGGTAGTTTCTCCTGTAGACTGTAACAATGAGAGAAACAAAGATTCAATATGACTTCCTCATTACAAAATCATACACTCACTTTCTAGACGCTTGTCGGCCATAAAAAACATACCGAATGGTCTGCCAGTCAACAGTCTCTGTTTCATAGTCGACTCCACGCTGCGGAGTAAAATGTCTACTCCTACAGCCGATCGCTATGCATTTTGTTGGTTGAATAAATCGTCCATCCGGAAGATTCAGAGTCTGAAGGGTTTGGCAAGTATTGCAGGTGAACGCCATTTTGGTGGCAAGGGGTTTGACACCTGATGTTCGTACAACGGTCCCTCCAACGCAAACGAGTTTTCCTAATGGGTATCAGAAGCAATCCAGATACAATGATAAGTCCTGGAAGTTCCAGAAGCATTTCATTTCCTCTTCGCTCATTTCCACAATGAATAAACGGATCTGCAAATGATCATACCGATGAGGTTCGCCTTCAAGTCCTTGCCATGAGTGATTTTGTCGAAACACGCCAGTCGCACTGTGAACTTTTTCTGCTGCTGTGTCTTTGCTGCCTCATCACCAAAGATGACCTATCCAAAAAAGATGCATGGCCGCAGGAAAGTCAGTCTTGGAAGAAGATGCTGCGATAATGACTAGAGTAGGCAACATGGGGTTACTCTTACCTGAATTGCAGCTAGAGTAATGCAGCCAATGACACTTGTCGGTCGATGAACTACCAACTCTACCAAGTCCGGCACATTGCATATTTGTGCCATGACCTTAACATTCACGACCAAGACTCTACGCAGTGCTATCGCGTGTAGTTGTTCCTGTAAATTGCAAGAAGAAAGTCCTGTGAGTCGGTGGCCATCATGCCATCATGTCCCAAAGACTTCATTTGTAGAACATACCTTGGAGAGTCCATATAAATGATATGTCTGGAGGTACTTGTTGAACTCGCCAATCCATTGAATGTACTCATGCTCCTTGTGATAGTCTAGAGGTTTTAGCGAACAGTACTTAGCATCGCATAAGCCATGGTTTCCAGCAGCATTCCAAATATCACATGGTGCCTCCGGTCTCTTACCCTCCTGAGGAAAATATACATCCCAATCGACCCAGGGACAATTCGTCGCATGTTTTGTCCTAGGTTGTGATGCCTGCTGCATCTGTATCGCTCCCGCCGGTATCTCATCCGCCTGCACCATTGGTGTGTTGACTTCTACCTCTGCTTGCTGAGTATTCTGGTCTTTGTTTCTTGGAGTCGATGTCCTCGGTCGCTCCCAGCGTTTGCCATTGTTCTGGCTGTCTGCATCGGGGTCCTGGGATTGTCCGGGGTAGTACTTATTCCTGCCGCCACCATTCTGATTGTCCTGGCTACCGCCCTGCCATGACCCTCGGCCTCTGCCTCGGTAGTAGCCCCTACGGGCATACGTCCCTCGCGGATTTGACTGTTCTGGTGGCATCAAAGATCATTCCAAGTGGTTTGTAAGGCGAGCACAGAGCAGAGGTGATCTGGGAGGAAAGAATGTGGACAAATCAACTCTTAAGCACGTTCTATTTATCTGGCTGAATTTTTATTGGCTAGAAATCGATAACGCTCCTGAGGGCCATGTCCTGCATAAGCTGAGGGCGTGGACGAGGAGAAGTCCTCGTGATATATCCCGAGTACTGTCTCATCTGCTGGGCCAATTCCGCGCTGATTTCTCCAGCTTGACCGAAAAGCGCAGTAATTCTAGGCTGTGAATTGCTCTCGTCGTCATCAGGCCTATCAATGGGCACGATATTGGGCTTGTGAATATTTCAATAGAGAACGTCGAGAAACACAGAGGCATAAAGCTGCTTCATATCTACATGCACTTACCAACGAACAATTTTCCCAGACGTCTCCAGCAGTGTTTTGGACGTCTGCCAGCTGAATCGTACGATATTGGGGTACCCAAAGACGGGATCTATATTTGATTTGAGCCATGCCACCGTCTTTGGATCTAGTATGTCAACAATACAAGTTAATGATGGGTAGCGGTGCATTCCCTTGATCCATTCTTCCATGCAGGATCTAAGCAATCGAGACAACACGCAAGGAACACGCACCTGATGGATATCCGGATCCGAATTGGCGTGAGATCGTGTTAGCAATTCCTGTCTCCGCAAAAATCCAATGCCGGAGAACATCATCGCGGGTGACCTTGGCACATATACTGGCAGCAGAGACGATAGGGTATTTGGAATCGGCTTTCTTTGCAACAACGATCTTTGTAACAGATGGGAACAGATTTTCGAGCTTTTTTTGGTACGTCTCGGGTGGTCCAACCGTGTCAACATAGATCTAATTGAAGCAAATATAAAGCATAAATATCTAGGTGGTTCCCTATGTTTTTCAGAAATGCAGTATCGTACATTGGTGAACCATGATATGTACCTCTTTCAGGTTCACTCCCGAAGCAAGGGTCTCGCGGATGAGTTGGATCGTCGTGTCGTGCGCCAGTGCGTTCAGGTTGTACTTTTCCCTAAAAAAAATTGGTGGCGCCAGAATGTCAGGAATCGCAATGGTCTATGCATGTTGCCCTCTCTGCTGTCCAATATTGCCTTTACTTTCTCAGCATGCTATTAGAAATATCCATAGGTGAAAGCACTCGTACGCTCCATCCGATCAGGTCTGGCCTTGACATGATGACATCGAGAAGGCTGTCCCTCTCGCCCTCTTTCAATGTCTTTGAATCTATTTGTTTAGCATGCAACCTAACGGTCAGCTCAAACTCTTTGATAACGAGCCATCCCTGATGAGTCCTGGCGTATGATTCCTACCTGCGAATCCAAGGTCAGCCAGCTCGTTCTGTTTGGACAGCGGACAGTAGCAAATACCATAAACCATTGGTCCCAAAACAGGACCTCTTCCTGCTTCGTCCACTCCGAGGATGCATTCCTGATCAGTTTCTAATGAGGTCGGCAGTGGTGTGGTATAGGTATACGACTTGAGTAATGCTGTATTGGTCCCTGACGGCGGACTTGTTGCGCGGACTGGAAGATCCAGCCCCGTGTCCTCCATCTCCAGCGAGAATGATTCCTCTTCAGCGTCCATGATGTTGTCCGTCCTGTTTGGAGTCCAAAGAAAACGGATTCATTCAAACAAACAACGTGCCTGAAATCGAATTTCAGTGTCCTGTGTGTGTACAGCACACATCCGCCAAAAAGTCGTAACCCCAATAGTTTTATAATACTCAAGTTCAATTCAGTCGTCAGCTCCACGTACGAGAAATAGAAACAAAAAAGCAAAGAAGCACGCGCCGTGTGCAGGAATGAAGGCCACGCAAGTAACAAATTTGTACGTAAAGTCTTTATCCGAAAAAGGAGACCAGTCTATGTGATTCATTCGTGCCGAAAATATATGGGTTACGACTTTTTGACGAGGACTCTAGTGGGAACTGAAAAAATATTAACGTGATCACTCATCGTTGACTCAATCTCATATACCATCCCCATGCTCAACGCGAAACGTAAGACTAAAGTAAGCAAGGGAGCTTCCTCCTCCAAGAAGCCGAAGCTAAAGCGCCAATCCATCACAGTGGACGAGAAAGTTCAGTTTATTGAGAGCGTCAAAGCTGCCATTGAGAGGGATCCCATGGTCTCCATATCCCGCATTGGACGCGAACACAGTATCATCAAGAGTTCTACGGCTCATAGGATTTGGGAAGAGCGAGACGCCATCTTAGCTAACAAGAACTGGCTGCCGCCCCGGTCTTCCAAGAAAATCAAGCGCATTAAAGAGCGACCATTCCTTGCCTTGGAAGAGGCACTTTATAGGTGGCACATCCGCGAAAGAGAACGAGGTATGATTTGCAATTCTATCAAATGCTTTAAGACACTTTCTCAAGCGTACAATCCTAACACTAGGCTTCGAAAGACGTTGTTGTGACTGATGCTCGCCTTAAAGCAGCAGCTCTGCATCTATGGGGCATCATGAATGATTAGTACAAAGAAGGGAAGAAGCCGCCTTCATCAGCCTTTTCAAACGGATGACTTCGTGGATTCAAGAGACAGCGGTCGATCAATAAACACATAGTGCATGGCAAAAGTGGGTTTATGGATCTAACAAAAGTTCAACTCCAGACGGACGACATTCGTAGGACACTCGTAGGTTTTGACCCTAATGACATTTACAACTGCGACGAAACTTGCCTCTATCTCAAGGTGCTTTCAAACAAATTACTCGACACTGGTCCAATTCGTGGCAAAAATATCATCCGGACAGCTCGAGTGTCGATCTTGCTTTGCAGCAATTCTACCGGGTCTGACAAACGCAAGCTATCTGTGCTGTGTAAGTCGAGTGTAGCTGCATATTTTACACATTCTGAGCAATATTATAACAGGGATTTATCTCATTGCATTCTGCTATTTTATAGCGAAGAACAAACCCAAGGGATTGAAGGAGGAGACGCTGCAAAAGGTTGGTGCCGATATGAAATGCTCTGGATATATGGCAAAAGTGCAATTCGACATATGGCTTAAGGATTTCGATAAGGATATTCGAGAGCAAGGTCGCAAGATAGCTCTGCTTATCGACGGCGCATCAGGACATGATGGAAGCGAGAGCCTCGGTCTCACCAATATTACCATCGTACGTTTACCAGGAAAGGTAACATCCGTTACTCAGCCTTTGGACATCGGCATTATTCGATCTTTCAAGGTTAAATACAGTCAGCAGATACTGGAGGTTATAGCTCGCGCTCGCAAGAGGGCGAATAATCCAGATGCAACAGTTGCTAATGGAGTACTCTGGGCCTGTCTGGTCAAGGCATGGAATAAGGTCAATTCTAATTGTATCCGTAACTACTTCGCCCATGTCCCAAATATGCCTCCAGAGCACAAGAAACGCTTACATGAGCTTGGTGTCGTAACACTTGAGGATGAAGTAACACGCCTTCAATAGAAGCTCAAACAAAAATACGCGGACAACAAGGACATCGTCTCAAAGCAAAAGGACTTTTCCGTCCTCAACTACCTCAGTATGTGCGACGGTGATGGACCTTCAGAGTCGATTCGTGAAGCTGCGTTGAGCATCATAAACAGCGAAGAATCCAAGCACGTTTTCAACCAACATCAAGAGAGCGACTTTATTGAGGGGGATGAAATCAATGATGACGATGATTTGGATGATGATTATGTGGTTCCACCGAAGCGGAAGATGAACGGAGTCCTTTTTACTCTCCGTTCTCGCGACGTCGCAAGGGTTGAAGAATATCCATCGTCTGATGCAAGCCCACAGAGAAAGAGGCCGTCTGACATGTCGGCTATCTGGCGGACCATCGATGAAGCAACGTCCGTGTTCCGTGGGCGCCATGGCCTCGTATCTATCGAATCTACGCGCGTGCTTTCTCACCTGGCTTCCGATGCGGAAACCGCTCTGGACCGAATCCAATTGCTGGCGCATAAAGCAGACGATGAGGAGGTTTTTGAGCAGGAGGAGGTTTTTGAGCAGGAGGAGGAGAGTAGCGATTTATAAATATATTTTTGAATCAAACTGAATACTAGAAACCACTTCCTCCATAAGAGAAAAAATTCCACTAGGCGCTGTACAATCTACCTATCGTTGGTGGGTCTATACATCTTTATTGCTGCGAAATGCAGTTCTATATGACATAGTGCCTGCCACGACTACTGGTTCCGTGTTGTTTCGTCTCCGGCACCACTGCTGTTGCCACTCTTTCCTCTCGAATTGTCGCCGTCGTGATCGCCATCAGAAGTATTGGACGAAGGGCGACCACCCTTCCCATTGCTGCCAGCTGCTTGTCCTTGTCCACGACTTTGTCCCTTCTTCTCCTCAATGGCTCTCGAGTGTCGCTCAATATTTGCTGTCTCTGCAATGCTCCTCTTGAGCAGATCCTTGAGCTGCAGTGTCATGTTGCGCACCAGCACAAACGCATCCCCCCGCATGACATTCGACTTGAGTCGCTCAAGCCCTCGTCTCTGCGTTCCATTGGTCCACGAATCGAGATAGAGACCACTGACGCGATACGTGGGCGAGAAGGTTCGATGCAAGAACGCCGTTGTTTGGTTCCAGATCACTCCAAACTCCTGGCTAGTGGTGTAGAGGATGGCGGCTGTCGAAGTTCCTGCGCCTACATAGGCTGAAGAGCTGGCCTTGGGTGATGAATCTGATCTCCTGGAAGAAGGGCTAGAAGATGATGAGGACGAGGATGGCGATGACGATGGCCCCCCTTCATGATCTCCGTTGTTCCTGGCAGAGGCCGTTATCGAGGGTAGATTAACAGTAGACCTGGGGAATGGTCTTGGTAGACTATGACGAGACGAGCTCTGGTCTGTTCGGGAACTCGTTTGGCTATCTGGGTCGGTGGTATCTATGCTCGCATTGCTATCCATGGCTTCACATGGGTTGGATTTTGATGGTGTTGGGTGTCCTTGTGAACGTGAATACGATCTGTTTGGCGACTGGATCGTCTGCGCTGTGCGAATCTTACTCTCGTTTTCCTGGTTGTAATACCGAAGTCCTGGCAAGCGTCCGTTGATGTCTGGTAGTGAGTGCAGTTGAATAAAAGGTTCTAAGTTAGGTTCTCAGCTTATTGAATTTCACTTGTTTCGAATCAATATGGGGAATGAGTGCCCGTAGCGGGTGAGAGGTCATATGACGACCCCAGTCATTTTGCTCAGAAAGAGAGGGAAAAAAAAAAAGAACGGCCGTCCAGCACTATACCTTGTGAGACAGAGAGGTCCATCGGTACAGGTAGCTCAAGAAGCATGGGTTCGCTTGCGGCTAAACAATCCGAAGCGTTCACTGAAGCTGTATGAAGGAGCTGCTGCAGCCAGTCGACTGCGCTCATTGAGACCGGGATCTGCGAACATGTGTGACGTAGAAATCGCCCGGCGGGTGTCAAGGCTTTCTTCCGGGCAAGGGATTGGAAGGAGGACGAAGCGGAGGCAGAGGATGAGCTGTTGTGGCTGTGGCACTGATTGCTGCCTGTGCTGTCCTGGCTGTCCATGGTTTGATGTGGGTGTATGGAGTGGTCAATGGGGAGTGAAGAGAGGAGATGGAGATGGAGATGGAATGAGGGTGTGGAAGGATAGCAGAGAACAGAACCATACTCAAAACAGGGTTTTCCCAAAAATGGGACTTGCCCCGTTGCCTTTTGAAGCCAGTGCCAGGTCGCGGGCGGACATTGGGGCAACGCGCTCTCTGGCCCAACCTGTGCTGACCAATCGCAAGAGGGCGGATCAAAAGGTATTGGCATGTTCGCACGGACGCATTACAGTCAATGCGGTCAACAAGGACCGCAATAAGGACCCCGTTTAGGTGACAAGGCAGCCAGGTGCCTTCTTGACGTAGTCACAGTCAAATAGAGCAGGCCTGCCAGCCATTCATCCTACATGGTCGGTCTCGAGACGTACTTCGCCTTCAGCAGTATCAACTCATAAAAAAAGCGAGTCGCTGTCATGTTATATCCAGTTGTGTACGAGGCGTAGAGAAGCATAAAACGACGAATGGCCATGGCACACTTCGCCATTTGTATAGTCAACGAATACCACGGAACACAACTGTCTGTGCCTAGTTTATTTACGAATCATGTCGCTCCCTAGCTCCCTGCACCCTCTCTCGGTCCACCGTCGCTTAGTAAAAATCCTATGGAATCATGAACATGTTTAGCAACTCAATCCCATCCATCACCTTCACACGACAACAACAACACACTCACATACACACATACACACATACACACATACACATACAGACGGACACAAAACATCCCATCTCCAGACTTACAAAAAGCTTATGGTTATGATGGTGGTGGTGGTACTCGACCACCTCATACTCCGTCGCCGGTTCCTCCTCCACTACTACGACCTCCGCTGGTCGATAATATTCATGATGCTTATGATGCTCATGCGCTGCCAATGCCACCCCTCCTACCAACGCCGCCCCCGCCATTGCCCCAACTCCGACGCCCAACATCCCTCCCGGAATATGAGGATGGGATTTTTCTGTTGTAGAGACAGGGGGCGGTGCTGTTGCTACATACGAAGATGGTCCGCCGTAAGGCGATGGTGCGCCGTAGGGTGATGGTGCGCCGTAGGGCGACGGTGCGCCGTAGGGTGATGGTGGGCCGTAGGGTGATGGCGATGGGGCGTAGGGCGAAGGAGAACCGTAGGGCGAAGGGGCACCGTATGCTCCGAGCGGCGGTTGTGGCGGGGCTGCGTACCCAGCAGATGGGGGTGGGGGTAGCGGTGCCTGGTACGGTGAAACCATACGCGGGTCTTCCCACTGGCTTCGTCCAGTTACGGTTTCTATCCACAGCGAACATTCGATAGCGGCGTGTCAGCGTAGATGGAGAAGATGAAGTATGCGGAGATGTGCGAAGGGAAGGCTACACGAGAGACTTACGGACAAAGAAGTATCGCTGGTGCTGAGGGTCGTATTGCGAGACCCTACGAGAGCCAAGGAGGGCAAAAACATGAGTGAGTGAGTGATGAGTGGGGGGAGGGAAATTGCTCGAAATGGTCAATGGAGTCCAGGTGGACAAATCTATTTTTTTATTTTTTACCATCCAGGAGGAAGAGGAGTCGACATCTTCGTTCCTTTTTATCCTTCTTGTCTGTTGATTGCAGTTGCTGAGTGTCTGAGGGATTCGAAAGAGCGAGTGATCGAAGAGGGTCAATATAGGAGTGAAGGATGATTGGGGGGGAGGGGGGGAGGAAGGTAAAGAAAGAAACGAATGAAGGATTAAAATACGCTTGACGCTGCCCCCTATCGAGACGGATAAAAGTGCGGGCTGTGGCCGAGAATTGAAATACGAAGGCATCAACCCTTGCGGGCAATGCGCAAAAATAGAATCTGCTGCGTTTACAATTGGGCAGACCAAATGCGAACGTGTGCGCGCGCTTGGCAGGCGCCATACATTTTCCATTTTGAGCATTCTACTTGCTTTCATTCCCATCCAACTGAGGACGCCGACGCCAACGCACCATTCGCCAGAGGATAAATGCCCATTATCGTTCTCTGCTTCTGGAGAAAGAGTGCACCAGTCTGGAATATAAACTTTGTAATGTTTTTGCTAGGACTGAGGGCCATCGATTGGGATGAATGATATGAGTGGTCATGGTAACCGCATGGCATTAAAGCATGCTCCTTTGTTCGCTTGCTTCGTTTTCGAGATTAAACATATAGTATATTATGAAGTGGAGACGATTGAGTCTGCCCTGTAAATATATAGGAAACTCCTCTCCATCGAACCTTCAATCTATCCTTTCAAGACCAGTCATCATAACGACGCGAATGCCATTGAGAGGTGTACTCATCGCCATGCAACAGTCCAGCTGGCTCTGATTCTGGCTCAGCCTCCTGTTTCGGCTCCTCCTTCTTGCGCATCGACTGCTGCTTCTGTTGTTGCTGCTGTGGTTGGGATGGACCCTTCTTGATATCGTTGTTCCGTGACAGCGCCGCGTTCTCCATACGATACTGTGGTGGCAAGTCGGGCATCGGAGGCTGTGCTTCTGGTAGTGGCATCGTGCCATTATTCCATCCCGCTCCAAAGAATGATGAGAGTCGGCTCGACAGCGACGTGTTCGATGCCTGACGAGTCAATTGCCTTGGCTGCCGGCGTTGCTGATGATGCCTCCTGTAACTCGAGGGTGTGAAGTTGAGGTCGTCGTCGTCATTTCCATCAGCCCCACCTTCCAGACCAAATGTTGAAGAGCGGAACTGTGAAGCAATTGGCGTGACAAACGCTGGCTTGGGCTGCTGGATCATCACCATATCCTGTAGACGCTGTTCCTGCTGCGTCAGATTATCGGGATGAACAGTCTGACGACGCTTGATATGCTTGCTTCCGCCGAGTCCAATCTTTAAATCAAACTCCTCTTCGGACATCATGTTCGAGCCTCCGACAATAGCCTCTCCTTGCGCCCAGCCATCGTCCTCACCCCACCACCACAATCCACGCTCGACTGTGCCGCAGACAATAACCAGGGAGATAGGGATCCAGAGGATGAACACGATAACGTCGAGCACAATCGCAACATTAACGCCTCGGCACTGAGCCACATAGCCAGGCTGATTTGAGAGTGGGCCCGTTTGACAGTTTGTCTTGGCGCCAGCGTCCGTGTCGGATGCGAGGACAATCCAGCTGAAGAAGTTGAGGATCGTCAGAATGACGGAGATGCAGATGGTCGCAGTCTGGGTGGCAGGGTGGTTGATAACGCGTGGCAGGAACGCCCGTTGACTCTGGCGAACCAGAAACGGGCATAACGATTGCCAGATGGCCGATAGAGAAGTGCAGACAGTGGCAACCAAGACTGACAGGTTGTGTGCGCACCCATCACGAGACAATGAAATGAAAGAAGACAAAGAGAGAGCGCGGGTAGACGATCGATTAGCTACTCATATCCATCTCAAGGATGTGTTGTTTTTTCTGTTGAAAAGGCAGAGGCATTGGTGCGCCCCAATATAAACACGAGAGCCGCAATTCGATTATCCTCCTTTAGTTCCACAGCGATATCAACTCAAAATAACAATGTTGATGGAGAGCACTGCGTTTTTCACTTACAGAATGCATAGACGGAGACCTTGAAGTGGGTAGCGTCGAACTTTGTCCTATTTGGGTGCAAAAAGATAAAGAAGACCATGAGACGTCGAGCAGGACACATCGTTGTTGACAAGAAGTACAGGAAATTAATGAACTAGCGTTTTTCGCTGGCTTTTCATTAAAAGCTCCGGTACTAGTGCGAGATAGTTGGAACGGCACATCGCCTCAAATGGGCTAGTGCATTCGCATTCCTCGCTCCAATCCTTGAGCAATGGTCAAAAGAAAGGGAAGGAAAAAAAATAGCGGGCGTACCTGAATACATGGGCTGGCAGGAGAGCCAGCCAGGACATTGTTCCAAAGAGGGCCAAGAGGCCCCAGAGCAACTGCAATCGCTCGACAGTCGCCATGCGCATCACCTTCAATCGGAAGCGCTTCCACCTTGTCAGGGATGGAAGGGATGTGTTTGAGAAGGCCATCGTGGGAGAGGCGCCCCTCTTGGGGGAATGGGAACTGTTGAGGGTGCTGGTAGGGCTTTCTGCTGAGGGCGGGGCAAGGGTTGCGTCTGTGGCCGTTGTCCGGTTGGAATTGTAGTCGAGGGTATGGATTTGGGACAAACTGGAGTGGGCGGAAGAGGATGAGGGGTGGCTAGGGCTGGTCGGCGAAGCAGAACACGAATTATCTCGGCTGTTGCCGTTGCTATAGGATAGGTGGTCGTCAAACTGAAGCTGCCGTCGTCCGGTGTCGGGAGTCTTTTTGTGGTGGGAGGAGTATTGCGAGTACGAGGACATATTGGGTCACTTGCACCACGAAGGACAGAAAAGAGCAAGGGATACGATAGTGTGATAGACTGGGATGTGTTTGAATGTGGAAGTGTGGAATGGATATGTGAATGGCTGGTTTGCCACCAACTGTATTATGAAGCGGTGAAACAGGTACGGAGGCAAAAGGGGAGAGAGGAGGTTTGAGGGGAAGGGAAAGAGGAGACAGGGGGGAATGGGTCGTTAGCGAGTTAGCAGAGTAAAGGTAGTATGATAGATGGTGGCGCGTAGAGGCGAGTGGGGGCAGCGGACGGAGGAGGGTTGAAGAAAAGGGTGATGGAGGGTGGAGGAGATGGCGGATGAGGATGGAGAGGGATGATGAAGAGGATGGTGGAAGGAAGGAAGGGCGGGGATAGTGTTCCAAAGAACACAGAAGCAAACTTTTCCAACGCTCTTTCAATTGCAAGAGGCGGGGAGGGGCGGAGAGGGGGAGGAAGCACAATCGGCGTCTCTATCTTCACGCGCACACAGAGCAGACGAGCAAGGGACATGAACGTGCCACGGACTGGTACTGGTACTCTCTGTCTCTTTTCTTTGTAGATATTATGTTTGTACATCCACGCATGCATGTAAACTTTGTTTGCTGGCCTTGCTTATGTTGACTCTCTTCCTATTATTTTTGGCAACCCACGCTCTTCATCCGACCATCTTCTTTCCTGCCTCCAGTCCTGGGCTCTCCGGACACCATTTAACACACATAATCGCATACTGCTGTTCTCCCTCTCACAATCTGGTTTGGGGGCCCCTTGTATCTATATTGGCTTGCACAACCTGATAAACACGTTCCAAGCAAATGCTCCATCCAGTGTCTTAAGAATCTCCAAGTTCGTGGAAAGAACGTGGGTCATCTTGCTAGTACCTGGCATTCATTTTTGCTGCTCGCTTTTGTCTCACTTGTCTTCATTGCTCAATTCAGACCATACTCAATAACCATGCGTCTGCATTTGTTTATTTCCTTCAATTGACGTGTACACCAATGAAGAAAACAATAGACTATATGTATCCGCCTTGCTCAAATAAAGAAGCTAACACGATCCTGTCGCTTTTGTATTCAGGATAAGTCCTACAATCAACCCATACAGTCCCAAGACTTCTGCGAAAATCAGCACCAACACCATCGCGACAAAGAGCCTTGGCTGGTATGCATAGCCTCGCACACACTAATGACAAAGAAAGAGCTTTTATGTGAGCAAGATATAGCAGAGGTCTTATTCGTGAATTGGGCCCCAAAGAGAAGAATACAAACGCGTTAAAGACACGCAAGTCGCACGCGCACTTACCACATCGCCTACGATGCCAATGGCATATCCTGCTGCCAATCCTGTTAATCCGACACAGAGACCTGCGCCGAGATGGACAAATCCACTGTATAAGAATGACAATACAATATCAATGAAAAGTCATGATAAGTACTTTGAGCGATCTTTGTTCCTGAGCTCACCCAGCGCCGTCATACAAGTGGGATATAAAGCCGGTCCACTTACGCGAATAAAGAATAGCCCGTGGGTGTCACTGTAAGCGAAGAACAAAAGGATCAGCAAATGGAGCAACAATGGATATAGGTGAGTTCGCCATCAAATCACAATCCTCGTCCAAATTGATGGACGCGTCAATATCTCTTCCATATCCGTAGGACAGCATGAATTCTGCGTGAACGTACATGATCCTGCAATTAAGACCGAGATGACTAGTCCGTAGACCGAGATAATACCAGCCATGACAACTGGGATAAGCGCCTAAAGCGTTGTTGAAGAAGTATTGCCTGTGCGTGAATACAATCGGTTCTCATGCCGCGATGAAACAGAGATGGTTGGTCCGAGTATACGTGCGGCCAGCCGTTGTGTTCGCCAAGGAGGCAAGTGAACGACGCAAATACCTTCATCATCAGCTCTGGACGGAAGGTTCCCATGCCCGAAATACCGATGCCAGACTTGAATGTGCCATATCCTGCTCCCATGCCTAATATTCGCAATAAAAATGGTACACATAATCATGGGTCAGCCCAGCTGAGAGTCGACTCAGGGGTTAATCATGACTGGATAGTGCATCTCTTCAATGCTTTCCCAGTGTCGCCATGTTTCGTTCTTCAATCGCAGAGAAAAAAGAGTCCAAGGCGATACATACTGCTGAACACCATCTATTGAAGCGACAGGAGGTTAAGAGGGAGACATGGAAGGATAATAGTCCTTGTTAGTCCAGTTTTGGACATCGCAAACATCAGTAGCTGAAGCGCTCAAAAGGTTTGAAAGAGAGAGGAGGGGAAGGAGGATGTGTCCTAGAAATCAAAACGTACAGCGCTGGCCACACCCATGAGGCCGAAGAATGGCGCAAAGGGAGGGCAGTAGTCGGAGCCGATGGGCGGTAGAGTAGCCATTGGAAGGATGTATGTTGTACTGTGTGGTGGTGGATGCTAAGAGTCGAGGGGTGGGTGCAATGGCGAGCGTAAAGGCGATCGATCGATCGCCTATCTGACGTCACTGAAATAATTTTTAATAGGACTCGACTACGACTACTACTACTTTAAGAATGAAACTTGTAAACGTTCTTCATGTACCAGTCGCCCTTGAACGCCTTGGCCTGGCCCACGATCATAGTCATTCTCTCTATCAACGATGCTGACTGTTCTTGTTTCTTAGCGGCACGGTCGTGCCTCTTGCGTCGAGAGAACCGGTCAGTGCTCGACTCCTTCTTTAGTCGCGTCCGACCCGTCCACTCGTCATACTCGTACTCGTCAAAGAAGGTCGCCGATGGTTTCTTTGATACAGTTCTGTCCAAGGGATCAACCAGCTCCACGTCGCTATCAACACCCATATTGTCCGCATCCACTTCGTCATCATCACTCAAGGCTGCTGGCAAATCCGTCAGTTCAACCCAGGGCTGCTCCAAGGGATCCTCCTCGGTTGAGGCGGCAGAATAGCCCTGCTGCTCCTGGGCCATCCACTTCTGTCGCAGCATCTCGGCACGCACAGCCAACCCTACAGCTCTGGCCTCGACCTGCTCCGAAACTGTCACCTTCAGTGTACCCATATGGCCAGAAACTCTCAAGAACCGGTACCCCAATCTCTCGACGGAGACGTGGCTCCTATAGGGCTTTGAGCCGCGTGAAGAGGACGACGACGACGTGGCATCCGAGATACAGCTATCAGCCGACACATACGACGACCTCACACTGATCGCCGACGAAAAGGCGGACTGGTTCGACGATTTAGACGTTGCTACCTTGGCAGCAGTGGCAGGGGACAATTCATCACCCTCCAGACGGCCAATCATCTGGATACCGATCTTGTCGCGCCACCATCGCAGTTCAGCAGAATCCTCGATGACCGTCCACTGCACAAGAGAAGATCCATAAAATGAGGCACCGTTATCCAACTCCAGCTTTTGAAGACGCTGGTGAACTGTGACGAAAAGATGCTGGAATTTGAGGCCTGCTTGGTTGCCCTGCCGCTTAATCGAGCCATAGGGGTTGGAAGATGAAGACGAAACGGACGGCGTTGACACAGGAGACGAAGTTGAAAGCATCGTGGAAGAGACGGCGCTCATTGGCGTTTGGGGAGAAGACGGGATCGGCTCTGAAGGCGAAGAAGCATGACTAGGAGGCATAGGGAAGGGAGAAGGGAAATCAGAGCGGGATATATCGACTACCATTGGGGTATATAAAGGAGTGCCTGCGGGCGTTGGCGGTGTATGAGATTCTTCTGAAGCCCCAGTGATGGAACTTGAGACCGAAAGCGACTTGTTCTTATAGTCATTCGGGTTGTAGGGCGTGACAATAGGTCGGGGCGTCTTTGACTGCGTCGTTCCTGAAGGGGTCGAGGGTGACTTGATGGCAGCGACGGCTTTAGATGCGAATCCGGACATCGTGCGGGGCTTCTTCTTGACACTGAAATAGTCAGAGCCGTCAGAACCGCTGGCGGGTGTTGGTGTAGGACTGGCGGATGAGTTGAAAGAGGTCTTGGTGGGGCTAATAGCTGACGCGGCGTCATGAGCATTGGTCTGAGTCGATTCCTTTCCGTGACCATTGCTTGTTGAAGACGAGTTGTAAAAGCTGGGAGTGGCTACTGCGATAGACCGCTGGATCAGCAACTTGGCACCGAGAGTGAAACTGCTTGCAGATTTCGTCAAGGTCTTGTACTCATTGTAGGTCAAGAGAGTATGTCGACCTAGTCTGGTCACAAACACCCTTCGACCACTAGCGGATCCCGTAGAAGAGAGCGTGCTCTTGCTCCTGGTGCTACCACTGCGACGGGGACGGCTAGAGTCATTGATTGTTGACGCTGTTCCCGAGCTGGTGCGGCGGCTAATGGAAGGAAGGGGCAGAGTAGGCGATCGCAGTGGCGAGATTCCATCGCTATTCCCATTCAGATCTGGCTGTCGATGGGCGGCCAATGGATCCATGAAAGTGTACTTCTTTGATGCCTCCACAAAATGCAGCTCGTTGTCCTCCATGACATCAAACTTGAACTTGAGTCCGTTTCGGCTATAGATGTGCAGCTGACTGACAGCCTGCTTCTTAAACTGTTGTGTTGATGGCCCGTCCGTCGCATCAGAGCCGCGCCGCTCGTTTCCTGCACCATCCTGTGCACCATAATCGACACCGTTGCTTCCAGGTGTAGTAGGTGAGCCAATGCTTGCCATTCGGGATGCTGCCGACACTGACGATCGTCTCTGAGATGCCTTGTATTTCTTCTTGGGCAAAAGATTCGTCCCATCCAGCCGTCCTGTAGCATAGACACCCCTTCTCTTCTCCAGCAAGTCGATATCCATGGCATCTTTATCCCTCGATGTATACTCTCCTTCACTGTCCGGATACGATGGCTTCTTGGGTTGAGATGGAATATGGGTGACCTGGCGGGACTGGCTCAAAAGACTTGACCACTCTTCTCCGTCCTTCATATCCTTCAAAGAGTCGACTGCATCAATGACCTCCTGGAGTGACGAGTTCAAGTTTTGCAGACTCGTATTATTGTTCGTCATCGTCAACAACGCCTCCAGGTTCTCATCCTCCTCATTGTCGTTGGATGACTTTCGTTGCTTCTTACGTTTCTGTAGCAGCAGCTGTCGCTTCAGCTTTTGGGACACCGAGACGGCCTCGAGTGACTCGAGAATGGCAGTGGGCGTAGTTGGAGATGAGGCAGGGGACGCGGTCAGCTCTGCGTCTAGCAAGGCCGAAGAAATTGCCATCAAGGAAGAATCCTGCTTCTTGAACCTTTTGACCAGCTTGAACAAGAAAAAGCCGTTGGGCCCGTCTTGCTCCAGATCCAAATGGTACAGCTCGAACACCTGCTCCTTAGTCAAGATTTGATGCGACTCTAGGCGCTGGTGATGGATTCCATCCTGGTGCCACAGCCAGGGAGCATTCTTGATTGGCTTGGGACCGTCTGCGTCCTTTAATGACCTGCGAGATATTGACAGCGACCGCAAAGGAGTTACAGGGGATCTAGGAGCGTCCACAATTAGGCCCTTTGGCTTTTGTTGATTCCGCTCCGATGGCGCTGTCTGTCGAGCAATTTCAACTTTTGGCGCTCTGATAACGGTGGTCTCGACAACATGTGTTACATCTGCAGCTGGTGGCGACTGAATAGGCAGAGGAGCTGGTGGTGCAGGAACAGAGGCAACTCTCTGATCTGATTGCAACTTTCTCGCGATCGACTTCGCAGGGCGGGATACCGATGGTAATGGAGCGGGGGCCGTTGCTTGTTTTGGCTGCAGTTTTTCTGCGACCGCTACATCCGAGAAAGCGCCCGGAAATGCTCCTGGCAATGAAAGGGCGGCACCGCTCTCCTGAATCTGCTGTTGTTCGGCCTCTGGCTCTTGTTGCTCATTTTCTACGTCTGCGTCCTCAAATGATTCCAGGATTATATCCTCGCGAGTCTTCGTTGTCTGGGCCTTGTGCCTCTCTTTGACATCCTTGGTCTTGTGATCCACTTTACTGTCCAAAAGATCGGGATGACTTGGTGCGGTCGATGCATCCACCCGCTCAGGACCAGCATCGAGAGCAAAGCTAAGCCTCGAGATATTTGGTGGGAGCATGGGCAAATGGTCTGGCTTGATGTCCCTCTGGATGACAATAATTTGTTCTTCTTCAGCTTGCTGGGCGGATTGACCAGAGGTTGCAAACAGCACTTGGTCGATCGCTTTAAGCGTGGCTATTGATTTCTTTTGGTCCACTGCATGGTTTCCGTTCCTCGATTCACTGGTGACATACATGGGCGAGAGCGGTGGAGAAGGTAACGTCTTCTGGATTTCGTTGTAGGCTCCTGCAGATCCCAATGAGCCTGGAATACTCGCTGCTGCGAGGCTGGCACTGTTTGTATGCTTGATATGAGTCTGACTGGGTTTCGAGGAGGGTGGAGATGCTGGTGGTATGAATCTAGCTGCCACTGGGCTATCGACGGATTTGGCGCGTGCCTGGCTGCTCTCATTGGGTAAATCCGCCAAAATCGGCTCCGCTCTCTCCTTTCCTTTCAAAGATTTCTTTTGGGGGGCTGAAGATGAAGTCGAAGAGGCGGTAGATGAAGATCGCTGTTTATGGTGAGCTGTGCTTGAGTGAGCAGAGTTACCTGACCCAGGGTATCCTATCATCGGTTCCATGCTGGTGCGAAGTTTGTGAGATGACGTCGACGCGACGGAAGATGACGCGACAGATGCTGTGGACGACGCTGCGGTCGAGGAAACGGGCACATAGAGGGCGGACGTTACTGTTGATGGTGAAGTTGGTGTAAGTGTTGACATGGGCGAGACGGTCATCAGTGAGGGCGACTGCAAAATGGGAGAATGCAGGGCTGGGATAAGTCGATCTGGCGACATGGGTGTTTGAGCAACGACCATCGGCACATTGTCCGCACTTGTTGGGGGCATGGCCATGTAAAGAATCGAGCTGGTGGCCTTTCTCAGGGACTTTGTCCAGCCCTTCTTTTTGCGATCGCTGGTCGTCTCCTTCGAGAATTGACTGGCATCATCGGAAACAGGTATACTCGATGATGAATCCGTATATGCCGTATATGTTTCTGCCACGATGTCTTCGCTAGCTCTTCGATACTGCTGAGTGTTTTTGTCCGAGTCCCGCTTGGCCATGGTGCTGTACAATGTGCTAGTCGTCTAGCTCTTGCCGTATTGTTAGTCCACCTGCAGATGCTTCCAGCGGCGCGTCGGCTTTTGGAGAATTGGAGCCTTTCTATACACACAGGCAAAGAGCAGGTTTTACACAGGTGAGCCTCTTCCCCTGTGCCGGATGGAGGTGTAACCTAGCAACGAGAACAACACTCCCATTTGTTTACGCATAATTAAAGGCGCATTCGCCCTGCTTGCTTACCTGTAGTAAGAAGAATCGACTTAAATGTAAGAGTGGTCTCCTGCTCTCCTGCTCTTATGCGAGTGTGAGCCGAAACCGTCAAACAGGAAAGTGGGCAAGAGACGGACCTCCCTTGCAATAGGGGTGTCTGATAAGTCGAGGCGAGGAAAATCTAAATCGGCGGGGTTGTGTCCTGCAAGAACTGGCTGTTGCTTGTTCGAGCTGCGCCTGGAAATTGAAGGGTCCTATTGGATGCGCAACTGTAAGAACGCTAGTCAGAACTCCATGACTTGTCATCACGAAATGAGTTCTCGCCCTTGAAGGCGCGAAATGCAGGGAACCGCCAAAATATCAGCATGCACGAACAACACAGCAGTTACCACTGGTGCTGTGCTCAAAGACTAACCTTGAATCGAACTGCTGGGAGGTATCGCCTGGTAGGGAATCAAATTCGAAACAGGAACAGGAACAGGAACAGGAACAGGAACAAGGGTCAATCGCGGAGTAGAGCTGCAGATTGGGATCCAGAGGTAGGGTGAAGGTCGAGTCGGGTTGGGTCGAGTCAATGGTATGCCAGTAACTGGTCGCGTGCTGTGCACTTCGTTGCCTTGCTTCCCGATACGGAATGAAGGAGTGAAGATCCAATTGAGGGCAGAGTAGAGTAAGAGAGGAGAGAAGGAGAGAAGTAGAGAAGAAGAGAAGTAGAGAAGTAGAGAAGGAGAGTGAGTGAGTGAGTGGATGAGTGGGGGTGAGCGAGAGAGAGTGTGTGTGAGAGAGTGAGAGTGAGAGAGGGAAAAGAGAGGGAAAGGGAAAGACGAAGAGATGGAGGGAAGAAGAAGAAGGGTAGGAAGAAAAGATAAGCGGAAACAACACAAGTCGACTGCATCATATGCATCCCGCCCCACACACACACACCTAGCCCACGGGCAGAGTGGAGGAGGGAAAGACTCTCTCCACTCCGTTTCTTTTTCTTATGTTGACATACGGGGATGTGGTCCGATGCAGCAATGGGAAATGAACGCCGGCTCTTGCGCTCTTTCTTCCTCCAATCAGCCCAAAGAAGAAAACGCAAAAGTCACCCCACAAAGTGCACATTACAATTCACTCGCACATCGCTTCGATGCTTTACAGCCTACTCGCCTATTCCATCCAGCTCTGCAGTTCCCTCGATCACCGCTGTACCGTTGTTGTTATCGCTGTCCCTGGACCTCCACTCTTCCTTTTTTTTTGTACAAATCTATGTCTTTTGTAACGCGTACAGCTTCGTCCACATCATTCATTCGCACATGATTAAAGCTCACTCAATACATTGACATGGCCAGGCACAATTCCGATCCAGTACGAAGCACGAGGAGAACGACTAAGCCATCCCACACGAGGCTAGTCTTTCGTATCTATGCGAATTATATTACATTATTAATCTCCGGGATCTCCCCAATCGTTCTGCTCCACATCAGGACGAACCTGTCTATATGCATGTGTATATAAAGTAACAAAATCTCTCCACACCTGCAAAAGCAGACACTGGAGTGTGAACAAGCTTTGGTGTCCAAGCGTGTACGCGTCAAGGTCGCCAGGACAGACGAAAGACCTAACCCGTCCTTTGTGGAGGCAAAGTTCATGCACAGTTTGCAATTAAAAGGATAGGTATGCGATGCTTGAAGACACTAGTGCGGGTACAATGAGAAAAATTTAAGGCCCTCCACTCTAAAGAGAACAATCGGCCTTTCACCAGTAAGGTCCACAGGTTGTCAATTTCTGCTCGGTGTCATCCATCAGAGGCTACTCATGTTGCGAGTCAAACCCTGTCTTCTCGCGCAATCCGCGTCTTCATCTCAGCGATGTGTCTCGATAACGTCCCGTAACAACGCCTCTCTTGTGCGCACGAGCTGTGTTGCAAACGCCTCGGCCTTGTATGCTGCTCGCTCTCCGCAAATCACTATATGGATGGAACAGACACGTGTAACGGACTGTATATGAGAACGTGAAGGATGTCGAGTCTACACTATTAATGTCTCAAGAGAGTCCTTACATTTTAGCAGCAGTAGATCCCGCGATGCCGCGTCTCGTTGAAGAACAGCTGGAAAATCAAGCGGCGGGAAGTTGCGAATGCCATTCTTAACAGCGATGGCAACACGGTAGGATTGAGGTTTTAAGGACGTGCCGCTTGGGATAGGCCGTACAATACAGACGATGTCTATTCCGCGGCAATTGAATGGTCAGGTGTTGAATTATATTGAGACTCAACAAACAACTGAAATTATGGACGCGCTTCATTTTGATGCAACGTAGCTCCTTACGGTTTTGACGGGACCCAACACTACTTAAGTCAAACTGCTCTTCGTCATCGCTCTCCTTGAAGACGATGACGACCTGTTCCCCAATACAAAGAGCAAAGATACGCGTGAGCATTGTTAACGCGAAAAGGGTGTTGGTGTTCTTTTTCATAATTCGCGCTATGAAAAAAATAAACGTACGATATCGTTTCCGATAAACCGGCGGCGCTCGACTTGCTGATGGTCGTTAGGATTGAACGGCATAAAAGGCGCACAGTGGAACATGATTTGGTAGTCGTTCCACTTTGTGAAAATGGATTTTTCTCCAGTGATATCACCTACACATGCGGAAATACAGAGTTTGTGAATGATGCAAAGGACATCGTGTGGCATGGGCGATACAGGGAACAGCATTATCCATCCTTACCATTGACATCTAGCCCTGCTCTGTACTCCTTCCAGCCATGAAGTCGAATCGGCTCTCCGAGCCAATGAACAAAATCCATAAAATCTGGCGTGCATGCATCTTTTGTATACATCAAAGTCGAGAACAACATCGGATTAGTGGCATAACCCTCCCTTGTAAATGCTATGCATCCATTTACTATCATTGCAGGCTCTCGCCCCTCCCTCATCTGCAAATCTACCAAGCAACATCATCCCCCACCCCCTCTTTTCCCCCTGAATGCGCACAACTTGTTTATCTCAATAAAAATTCCTCGGAGCATAACACAATCATGAGTACGCAGACGCGTACAGATGTCCATAGACTTTACTTCTTCCTCTTACCGCACGGATTCGCCAATCCTTGGTGCTCCAATGTCTGTCCAGGCAACAGCTGGTAGATTCCAAACTTGTAGCACCGGATAACCTGCCGCTCCTCCATCCGCACTAGCTCTCGAGGCAGTTCCGGATGCTGGCATAGCCCTAACTGCTGAATCGGTAACGCTGGGCAGGTCTGGCTTAGAATCCAAGAGTAAGAAATGCCAAAGGCTTTTCTGTACCAGGGAATTGATAATGCCGACATTGGGTGGTCGATTCTTTTGCTGCCCTATATATCAAAGATCACGAATTTTCCTCATAAGTATAGGCCAGACAACAAGACATCGCGATATGTTATAGAGCGGACGTACCTGGGCCGTTCTGATAAGGATCCTGATGCAATCCTTCTGATCGATTACAATGGACACGATGACAGGTCCTTGGACAGATGCTGCAGCCACGTAATTGTAATGAGCTTTGCGGTCCACGAACAATAAGAGATGTTAATGCACAGCTACGGGTAGATTCTGCGAGGAAAGATTCTTTTGGCGGTGAATGCAAACAGATGTCGGAGATGTCTTACTCTTATTACGAAAGTAGGTCTCATAATACTCCAGATCGCATTCTCGGTCTTGCAAGAGCGTCCATCGATCTATTGGTTTGCTGGGTGATGGTGGGCATCCTGACTGCAGGGTGTTGATTGCGGAGGCTGTGCGGTTGATAGAGAAGAAGGACAGGTACCGAAAATCAGAGTGTGGAGCAGCAATGGTCATTCCGGAGGGTGTTTTAACAGCGCCGAGTGCATCCCAAGGAGTAGATGGTGAAAGAAGGATGGGTCTGCGGAATATGTACAAAGGGTGGGGTGTCGGGAGATCAATATCACTGTCGTTACACCTTCGGTGGCAACAGAAAGGAAGAAAAGGAGAAATGAAAAGTCGTAAATTCGGAAAGTAGAAGGATCCTAAAGAAGGATAACGAAAATCAGGGGTGAAAAGATAAATAAAATCATGCATCTTTTCGCCCACAAAAGGACCATGGACAGCATCCGCGTGCTGGGTCGATGGAAGCTGAGAGCATCGAGTGGCATGGCAAATGCATCAACAACAACGGCAGTAGCCTTTTTTTTTTTTTTTTTTTTTGGAGGGGGGGGGGGGGGGGCGCACGTCAATATCCACACTCAGCTAGTCTAGCTATCTCCTGTTGGCGGTTGCTTGCACGGTTGCATAAGATGTAATCAAATATGCAAGCGTCTATGCAGTCGTGCAGCCAACACCGATATGCGAAAACTCTTGTGGGAGCGCCTTGTGTCGTTCAGCATGCTATTACCGCGTGGCGCGTAGGGACATCGCAATAAAGGAAAGTAAGGGAGGGCGCGACTTATTTCCTCTCGAGGATCAAAGAATGAAAATGTAAGACAACATACGCGTAAGATATGTTCTGCGGGCATGATGGCTTGCAAGCCCGGTGGCTGAAGAGCAGCCGCTTGGAAACTCAAGGGATGAAAGCAAGGGCGTGCAGCTTTTGTTCATAGAGCGTTCCGAAGCATCCAGCACGTGTCTCTCGCGCTGGCCCGTTGAGGTCCTGAAAGAGAGAGAAGACGGCCTCGATGAGCGGATGGACGCGTGTGTCGGTTTCCCCTGCTGGGGAGACCCAAGTTAGCGACGTGTGTCCTCCTTTGGGCGTTTGTACAAATGGAGGAGATGCAATTTTTAGAATAAGGTTCGCATATATTAGTATAACACGCAATAAATTATTAAATGAGCCTGGGCGCAAGATGCGCTAGCTGGTCTCTGAGGAAGTGCGAAGCACCTCTTTCCATACTACATCCACATACAACCTGGGAAAAAGTAAATGTCCATGGTAACAGGTATTGCAGCGGCTCTTGACATGATGACATTCATATGGATAGACTTACCCCGTCATGGACGTTAATAAAAGGTATCCATTCACGATACTGTGTCTGAGCTGCAATTGGTGCGGCTCGCTTCGCTATCACTTTGCTGCCGGACTTTTATTTGTAGGTGCTAAGTTAAGGCTTTTCCCCGGTTCCGGTAAAACTCACAGGCAAAAGAGGGCAAGATGAAGAGGATCGGGCGGACTAGCGCGATGAAGATGATAATTACATTTGTGTTCCATGAGAGAAATAGACATGTCCGAGATTGTCTCGACAGAAGCCATGCGTAAGATTAGTGGACTAGTATTATTATAGAGAAACGATATGAAGCTGGCGCCTACTCTGGTCTAATTATTGAAGACTTTATTTGCCAGGCAGACGGGGAGTGTTATCGATCGTCTTTTTTGTGTCCCCATCTTCTCAGGACAGGCCGCTCTTTACCTCCCTTCAGCTCCTTCTTCGACTCCTTCGCCACCGCTTCATTCCCCCTCTCATCTTCCTCTCCTTCCTGAACACCCTTTTCCCTATCCCTTTGCCGTCGCCCCTTCCTCTCGCCAGGGCGTCTGCAGTGTTACAGCTCTCTCACTTGTCCCTAACGCCACCACTCCGACCTACAGCCCCGGTCCTTCTTTACACTCTCCCCTCACTCTGACAAGGACATCCATCTCGACCCGCCTACTTCACTTTCCTTCCCTTGCCCTAACTCTTACTCCAACTCTCAACACAGCTTGTCTCTATCGCCAGCAAAACGAAAGGTGCGTGTGACGAATTAGTCCGACTAATTTTTAATTGAGTTTTCTTGGCCTCAGGGGGAGGAAAAAAGTTGTAACGGGCTTGCTCTTGTGCTTTACTTGTTAAACACAACTGCAGCTGTCTGAAAGCAACAACAGGAGCAGGAAGACAACAACAACAACAACAACAACAACAACAACAACAACAACAACAACAACAACAACAGCAACAGCAACAGCAACAGCAACAGCAACAGCAACAGCAACAGCAACAGCAACAGCAACAGCAACAGCAACAGCAACAGCAACAGCAACAGCAACAGCAGAGAGGATGACTTTCCAATCCAGCAGCAACTGTATCCATTTAGATAAAAAATCTGACATGTAGGAGTGCCATCGACTCCAATTTCTATTGGTCTCCGCCGTTCTTTCATTTCGCTCTTTTATTTTTTTGTGGGATGCTCGCCAACTCTATCTCCCATCAGAAAGAAACCATCCATGTTCCTGGATGTCCTCCAGCTGTCCAGCGGCGACTATTTCCCCCCGTCAATAATCTTTGTCCAGCATTGGCGCCCACCTTCTTCATATACCCCGCTCGTCGTAGCGAGGGGCATGTGCAATGCAACCTTGCATTTCCATGTACTGCTTAGGGGCTCAATTTATAGTTGAAGTTCAAAAATATCGTGAGCAACTCAGAGCCATGGATGAGAACGGGTTTTGTCCTGCAAGACATCTACAGAAACTCAATACGATGGTTCAGGGCTGTGTGCTCACTAGCTGATTTGACATCTTTACTAGATAGAGATCACAATGCAGATCCTTTCCTCGAAATGCACGGCCACCGTGGCCCTGGTGGCTCTGTCGTCCCTGTCCTGGATCAACGGCGTCGCCGCCAACATCAAGTTCTTACCCATCAACATTACCATGATCAATCCTGGTGAAATTATGACCATCAGGTGGGCCCAGGCCAACGTCAATGCTACCGCCTTAAATGTCGCTCCCTTCAACTTGGTTCTCCGTGCCTTGACCGGGCAGAGTTATGACCTCAACAAAGGAATTAAGCAAGATCTGCTTCAGGTGCAGGCCACCATTCCCAGCGAGGCAACCGGTGGACTGGTAGGCGACTCCTTCACGCAATGAATGCTTTAGATTAAGCTCCGCTATCCGTAACAGTTCTCTAATAGCCCTTCTCCTGGAAACATCTTTTCTGCCTTTGGAACAACAGCATAGTTTTTACGCAGACTACACAGGAGCTGATGATCTGAAAAGTGTCAGCACGAACCAGTTCAATGTTAGTGGCGCAATTGTCACAACCACGAGCCCTGTGCCTGCCCCCACGGGCACCACAGCTACTGGCGCTGCCGGAGCGAATGCAACACCGACCCATGACGCTGGGCAATCAGGACTCTCTGGCACCGTCTTGGGCGGCATCATCGGCGGAGTGGCTGCCTTCCTCATACTTGTCGCACTCATCTTCTTCTTCAGACATCGCCGTCGCGTTCGCGAACGTAGCGAGCACACTCGTTTGGAGGATACAAAGGATAGCTATAGCGAGACATCCATTGCCCGCTCCGGTCCTCCAGGTGGACCAGCCATCTTTAACGATAAGGAAGCTGACATGGTACCAGTCCCTCTGTCAGGCCCTAGCCCACGTCCTCCTCGTCCAGATGAGCACCAACAAGATGGCGGCCCTCGATCCCAGCACCCGATGTATGCAAGCAGCAATGGTATCAGGAATCCCTTTGATGGACCAGAGGAGACAGCTATGGCTTCTGTCGTGATGGGCGGGGCCACATCCCTCTCGCCCAGGCAGCAGCACCAGCCCTATCAACCTCCCCAGCTCAACCAGCAGCCTTCTCGCCCAATGCAGCAGCAGCAGCAGCAGCAGCAGCCCTACGGCATGGGTAGCCCCATGCAGCGCACCCAAAATCCCTATCAGCAGAACCGCGACTCGATCGAGTCTGAACCCGAGTCCGCGTATGATCCCGCTCACATTCGTATGACGAACACCAACAATGGCGGCAATGCACCGATCCAGCGTAACGACTCGAACTCAATGATGCATGCAGGCGCAATTGGACCACCCTCGGAGCGATCAATCCTGAGTAACCCTCGCCAGCAGCACCAACAGAACCCCTTCCAGGACCGTGAGCTTATGGCTGCGGCTACCGGTGCTGCTATTGGTGTTGCTGCCCATCAACAGGACTCGAACCTTCCTGTTCAGGCTCAACGTCAACCTGCGCAGAACCAGCACGTGAACAATGTGGTGCCAAGCCAGAGCCCCATGTTCCGCTCTACTACGCCTCGCTTGAGGGAAATTGAGATGCAGCCATTAGACGTCCAACAGCATCAATATGAGCAACAACAGCGCATGTTGCAGCGTCAGCAACAGCAGCAACAGCAGCAGCTGCTGCAACAACAGCAGGAGCAACAAGAAAAGGCAATTCCTCAACCTGCTCCGCAGCTGGCATCCCAGCCTCCCCAGATCCAGGCTCCAGCATCTGCCGCTGCGCCAGCACCTATTCCTACACCTGCACCTGCAGAGACAGCTGCGCCCGCTCATCCATTCAACCCTACACTGTACGATGACAAGACCGAGCTCGATGAAGACGGTGCGCCTGTCTATAACGGCTACCGCGATACCATCTTTGGTGCCTACTCTCAGCCTTTAGGTGACGACGAGGATGACGACGAGGAAGAAGCCCCGGTACCCATTGTTCCTCTATCAGCTTTGGCCAAGACACGGCCTGCGGAGCAACAGTCGGCCCAAGGTACGAGTACCACCGAGGGTGCGCCTGGGGTCCAGCGTAAGAAATCCGTCAAGTTCACGGGCGTTCCTGTCTCCGGTCCTATTGAGGTCTCAGCGACGAACCAAAGTCAGGCTCAGCCATCTCAGTTTCAGCACCAGCACCAAGAGCGCTTGAGTCACCATGGCGACGACGAAAGCGACGATGATTACGAGGACGTATACGAGGATAGGAGTGAGGATGAGGATGATATCAAGATGAGACTCATGGAGACCGAGGTCCCAAGCCCGGCTTCTGCCCACGCGCGCCCTCCTGTCATAAACACATCCCCATCTAGCAGCGTCCCTATGGTCCAGCAGCAGCAACAGAATGCGCTCTCGCCTGTTCGCTCCCCGGACGGAACTTATAGCGCTGCTTCAAGTCCGTTCCAGCAGCAGCGCCAGCCGCAGTATCCTGTTCCTTTAAATACTCAACCACAGATGAATTTTTCCAGCTCAGGATCTGTGTCCTCGATAGGCGATGGATTCTACCAGGATGTTCTTGCGGCGGTTGATAAGAACGCGAGGACGCTTCCTTCTGCGACTTCCCCAACGTCGCCTACGCAATATATCCAGCAGCAACGTACCCCGGCCCATCAGCTCCACCATCTGCAGCCCATTCATGTGGAGCGTGAGGTCTTTGGTGCACCTTCACCTAGGATGACCCCATCTTCTGCCGCTAACAACAATAACCAGCAGCAGCAGCAGCAGCAACAACAAGGCAGCGGATACCCTTCACCACCAACACCTACATCTTCGAAGCCCGCGTTGTCGCCCCGATCTGCAGCTCGCCCCCCAGTGGGTCAGAAGCAACAGCAGCAGCAGGAGCAGAGACATCCGGCTGATGCAGATTTCTACGAGTCCTCGCTTCTGTAAAAACATAGCATTTCGTCCGCTTCATCTATTCTTTGTAGATTAGGGTACATCATTTCATCCTCCACCATCTATCCATACTACGACTAGTAACACCACCACTACCACCACAACTTAGACAGCATGTTAAAGCTTATCCTTTTGTCTTTTCTTTTTTTTTTTTTTTTTTTTTTCAATAACGAATGTGAATTACGCACTCCTTTTAGAGAGTCACATTTATGCTCTTGCTGATGAATATTATGAATTTTTATGCGTCATGCATTATGCAGCAAGCGATTGACTTGAACAGATTGGTAGGTCGGTAGGTTGATATTTATTTTATTTTCCATTCGATAACCATGCTCCTTGAGGCTATGAGCTCCTGGTGGCATGAGTACTCTTCCTGAATAGATTAAACCTCATTTCTTTCCGCTTCTTCAGCTCCTTCTGCTGGGCTCTGTACTGTCCCTCTGCCTGGTCCTCAAAGAAACTGGGCTCGTACACAGCCAAATGTCCCTTGATCCTCTGAACATAACCCTCGACCGCGATCCCGTTTCCAAAGCTCTCCAGAAAGGGCTTATGACAGTAGGGCTCTGTGTTCGCATCCAATTCCATCAAGCACTCCCAAAAATCCTGTGCGCCCCCAGCTGGATAGGGAAATCGGATATAATCCATTGCGAAGACGACCATTGGCGGATTTGGCAGCTTGAGATGCTCCTGGATCTCACGGGACCACGCCATGAGGGGCACGCGTGATTGGGTCGGGGGAAGGAGTTCAGGGGTGGCATGTGTGAAGACGACGATGAGCTTTGACCAGAAGGCCGGGGTGAAGAGGTCCTGGTAGGTCTGGAGGGTTTGGTGGAACGTATTGTCGTATCTACAATTGTCGTGTTCAAAAGAGTAGGTTTAGATTGGTTAATGGACTTGTGAAACAGGTTCGTTTCGTGTGACAAAATGAACGGATGAAATATAAAACAGACAAATAAAAGTACGCCGTTCATCCGCTGCCCTGAATTTTTTTATAAATATCTATAAAAAAAAACTCACCGGTAGCGTGTACATTTGACGACAAACAAGAAGGCGTCGACACCAGCCGCGACTTTCGTCAGGAGAGCTCCGATCTCCTTGACTCGGTTAGGGTCATGCAACTTGCCATTGAACGAGGGCGTATCGATACAGTGCATCACCGGATTCGTGGGTATGTTTAGGAAATGGTTCGTGGCCTTGTCCACATGCTGTGTTACTTCCTATTAGACCCAACAGAAGAGAAACATAAATGTATGCGAGGCAGTTAGCATGGTAGAAACACCATACAGAGGATAAATACTGTACATGGATATAGACACAAGGGAGGGGTCAAGCATCGTGCGTTTCATGTCATAGTCGGATTGGATTGAGCTGGAGCTGTTGGAAAGAGGGTTCGATCAAAGGCCATGTCGGGACTTACACTGACAGAAGCCTTGGTCACGAACATCTGTCGACCGAGAATGGCGTTCAGCAGCGTGCTTTTGCCTAAGGAAGGAAAGTCGATCAAGAACCAGGGTATGTCAACTAAAGGCTTTGCGCTCTTTTAAATTTAAATATTCGACGTTCCTAAAGCAGAATGGATGGAAGAATGTATATACCTTCGCCGCTCTTGCCCAGTGCCACTATCGTGAACTCGCGCGTTGGCGTTGTCTGCTCCTGCTCCTGCTCCTGCCCCTGCTCCTGCTCCTGTTTCTGTTGCTGTTGCTGTTGCTGTTGCTGTTGCTGTTGCTGTTGCTGTTGCTGTTGCTGTTGCTGTTGCTGTTGCTGTTGCTGTTGCTGTTGCTGTTGCTGTTGCTGTTGCTGTTGCTGTTGCTGTTGCTGTTGCTGTTGCTGTTGCTGTTGCTGTTGCTGTTGCTGTTGCTGTTGTTGCTGTTGCTGTTGATGTTGTTGCTGGTACTGTTTTGACACTGAAGCCTGAGGATATTGCTGCTGGTTATATTGCTGTGAATATGGATTTGGCGATGCCTGATTCTTGGACGACTTATTATGGGTATACATTCTTGTTCCCTTTATTTTCCTCCTTCGGCTTGGCTTGTGTTGTCAAGGGATTACCTGGGCAAGGCGAGTCCAGATGGGATGGAAGAGGAGTGTGTAGAATGAAGGAAGGAAAGAATGAGGGAAAGACAAGAGGAATGCGGAGAGGGGATGAAAGAAGAAGGAATGAAAGGAAGTGAAGAACAAATTGGATTTTTGGTATTCATATTCATCCAATTCAAAATAGAGGGCAAGAGGGAGGGCCATATACCATCCCATGCCCATATCGCAGACAGGCACATTACTGGTCCTACTATCGGTGTCAAACCCCACTTCTCAAAATAGGTCAATGGGCCCCATCGTTCCCATCGTTCTTATCGTTGTCAATTTGGCTGCTGCATGCTTCGGCAGTACTTTCTTGCGCATGGTGATAATGTGCATTGCCACAACAGAAGGCAGACAGCAGGGTCCTTCTCCTTCACTGCCAAGAAGGGAATAGCACGTAAATTCTCCATGCCTGTGACTGTCCTCAAAGTGTGAATAATGGGCCAAGCGAACAAACTCCAACCGTCGTCCTTCTTGGCATTCTTCATTCCCCATTCTTCACTCGTCATCCCTCATCCAGTCTCCAACGCTAACATCTCTCATCCTCCATTTCCTTCTCATACCACCCTCTTAATGCCTCGTGTCAGCATCAGCCCGATTCATGTCGGGGACCTCAACTTCTTGATCCTCGACTGTCCTTCGGATGCGGTCTTGCCCGCTTACATGCCCGTTCTCGAGGAAAACCATGTCACCGATCTCGTTCGTATTTGCGAGGGCAGTCCCTACAACATTAAACCGCTCAACGACGTCGGCATCCGAGTGCACGACGACATGTATGCTCTTTGCTTTTTTTTTTTTTTTTTTTTTTTTTTTTTTTTTTTTTGTCGCAGTGGAAAATGAGTTTCATATTTATAAAGCCAAATGGACACTGCTTATTTTTTTTACCTATCGATTATCTGTTTAATAACTTTACCTTCCTTGGATATGCCTTGGAATGTTCAATTAGGAAATTCACCGATGGCACAGCGCCTGGAAAGGATGTTGTCGCGAGATGGCTGGAACTGAACGACCAGGTCTTTTTCAACTCGCCTGAAAAGGGTCGTTGCATCGCCGTTCATTGCGTCTCCGGCATTGGAAGAGCACCGGTACGAGAGGCACCGAATCTTTCAAATGACGACCGCTCCTTCTTCTTTTGCGCAGAAGGAACACCATCATCATTGCATTTCTGGGCAAGCGTGCACCTGAAGAAGACGCAGGAAACCTGGTTCAACGTACTAATATGACATCAACGTGACTCCTTTGCATTTATGATATTCACAATTAGGTTCTTGTGGCCATCTCGCTCATCGAGGGAGGCATGGATTCCCTGGTAAATGTCTTGAAGCGCATACTTTGGATACTTCTATGCATTCTCGAAAATGTGGGAGCCGTTTTTCGAGTGCGGACCAAATTATTTCCAGGAAGCCATGCTGACATTTCTTTCGCTGCTATTCATAGGATGCAATTGCCTACATTCGAAAGGTTAGAAGAGGCGCCCTCAACCGCAACCAAGTTGCATTCCTGGACGGGTAAGGCAACATAATCAACATGGCACTTTTTTGATCCTGGGATCCTGGGAGATGTTTATTTGTGCCATGATACTTACTACCCTTTATTCTTTGACTTTGCAGGTACAAGAAACGGAAAAATGGTTTCGCGGCGAAAAAGGCAGCGGGCATTACCAATGGCGCCACCAACTCATCGACTTCGTCTAGTCTGCCTGCTGCATCAGGGCCTGGGATCGAGAAAAAGAAGACTGGGTTTATATCCAAGATGTTTGGAAAAAAATAAATGAACTAGGAAGCCGCTGTTCTTTCTTTATTCTATTGTCTTCATCGCCTGTGTGTTAACTTGTTAATGAACATGGGGTATCAGAGCCGAAAAAGATAACTAAGCCGTGCGAATCTTGATCGTCCTTGGTCGATACCCCGCGCTCAATTGACCCCACTTGTTTCTGTCCGTTGATTCGCGCGACCGGAAACTTTATTTTGCGCAGTGGCAGTCCGTTCGTTCAGGCTGCATCTCTCTTCCTCTACTCATTCCTCGCGTCAACCCATCGTACTATTTCCTTGGACATTCCTCACCTCGACATCTGTTTCGACTATGAAAGACATTGTGAAGATCACCAGCGACACGATCAGTCTGGACGAATTCGCGAAGGCTGTGCAGGACCCTAAAGCAGGCGCTATATCGACCTTCTCGGGCACCACACGCGACAACTTTGAAGGTAACAACAACCGCTGAGCAGGTCGGGAAGATTCAATTCCATGCAGTCAGCCATCTCTCTTTATTTATCGGCATTGCGCGCTGGGACAGACCGATGTCACTCACAATGCCCCGCCTCCTTTGTACACACTTCTCGTCTCACAACCCAAAAAGACAAGGAGGTCAAGACGCTGGCCTATGAAGCGTATATTCCTATGGCAGAAAAATCGATGAAGTCGTTGATTACGGCCGCACGGCAAAAGTGGGACGATTTGATCCATGTGGCGATCGTGCACAAGATCGGTGATTGCCCTGTGGGAGAAACCAGTGTAGTGATCGCGGTATCGTCCGGACATAGGAAACAGGGGCTCGAGGCTGTGCACTGGTTGATCGATGAACTAAAGGTCCAGGTGCCGATTTGGAAGAAGGAGGTCTATGTCGATGGTGGCCCTAATGGAACCGACGGAGGCGAGGTCTGGAAGGCAAACAATGCTTTGCCATGAAGAACAGGAAGGACTATAACAGGCATAGGAAGCAATAAAAAATGGAACAAGCATGAGCAGACAGGACAAGGGAATTGAGATGAGAAATAGATAGCATGCACGCCTAGAATGGCAGGTGCTAGGTCTGTTTTTCATCTACGCCGTCGTAATGTACTTCTGCCCGGATAGAGCTCCTTAGGCATTGTGATTGGAGTGTATGTACTTTGGATTGTCACACGGGCATGGCACCTTGCAAAGGAAAGTAGCACAGGCGCAGATGGAGGAGGAAAGAGCCCTGTTTCGATATTCGCATCGAGTCCGCACCGAGTCCGCACCGAGTCCGCACCGAGGTCGCATTGAACCCGCATCAAATCGTAAACGACGAGGCTTTGCATGAATGAACGGTGCAGCATGACCATTGACTGGGCGCCATGCACACTGTTAGTCTAAATGGAGAATGGGTTGGCATGTTGTGTTGTATATCCTTTCAAATGCAAGGTCGCGCTTTTAAAAAAGAAAAATGGAAACCAGTTTTTGTGGATACGTATTTTGTGCCGAGAGGAGTCAAGTCGATCTGTTGGAATAACGGGTTCAAGGCAAGTTTCCTGTTTCTTGAATTGGTTTGCTTGCTGCTTTTGCTCATCCTTCTCGCACCTTTTACTTTCTTTCTTTCTTTCGTTCTTCTTTCTTCCTTCACCCATTTCTTTCTTTCTCTCTCTCACCCCCTCCTCTCATCCTCATCTTCTTTCTTACTTACCCTCATCAACCAAAGCTGCATTTCACCCCCCCCCCCCCCCAGGGCGTATGTGTATGCACCTTCCCTTCTTCCTTCCACCAATAAACGCGACACAGAGGCACATCATACAAAAATAAAGTGAGCTTTCTTTCGCTTTCTTTCGCTTTCTTCGCTTTCTTCACAGCAGCCAGCCACTGAATACCTCTTCTCAACTCGACTCGGCTCATCCACCATGTCCTCATCCCTCGACCATGTCAACAGCAGCAACGATACCAACAACAACGGTAATAGCAACAGCAGCAGTAACAGCAACAGCAACAGCAGCAATGGCAACCATAATGGCCATTATAATGTAGGATATCCCAGCCAACAGCAGCAGCAGCAGCAGCAGCAGCAGCCAAGGCATCCACTGCACCATCCTCAACAGCAACAGCAGCAGCCGATGTTTTATGCTCAGCAGGATTATCCTCCACAGGGCATACATCAGCGCCAGCAGCAGCCTCAGCAGCAACAACAGCGCCAGATGAGTGCTCCATTCGCGCAACAGCAACAACAACGCCCGTCTTCACCGCCAGGACCCCAATACAGTTCAGGCCATGATCTGTCACGGCAAACCCACTACAGTCAGCACCAGCATGCTCTTCAGCAACAGCAACAGCAGCCATTTGATGGACACAATCAGCAAGGACAGACTCAACAGGCGTACAGTTCAAACCAGCAGCCGCAACCGCAGCAACATTATTCACAACAAGGGCAAAGCCATGGCCAAGCACAACAGCTACAACAGGGACAAGGCTACACGCAAGAACAGGCAGAGCAGCAACAAGGATCGGCATCGGCATCGGCGTCCGTCTCAGGGTCCTCGCCTCCCAGGTCCGAGAACGACTCCAAGTAAGTGTGGAGCTACGTTGGACCATTGTTTATTCCAATTAGGCTAGTTTTGCTCACCTGTTTTCCCTTCTCTGCTCTCCAATCGTTCAGTCTTAGGTTCAGGATTACCCTTGAAGCCCAGACTGCTGCTATGCAGCGGCAAGACGAGACTCCAGTGACATATCTCAATAAAGGTGACTAGAACAAGACATGGCAGAGCCCATTCATGTTATCGTTGACTTTTTTTAAAAAAAAAAAAAATCAAACATGCAAAGTTGACGGATCTATTTTGCTCCTGAATTTTCTTCAGGTCAATTCTACACTGTGGGACTCGAGGATACGGAAGAGTACGATGGCGAGATCACAAGTGTTATCAGGGTGACCTTCCACGACGCGTCCCATCGACGACTTGCGGCGCGGTACTGGAGCTTTTGGTTGAGTCAACAGGCCAACCCCAAAAGTGCAAGAGCTTTGGATATCGGTAAGGGGAGAATAAGGAAGAAAGAAGACAAGTAAATAGGAAACTCAGCCTGCTTAGCCAAGCAGATGCGTGTATGCAAACCATGGAATGGTACTAAAAAAATTTTCTTAACTTCGGTTTACACCAACTTTATTTCAGAAAAAGCGTTGTCGAGTGGGATGCTAGAAGTGCAGTCCAAGACGTTTGATCGGATCTCGTTCAGGTGGAACGGTAGGGCGGGGGCAAAACTTATGGTGCGGTTCAATTGCCTGTCGACGGACTTTTCGCGCATCAAGGGTGTCAAAGGCATTCCGTTACGGGTTCATATGGATACGTATCTGGACAATGTTGGTGGGCACAGTAGCGGCAGTGCCAGTAACAACAAAGGAGATGGCCCAGCCATGGAGCGAGCGTTCGCAAAGATCAAATTGTTCCGTGATAAGGTAAATTCCAATGCATCTCGGTATCGCTGTAATTTTATTTTTTATACATTGCTGTTTATTTATTTGCATGTTTGTTTGTGGCAAAAAAAAAAATCAACAGAATTGGGGATTTAAACGTGATAAACCTTATTGTTTTTATAGGGTGCGGAACGCAAGAATAAGGACGATCATAAACATCTGGAAAAGATGTGGGACAAGATGCGGGGCAAGAATGCAGATACGAACCCATTAGTCAACATGCTGGCGCCCGTCCAGAGCGTGTCACTGTTCTCAGAGTGCACAGATCCTCCAGAGGGGTCGGGCGAGGACGAGACCTTGGACTTGTCGGAGACCCTGGCTCACGATCAAGACGCGACTGATAGTGGTGGGGCAACTGGTGGAGAGCATTACGACGCAGGATCGTCTTCGCGACAAGACCATGATGGTTTATCGAGCACAGGAGATCAGCCTACGTCTCTGGCTCCTGCGAACAAGAAGCGACGTCGTGCTGCCGAGAGCGGAGGAAATAATGGCTCGGGCAATGGAATGACTAGCAACGGCAATGGGAACAGCAACAACAACGGACTCTACGATCCACAGCACTCTCAGGTCGGAATGGCATCATCATCCGCATTAATTCCTTCGCACGGTGGCGGCGGAGGAGCACTTGCGACATCAGCGGAACTGCTCCTGGATAGGGATCCGAGCTATGTACCACAGGCGCGCAAGAAGCGGCCGGTGCTTTGTCTGTACATCAAGATCGGGGGCGAAGCCGTGTATCGGGCCGTATATCTGGAGAAGTGCACGCTTGCGGATCTGATCCAGAAACTGTCCGAGAAGCTCGAGATCCAGTCGTCAACGATCTCGTGTGTATATAGAAAGACGATTAAGAAGGAGCTGATGGTCCGGGTCGACGATGCGATGGTCGCCCAGATGACGGACGAGCTCGATATGGTGGTCGAGTATGACTTTAATCAACAAGATGGAAGCGTTAACCTGACGCTCAAGTACTGACGAAGTGGTCAAGAATAATGATAATGATAATGATAATAATAACCAATAATAAAAAATAATAAAGTTGAAAAAAGAATACTGCCTTGCTTCCATGCCTTCTAACCTTTTTCTCATTCATCATCTCCTTGTCCATGTATCTTCCTCCTTGACAGTAGCAATCTCATCTGAAAAACGAATATGGAACTGCCGAAGCGATCGTTTTTTTTATCTTATTTTTTATTTCTTATGTATTTTTTATTTCATCGCACCCTGGGTATGCAGGCTGTTTGCTGTAACTGGCTCTATTTGATTTTGGCTTAAAGTCGGAATGAGGAAAGGGGTTTCGGTTTTGTTCTTTCTTTCTTTTGGTCTGTATCTGATGCGAGGCAAGATGTGGGACATTAGATGAAATGCAGTGTCATGATGGTGAAAGGCTTCAAGAAAAAAGGTACGATTACAAAATGAGAAAAAAGAGAAATAGTCATAGCGAAAATAGGGATATATCACGATAAAAAAGTCCAGCTCTACGTGATATTCGACGGCGAAAATGTCCCCCAAAAAAAAAGTGAAAAAGTGAAAAAGAGAATAGAAAGGTTGGAAGGGAGTGTTTGTTCCTGAAAGGGTCGTACCAGGTATTTTTTTTCTACTGGTTCAATATCTTGACGTTCAAGAGCTCCTCGCCGTCCTTTTCTGAGAGTGTTGGTTCACTGGGTGATGGTTGAGGGAGCGCTGGTGTTGGAGGCCGCATCCGCTGAGCCTTTTCCCGAAGATCCACATAGCTATATTCAAACAAACAAAAAAAAAATAAGATCAGTAATAGAACTCCTTTTTTTTGTGCATCGCATCGAGAGTTTGCGTGGCAACCAGCTGTGGCAATGGCTGTGGCTGTAGCTGTGCGTAGAAAATATACCTGTAGCATGCGCCTCCAAGAAGAGTCATGATAATGCCCAGTCCATTCAAGAATCCGATCTTGGTGTTGAACACCGTCACCGCAACAACGATCGACAGCACTTGCTTGACATTAGCTACAAACACAAGAGCCAAAGAAATAAAACACGCACACAGACACAAATGGTTAATTTTCTTCTCTATCACCCCAAGGCAAAGACAAAGACAAAGTAAACTGCTCTTTCGTATCAAAAACTCCTTCTTTACCTGCGACGGTCATGGTAAGAGCGCTGGTCTTCTTGTTGGCGGTAAATGAGACGTAGTTGAGGAAGAAGGCGATAACACCATTGACCATCAAAGCCAAAACAAGCTTATAACTCATTTCCGTCCTACAGAATGACACCACCTCGTCCAACTCGCCCTTCATCCAGGAGAAAATAACCGTCTGCACAAATGCCAGAGGACTCATGCGGAGCAGCAAATCGAGAGGGTGAAGTTGAAGCCGTCCAACCTGGATTCGGTTCGTCACCACCGTCTTTGTTGCAGCCAACACTGTGCCCAAAATCGTGAGGAAGAATCCCATTGCTGTGTAAGAATAGTCCCCGACCGTGGCCATGTATACTCCCAGAAGCAGAGGAACCAACGACAGATAGGTCATGGCGCTGTATTTCTTGCTAAGGAAGGCGACCGAGATTGCAATAGTGAAGACTGGCGTCATGGCACGTACGACCTGGTGAAAGGCTACAGATACTTCGTTTCTATTGACAGATCGGTGAAATAAATATAAAAAAAAAAAGTCATTAGAATCCAGAACACGTCCAATCTGCTTTTTGTTGCTTAGCCAACCTAGCCAACCGCAAAGTCCGAGTCCCTGCTTGGCTCCCTCTGAACTCTGGACTATCTCTTCTCGAGACACAAGATGGCGATGTTATCCCGGATTCAGCCCTGAAGTCCTTTTTTTTTCTGTTGCTGTTGGACCTCGCACAACCTGCTACTCTTGATGTTCTGGCAGCGCATCCTCGCCACCACTCCTCTCAAGATATAAACTGAGAGCACCATTCGGATTCGCCCACTCCAGATCAGAGACAAAAAGTACAAGCAAAGAGGCACTTACAATGAGACGTTACTGATAGCAATGTTGAGTGTGTACAGAAATGAAAACGATAGCATGATCATGTTCTCCTGCTCGCCAAGTTGTGTGGGTGTGAAGTACCCCATCTGTCCCATGATATAGGCGCCGACACCGGAACAGAGCGTATGGATACCCGTGAGGGTCCAAGGGAATCCAAAGTGAAATGTGCTGAGGATGGCCTTGTTGTAGATCGTCAGAGTGAGGTTGAGGAAGAAGTACATGGCCAGCCATGAGTACGACGTGTCAACCTTGCCCGGCCTGCTCGCTCCTGCAGAGAGTTGAAGAGGATGAGGTCGATCTTTTCCGAGCATTCTTTTTTCTGTACTGAGTTAATGGGTCGTAGAGATGAGTCGATGAGAGATCTTGTATTGAAGAGTTGTTAGAAAGAAGATGCGACAGATCTAGTTTATGATGACGGTAGATGAAAGGAAGCGAGTTAGAGGCGTGCCTTTTTAAAAGTGCGAGATCTTTTTTTTTTTCAGGGGTAAAAACGAGATGCTGCCAAGATTCACCACAGATGAGGATATTCATCGGTATTTACAATCAGCAAAGAAACAGAGATGGCATGAGAAGGGTCCAAGGCGAACGAGTGGCAGGGGAAATTGTAATTTATAGAGCGCAACAGGACGTTGATGGAAGAAACAGAAGAGGAAACAAAGGGACCGGCAAGGAGTCCAAACGGACAAGGACCTTTAATCAATCAATGGTGGCTATCAAAAGTCTGTAGAAACAACTATGCTTATCACCGGTTCTTCCTCGTGGCTCTAGTCCTCCCTGCCCCAACTCTACCAACTCTATTCGCAGATATAGCGACAGAGTGTGTTGTGTTCTCCAATTTTGATTAACCCGATCTTGTTTGTGAAATAAAATAAAAAATAAAAAATAACCCTGTTATTTCAGAGGACTGCGGTCTAGGGCGAAGAGGTGACCGATTGTCCAATTGATCTGGGGAGTGGTGTTCTAATGAGCTGCATCCGATCCATGTATGGGCATATCAAGTACATTCACGGAGAATTACCATCCCCATTGGATACGATCGTTCGGTCAATGCTGCTCCCTCTCACAGCCGGAATGTGGATGAACATTAAGAAAGATGCGTTGGCTGAACACACAGCGCGCGGGCTCGAGGAAATTGGCTGTCTCAAAAGACAAATATTGATAGGATTTACCCGGGGATTCATAAAAAAGAAAAAAGAAAAAAACTTACGGCGCAATGGTCCAGGCGTATGTAAGTTGCTGCAAGTCCTCTTGGTTGGTTGTTTGGTCCGAGACTGGTCAGGTTGAATGAAAGATGAGACAAAAAAGTTTGGGTGATGCAGAAGAATGAATAAGCAAATGCAAGGCGAGCAAAGGAGGGAGGGAATGAGTAAAAGTAAATGAAGTAACTGTTCGAAAAGAGGAAAAGAAGAAAAGAAGAAAGAGGAGAGGAGATCAAGAGCTTTAGAAAAAAAGAAAACGTGTGCTAATTATATGCGCACTCCATCAGAACCTCGATTGGATAAAGGCAAGGCAAAAGACATGGCCAATGGACAGGTTTCAGTGTTCTTTTGCTCGGTAAAGAAAGCGTTTCCGCACTCCTCCTCTTCACCCTGGCCGTGGAAGCCCTTGTATGCTATTGACGCGATGAGGATACCGGTGATGTTATGATGATAATCTCCAGCACCGAAAGGGTTTCTCTTCTGTTCCGACTAAGCTAAGCTGTCCGCTGTTGCTCACAGGCACAGTGAGAAAAATGTTGCATCATTGGCCGTGTTGCAGCCGCAATCCCTGCGCACCCTGTCCCTGCACCAGGGCTTTGACATCTTAACTCCGGCCCCGTTCCTAGACTAGATCATGCTGGCAACTGTCTCACCCTAATTATCAGTTTCCATCCAATTCAATTCTAGTGTTCTACAATACTTACCACTCCAATTTCATCATCTTTTTCTTATTTGAAAGGAAAGGAGGGATTCCTTACGCAGGAACAGGCGAGAACAGGCTAGGCCTTATGAGGACGGAAGGGCCTCTCTTCTTTTCCCAATCCGACTTGATGCAGCGAGTCCGCTAATTAGAACGTGCCGTAGACTAGTCTTCGTTCTTGACCGCATTAACAGTAGGTCGATGGTGCAACAGGACGTTCATGAATGCTACTGCATTCTCAGAGGTATTGAATGAGGATATCCCATAAGAATCTCTTGGGGAAGATAGTCTCGCACGATCTTACAGTGCTCCCTCTGCCTCTTCTTTGTTTCTTCCCGCGGAAGTATGAGAGCAGCGGTTCAAGAGATGATGGCTCATAAAAACAACCAGCATCTTTTCATTTGTTGTGTTTTAAAGTTCCATGAAGAGCGTTGTTCGATAGACCTACAACTCCACCCATCCATCCACTCATGCTTCTTCATCTCCTTTTTTGCAGGAAAAAAATAGACGTGAGCCCTGTATTGACAGGGCTAGAGGTGGTCCATACATGTGTACGGGTAAGGATGAGATACAGCATTTGTGAAGCATAGCATCGAATAAGGCTGCCTGTCGTACAAGGGAGCGTAGTGAGGTGCAGATCACACAGCATAGGCACAAAGGCACCGTAGGACACGGTGGTGCACACACGCATTGGCCATTGTACCCGTGCAAAGTCCCCAACTTCGTTGTTCCTATTTAGAGAGGGGGGCGTGCGTACGCGTGCATCTGAAGGAAATAAGCAGCACGCGCGTCAATTTGTGTAGGAGCAACGGTAGTGTCTAAAAAAAAAAGAGGGGCCAGACCGTTAACAAGAAGCAACAGCATTTGGTCATATATGCTTCTGAAAGCCATGGAGACACTGGGTGGGAGCTCATTGTCCATATCTCAACATGTTTCTGTGGTATCTATCTGTGACACTTTAAGTCTAGACCTTTCCTTGACCATACAACCAGCTTAGTAACCGCTTCTCACGTTAATCTTGCACTGTCATCGCCATGGGATTCGTCTCTCACTTCAGTTTTCTTGTTCCGCGGCCCTTTTTTACGTTAACTCAGAGTTGAATGCTTTCTCATAAGCCAGTTCAGTTTACGAGTCGGTGAGATGAGCGATTCAAAATGAGATAACACGCATCACCGAGGATCGTATCCACTTCAATGACCGTCCAGATTCTCCATTTGTTTTTTTTTTTTCTAGTCAAGTACTTTAGACAAAAATGATGGAGTATTGATGGGGTTCAAGGTGGACCTAGATGAACTTGATGATAGCCCCCGTAGAACAAGAATCCTAGGTTCACTGTTCCAACCATCAAAATTACCGATTCTTTTACATGGCAGTAGCAGATCGACGCTATTGTATACTACGCCGATCTTTGAGTAGCCCGCTTCTTTCCTCCTTGAAAAAAAAACCATCCTGAATGGCTCCGCCTGGACAACCTAATGGTATATTTTGAACAGCTTTCCTTCGTCTGTTTGTACTCAATAAAATTGCTCTCCGCGTCAGTTCCAGTGCTGTTTCGCTAATTGTGTGTACTATTGACCGCCAAAACCTTGATGCTGAGTCTGGGCGTGCCTGGACGCAAGTCGACTACTGCATGGCTTCATATCCGCGCTGACCTACGACACGCCTTTGCTACGTTTTGATTAGAAAAGTCGCGGCTTATGGTGAAAGAAAGGAGACACGTGAACACCTTCTTCCCATCACTTCCATCCATAGCTCTACCTTCTATCTTGCTCCGGAGACACAAACATCTGTGTTGATCGCAAGGCGAAGCAGCGTCCTGTTCAGGCTGTGCTTACCTTGATTGGCTCAAATATGTTATTTCATGGGGTGAAAGGCCCCTCAGAAAGGGTCCTCGTAATCACACCTTCATATCGCAGAAAATGGATGACATGATTCATAAGTTGAGAGCCAGTGGGACTCAGTAGGTTGTCACCGTCGCCGTTACGAATAAAGATTACACAAGCCATGTCCCAGACCAGTCGTTCGGAAAAGATCTGGCTGTGCTGTACCGATGTGATTCAGACGACAAGCAGGGCGTCCTGGGCCCGTACTGCAGCCAGATGGGAGTAAACAGCGAAATGCTCGAGCCATTTAATCAGATTTACTTTGACAAGGTAGAGGTCTTGAAAGAGGAATCCAAGAGCAACGAGGCTATTGATGTGAAAATGAGGGAGGTCGTGGACAAAGCGAATGCCTTTTATTGCAGAGCAATACCCGATAGTTTGAAAACGTCTCCATATTTTAGATTCAAGGTCGCCAGCAAGAGGAGCGAGACGAATGCAATTAACATGGAGGCAATGATTACCGAAGAATCCATGACCAGCGTGGATACCATGATCGTCGAGGGGTTCATGGCCAGTGAGGAGGCCGACCAGAGCGACATGAGCGAAATTAAGATCTAGGAGCATCCTACTGCGTAAGACCTCGGCTGACTCCCCATGGTCTAGGATGTATTACCCAGTCAGATCGAGAAACACCGCAGGAGGAATTTGAGGATTAAGAGAGCCACATCATGCTCGCCACTGACCCAGGTTTATAAAGCACCGCAATGGCCGTTGTCGTGCATTCGCTAAGGTTTGAAAAGTCTTTGAACTTGTCGTTGCTCAAAGGATGCCATACCTGGAGCAGCCAACGACACACAAGGCTGGCAAGTCACTTCAAACTAACTGAGGCTGCAGAGAGTATGGTAGGCATTAACGACGTGGAGGCAAGGTTCAGCCTGTCGGGTGTTCCAATCCTCAAGGGACCGAATTGACGAGGAACTCAGGGATCCCTACCGGCAGCAATATAGACTGAACTTTCACGGTCAAGAAAGACTTGAGGGCCCTTTACGGATCGAAGGGTCTGAAGGTCGGTCGTCATCGCCAGGAGCAAGGGCGGGTGCTCGGGATTACGTACAGAGAAGATGCCTGCTGTGTAACATTCCATCTTGCGTTGCAAATACATACGACGGGTCATCTGGACCGCCCGTGCTTTCCTACGGTTTCCCCTTATTTTTTGCCAACAGTCAAAGAAATTTCCTTCTTTCCATCCCACTCTCGCTCCCCAATTTCCCCATTCTCTGTCACACTCTCTTCCTCCAAGCCCAGGACACAGGAAGCGTTGATATATATATATATCCAGGACAAGAACAAGGCTCAGCAGAAGAACAAGAAGAAGGGACGTCCCCAGCCAGACCTACAACCACAATCAGCCATACAACAACAAACCGCTTCCACAAATCAGTCCCGAGATGCAGCACCCGCAGCAGCACCCGCAATACCAACAAGCATACCAATACAGTCCGCAGCAGCAGCATCAGCATCAGCAACAGCAACAGCAGCAGTACAACCATCGGAATCTGTACCAGCAAGGCTCGCCCGGGGAACAGCAGCACCAGCAACAGCAATACCAGCAGTATCAGACGGTCGTTCAACAGCAGCAGCGACGTCCGTCCGGTGCAGAGGCCACGATTCTTCAGAGTTCGTTAAAGGACTGGTTTGATGCTGTTGATACGGATCATTCGGGAAGTCTCTCCTGTGAGGAACTTCAGCGGGCACTCATGAATGGTATGCAAGAGCGATGCTTGGCCTCAGTCGGATGTCAACAGGGTTACTCTGTGTATATTAATCTTTCATCCCCTCACACCTTCTCCCTTTCTCTCTCTCTCTCTTCTCTCTCCTCTAGGTGACTGGACGCCGTTTAATGGTATGTAGCAAAGGAGGCGGGTTCGCTTTATGAAGTGACTCTGGGATATCGTATACACTAGCAGACCATTTGCACGATTCCATCATGTTGAGCTACTGCTGCAGCGTGCAACAACCTACAATGTACCGGATTCTTTTTTTTTTTTTTTTTGTCCGCCATGTGAGCCGCTCGCAATTGTTCCCTCACACTAGCCCTTCCTTAACCCCGTCCATTCCATTCCCTATTTTATACTTACACTGTTAGTCGAGACGGTCCGTTTGATGATGAACATGTTCGACCGAGACAACGACGGGACCATCTCCTTCAACGAATTCATCGGCCTCTGGAATTACATCGAGAAATGGAAGGCCTGTTTCCAGACCTACGATCTCGACGGATCAGGAACCATCGATGCCATGGAGCTCCAAAAGGCCCTCCGAGGCTTCGGTTACAACCTCAGCGAGGCCATCGTCTCCATGATTGTCACCAAATACGATGTCCGGGGTAGGGGCGACATCAGTTTCGACAACTTTGTTCAGTCCTGTGTCACCATCCAGACCCTCACGGACGCCTTTCGGAGGATCGATGTCGCAGGCACAGGCGTTGTGACCATGTCCTATGAACAGGTAAAAGGCTCCGTCTGACCGACCGACCCACTTTTGAACATGATGGGGAAGAAAAAAAAAAAATACGGAATCAACTGCGGCGTGCCAGACTAACATTCGTTTTTCTGCTTGCAAAACATAGTTCCTTGGGTTAGTCATCAACAATCGCTGAATAACCCCCCACATCGTGGCAGGAATTATCTACAGATGCCGTTGAAGAATAAAGTAGCTACAGCAACACTTGTCCCAGCCTTTTTATATATATATATATATATTTTATATTTAAGCGCGGGATATGAAGTTGGAGCTTCGCCCATTTTCTCTTAGGTATTCATTTCACCATTAATGATCGGCCGTGAATATACCCTGCCCAAGACGCGCTTACTATGAATTACGCTTCTTTTGCCAAACTATTAAGACTCCAGAGCTGATTCACTCACAGTGAGGTTTAAAATTACATAGTGAAAAAATCCGACATACTCTCTGAACTCATCCAACGGTCCCAACACATCCCTGACCCTCTTCATGGTGTAAAAGCCCAAGAGCTTGGCCTCCCATTTCTCCAATACTATTGGGAAGCTGGTATCAATGTCAAGCCCATTTTCCCTTTCATTTCTAGTATCCAAATGGACAGCTTTACGCTACTGCCGTTCGCACTCTGCACCACGTAGTATATATGACTGATAAAAAGAAAAAAAAGGCTATTTTATTAATTAGGTTAAACAGTGTCTTATTTTTTTTTTGCTACTGGCCGTCTAGACAATCTCAAAGGCCTCGCCTTCCTCTGTGTTGACCCGTCTAAAGCCCTGACCCGCATTCCGTCCGTGCCTCTTCTGGCTCTCACGTGCCGAGAAGAACTTGCGAGCCTCATCTGCCCAGAATACAGAGCTGGTCAATAGCGTAATCCCAAGCAGGTCCGTGAACGTCAAGGCCTCCGTCTGGAACACTGTCTGGAAGAACGGCATGTAGATCACCAGAAACTGCCCGATAATCGATCCCATCACACTAAAGTTGAACATCTTGTTCGTCGTGAACCCAATGTTGAACACAGACTTCTTCTCGGACCGACACGCCAGTGCGTTGAACATGTCAAAGAACACAAACGTTGTGAACGTCATCGTCGTATCGCGCGCTGTAACACTGCCGTCCGTCATCTCATGCACATACACGAACATTGTGCCTGCGACAATGATCATCGCCGATGTTAATACGCGCCGGATAAGCAGACGTGTCAGAATGGGTGCTTTCCGGGCACGAGGGGGCTTCTTCATCACATCATCATCCACTGGCTCCACTCCAAGAGACTGCGCTGGTGGACCGTCCATCAAAATATCTATTCGGGATTCGACAGAAGAAGCATGGTTGTCAGATCATCGATCGTTGCCAGGAATTGCCAAGAACAATTGCATCGCCTTCGTCCGATCGACACTTACTGATCCAGAGAATTTGCATAGCGTTCAGGGGGTTGTCCAGTCCAAAAAGAGTCGCCATGGCAATCAGCGTCAGTGCGGCCACGCTCGTGCTCAGCTGAAACGTCAAAAAGTTTTGGATGTTGTAAAAAATGGATTTGCCTAGAAACAAAGGATCGGAAGAGCAGCGTTAGCGTAGATACGTTTGAGCAAAGGATGCATCCACAATGCAAGGCATTGCACAATATTACAGTACCTTCTTCGACTGCGCCAAGAATGGTAGAAAAGTCGTCGTCCACAAGAATCATATCGGCGGCTTCCTTGGCAACATCTGTTCCGCTCCTGCCCATCGAGATACCAATATCCGCCAGCTTCAAAGCAGGGGCATCGTTCACACCGTCTCCTGTCATCGCCACGATGGATCCCTTCGCCTGGAAAGCAGACACAATCGCCATCTTGTGCTTAGGTGTCGTACGGGCGAAGACACACACAGCGCCGACTGCGTCCTGCAGCTGTCGCTCAGTCATAGCCTCGATCTCAGGTCCAGTCAAACACGAAGATTTGCCGGGATTGATAGGGAATCCAAGTCGTCGTGCAATGGAGAGGGCAGTCGCATCTATGAGGATCGATAAATATGGCCGTTAGCGCCTGTTCAAACATTAATAGAATCTTCCATGAAAAAGAGATTCCACACTTACCGGCGTCTCCAGTAATCATGACCACCTTCACACCACTGCCAATCAAGGTCCGGATACTGTCTTCCACACCGGGACGTGGGGGATCATGCATGGCCACAATTCCGACAAACGTCAAGTGCTCGAGATCATTACCGAATGCCATGGCCAGTACACGCAATCCGTGGCTGGCCATCTCGTTAGCCTGAGCCAGAACCTTGTCCTTGGCCTCAATATCCAAGGGAAGATAGTTGCCCTCGCTTCTGTAATAGTTGATGCAGCGTTCCAGAACGGGTTCAATGGCGCCCTTGAAGTAGAATGCGCCTAACGACCCGTTTTGGCTGACTGCGGCGTTGGTGGCCTCGATAGCGTGTTCAGGCGTTTGCTTATGGCCTTGGATTCCATCAGGGTTAGGAGCGCAGCGAACATGCATAAACTTTTGATCAGAGTTGAAGGGGAACTCTGCAAGACGTTCAAAGAGCTAGAGAAATGCAAGAAACGGATCTTAGTGGCAAATTCTGACAGTATCATAACATTCTTTCATGCCATCGTGTCAACAGGGCCCTTATCCTTGATAACTTACAGGCCGTTCATCGGCAACTCCCAGCGCTCGGAGGATGTCAATCAAAGCAATATCCGTAGGTTGACCAATCCATTTTGAGCGTTCATCCAGAAAAGCATCGTTGCAGAGATTTCCGACTTGAAGCAGGCGGCGCAATCCAGGATGAAGGTCCACATCAACGCCCTTTGTATGTTCTAGATCCACTGGGAATCCCTCCGCAAGGGTAAAGACTTTGGTCACAGTCATTTGATTCATGGTCAACGTTCCTGCAGTAGCAAGTATAGAAAATACAGATCAGACAAGTTAGATGGAAGGATGTCGGAAACAGTCAGCAATATGCTAGACACGCTCTCTTTACAAGCAACGGCGAAGGCTTACCTGTCTTATCCGCGCAAACGACGTTCACAGAGCCGAGTGTTTCAACGCTAGGCAGCTTCTTGATAATGGCTTTGCGGTTCGCCATTCTCAGGACACCCAGTGCCAGAGTAACAGTGACAACAATGGGGAGACCCTCTGGGATGGCAGCAACAGCCAAACTAACACCAATAGTCATCATCTCCAACCAGTGCTTTCCTTGGAACAATCCGATCAAGACAATGACTCCGATAATGACAAACGACAACATCGACAGCTTCTTTCCCAACTCATCCATGCTCAGCTGCAAAGGCGTCTTCCTGACCTCGACTTCCTGCATCATACAGAAGACAATTCCAAACTCGGTCTCCTTGGAAGTACCGACCACAATGCCTGTTCCGTGGCCATTCCTGACCAGAGTGCCCATGTATGCAATGTTCCTGCGCTCTGTGATCGATAGCTCTGTGTATTCGTTTCCAACGATCACCTCTGTTTGCTTGCGGCAGGGCTTATTCTCACCGGTCAAATTTGACTCATCAATCTCAAGATCTACGGCCTACGAGTTGAACGAATAGTACATCGATAAGGACATTGATGGTCAATAAAAAAATCGGATACAGATCGTACGCATCCGTAGAATAAAACCGGTGAAGGGTAAACAGGACGCTTACTGTCACCAATCGGCAATCTGCTGGAATTCGGTCACCGATGCCAAACTTGACAAGATCACCGGGGACAAGCTGGCTTGCAAGAGTCGATGTCTGGGTATCATCTCTATTATCGTGCACAAGTAAGTGAACATGCAGGGTAAGTGGACATGCAGGGAGCGAACAAGGTTAAAAAATAAATGAAATGTAAAGAATTCTATATCGGCAACAAAAAGTGAGCAGAAAGGGAGCGTGAACGAATTGCAGACAGACAGACAGACAGACAGACAGACAGACAGACAGAGAGACAGACATGCAGGCTCTCTCCATTGCAATAAAAAGTGGCCGGATGTAGCATGGTGGGCCTATTGTACCACCGCAATCATGGTTACAGCTGCCCTGGCTCTCATCCGCTCTCCATATGGGCAAAAATCGGTCAACCTCGTTGCTGAAAAAAGAACTGACAGCAAGCCGATACCGAGTTGAGAACCAAATCTTTCAAATCTTACCGAATAACATGGCAGTGATGAGGAACCAGCTTATTCAATGCCTCGAGCGACTTCTCGGAGCGGTACTCTTGCACAAAGGCGACTATTCCAATTGGTAGACCGCAATGGGAAGATCGAGACGATTAATATAGATCACCAGAAAAAAAATGTGCATTCCAGCACAAGAACGAGGGGTACGGGAAAAAAAAAAAAAAAAAAAAAAAAAAAGGGAGCGAGGACAAAGGTTTACAATGATCTGGGCATAGTTATCCTGCGTCATCTGTCTCACCAACAAACCCCATCCTCGAAGCATCAAAGCAAACCCGGGAGTACATGCGTATGTTGAAGCGATCCCCATATCCATTGAACTAGATCACCAGCAGTAAGATGATCGTGCACGTAACATCGAGCCATCTCGCTTATAGAGCCGATCGTCTGCGCATATATAACTCTGTTGTTGTACACAATGAAACGAGTATCGAAGATAAAGAAACGACAGGAAAAAAAAGAAACCTAGTCCTTTGTCCAACCGGCCCAGTGTTTCCCTTTTTGCCCTCCCAAATTTCTAGTGTATGGATCGCACGGAATATTCCTATTGTCGCACTTTGCCCTTGCTGTTTGATCTCGCTTTCTGTTCTCCTGTTATGTTGGTCAAGGAAATGCGTCTTTCCTTGATCACTGCTACTACTATCGGATCCCTGATCAGCCCTAGATCGCCGTTGCAATGTCCGAGTCGATGAACAACGGCCTCCTCCTTGTCTCGAAAGCAATTGGGATGTCCATTGGATCATTATATCATTAGAAGCCCAGTTAAATTACCTGTAACAACGATGAGAATGGCCTACGATCATTGATCCAGCAGAAGCGAGCTGGTTAGCAAAAGAGGACATTCTATCCATCCAATAAACAAGCTTCACCCATTGACGACCTTATAGTACATACCAGAGTAATACTAATCGCATCATCGCGCTGTCCCATGGCCAATGAGACGACCGCCGAGGCGAGGAGGAGGAGGATCAGTGGGTTTTCGTAAAAACTCTTGAAGAACTTGAGGTACAGGGGCTCGTCGTCCTCGACCTCGAACTCGTTGAGTCCATAGCGAAGACGACGGCTGTTGGCCTCTACTGTGGTCAGTCCGCTTGCGGTGCTGGTCTCGAGCTGGACTGCAGTCTCGCCTGCACTACGGCGGGCGAAAGCTGCCGAAGGAGTTGAGGTGGCAGCCTGCGTTGTCATGGTCGCGAGACAGGAAATGCCAAGAAGGGGGGAAGGAAGGAAGGAGAAGGTGGAGGATGTGTTGTCGGGATATGCGCCTTTGCCGTGTTTGTTTTTTTCTGTCGCTCGAGAGATGAGATGTCGTGTTGTCCGTCAAAGGACGTTTTGCTGGTGAGACTTTTTCCCCTTGGCGGATAGAGCGCGAGATGGAGCTGAGGAATGTGGCGAGTCGGATGAAGAAAAGGTGAAGAAAAAAGAAAAAAAAGGATGGAGGAGTGCTTTGAGGAAGCGAACCAAAAGAGCGAAGGAAATAAATAAAAGAAGTCGGTGGAAATAGAGGGACCAGGACAAAAGGACAGAACTTCTTTCAACGAACCCCCCCTCCCCCAGGCGATCCCATTTCTGCAACCCTGCATCGCCACTTCTTGTCCTTCTCGTCTTTCATCCCTGTCTTTGCCATGCTTTGTTGTAATCGACCTCTTTAGGCATCGCTTCTTCGTCTTATCTATGAAAGGAGATGGGTATCCATTTTATTCCTCTGTCTGCTTATGATGTCGATGGTGAGTCTAGAAGTCTCAAAGTCCAGAAACTGATCAGAAGAAATCAGGGCAGTGCCTTTTGGTCAAAGCCCGCTGGAATGGGATGGCCGGCTAAAAATATATATGAATATGTATCCATCCCATTCCATCCATACACACCATTCACCCGTCAGGACGTGTCCCTTGTCGTGGTTCCCAAAGGCCAATTACACGCACTTGGCCTGCCTGCCATATCGATGAGATAAGTGTTCGCGTATATTTGCATAATGCTTGGTATTATATTACTATGTGTGTGTCTTCTTCCACTCTTCCTCCACTCTATCGAGAACGCGAACTACTCGATCTTCGATGAAACTGCTGTTGGTGAGGGTGCTGGTAGTTACTCTCAAAGGTATGCATCGGCACTAGGACCTCGCCTCCCCTGCCCCGGTTGTGGCTGCTGTTGCTATTACCGGGGCCTCCTACGGTTGATGTATCACTGTCGAAATGGATTAAATTTAGAGTCGAGGATCCAGACTGGACATGCAGTGGCGAGGGCCTTGCACCAGTTGTCTCGTGCATATCGATCGCCACCGAATCCGGACCGTTGATGCGATTGTTGCCGCTTTTCTGTTGATTCCAATCCACAAATGTCGCCGCCTCCGAGAGCTGGCTGTCCCTGATACCGCGCTCCGTCATCAATGGTCGGATCGAATACGGCTCTGGGGAGTCGTTATTCAGCCGCTGGAACGATTGCTGGTCGTTGCGGTCAGGCTTCTTGAAATACGCGTCCTTCTTCTTGATCTTCTTGGTGTTCAAACCCTTGGGCTTCTTTTCCTTCTTTGGCTTCTTGGGTGGAGGCGTAAACTGCGCTGCGACGTAGACCTTGTAGACACCAATGAGCACACCAACCACGAGGACAGCGGCCACAAGGCCAACGACTAATCGGCCCCTGGACGGGTCCATCACAAAGACAACAGGATCTGCGTCCGGGTCTGGTCCTTGAGTCTGGACAGTCATTTCCTTGGGGAATGCATTTGGGCTGAGAGTTCCAGGAGTCATATCTGCAGGCGCGGTCCCCTCCCAACGGATGGCGACCATGTTGGCTACAGGGCTAACGTTGTTCCACCTGCCAACTGCAGAGCTGGTGAGGATTTGACAGAATTGGTCTTCATAGAGATTGAGGGCAGCCTGGGGGTCGCTGGCTGAAACGGAGGAGTAGACGCCCTCGGTGGATTCGAGTAGAGAGGTGTCGAGGGCGAGACAATCTGCAAAATGAATGGTCTGGGGCTGGTCGATAAGTGCGCCGGATTCGTCCAGGTACGAGAGGGTGATGGTTCTTGTGGGGTCTGGGTCGGCAGCAGCGGGTGTGAGGAGAGACAGGACGGAGAGAATTAGGATGGCTGAGCGTGTAATGAAGGGTTTGAATGAGGGTTTGGATGCGGATGGGGATGAGCGTGACCTCAGACCACATCTGGGCCGAGGGTGTGAGGCGGACATGGGGGATGGACTGGCGGACGGGTGGACGGGTGGACGGGCGGTGATGGAAGGGGCGAAGGGAGAAAAGAAAGAAAGAGGGAGAAAGAGATAGTGCGGATGGCACGAACCAGGGCGAGGATGCGAATTGGTCGTGTGAGGGGGATGCGCGGAACAAAAATAACACAGTTGAAAAAGCGACCCCGTACCGAGAAAAGAGCACCCAAAATTAAAATTAAAATCCAAAACTTGCTGGAATGGAGTGCCCTTGCTAGGCTAAATAGCGACGCATGGGTGGTCTATCGGGTACGCCATCCAAGCTACATAGTCTACACATCCTGCCACATGGATGGAGGTTTATGAAGTGTCGACAGCGGGCCAGATGAACAATGAAAGCTGAAGAAACTAACCGGCAGATGGACGCTCTTAATCGGGAGAACCCATTGCAGACCACCAGAGGCAGGAGACAGAGAGTCCGAAGCAGAGGAAGTGCCACAGCCTGTGGCAAAGAATGAGCTGGCCTCATCTTTTTGTCATTGTTTATTGCGCCCGCGCGGGGAGAGGTCTATTTTTGGACACATAGACCACACATACACATATACATATAAAGATTCGCTTCCCCCTGTGCCTGGGATTCTTTTATAGCATGCTCATATTTCTTTAGATTCAGGCACCATACAAACATGTCCGGCACCACAAAAGTAAATGCGGCGACCCTGTCAAGTTGGGGCTGGGCTGGGCTGGGCTGGGCTGGGTCGACACAAACATGCTCTGTACTCCTGTGAAGGGTCCCGTTACAGCCTTTCATAGTAATAGCCATGTGGCAACCCTGTAAAATCAGATAACAAGTGGAGAAATATATAAGTCTACAGCTCCTCATCATGTTCAGCCGAAATCGCATTCTTAAACTGATTCTGCTTTGGATAAACCCATGCAGCCTATTTTTTTTTTTGGTCACTGGTCTTTTTTGGTCCGCCGCTGCTCGAAAGCTCAGTGAATCCAGGTCAAGGTTCGTGGCCACCTTGTCCAGCATACCCAAACCACACCATGTCATTTAAAAAGGCTGGTTTCTAAATAAAATGCCGTCAGTTTTGCGTAAGAGTATCTTACATTTCAGTCCAAGGATCCATACTCGCTCACTTTTTTTTTTTTTTTTTTTGGGGGGGAGGGGGAAAGGGTCAAGCTGCACCGGATCCTACGCCAAAATACCAGCAGACTCCCAGTTTCTTAAATAAACCGACAGTAGCCCTCCATCGGGACGCCGGTTTCTTATGATGCACAGAACCACCTTGCCATATACACTGACCCATCGAGCGGACGGATTGAATCCAGCAACCCCCACGGGGCGGTTTAGCGGCTTCATAGCGGCGTGCTAGCCACGGGCGGTTGTCAAGAAAGGGGTTAGTCGTGGCTATATCCAAAAAGCGTCATGGGATGCCTCCTTTACCACCCACGGCCACTTCAATCGCCTAGATACCCGATGCGTGGATGCTCAGCAGTATGGAGTACAAGTATGGCACTACCAGAGACGGAAAAGAACACAGGGTTTACCCCCGTAGTCCACTGTAAACATTACAAATCACTAAGAAGCCAAATTCTCCCGTTTATTACCAGCTTGGCTATCATCTATTGCTTGTTACACTTTCAGTAAGCACGCCTCTTTCAAAGGCCCTGTCCAAGCCCAAGTCGGTTCTTGAGGCGCTTGGCTGATTCGTGATGATCGTCCTCCCACCCATGCCTGCCAGAGCCCGAAGCAGGTCCGGATCCGGCTCCTGAACTCGATGTTGGTCCTGATGCCGATGCGGAGCCCGACCCAGATCCATACATCGATCCCGCAGTAGAGCCATGGCTCGGCGGATGTGAGGCCATACGATGATGGCTCATTGTGCTCTGGATACTTGCACCACTGTTCACCCTCGAAAGCGGAGACGGCCGGGATATCTGAGAGGTCCTGGGCGGTTCTCTGTCCCTTGCCTTATCCTTTCCTTTCTCTCTGTCCCTCTCCTTTTCCTTCTCGCGCTCTCTTTGACGCTGCTTCTCTTCCAAGTCTCGGTCATGCTGCTGCAATTCCTCTAGTCTACGCACCAAAGAATCCGAGACCAAATGACCGGTCGACGTAGAGGCAGGCGACATGCCGTATATTCCATGCTCAATGCCAGCTGAGGATCCTGTGGGAGCCAGGATGGAAGAAACATCATTATTTTCGTCTGCACCGTGGTAGGTTGATGTCCTGGATAGGATCGACATCCTGTCATCTTCGTGGATGCTAGCGCGATCGTGCGGGTGCGTACTCTTGAACGAATACAACGATGACCCGGTATGGGGAAGAGGCGGAGGCTGCGGATGATAATGCGATGACGAAAAGTACTGGTGCTGCTGTCCCGACGCTGTCGATACCGACGGTGAGGTCACCGGTAACGACAGCACGCTAAAGCCCTTGTAACTGTTGGTCGAAGGATTGAACAGAATCGCGTTGGCTACTGTGACATTAGTGAGATTGGTGGCCAAGGGCGACGACGGTCCTGATCCAAAATCCGAAACTGTTGCTGAAGACGTGGTTGAGGACGACTTGCCGTTGCGGCCACGTACAAACCCCTCTCCTCCACCATGGAGGCTATCCACTGCATCACCCCCTCCTCCACTAGGACCTCCAGCACTGTTTGGACGCTTGCTTGACGAGAACGAGACATGACCGGGGGCCAAGGGTGCCCCATCTTTTGATCCCTGGGCGCCCGCTAGGCCTCCAGCGGATCCATGCTGCTCTAGTTGTTGCCTTTGATAATGCTGGTTGCTTCTTGGTAAGGGTGCTGGCAGGAGCTTGACATCAGCGCCCTTTGCAGCGGAGTTTGTCCCTTGAGCACCAGCTCGGTTGGTCCGCTGGTCGCTGGGCCTTCCTGTCGCCGTATCCGAGCCCGATCCTGCTCCGTGCGCTCCATCTTGTGAACCAAGTGTGGCGGAACGTCGAGATGGCCTCCGAACTCCAGAGCTGAGAACGGTAGTGGAACGCTCCTGACCATCTATCAACTCTTCCTGTTTGGCATCTGTTTCATCTCCTGCTGTTGAATATACATCGTCGTCAGAGTCTTCAGAGTCCCCGGCCGAGACTCTAGCCGGTTCAGAAAGGGGTATCATTGGTTGCGTCGGAAACGAGGAGGCCAGGAGAGTGATGTCTGGAACAACAACCCCTCCAATGTCCGATCCTGTGCTTAATATGGATTCTGCTCTTGAACGTCTGCCGCTCTGGACACTGTTGTGGCCTGCACTATTCGGTCCAGAACTGATTCCGCTCAACCCAGTCATCTCACGACTTTGAAAATGACCCGAACCAGCGTCCAAGAGTCCGTGCCCTGACCGCTGTCGCACGTGGCCTCGAGAGGACGACGAATATGACGGGTCGTGGCTGCTATCGAGCTCCTGGCGTTTTAGACTCTTCCCTGTGGCTCCAGCTGCGCTTGTGGCGGCCATGATTCCACCAGGGCTCGAATGACTCGATGGGGACAAGAGACCCTTGGCAAGCATAAACGCTGTACTATCAAGGCTAGCACTCGGCTCAGTAACAGCCCCTTGTTGGTTTCCATAGAGTCTTCCAGGCGAAGGGATTGGTGAAATAGTGGAAGGAGTATACACGCCGACAATGTCCTCCTCCCGCTCATTCGTTTCATTGCCTCCTGTGCGGTCGACATAATCCTCGGGCACGATATCGCCTTCGTTCTCTGTTCCCTGCTGAGAATCATCCTCGTGGACGCTCTTGCGAGAAGACCGATCAAAGTCCAATAAATTGTCAATGTCCGTCTCGCCGGTTCCATCGTCCGAGGGCGCTTGCTCAACATCGTCTTCCTCAGTATCATCTTCTCGATCCTGTTGAAGTGATAGCCGTGATCTGGTTCCCAACTTGCGGCCTGTAGCACCCAGCGCCCTGTTTCGGGAGACAGCTGCAGGACGGCTCACTTTAAGACCCTTTCCAGGCCTCGTTTCAAAGGACTTGACCTTCGTTAGCACGGGGGCGCCAAGTAGCGGGTGACCCTGGGTGATTGTACTTTGGCTATCGCCACTACTACTGCCGCTGCCACTACTGGCAGTCGATGATCGAGAGAGTCGACTGCCGTTGCCAATGTCCTTGAGACTGAATCGCTTCATAATATTGGTGAGGGTAGTTGAGGATCCTCCAGCGCTACCTGAAGCGCCGCCTCTGTAGTCCTTAGACATATGGTTCGAAGATGCCGATGGAGACGTAGGGGACTTGAGTGGCGGGGTAGTCCTGCCTTCATAATGCGAGAGAACATCCTTGATCAGTAAAGACGACCTCCGTTTCTCGGTGTATTCATTTGGAGGCTTCGGGAAGGACAGGGAGACAGGTGAGGCGGGTGAAAGCGGTGAATGGAGGCTGTCATCATCGTCCTGGTTAGCTGCATTTGGCTGAGACTGAGTATACTGCGATGAGGTGGTGCCGTGGACGGTCGTAATGTCATGTCCTACAAACTGCCCTCGTTGTCCCGCCTTTCCTCTATTGAGCGAACTCCTAGACTCTGACCGCGAATTCGAGCCTGATGTTCCTCCAGCACTGTCAACGGCCAAGACGTGTGTGGGTCGACTTAATCGCAGGTCCATATATGTAGGTGAACCCTGGGCGCTATTGGATTCATTCATTGCTGCCATTACTGCTGCGTCCGCCTCTGCCTGCGCCATGACCGCTTGGATAGAGGCCAGATCCTTTGCCTCCTGTCTCTCCCGCTCCTTGTTTGCTTCTGCTTCTTGGAGGGCAGCTCGCTTGCTGCGCTCAATGTCCACAAGTTTCCTCAGATGTTGATATTCGTTCTCGTAGCGGTTCACGTTGTATAGCGAGTCATGGATAAACTCTTTCATCTCTCGCTCAGACCATGAGGAGACTACTGAAGGTCGACCGTTGAAGAAACCATTGTTGGAAGCACCCTCATGAGAGTTTTGTACCACTGAAGTTAGTCCATGCGCGATCGAAGAATCTTCTGCATCGCTCTCCTCGTCAACACCATTTTCTTTAACTCTGATCTGATGACTAGCACGGATCTATGATATTGACCAAAAGAAAAAAAATTAATGTCCATGTCTTTTCTAGGGGATGAAGAAAATGAAAAGGAAAAAAGTGACGCCGACTTACCAAGGTTGGCTCTTTCTTCACAATATCCTCAAACGGTACTGAGGGCTCCGTTTGTATGTACAAGTTATGGTAGACGAAGATATTGTCTTCAAAATCCACATAAAACAGGCAAGGCTCGTTCCGACCTGGTGTAACTGCATACTGTCCTAAAGATCCATAGAAATATGGGCGTTAAAAAACATCGACCTACAATATCATTCGCACATGAACATTGATGAATTCTGCAGCGCCCCATCGTACCTGCACCAAAAGCACACACGCGCGCATCGAAATCATACCGAGCTGTGTTGAACTCTTGGTCGATGAAGAACGTAATGCCGCTCCATGAACATCCGACAAACATATCGTTCTTCTGGAATCTGGAACCAAACGGCTCCGAGATCAGCATTGAAGACGCTGGTCTCCTAGATTTTCTTGATTTCCTGCGCCTTCCGTAACGGGTGCCATCCTCTGCTTCGCCGAATTCGTTGTGGATCAGGGTTTGAGTCTCCGCAGCAGCGCCTCCATCTTCGCTCTCGGCCGCATCCTCGTCGTCATCGTCTTCATAATTATTTTCGTCTGCATATTGATCACTACTCCGACCGTATCCCGATCGAGCCTTTATTGAGTCCTGATTATGCCGCTCCAGGTAGTCATTCCCAAAGTTGAGTTTAGAGAATCCAAAAATTTTGTGCGTCGAGTCGAGATCATGAACTTTGACTGTGCTACTTTCCAGATCATGCAACGCAAATGCGCCTGATATCACAAATTTAGGGTCAAGACAAAGTGTCATCATTAGAAGCGCTATCCAAGCAAAAGACCAACGCGCTTTAGAAATTGAAGGGAGAACGTACCATCCATGGACATAAGCCCGATAATATCTTTTTCTTCGCCATTAACATAGTGCGTGCCACAAATAATATCTGTTGCAACATCTCCACTTCCAGTAACTCGTGTTGGTGTGTCTGGCCCAGTAGTTGTTACAGCTGCCTGAGGATCCCTTTGAATTTGAGTGACTGGCTCGGATATGTTTCCATTATGGTCCACCATCACAAACTTCAGGCCTGGCTGGGCGACAAGAAGAATCGGCATTCCAGTATGCGTGTCCTTTGTCACTGCAAGACAGTGGATCTATGTCAAAGGAGATGTTAATGTGAGTATTCCAAAACGATAATATTCATGTAATCATAAGATGTCGGAGCGGACTCAATGAACAGTGGACTTACTTGACCATCCAGTGCCCATCTTTTTTTCTCTACCAGAACCAATCGAGTGGAAGGGTCGCACGTCCCGTTATTATCCTGTCCATCAGAGTTGCCCTGAGCCGCATTGGCGCCGGCCATGGTTGCAGTCGATCCTGGGTAGCATTGTCTGCCCATCGACGCCAAGGAGGGATAATGTATTACGGTCTCTCTTCTATCGTCCACTGGTGACAAGAGTCCGCTGCTATCCAAGGTTGAGATGCTACTCGTCCTGCTGAGCATTTTGACCAGGTTAAGTGGCTGACTGTTGGGTTGGCTGGCTGTTGTAGGAGATGTTGCTTTAGTCGTCTGAAGTGCGTAGGAATGCATGATGCGATCGGTCCTTGCCAAGACGATTTCATTCAGCCCGTCACCATCTAAAGGTCAAGAGTCATTCGGTCAGTGAACCGCACGCTGCAGTGTGCACTAATCATTGATGTGAGACAGATATCTTACCTATATCAGCAATATAGGCCCTGTTGATATTGACTGGCACAGGTAGCGTCAAATTGGGTCCGTCAAGAACCCTTCTGCCTCCAATATTACGGACATGAGCTCTCCCAACCACACTGTTACGAGCAGTGCCAGCCTGACTCCTTTTTGAAGAATGGTCCTTCGAGCTTGTTCCTGGCGCAGCGGTGCTTAATGTCGGGTGCTGCGGCTTCAAGAGCGGCGTTCCTGTTGGTGAATTTGAGGCACTGTTTCCTCCAATTGAACGCTGATACTGTGTTGATGCGGACGCTGGTCCGTGCGCCGAGACCGGTGGAGTTCCTATCGAATTGGCAATGACTGCCGCAGTTCTTGTTGTGGCTACCGATCCCGGAAATATCTCTGATCCTCGTCTTGCACCGGTGATACCGCCATGTATGCTTCCTGGATGAGAATGAATGGGAGTGCTGTTCGATGTATGTGTTTGGTGTTGGAACCCAGAGACTGAGGATGATGCGGAGCCATGAGGCGTATTTTGCGAAGGCGGTGGCAAGGGTGGGGTTCCGTGGTGCGAATGGTTGGACGCATGGTGGTTATGCTGAGGTTGATGATGGTGATGGATATCAGGTACAGGCTTGATGCTGGGTGTTGCAGGGATGCTGGGATACGATGGATTGGCACCATGTCCATGTTGACTGGTGATAGACCCCTGGTATGTGCCCTGGTGCGGTATTGATGAATAAAAACTGGCAATGTGGCCAGAGCGGGGTCCTGGTGCCGGAGACATGCTAACTGCAGAAGGTAGGATATGATCGCTCTCGTCGTCCAGTCCTTCAACATCGAAAATATGACAGAGTCCTTCTGCACTCATGACGACGATCGAGTTCTTGCCCCAGTTCCTGATATCGCCAATGGCAACTGCTGTGATCTATCCAGAGGAAGACAATAGGTAAGCGAGGATATGTTGCATCGTCAGCCATTGCTCCGTTGCACTAGCAGTTATCCTATATCTTTTTCCGGCTGTGAAGAATATTGTTTCCACATACTGTGCCGAGTCCTTTGCAGGTCAACCATGGCAAGCCCTCTGGGTGATTTCCCTTGAAGATAAAGAGCTCACCAACCAAGTTTCCAATGACAAAAGCGTTATCCTATCCCATGGTAGAGAATTCCTAGGTCAATACAACAGCAGTAGCAACAACAGTAGAAAGATCCCTTGATGCATCAGAATCGCGGCTTACTCCATGCCCATCAATGTCGCCGATGGCAAACGCGGTGGGCGAGATGTTGCCGCTGACATGCCACCGCAGCTTTTGAACAAGAGACACATGCCGAGCAGTTGGCATGCTTTATAGGACGGAACAGCACGTCGAGGGATGCAATACAAGTTGAATTATGGAGCGTGCGTTGCTGGAGCACTGCACACTAGATATGCGTGAGTTGATGCTGCCTCTGTAGAGAGTGCACTGATGAGTCCCGTTTTCCTGTTCTAGTAATCGAGAGGAGTAAAGTGAGTGAAGGTCGGAGTGAAGGAAAGTGTGGGGGGTCGAATGGTCTGTGAATCCATTTAAATACACCTTTCTCCCGCTTTGACCAAGAACCTACCTACTCCCTGAAAACAGATCTTTCTCCTTTACAGACTTCAGCTCCATCTCACGTCCCACCGAACGAGCTACATGCGCCCACTTCTTTCTCTCTATTTGCCTCTCTTTCTCTTTGTCATTTTCGTATTCTCTTTATCTTTCTCTTTTTCCTTTTTCCTCTTTTTCTTTTTTTTTTACCCTTCCCTCTCCTCTCTCTCGTTTTTTTTTTTTCGAATCGTAGCACACATTTACCAACCTATCTAGCTAGATAGGGCCATTTTCTCCTCTCAATCGTCAACAAGGGCTTGCTTTTTTTTTTTTTTTTATTAACATAAATCCCCATGAGCACAAGACGCATGATCCGCAAAGGCCTTGAATTTTTTTTTTTTTTTTTTTTTTTTTTTCCAATGGACAATCTTTGCCAGGGTTTATTGGTTATTTTATGGGGGTTACTATTTCCCGCTGGTCAGGATGTTCCTGTTTGTCCCGAACAATGGTAGGAGGCGCCATATAAATCCCGCGTATTTTCCCGCAAGCCTGCCTCGGTCGTCCTGTTCCTGCTAACTTGATATCTTGATCCTTTGGACTGGCTCTCTCCTGTGTGACTTGATTCGGCAAATATTCAACTTATGTTTCGATCCGGCATATATGTACGGCTTCCTTACGATGTTACTGCGGCCCTCGAGTGATTTCTGAAGTAAATTATTTAGTCTCCTCTCTCAATAGTCCCCCCCGTAACCTTAGTGCTGGAGAACGGCTCTGGCAAATCCGAGTGATAGCTCTGAAAAATCTCCTCGTAGCCCACGGTGGCGTACGAACCTGAGCAGAATAGAACATTCTCTCAGGAGGGAGTCAATCCCCTGCTGCCCGCGATCCGAAAGGTAATTTATACACGGCCCCCCGTGCCGAAAAACAACCGCACCAAGCTGGATCCGAAACTAGGATCCACAGCACTGTTCTCTGGAAGCTTCGCGTGATACTACTGTACCACACAGGCTCGCCCGCCATATCCGCAAAGGCCTTGAAGCTTCGTCAACAAGGGCTTGCTAGGACACAACACTTATTATCGACTCAGCCTCAAAGCAAGGACTTTACACTGCCATTTTCGCTATTTTATACATTTTACTAGGATATATCGTAATCAGGCAATAAAAGACATGTCAGTATTAGCGGTGAGGATGCAAATGACTCTCTTGAATCTTTTCGAAAGGTTATGGCACCATCCAGGACCCTCTGGGGCCAGCAATGGTCCTAAATGTGCCAATTCGTGACAATAGGAAGCAGTGTCTGAAATAAGATATTAAATAGGCAGCGAACCAGTCAAAAACAGACGGAAGCGCCTGGCGTCCATATATATGGCAAAGCCAAAAGGCATACGAAGCCTTGAGATCCAAACCCACATCGGTCGATCATAAAAGTCGTTAAAAAAATTAAAACAAACACTCAAAAAAATGTTCCTCTGAACGCAATAAACAAAGCGAATGGGGACATTTTTACACCGCAGACGAACATCTTGGAGAACTTCATCACAAGTCTCTGCGACATCGTTCTTAACCTAACTGCGAAAATCACCAGGATTCTGGAAACCGTTGTATCGCTAACATACTGTCGGTCAATGACGTAGGTTCGATAGTAGGCTTCGGTAGATTTTCTCCCTCTCTTTCTTTTTCTTCTTTTCTTTTATCTTTTTTTCTTTTTTGAAGAGAATGAAGGGTTGATGCTGAAGGCCAATGTGAAGGTCGTAGGTCGGTCGTCACCAAGCACTCTCTCCTCTCCCAATTGCCAATTCGTTACGCACAATAATAACTCCTAGGGTAAATGATACTTTGGTTTGATGTTTTTCCAGCTATTTCGGCAGGCAAGGATGCTCCGGAATATGTGTGTAATCGCGGGTGTGTGGTCCGCGCTTTTCTTTTCTTTCGCGAAACGCTCTACACACTGGCTCGCACTGACCGTTTATGTCATTGCAGTATTTCATAAGCAGGTTCAGACAAGGTCAAGTGTTCTCCTACTTAAACAGCGCCATTACCGTCCGTCTTTTCTTCCTTCCTTCAGCTCCTTTCTTCAACTCCTCTCCACCGCTCTTCTCAACCTCATACTACTCCCTCTCTCCCTCCATATACCTATCCAGACATGCGCGGCACAAGTAACGCCCGCGTCCGGCAGCTTTTGACCATCGTCTGCCTGACCCTCAGCTTCATCTTCTCCCTCATCATCATGGGTCTCGTCGGTGTCAACGGCAAGATCACCACCCGTTCCCTCTCCAAGAGCTGTCTGCTCTACATATCCGCCGATGGCGATGTACTCAACTACAACAACCATCACTGTCTCTTCCCCATCATCGGCGCTGCCGTCACTGCGGTTCTATCGCTCATCTTCTTGGTCCTCTGGATCATGATCGTCCACCGCAACGACGAGTTCTCGCCCAGACCCATCTCTATCCCCTTCTTGATCCTCTCAGCTCTTTGCGCCTTATTGTCCTTTGCGATTTGCGGCCAAATCGGCATTGGGCTGAACAGGGGATGCAGTATCCTTGGGGATGAGAGCTACCGCTGCCGCAAGACTAGCAACTTTAATGGTATGTGTTTGTGTTTGTGTCTACAAAAAAAAAAAGGACCCTGTTTGTTCTTGTTTTACCGCCATTTTTTGCTGCTATGCGCGTCATGCTTACAACAAACACTGCATGAATGCATGCAATGCATCCCAATTCACAACTAACCGATTTTTTTTTATCATCGTCATTTGCGCGGCAATATATCGCATCACATAATTTTCTTTGCCGTACGAATCAGCACTCTGGGGCGCCGAGATCTGCGCTGGCATCAGCGGTGGCCTCTGGGTCATCGCCATGCTACTAGAGCTGTTCCAGTTCTTGAGGAAGCCCCACGGACACTCCACCAATGACCCCATCAGACAGACTACTGTCGTGCCTCACCATCGTAACGAGAGTTTCCGTAACGGCGCCACCGTCAGTCCCTACTCCACAGCGGCCACCCCTGCAACGACACATGGCCAAAAGGCCGATTACAATCAACCACAAATGACCCAGTACCATGACACGGCGGGTTATGGAAGTCAGCAAGTATAATTCCCTCATCGACCCAAACTGCTAGTGGTGCATACAGGCGCCACAAAAACAAACAGGACGTCTCCTTCAACGTGATGACCGAAGCTTCCTCTATTTCATTGTATATTTGTATATGTGTATATAAATGTGTATGTGTGTGTGTTCCCTCAATTAAAGTACGCATTTGAACTGAAAAGAACTATGGTAATGATGGTCGAAAAGCGTTTGTTGTAATATACAAGATATATCATGAGGAATGATTATTTTCTTCTGCAGATGATGTGTTGTTCTGCGCTGTGTAAAGAGAGAGCACTCAATATCCGCTCGCGCTTGCGTTCACCGCCGCGTCTTTGCTGCTTGTGGTAGCTGCAAGTACTTATTCTGCTGCTGTTGATGCTTCGCCTTGAGTCGATCCTGCCGATCCATTTGTCTCTCGAACTTGCGCCGCTCTAGTACCTGCTTGGCCTTGTATGTCCACCAGCGTACCGGATCCGGTACAAACACCGTCCCGATTGCCATGGGCGGCAGCCTCAATTCCGTGTCGTACAGGATATCTTCGTTCTCCTCCGCTCCAGCGTCAGTTCCCGTATCCTGTCCCTGGACGCCTGTTGATTTGGATCGCCACAAGTCCCCTTGTTCTCGGACCTTTCTCGTCTCTGCGTCGCCTGGGAACACAATTAAGTAATTCATCCCCAGTAGTGGACCGGGCTCGTATTCTTGTCGGCCTCTCATCTTGATCGCTTTGCGTTTGGAGATCGCTGTCGCCGTCCGTTGAGGCGCTTTCTCTTCTCGTGCTTGATCAGCTGATATTCCCAGAGAGGCATTCGCTTCGTGATGCTCAATTGCCCTCAAAGTAGAGAGATCTCGGAGCTCGATTTCAGCCCCTGGAAAAGATCCGCCCGTTTGCTTCAGCTCCTCCTGCGCGAGCGACCTTTCCGCATACGATCTGGATCTCCTCACCTCAGGATCATTGAGCAGGGCCTCCGCATTCGTCTTCAACGTCATTCGGGACGCAACCCTGCGTACCTCCCTCAAAGATCCCTGCGACTGTGTAGCTCGGATCTGTCTTGGCCGCGCCCGTTGTACGGCGGACAAGGACGATGTGGTAGGATGGTTTCTAAAAGGTGGGCGATTCATGCTTGTTGTTGACCGCATCGTGTTGCTGTTACTCTGACTGCGATTTGCTATTGGCCTGTGACCCCTTCCTTGCGTTCCTGTGCCTGAAGTGGCTGCCGTCGAGCTGTAGAACGATCCGCCAGAGCCCTGCCTTTGCCCCTGCTGTTGTTCCTTCTGTTGTTGCCTCTGCTGTTGTCTTGCGAGGTGTTTCTGATATCGCCTCAGGTTCGACATAGTCCGTGGAACGAGTCCTGCATGGAAGGGCAACGGTTCAATAGAGAGCGGCTGGATCTTGAGAGGATTCCGCCGTCGTCTGTGTTGTGCAGCCATCACTCTTGCTTTCTCCTGCTCCCGTTGATGCCTCTCCAGCTGCTCTTGTCGAAGTTGCAATACATCAGTGGGCGCGGACAAAACACTGAAATCCACCATCTCTCGCCCACTGTCATAAGAGCCGCTGCTGGCCCGGCTGCCTTGCTCGTCATCTTCCTTCAGTTCCTGACTCGTAAGGCCTGCACGTTCCTCCGAGTTGCTGTTCGACGGCTTCTTTTGAGACCTGGACGAAGCTGCCCTGCTTAGCCTCTTCAACGACCATCCGCGCCCCAGTGTCTCGCCTTGGCCAGCAGATTGCGGGGCTGTACTGTCTTTGATGATGTCCTTTTGTTGCTCCAATTTGCCTCGATGCTTGTCGGAAGTTGTCGTGCTCTCTTTCAGTACGGTACTTTCTCCGATCCCTGCTTTCGCGTCCTGCATATCCTCAGAAACTAGCTCCCGTCCAAGGTCTGGTGTTGAAACTGACATGTGGCAAAAATCCCCCATACGCCCAGATTCGTGTAACAGCGACTGGTCTGCATCGATAAGTAGTTCTCCATTAGCAGACGGTGGTGATGGTGCATATCCAATGTCGCGAATATAATCGGATCGAACTCGCAATCGCCTTTTTTCTGGTCCAAGACCCTCCTCAGAATCCACAGCCTGTGGCACTACCCACTCTGAGCGCGATTGAGGTATGTGTTTGTTTATACCCTCTTCTTTCCTTGCATTCGGACTATCACCAGGGACTACTCGATATCTTAAAGTCGATTCTGAGAACACCGCGCCCTGTTCCTTCGAATGCTGCACGGCTACTACGATCCTGTAAATCGGCTTCTTGATCAACGTCCTCCCATCCATTTGAATCCTGGCCATACCCCCATGAAATCTTCCACCGTTCCGGTTCCGCTCTTCCTCTTCGTCTTCCAGCAGCTGCATCTCCGCCGCGCGATGGGATGCGTCTCGATCGTCAATCAGTTGACGAATCTTACGCGCCATGAAGATTAAAAGGATCACAGCCAGAATAAAGCCTAGCATAAAAAATCCAAGCGTCGTCATGTTGAACTGCGTTTTTGGTTCCTTGTCGATCGATGCAGGGTGATCCACCAGCATGACGGTGACAGCTAATGAGAGCGCCGTCGGGTTGCGGTTCGTCAACGAAAAGACGTAGTATCCTGAGAACCGTCGTGAGTCGTTTGCCCAAAAGTCAACATAAGAATCAGTCAGCCGTATTGCAGAAGATGATGGACTTGCATCCAGCCCTGTGTATCTCGTCCACCGGTTCATGAGCTCGCTGGTGTTCAGAGTGCCGGCTGGCGTTATCACCGGGTTGTCCCCCACCGTTGAGTTGTCAGAGATCATTGGGACATCGAGCGGGATGGGAGAAGCCACTCCTGAGTAGCCGTTCCAGCTATCGTCCGTCAGTCCGTGGTCCGCCCGCCAGTACATGTTCATGAACCCCTCCCACACATTCAGGGTTTTGAAATCCAGCAACGAACTTGGAAGCGTCCTGATTTCGAACCGGATATCCAGATCATGGGCGTCCATGTACACTTTGAAGGTCATCTCCTGTTCAGACTGGATGGTGCCCGAATACGCGCTATCGAGATCGAGCGCTATCCGTGTGGGGCATCCATCTGGCGCTGTCAGAACCTGCGACTTGAGGTCAGGCCTCTGGCGGATCAAATCCTGTATGGTACCAGTCTTCGGAACGTCCGCGGATGAGCCCAGGAGATAGTTAGAGCCTTTGGCCTTGTCTGTGTCGAACATGCAGAGGCCATTGACATAAGAGCAAAAGCTGGGGTTACAGTTTTGGCAGTCGTCGTAATGGCTGCACCATCGTAGGGCTATCGTACCAAACGAACGTTAGGAACCAGGATCAGTCAGTTCCCGCTAATATCAGCACCATTCTTTCAGACGCCCTCAAGATACACCAAAGAACACACCTCGGCAGCTATTGACGACAGCAGAAGTTTGTGTGGGAACGTCGATGGTGACATTCAGCATATCTGCATGATCTGTACCATCGAAACCGCCAAAGATGTACGCTGTCCAAGCTGTCTTGCTCCCTCCTGGCGCTCCAGGTGGCCGCAAAATCATCGTGTGGTTGACTCGGCCCTTGATGGCTGCATCAAGGTCAGGCGCGTCATATGTGGTCCACTTCTGACATGCTATAGAGAAGACAGGATGTGAAAGTTTGGTCAGCTCAAGTCGAGATATGATTCATTCAGTGCCAACCTAGCCGCGGACAAAACTTACAGAGATCGTAGAGAGCAAAGGACCTTGAAAAGCAGAATTGGTCCTTCTCGCTCAATCCAGGACCATAGGGCCGCATGCCACCAAACATCACCACAGAATCGTCACCCATAAGGCCAGCGGGTGCCCACACAGCCGTCACTGAGTCATACATCACTGGCGGCAGATACTGTGAGGTCCTGTTTTGCATGTCGACCGTGCCAGTGTCATCTTCCGGATCTCCGTCAGTCATGTTAAAGGTTGGTGAAGAATCTGGGTTCGATCCATCCCAGTATGGGGTAGGTGTCGCCGTAAGAGGATCGATCCTTGGAGCAAGCGCATACCACAAATCTTGGGAGATCCGGTACTGATATGTCAGCACATTGCGTGTTGTCTGGTTGACCATCCCGCCAAAGTAATATATTGAATCCGTCGCCTGATGATACACAGCCGTAGCTCCTGACAGCCCAATCGAGTTTTGATGGTCCGATTTTGTCCACATTGCAAGATCTAGACAAGCACAGAAACGATGTAGTGCAATGTACTCAGTTAGTGTCGTGCATCCTTGTAATGCTTCCAAATAACGTCGCATTTCTCGATGTCGAATCGGCTTACTTATATCATATACGTTCAAGTCGCGGGTTGTAACTCCTGCGGAATTTAGACCCCCAAACACATACAGCTTTGTCGAGTTGTTCTTCGTTACGACTACGCATGCTGATCCGATGCGTCCCGCGGGTAGTTTCTCTGGGTTGGTCGGCTGTCGTTGGGTCCAGACAGTCCCGTTATATTTCCAGACATCTGCGAGGCCACCTATGTTGGACACGCCTCCATAGACGTAAAGGTCGCTGTTGTGCATGAACGCGTAGTGACCATAACGCGGATCTGGGCTTTTCGTATTGAGCGCGATCTTGTCCCATTTATTCGTTGCTAGTTTATGGAAACGTGCTGCGTTAGTATATAGGCATTGATTGCAACGACCAGCCATACTGTGCATTTTTTTTTTCTTAAGCATGCTTACCAAACGTGTATTTAAGCAGATCCCAGCTATACGTGCTCTGTAGACTTGTTCCTCCCATGATGTAGACCACATCCTTGGCTGAATCGTAGGCCATTGCGTGCTGAGAGCGCGGTGTAAAATCCTTGGATCCCGCGGTATCTATGTATATAAGAGAATATCGCGTTAGACTATGTATTCCAGACATGTTAAAAAGCTGTGGTCAAAGTGTCATAGTGATTCAGAAGCTACCGCTGTGTAGTTGCTTCCGTCCTGTTACTTTCCCATGAAACGTACCTCTCTCGCACACTGCTCCATAGTATCGATTGTAGCAATTGCATAAGTCGGTGTTGCTGCATGTTCCTCGGCTCGCTGGAACACACACCGAGCAAGGAGCTATACGTTTGAATATTTCAACGGTATCAGAATACCATTTCTAATTCCTTAGAGCTACACGCAACATAAGGGTCCGGAATGACAGGAGGTCCTTACTAACAGATGTCCAGGAAGCAGTGAATCCAAAGGAGCCAGGGCTCCGTGCCTGAGACGTGAAAACTGCCGTGAGCCGAGATCCCGTCGAGTAAATTGTTGGGGTATTGGTAAATATGTTACCACAGAGCTTTGCCAGTACAGGTGCGGTCGTGTCTGGTCCATCGTAAAGTGTGAGGTAGTCTATCCTGTCGGTTACAAAGAAAGACATATGTGTTCATGAGCATGCATGAAGCTTCTCTGGGATATAAGGTTTATGTGTCTTGAGCTATAATAATGCGGAGGCAAAATCAAAGGAGACCATTACTTTGCCCAAACCAATTCCTCGGTCCACTTACCCGCAAACCAACAGAACCGGCGCTGTAAAATTGATCGCAACCACATAGGGCGTTGCTCGAGCGTTAATGCCGAATCCTCCAGAACCGGTGTCGTTTGAAAACGCTTGTATGGTCCAGATGCAGGTCCTGTTCTGTGAAGGATATACGCCGTCAGGGGAATTGCTCGCAAACGAACCACTCCAGGCTGGGCCTAGGGGCTGTGGAGCATCGGCGTTGCAGAGTGTCGAGGCAGTCCTGAACTGTTGTGAGAGTGCCCTTCTGTTGGACTGCGGGCTAATTGACAATGCTTCGTCCGACGAGCCATCTTCGTCGCCAGCATCGTCAATTATGTCCTGGACCACATCTCTCTGCCGATAGGGTGATGCGTTGAGAGAATAGTCATGGTTGTGAGGATGATGGATGTTCTGAATGATATGAAGGTCGGATGGCTGATAAAAATTGCGTCTGCTTTGTTCCTGGTAAGGTTGCGGTTTCGTCGCGGATGCTGCATTGCCGTTGTGGGGATGGTGCAGAAGGGTAAGAAGCAGGATAGAGCCGAGCAGGACTATGCAATGCAATTGTCGAGTCATTATCGGTTCCTATTGCCACACCCTTCGCCTGCCTGCGCTGCGTTGAGGCGGGGGATTGTGCGTATGGATGCAATGGTGTGATTTTGGGAAGCTCCTCTCTTGGGAAGCCTTTGAGGGCAGGAGTGTGCGCGTGAGAAGAAGAGCTGACGACGGCAGCACGAGCTGAATGACAGGAAAGCAGATTCCGAGGCAAGACAGGGAAATGGAGAAGGAATGAAGGAAAGGATCGAGCAGGAGGAGAAGCGATGCAGGCAGCAGTGCTCCTTGGCGCCTTCTTGTGAGCGCGGGGCGAGTGTTGTTTTTTGTTGTCTCTGTGCCAGGTACGACTACGGCCAACTGACGATAAAAATAGAAAAAGGGCCGAAGCAACGATTATGGCGTTAATGGCTGTTGATGGTTGTCCCTGTTCTGCTGAACGTCGAGTCAATTGTCGCCAGCGGCAATCATCCCATGGCTCACACACAGGTCCTGTCTCTGTTTGCAGGGATAGACGCAGGCGGTTCTCCAAGCTTCCTTTGTCCCTGGTGGCCATCAATAGGACCTCAGCAATCCCCTTCCCCTTTTCACCCCCCTCCAAAAAAGTCGTGTACGTCGGCGGCAGGTAGTCATCTTTTCAGCAGGACGATCCCATTATTCTCGTCGTACCGCTTGTCACTGAGACGCTTCTCTCGCTTTTCCCCCAACGAAGGCCCCTTTTCTTTCCTTTGTCCCCTGTCTTTGATTTTGCATCCAACTATAGCGATTAGCCGACGTGCCATTGCCGCGGTTATATTAAATAGTACTTGAGATAAAAATACAAAGCTGTCCATATGTCTACTACGGTAAGTGAAGGAGAAAGAGAAAAAGGCGAGAGACACGAGCAAACGAAGCCATGGAACCATTGGCGGCAGGTCCTACAGATGGTCACCCGTCAAGCATCAGTCATCTTTTGTCATGGTCGTTCACCGACTGGGATACCGATCCGGATTCAATGAGTATAAGACTCCCCCTTTTTGATTGGACTTGACAACCTCCTTTACTTGGGCCAGTAACGTCAGGTATTCGTTGCATCGATGCCGTGCTACACCCGCCACTGCGACCAGTTCCGGTAGGGCTTGACCCTCAATATGTTCAGCCAGAGACCGCATAATGGCTTCAATCGGTCCACGGTGTGGCTAAATAGTCAGAGAACGTTCGTTATTAGCCGCGTTGCCCCAAGATATTGTCTCCAAAGAGCTTATTGTTTGCAGGTGTTCCTTACCTCGTCGCGATATCGAAGAGGTAGCCGTTCAGCCATGCGCTTCATAACCAGTTTTCCCACCAGCTTTCGTACCCCTCCTCCAGCTCCGACTCTTGACGCACCTGCAATGGAGCTGTTGGGTCTCGCAGGGATTCTGGATGCTGTGACGCCTTTTCCCTTTGCTCCTGCACCTACTCCAGTAGTACCAGGCCGTCTCTGTCGACTTGTGTCCCGTCCATTGGTCCTGTCGTCATGGCTGTTGTAAGGATTAGAGAGCGATGCTTTTATACGCTCCGCTTCCAGCCTCTCTGCTTCAATCCTCTGTCGCTCCTGCTCCTGTTGTTGCTCCAAGATCTGCTGGCTTCTTATCCGCTCCAGTTCCTCTTGCTGCTGCTGAAGCATGATTGCCTCCGCCTCTCGTTGCTCCATCCTTTCGAACGATCGCTTCGTAGGTGCCTAGTTTAAATTAACAATATGCATATGTCAATAATATTGCACCTCATTACTCTTCGTAGACGCTCACTTTGTCCACCCCTTTACCTCTGTCCACTCCACATCTTCCGCAATCATTTTAAGGCCGTATAGGAATGCGCCAAATGATTCATTAAAGTATGCCAGGCCTGCATGGATATCCGCCACGGCAGCAAGTTTTTCCTCGAGTTGGTTCACGGCGGACGAAAGTTGATCAACAGGATCCTCGAGTTGCTGGGAGATGGACTGGAATGGCGCCAGTGCTGAGTGCTGTTGTTCATGCTCCTCCTGTTGTTGCTGCTGGCGGGAGAAGAGAGATGTGCCTGAAGAGGGGTCTTGTGGGCTCTGATGCTGTGAACGCCGGAGAGGGTTGCCATCATGATCATGCCTTATTGAGTTGAAAAGTATGTGGCCGGCATCACTTGCTGTTGTAGACGCGCTTCCGTGTCCGACAGAGCGCTTTAGAAGCAGGCCGGGTCCTATTCTCGACTTGCGGCGGTGTGGTGTATCCTGAACCATGGGTCGTATAGACGTGTATAATTCCCGAGCAATGCCTTGAATAAGGATGAGGAGAAGACAGAGTGATGTGTGCGTTTTTCATAAAATACAGCACAGGCATGTCACCTGATCTGCTCGCACAAAAGACGCGCTGGAGCCTGGGATCTTTGGGCTCAAATGCTGTATAGTAGACCGACACCATGGTGTAAAACTAATACCAGTTTACTTAAGAAATCCGGGGTCTGCGAATTGTCAGCGCATAAAATCTTACTGAACGAGCAAATCAAGGACCTCAAGTTTATTTTGCTAACAAAGAGAAAAGACACCTGCTTGACTGATTTTTTACATGGACTGGATGGTTTAGTGCGGGCAGCTCTGAATCTTTAAGGTCCTAGACACCCTAGTTAACCGGCGTGCTGGCGCCAAAAGCAGCACTTTGGACAACCAAACAGGCGATGCTGCATCGTTTGATGTGCCCTGCTTGGAGGACTATGCATTCGCGAGATCATCTTTGTACATCGTCCGTTGTCGATTCTTGCCCTATACTTTTAGTGCTCAAGATCAAAGTTGGTTTCCTTTTTAGCTGGCAAGGACATATCGCTAGTTCGCGTTCGCGTTTTCGTCTGAGTTGGAGCGCGTTGCATTACACCATTCCATGTATAAGACGATCTGCAGTATTCAAGCTGGGCTTGCAAGGACCCGTCGAAGTAGGTCGTCGTGCCGGCGTTGCCAAATAAAGTTGACTCCTTCGTATTGCCTTGGAGATCATAGCAAAAAGGTCGTGGTCCAAATTACTAGCACAGCATGCAGATAGACGCGTCTTCGTTTACTCGTTTGTGTGTCATTGCCACCATAAAGTCACTCAAGTAGATTGTTTGAAGGAACCATTTTTTATTGCATTGTCTGTTATTTCTACAATTCCTATCGGCACCATCAGCTCAACTTGCTATCAGTCAACCTTGGTTGCAAAGGTTGTGCAGAGTACACCACGGGCAGGTTGCAAGTCATCGTACTCCGAAAAAAAACCGCACAAAGCCCAAAGAGAGCAAGTGGATAAAAAAAAGGGTTCAGAAACATTCTCAGGAACTCTTTTGTTTTTGCGTGAAGAAAAGGCGAAGCTCCTTGGCCCGAAGGCACGACCTGAGGTGATGATAACCAGAGGGGAGTAGGGGAGTGGGGGAATTTGGTGCTCCCGGCCCAAATGCACTGCTAGGGTTAATAAACCCTCTGGGGAGCGGGTATAATCCACAGGTTGAAAACCTGGGATGGGTTGCCGAGGGCACGCAATTAGTGAGGGGTTACAGTCCCAGGATCGAAGTCAAAACTCCTAGGACCTCTATATTGCCGAGGGCACGCAAGGGTGAAGAGATTCAGTTCCAGGATCGAAGTCAAAACTCCTGGGACCTCTATGACTATCTACTGCCGAGGGCACGCAAGGGTGGAGAAATTCAGTCCCAGGATCGAAGTCAAAACTCCTGGAACCTCTATATTGCCGAGGGCACGCAAGGGTGAAGAGATTCAGTCCCAAGATCGAAGTCAAAACTCCTGGGACCTCTATATTTTCTATCTAGGGAGTGGTGGAGAGGGAGTGGTGGAATGGAATTGCTGACGAGAGTGCATGTGGAGGAGGGTTGCTGACGCGAGTGCATGTGGAGGAGGGCTGCTGACGAGAGTGAGCACAAGAGATGGAAGTGGGGTGGAGGAGAGTGGGACTGGGTAAAGGACGAAAGGCGAGGTTGTGTCAGTGAAGAGAAGTGGGATGGGGTGGAGGGTAGAGAGTGGAAGGTGAAGAGCAAAGAAAAATAACTTATATCATACGTACCTGGAAAGAAACTTGCCGTAGAGCGCGTGGGGAAGAGTGAGGAGGAGGTGGAGGAGGTGGAGAAGGTGGAGGAGGTGGGGAAGGGAACGTGTAAGAGGAAAGAAAGAGAAAGAACAAAGTCGAACTTTAAATGTGCCGCGTAATCGGTGGCTGAGTCGATAGCAAGGGGTCTACGGGGACCGGAGGGCTCATATGGCCGCTGGGGACTGGGGGGCAGACTATGGGGAACGAGACGGTAGTGAGCGTGTGCCTGGGAGTGAGCGAACAACGCGCACGGCTCATCAGAGAAAAAAGGAATCGTCATTCAGTGCTGTCCACCATGAGCCCAACTTGCATCAACATCGCCTTTGCCAGCGATGAGTGTACTTTTGACAGCGAAAGTGCATGGTGGCGGACATGTTGCCACCAATTTCATGTTGAAGGTTGTTGAAGGTTGTTGAAGGTTGCTGATGTTCTGTTCGCATGGTTTCTAAACAACCCAAACAACCTTAAAAAGGAGTGCCAACAAACAGTGCACCTACCACACGCCAATTAAGTTTGCATCAGATTTGGAAAGCATAAAACATTAGCAGCGTCAACATGTGTTTGTTATGCTGCATGGTCCATATTTACTGCAGTAGAGAAGAGGCGGCGGATGCAGTGCCACCATTCTATGAAGGGACAAGAACGCTGTCTCCAATGCCAAATATACTAATATCATCTCGACCAGTGCGTGCAAGCGATTGCGATTCGACAAACCCGAGTCCTCGTGGAGAAGACAAGAATAAACGATAAGAACACAGTGTCCACAAAGAGACATCTACAGCGGAAGAAATTCTTTCTTCTTCATCGCTATTGCCTTTGCCTGCAGAAATAGCAAAGAGACCTTCGTGCTGGTAGGGAGTAAAGAGGAAACTGGTGAGCCATTTTTGTGCGACAAAAGCACTGTTTTAAACAGCTGAAAATCAGTAAACGAATATATTATTGGACAAATAATGTATTAGGAAGGACATGGCTCTTTATTTTTGATTCGTAAGAAATGAAAGCTGGGTAGATGACAGTTATAATCGCGATTAGTGAAGTGCAGTGTAAACACCATAGACTATTATAAGTATACATGGGTAAGATATGAAAAAGAGAAATAACTTTTTTTCTGCTGCGGACACATCATGGCGAGGAATAAGGTAACGTCGTGCCAGACAAGTTTGATTGATGGGTATTTACAGGCGCCACCGTAGATGAGGTTGCTTGAGGGGTCGCTGGACGGACGCTGTTCTGCCCCGTACCTCGACGCGATCCCGTCATGCTGGAACGTGGACTCGAACTGCTGATATCGATCTGACTGGACGAGTTGCCGGGGGTGCCCCTGAACTTATTGGGCGCCCATCCAGCTCCGACCGAGGTCGCAACTAGAGACGGGACCATAGCACCGGCATGAAGCACATGGCGCTCACTTCTGTCGGAATCTGTCGAGAGGCGACCGCCACGGATCGACTTGAAGACGGAGAGCTCTGAGCGAACCTTGGTAATGGCAGAGTTCCAGACAAGACCATCACGGCTGGGATAGACATTATTACCGCTTCCAGTTATGGAGTTAGTGCGGTGCGAGTTGATCGATGCAGGGATCGAATTGGTACGGCCAGCTTCACTGTTGGCGGGGTAGGTCTCAAAATTAGGGAGGGATCCGTGAGTAGGCTCACTATGATCGACCCACTTCTTAAGACCGCCAAAAACCTCGTCGGGGATAAGACGGATGATGACACCGACGGGAAGGGCGAGAAGACCTAAAACAATGCAGATCACCCACTGGACACCACTAAGGCTCTCTGTCTGGAAGGCAGCTCCACCAAACTCAACGATGATCGCCTGGAAGGCAACCATAATAACGAAGATAACAATGAAGTAACGGTTGCTGCGGATACCCGCGAAGATGTTAAGGCGGTTATCCAGACGGCGACAGTTGACTTCGTTGAAGATCTGGAGGAATACGAATGTGTTGAAAACCATGGAATCCAGCTCCTGACGCTTGAACGTTCTGTAGGCATTGGGAATATCTCCATTCTGGGCGACAAGGGCATCGAGGGAGCTTGGGACAGTGTTGTAGTTGAGGATATCCATTCCTTTGTACTCCAAGACAAAGGTGATGACGAGCTGGAGGACAGCCTGACCAAGAATCATTTTCCACATCGTGAACGAGATCAAAGGAGCAGTGCGGGGCTCGGGTTGACGGTCCAGGAGATCGGGCGTTGGTGGATCGGTAGCAAGGGCTAAGGCAGCGAGGGTGTCCATGATCAAGTTGATCCACAAGAGCTGGACAGCAGACATGACGGGCTTCTGCTCTTCAGAGATCACAGCGGTGACAAAGGTCAAAACAACAGCGGTAATGTTGACAGTGAGCTGGAATTGCAAGAACTTCTTGACGGCGTCATTAACAGCACGACCCCAAAGAATGGCCTTGACGATGCTCGAGAAGTTGTCGTCCATCAAGATGATAGCGGAGGCCTCCTTAGCGACCTCGGTACCGGCGATACCCATGGAGAAACCAACATCAGACATCTTGAGGGCAGGACCATCGTTGGTACCGTCACCGGTCACAGCAACAATCTCACCCATGGCCTTAAGACGACCAACAAGGATCTTCTTATCCTCGGGACTGGATCTGGCAAGAACTTGAAGACGAGGAATCACAGCGTCCATCTCTTCACCGCTCAGGGCACGGAACTTAGGACCCTCCATGATGATACCGCCCTGAGTGTAGATACCGCACTGGGTGGCAATTGACTTGGCAGTCAAGATGTTGTCTCCAGTGACCATGCGGACAAACACGCCAGCGCGCTGACAAGCCAAAACAGCGTCGGGGACACCATCGCGAAGAGGATCCTCGATACCAACGACACCGATCAAGGTCAGACCACTCTCAGCCACAGCCGAAAAGGGGACCTCGCCATCTTCGTTCAACTCAACGCCGGCTGGTGGCCACGACTCGAAATCACGGTAAGCGACGCCGATGGTACGAAGAGATTGGGTCGCGTACGAGATAATCGTCTTGTGGATCTGGGTTTCAAGGTCGCTGTTAAGGTCCAACTCGGTAACGTCAGCGTTGCGATCCTTCTCGGACAAAGGCGTGCTCTGATCAGCAGCGGACGAAATCTGGAGAACCTTTTCGCAGCGTTTCATGATTATCTCTGAAGCACCCTTGGCATGGAGGCGGAACTTCTTGGGGCCCATCTGGACAATAGTTGCCATAGACTTGCGCTCAGACGAGAAGGGGTACAGGTGCACAACAGGAACAGAGTCGCGGAGTTGACGGTAATCAGCACCGCCAATCTTCTTTGAGAAATCAAGCATAGCAACTTCGGTCTTGGAGCCAATGAAGGACAGGTTGCCCTTCTCATCCTCGCTCTCAAAGGCAGAAGAATTGATGGCAATGGCTTCGTGCATCAGCTGTGTGACAGCAGGAGGAAGGTTGCTGACGAGCTGGCTCATGGAGACGGCGTTCTTGTTGATGGGGATGGCGGCGCGCTTGTTGGTCTCGCCCTCAGCGGCGTCAGCAATGAAACGAGTGTTGATTCCCAAAGTTCCGGCAACAATGGTCATGCTAGAAGATGCATAGTGAATTAAAAGGAGCAATGTTAGACTAAATCAAACAAAGACGAGAATGTGAAAGTACGATGACAGAAGGCAGTGCTTACCGGTTTTGAGTGAGGGTACCGGTCTTGTCGGAGCAGATGGTGGTGGCATTACCCATGGTCTCGCAGGCAGCGAGCACACGGACCAGGTTGTTGTCCTTAAGCATGCGAGTGGTGGCGAAGGCCAATGCCAGGGTCACAGCCAGGGGGAGACCTTCAGGGACGGCGACGACAATGACGGTGACAGCAGCAATGATAATACCGACCAGTCTCTGGACAATCTCGGTCGTGGGGGGCTTTACAGCTTTCATGCCGAATTCGACAAAGTAGCGGATAAAGAGGACGATCAACATCAGCAGAGCGGCCAAACTACCGAGCTTCGCAATTTGCTCCGCAAGGCCGTTCAGCTTGACCTGGAGAGGAGTGTCCTCGGACTCGGTGCGGAGGGACATCATGGTCTTGCCGTGGAAGCTGTTTTCGCCAACAGCGGTGACGACGTAGAGACCCACGCCCTCTAGAACCTTGGAACCAGAGATGATGAAGGGGTCGACGCCGTGGATGGCATGCGATGGTTCAGCAATAACATCGATACCCTCGTGATTGGTGTGGATCTTGGTGTCCTTGTGTGAAGCAGCCTCGACCTCCTCCAATCGTCTATACTCCTCAAAGGTGACCTTCTTGACGGCATCCGACTCTCCAGTCATTGCAGACTCATCGCACTTGAGATTATGTCCTCCAAGGTAGACACCATCCGCCGAGATTACATCACCGGGTTCGAGATAAAGAACATCGCCAACGACGATATCAAAGACCGAGATCAGAACCGTTTCTCCGTTACGAAGGGCCTTGACCTCGCGATCCTCCTTCTTGGCATTCAGCTTGCGGAACTGGGCTTCCTTTTGATAGTCATTGACAGATCCGACCATGACAACAATCATGACGGCGGCCAGGATGGCGACACCCTCAACCCAGGAAATTTTGGGATCAGTGGCGATGTAAGAGGTAAAATCCTTATGGAACAGTTGCTTTGGATCGTGCTTCATTCCATAGTCTTCGTAGATGCCGAGACCGATGGAGACAACGGCAGCAATCAACAGCAAAATCTATTAGAGATCATGACAAAGGGCGAGGTCAGATTGATTACTCATGTCAAAGACTGACAGGATAAGTTGGCTGCAGGGGACTGGGGGGCATGCTGCCGCTGCTCAAGTATTAAGTCCCAGGGTCCCGGGGCAGGAGTAAAAAAATGAATTAAAAATTAAAAATTAAAAACAGCTGCTGAAACAATGGTCCATTGCGTGTGGTGGTGTCTCACACCAACGTCCATGTCTCCTAAAAAAAGATCCAGGGCGTGCTTGGTGTTTGACGTCTGGTTCTGGTGTGGGATTGTTTGGTGCGCCGAATGGAGATGGGACAGGGGGGAGATAGTGTTGACGGGAGGGGCAAAGCTGGAGGAAAGAGAGGGCTGGACCAAGACTATAGGAAAAATATTCTTACCAGAATCTTTTCCTGGAGAGCCATCCACATGAGCTGGAAGATAGTCTTTGGCTTGCGTTTGGGCAGGACATTGCGACCAAAATACTTCTCGCGGTCCTCGAACGTGACCTGGGCTGTATTGGAGGAATAGTTGTGGGCGTAGTCGGTGGAGACCTGTGCCTGGGCAGGGGTCTCCTTTTCATCCTCTGAAGAGACAACTGCCGTCAGGGATTTGTGCGGAGTTGAGAGACCCTTAGCTGGATCTGCATGCAGACCAGCGAGGATGCCCTCCACACCACCATACGAATGAAGAGTCTCGGGGGACTTTGGGTCGATGAGGTGCATGAGGTCATCAGGGTTGAAGGAGAAGGGACCATGGTTGGTTGGTCGTGGGTCGACAGCAGTGGCTACTGTGGTGGCCGTGCGGTAAGGAGTGGACGAAGAAGACAAAGAAGAAGAGGCTGGTTGAGGGTGGATATCATTGGTGATGTTGTTGGTTGACGGATGGTCCTCTGCTGGCTGGATGTGTGTTTGGGACGAGCCCAGGGTGGGGACAGGAGCGGAGGGGTCCAGCTCTGCCTTGGACATGACGAAGTAAGGCTGTGTGGAATATAGGCTGTGCTGTATGAGAAAGAGAGAGGTGGGGAGTATTGGACTATTGGGGCAAGTCTATGATAGAGTCGTTCCGGGTTTGTGTGAGGAGGGACCTGCCGTGAGGAGCGGACGTGGGTGTGGGTGTGTGGATGTCGATAGACGGCAGTAACGACTGCAGGAGACGACTGTGAATAAGAGTCGTAGCGGTTAAAGAAACAGGGCGAGGAAGGTAGGTACTGAAGAAGTAGTAGAATAAAAGAGGAGGTCCGGGTGTTCCATGGTTTATAAACGATCGTTGACTCAAAAAAAGAAGGTTTCTGAGGATTCCCCAATTCAAAATAAAAGAATTCGAAGAAGGAAGGGGGAAATCCCTACTTAGACTGCATAGATAGTCTAAGCTACAACTATTCCCTGCTTTGATAAGAAAGCATTTCGCCTTCTGTCTATTGTATTATTGCGCGTTTGGACATTTCGAGAGAACCTCCTTTATATTTATTGCCAAAATGTATGCCATATCCATGAGAACTCCTGCTAATAACGATTGGACCAGCCTGGAGAAATGGCGAAGTCCACAGCTGCAGTGCCCTCTGGTCCCTGAGAGGATGACACGAGCACGGAAAAATACAAGGGCTCAACCTTTGTTTAAACCCTATATAGAAACGATGTCTTTTTCACAGGAGTCTTTGCGACCTACCTCTCCAATAGCATGCATGTACTCGAGAAGTACTGCTCCAGCTCAATCAAAGAGTGAGCCAGTGATAGATAGTGATTTCGCAGCGACTCGCACACAAAGTTATAGGAGCGTAGAATAGTGAGAAGGTTCTGATTATTTTTTGCTTTAGCAAATGAATAGACTGTTCAGTCACCAGCAGGGTTCAGTCCTAATATGGTCTAATACGGTGCCTGCCATGCGTGATGCTGCGCTTGTGCTTGCATGGACTTGTCGGAACCCGTACCGGCTATCCTGGACTCTTCCTACCGTTCTTTGAATATAACATAACCTGCATTCCCACGGTCATTTTCATTACTTTAAAACTGCTCGATAATAAAGTGTAACGACGGACACAGCGAGACAAAAGGCAGCTTTCCCCCTCCTCTTCGTCTAGGAATTCCTTGCTATAAAGCAATCACCACTCCGAGCATTTAGATCTATCTCGGCTTTCCGTCGTAGAGATACACCCTGCAGGGCACATGGTGTTACCGACGCTTCCATCACCACCTTCCATCGAAGAAAGACATTTCAAAAGTGCGCTTGTGTATGTGCATGATGAAAAATGATGTAGTCCTAGCCCCTACCATCTTGACTTTTACTACGAATTTCCTAGGCTTCGAGGGATTTTCAGATCGAGCATATCCATTGTGATTCTTATTCGTACCCTTCTAGCCATTCCTTTAGCCACGAGGTCATTTTACGAGGCAAAGGATTGCCGAGAACATGTCGAAGCTGCATGAAGGCGAGTATGGTCCTTGGCATTCTCCTTTACTTCTTGACCTTACGGTCATGAATGGGCAGATGGCGGCCCATCGAATGAAATGCTTGAAACTGAAAAGCCATATCCAGAGAAAGCGCCTCAGTCATTCGAGACATTTAATCATTTGACCGAAAGTCCAAAACGCCTAGGACAGGAATAGTTCGGCCCCATTCAGCAACGGCCGTATGGTAACCAAATTACTGATTCATAATTTCCTCCTCTATATTTGCAGGATGTAATTTTAGGAACGACTCATGTACATTGCATGTCTATTTCTATTCTCTCAGTTTTGTCGATCAAGACAAAAAGAGCGAGGCGGCGCCAGTGTTCCGTTCCTTAACTCGAATTGCTGAAGGCGTCTTCGCTCAGCGGACCAAATGACCAAATGTATATTCATCTCGATCTTGTCGCTAAGATCACATCTCTTTAGTGCCGTCTGTTGATCATGCAAGCACTGCAAGCGCGTCTCCCTTGCCCTCTACAGGAGTTTGTTGTCGGCCCAGTCATTGTTTGAGCTCGATGTCTGTTGATATTGGCTGTGAAGCGAAGATAGAAGTGCAATGAGCAAAAGCACGCGGTTGTTCGTGCCACCTTTTTTTTTTGCTACAGACCCAAAGTCCTATGCACGTTTTGTAAATACATCTGCAGGCATCTGGACACGATAGAGGAATTTAGCTGTCGACTCTTCTCTTCCTTCCTTTGAGAAATGTGTCGTGTAACACAACGAACACGCCCAGGCGAGTGGTCGTACTCAGTCTTTCGAGCCTCTCGCCATAAAGAGACTACAAAACATGAGCGATTCAACTTTCGACATTCTAGGCATGTCTATCAAAGCCTTGGTTTCCGCACATTCCACTCTGATCTCATAGCAAAAGGAGAGAATAAAACTCGCTTGGTCTCATCATGCAGAAACACGAGGGAATAATGCATTTTGCGCAAGGACCATTTAGGGATGCAACAACTGAAGCATTATTGGTTATCTTTGCCTCATGCCAGCTTACCCCCATGTAGTTATACCCCGCATAATTCTGCACAGCATACCAGAACAAGGGCTAAAGGCTCCATAATAGTCTCCGCCCTGCTATCTTTAACCAGTTACCTTTGTCCCTCTGTCTTTGCATTGCCACTACAGCCCTGAGAAATCGACTGGACGAGGGGTAGATGAATGGATGAATGACGCGTAAACAACGTCCTACCTACCGTTGTACGAACAAAGAAATCGCTTCGCCATAACAACTGCTATGCATGGGAAACGCGATATTGCCTTTGCACCCCTATCTTATGCTATTCTTCTTTGTCCCGCTGTCTTTGCATTGCCACTGCAGACCTGGCCCTGTAGAGGAATCGACGGGCCAAGGACACGTCAACACATTCCATATATTGCTGTGCGATCTAAAAAGAAAAAAAGCTTCGCCACAACAATGTCATGCATGAGAACACGATGTTTGTGGCGGCACTCTCGTCTTTGACCCGACCTAGTATTTCGTCCATCTCCTCATGTTGCTTAGAGATGCAAAGGGCTGGAAACGGACTGAATATCGCATGCAGGCGAATCTCGACTGTCCAAGTTGTCATACACTGTTGACGCATGATCATTGACTATACATGCAGACTAAATTCACAACATAGGGGCGCCAACAAAGAATCTTCCTTGGAGCCCATGGGGACATATCGGTTCGTTAGCGCACGACTATGTATGAATCAGGTGATTCCAATACCCCAGCTAGCCTTTTTGTTGTGCCAAGCAGAGCTCTCGCACACCACATACACACACACACACACCACATACATACACACACTCGCTGTAGCCATTAAACCCATCTTTTACACAAACACAGCCATGCTCAAGCCAAAACTCATCTCACAAGTACTTCAGCAAGCGACCACAGGGGGAGTCAAGGCAACAATGTAACTACTCCAGGAGAAAGAAAAAAGACGCGGATGGATGTTTGCTTCATGACACATCAGTCAAGTCAACATCAGATTGAAAAGTGATACCTCAACTCACACCACCCTCTTTTCATTTTCATTTTCATTAATGTCAAAACAGATTGCTCAACCCAGAGGGATCGCTACTCGCATTTGCCGCTCAGTCTGACCGCGATGCACGCATCTATGGCGCCATCGCTTCCAACATCTGGAACATCTATTCAAAGCATTGCAAGCCCGAAGTCGGAACATTATCCTTTCTAATCCTCGAGTGCGAGGTAAACGACGAACGCAACAACACTAGACTGCACCAACTCGACTATTCTCTCTTTTTTTTTTTCTTCACCATTTTTGTAGTTTCGTAGGAAGGTTGGAGAATTGTCTGTTCAAAAATAGACAGGACTGACGCTCTTTTACACTTCTGATAATGAACGAATCGTAGGAAGGAAAGGTCGCCATCTCAATCGTGAGCACAATGATCTTGTGTTTAGTCGCACGGGACGATGTGGAGCTAGGGATCCTGAAGGCCAAATCAGAGGCACTGACACGGCACCTGGAAGAGCCATTGAGCAAAGTCGCAGGATATTAGAGAAACGGACTCGGAACGACAACAGTACCATAGAAAGCGAGGACAACGCGCACGCTGGGCCATAAAGACCATAAAAAAATATATGCAAACGACAGCAGCAATAGGAAGCTGTAATAGCAACAGCGATAGCAACCTCAGCATCGACATTGACATTGGCAAACGGGGGCGAACCTAAGAGACATGCGGAAACAAATGGCCTTGGCAGCTGGACTACAAATACACGGCATTTTTTTCTTTAGTCTATTCCACACAAATATCTCTTATCTCTCTGCAGTGCTGTTTATTTTCAAAAATGCATGCTCGGTCTCTTGGACAGGAGAATGAAAGGAAAATTGAGGAGAGTGAGTCCTGTGCTGGATGGGCACCGTCTCAGGATCATACTGTGCCTTGGAGCTAGACACCTTGTTCCGACCGCGACTAAAAGGATGGATGAGGAGGTCACCAGACCACATTCTGAAAAGAGAGAGAGATATGTACATACAAGAAATAAGATTGCGCATGGTCCATGGTCGCACAAATTCGCTCACACCGCGTTGCATGGAATGAGCTTTCTCAAAAAGCGCCCCAGTGTCTGCAAGTGCACGTGATATGCACACCCGAATGAAATTGGTGGCAAAAAGTGTGTTCAAAGTAGTAACTCGAGTTAACTCAACTGAAAAATTTGATGACATCACTGATTGCATTGTCAATTAGCAATAATGTCTTAAATAAAAGACTATAATTGACAATACATTCAGTAAGGTCATCGAAGAGTTAACTCGAGTTAACTCGAGTTACAATCACTAGTTCAAAGTAGTGATTTTAACCCGATTAATCCATTTTGACCCATTGACCCACAGGGTTAATCTGGTTAACCTAGAGTTAACCTGGTCAAAATTAATTCGGTTAATCCAAGAATTAATTCTCTGGTCCTTTCTGAGAAACAGAATGAATACACCAAGTTTTTATCATTTATTTCTCATTGAATGCTTTCTGCAAACATCGTCTGCCAGAGTTGCAAACAACCAGATCTCTCAGCGCATCACCAGTCAAACGATTCCGATTCTCTGTGACAAAATTACCTGCTTTGCTGAACAACCGCTCGGATGCCACTGAAGCTGCTGGGATTGAAAGGTATTTTCTTGCCAAAAGTGCCAATGACGGAAACGTTGTTTGATGTTCCTTCCACCATTGAACAGGGTCGACAAGGAAATCGTCGCATTGGCGATTCCTAAAATACCTCTCAAATTCGTCCTCACGCGGTGCGTTGGTGTTAGCGTTGGTGTTGTCGTCCTGCATTGCGACGAGCTCGAGAAGCGCTGCCGTAAGTCTGCCTGTATGTTGCTGCTGGTTTTGTGGTTGTTGAACTGAAGCATTGTTGCGAGGCCGGAGACCATCAAGTTCACGACGAAGCCTTTCCTTGTATCGAACAAAGTTGACAGGGTCCATACTACTATAGATAATGTTGGAACAAGGATGAAAAAACGATGCCTTCATCATCACTTCCGAGTCCTTGACACGCTTCTCGAGTTCTTCTCGGAGGGACTGGCGGAGACAATCGGCTGTAGGATTTCCACTCTGCTCTCCCAACTCATTGAAAACAGAGGTCATCCATGGCAACATTGATGCTGCTAGACCTTGAGATGCCGAACTAAAAATCAATGTTGCCTCTTCGAACAACGTTAGGACACCGATGATCAGTTGAACATTATCCCACTCTTCATTCGTGAGGCTGAGCTCGTTCATGGCATGCAGGTGGTCGATATCGTCCGTAGCGCCCAGACCGGTGTGAGCTGCTGCTATCGCATCCTTAAGCTCGAGCAATCGCTGTAGCATCGCCAGAACACTGCTCCATTTTGTGGGAACGTCCATGATGACCTTCAGAATCAAGGTTTCGTTTTCCCGCTTTTGCTCCTCCTCCAACGCTTGCGTCATCTTGGGGCTTTTATGGAAGAACGCGAGGTCATGGCACTTGCTTACAACATCGTGCAAGGCTTTGTGCAGTTTCAGCGCCCCGTTGACGGTGTTGTGCAATATGTGTGCTGCACAGGCGACCCTAGGAATGCCCACAGAACTCGCAGCCAGCTTCATGTTGCTAGCATCATCTGTCGTTAGAGACACGATGAAGTCCTGGATATGCCAGCTCTCCAATAGTTTACCTATCTCTCGCAAAAGCAAAAATAAAAACGATTGGTCAAAATCTCTAGGAATCGCACCACATCACATTTGGAAATTACAAATACTTTCACCACTTACGGATCAATTTGCCGATCGAAACGCCATCATGGGGATATGGATGAGGCACAAGATCCAATGCATGCTCATGTGCCTTGAACTCGCTGTCGAGCCAGTGCAGGGTCATCGACATAAACGGGCGACCACTAGTACTGGTCCAATCGTCGACAGTAATCGACCCGAATTTGAAGGTCTTTTGCAACAGCGTATTGATCTGCCTTTCGATGTGGGCTCGAAAGTCGGGCAGCCTCATCCGAATCGTTTTCGCGCAGACCGGTTTGACGTTAGGGTCTATGGCGGTCAAGAATTCCCGGAACGCTGGGGAATCAAATCTTGAAAAGGGCTCATAGTCCTGTGTAATCCAGTTCAGTGCTGCCTGGATGAACTCCTTTTTTTTCTGTGTTGCTGTCATGGTATATGGTGTTGGTGAGGAGACTTCATCCATGTGCTGTTGATTCCGTGCTCTTTTCCGTCTCTCCTCGTCCTCACGTTCGTGAATACGAAGGTGGTATTTGAGCGTCGTCGTTCCAGCATTGCCGGACAGTTTAGCGTTACACTCCTTGCATTGACGCTTCGACTCGGTGCGACCGCTCTTCTTATTGATCGCCGTAATGTTGTTGAACTTGGCCTGCACATCATCTAAAAGAGAGGTAGCCATATTAATGAAAGTTCAAGCGCGAAGCTTTTTTATATCCCTACAGCACAACATCGAGCATCTTGCTTACCTGGGATTTTTCTCCACAATATTTGTTCAGTCCCCTGGCTTAGAGACAACGACGGAGTGAGTGAAGAGTCTGAGAGCATATCAAGATCCTGCGATGGTGGGTGTTCATCAAACACAAGACCAGCAGAGGTTGGGTTGGAATTGATGGTTGACGATGATGATGACATTGATGCAGAGATTGCACTGTTGTTGTAGTCGAGCACTGCAGTACTCAATGATAATGCTTCAAATGTGGATGTTCTGCTGCTTGATTGTTGCACGGAGCCAATGCAGAAGATGCGGCTGGTGTTGAGGATGAAACTCGTCGAGAGGGCGAGCCTCTGTTAGGGGTTGATGAACGTCCCATTTTTTGGGCTTCGTGAGTGAGTAGGAAAGGAAGGAAGATTTCGACTATGGAGGATTTGCTTGTGATGCAGAACTATGCTCTTGAACCAACGTTCTTCAGAAAACATCGGTAACGTCACTGAAATTAATCTTGGATTAATCCAAGATTAATTTTCGACTGGATTAATCGGGTTAACTGGGTTAATTTTTTTGGGTTCCAATCACTAGTTCAAAGTTGGGCTGAGTATGTTTTTGGATCAACAAGGAGGAGCATGCTTTTGAACGGGCTGGCTTTCCTTTCCCCTCCTCCCCCCAGATATACACCCTATATGCAGATACTATGCATTTGTTTTTTATTCACTGCATGCGATTCTGTTTTCCGTAAAGTCAATGGTTGAGCGTCGAACGAACTATAGTCTATACACGAGAGGGGAGAGAAGATGCGGCGCGGATGATTGATTCGAACACTATCACGCGTTTTTGGATCTCCCTTCATAGAAATAAACAGAAAAAAAAAAAAAAAAAACACGATCGGCCGACTTTTAAAGCGGCGTGCTCTTTTTTTTATCTTATTTTATTTCGCACAGTAAAATGCCTGCACTATATTATTATAAATTAGATTATCGATCGTCCAGGTCCCTTTCGCGTTCTCTATCCCCAAAAGAAGCATCACCGATGCCATCCATCAGGAGGAGGTGGTGGCAGCAGCGACGTCAACGGCGGCACGCATGCTTACGCAGTGCTATTGTAGATTTTAAACGTTCGCAAAGACGGCACCCATGGCCAAGACCACGCTCAGAGCCCCGGAGGCGGACAATCCAGGGCTGCCAAAGCCTCCAGTGGTGTGTGTGAGGCACTTGTTTCCAGCAGTGCAGGTGCTCAACAAAGGACAGCACCCGCCGTCGGAGCACTCTATTTGGCCGAGATCGCAACCGCAACCTGATCCGTATTTCGAGCATGAGAAGGACTAGCAATAGTAAGCAAAAGGAAAGTTGTTTAATAGCAGGGAAACGGGTTAATGCGTGGCATGTAAAAGATCAATGCCTAGTCCTTGCAGAGCGCTGTAGAAAAGAAAAGAAAAAGAAAAAGAAAAAAGATGGATAAGGAAGAAAGTATGAGGACTTACACTACAGCAGTAGTTTCCACACGGCTTTGTGTATCCGGGCTCGCAGCATCCACTCGTACAGTCACGCTTCTCGAGCGTGTTCGGTGCTGCCTCCGCGAGGGTCTCGCCGGAAGGGTAAGGTCCCTGGGCCAATTGGCTCAGGGAGTTGACCTGGCTGGATGGAAACTGACGATCGATCTCGATGACTTGCTTCTGCGCGGTGACAGTGGAAGCGACCATGGCCAGGACGGCCGCAGTCAAGAAAACTGGGTTGGCAAAAGAACGCATTATAAGGGAGTGCGTGGTTTGTAAACTAGGAGAGGGGAGGTATATGGGGTTGATACGCGGGCGTGTGCTTGTCTTGGTGCTTGATGCTTGTGGTGAGACGACAAAGTTGACAAAAGCAGAGTGGAGTGAAGTGGAAAGAAGGAGTAGAGGATGAAAAGATGCTTAATAAGGGGAGACAAGGGAGGCGAGCGCAGTAAAGTGGCACCTGGACCTGATCGGGGCTGCTGGTCTTTCCCTTTTGAGGACGCGCCGCTCCGAGAGCTCTTTAGTTTAGAGTAGACAGTGAGCCCGGAAAGGTTATTAGGGTTTGCAGTGCCTCATCCCCATCGCATCGTGCTCGGGCTGTCAAGCGAATGACGGGCAGGGACTGCGGCCTACTCGGTTTGCTTTGCTTTGTCGGAGAACATACCGAGGAAGAGCATTTGTGCTCATCGCGCTCCTTTCACCTCCCTAACCTTAGATCGCTGCAGTATACATGCTTAGCAAGAGCGCGTGTAGATGGACGTGATCGAAAACGCCTAGACTCCGTCTATTCTCCTGCGCCTCCAAGGAGAGCAAAAGAAGAACGAACGGGCATTGTTGACATGCCTGTTGGTCTGACAGTTGGCCTTTCTAGTCATCCACCCATCGCCGTAGACAGATCGATCCCAGTCCTTTATGGTAAATATATTATAGAAGTGCGTCTGTAAAGCGGATATAAAGTATCTGAATACGAGGGTATGAAAGTATGTATCCCTTGTCCTAAATTCATCCGATATATGGGATGAATTTTTTAGAGTTTACATAAGATTTTAGCGGGGACATGGGGATACGGGACAAAGCAAAGATCGCTTCCTAAAAATTATAGTCGTCGATGCCATCATCATCGTCGTCGTCGTCGTCCTCAACAGTCGCCTTCCGATAACTAAACCGATGCTTCTTCGGATCCCCATACTTCAAACTCGACAATCGCCGACCATACTCATCCTCCTTATTCTGGCCCCTCTCATCCTCTTCGGCATCACCGCCTGATCCGCCAAAGAACCCCATGAGACTTGATCCCGTATTAAAGAATGACGTAAACGTCCCAAACATGCCCGCCTCCGGTGCTGCAGTCGTAACAGCAACAGGTTCTGTTGTGGCCTTGGAAGGCTCTGGCGCTTTGTAACTCGTCGTTGAGGACGACCTCTTGGGTATAGTGTTGCTAACATTGGAGGGGTCAGTTGAGTATGATGACAGGCGCTCCGCATTTGGAAAGTGCGGCCCTGTTGGGGTATTGAACGGGTCCTCTGGGTACGGTCGTTCCTGAGCATCCAAATGAATTGCCACAGTACTATCTTGCCGGTGCTGGCCACGACCCTCTGCATCAACGGTACTGTATCCACCACCGCTGCTTCTTTCCCTTCCTACATTGTCGTCGGCAGCATTCGTCGTCAAGCTTTGGGGTCCATTCATATAGCTAGCTGCTCGACTCTTATCCTCACCTCGAGCTTGCTTCTGTTTCTGCTGCTGCTGCTGTTGTTGTTCTTTGTCTGATAACGTCGCCTCGTCCGAAGAATCACCGCTCTCACCTGCGATCACCCCATCGACCTTCTTCAGGAACGTCGCCACACTGTTGAACACTCCTCTGGGACTAATCATGACCGAGGACGGGCTCAAGGTCGATGATGACGATGTCGATACACCCGTTGAAACCGTCTTTGGTGTAGTTTGGACCGCACTTGTCAAAGTTGATATCCGTGCAGGTTTCGGTGTTGCAGTCGTCGTTGTTGCCATGTCATATGGTGTCGGTAGTGGTAATTGCGGAGAGTTACTCCTGCCCACATTTTTGTTGTGGTGCTTGCTTTCTGAACGGTTGATATCCAGGCTCATCATCTTGAGTTCTTGGTTGAAGGCATCGATCCCTCCGACATACGACGAGGCCGCTGAAGATGTCGTACGTTCCATTGGATGTCTGTTTTGTTGTTGTTGTTGTTGCTGCTGCTGCTGCTGAATCCGCCTGGAATAGTTCCAGTCGCCATCATCCTGGACCGTACGCCCTTGGTTGACAGCACTAGACGAGCCCTTATCTTTACTTTCATGGTCATTGTCGTTGTCGCTGTTCACGCTGCTTCCAGGAATAACGAGCTGATCACCCTCGAACCGCAAAAGCCCTCGCCGCTCAGCTGCACGAATGGCGGCCATACGTTTTGCCACAATCGCGGCCTCTTCCTCCTTCCGCAGGGCTTCCTCCTGAGCGGCCAGTTCCTTCGTAATCCGTTCCTAGATGACAGACGAGGAGGAGGATTAGGAATTAAATGATCTGTCAGCACATTATGTAGAGAGAGCAGAAGTGAAGGGAGGTGGGGTGGCCACATGCCAAGCGAAAATAAACATGCCAGAGCGTGCACGTTCATTCTTTCGAGGAATAGAGTAGAGCTCTTGGCACTTTGACATGTAAGCGTTTGCAGAGAGCCGAGCGGAAGGGTGTAAAAAAAAAATACATGTAGGTCCGTCCAATCAACCAGCAGAGCACGTTGGCGATTAAAACATGCAGAGGTATATGCACGCAGAGGTATATGCACGCAATGGCTGCGAACTGAACCGAGGAAAAAGAAGAGGATCCCATACCTGTTCAGCAATGAGTGCATCCACATCAATCACCTCCTCCGCATCTCCATATCCGTCATCCTCATCGCCCCACGCCATCGATTTCCCTTGCGGGTTCCGGGGTGCACGGACGAACCTCTTCGCAGGGCTTGGATTGATCGATGTAGCTGTCGTTGACGACGATCGGATCCGATTTGACGGATAGTCCATCTTGGGATGAATCGCCTTCGAGTCCTCCTCGCTATCATCGTCCCGATATGGTTCAAAGCTCGTTATCCCCGCCCCCGTTGTCGTTGTTGTTGTTGTTGTCGTCGTCCTTTCGCCATTCGCATCTACTCCCTCTTGATCCTCGTCATCATCATTATCATCATCCCGATAGGGTGTCCTGAACGGATTTGGTTTCCTTAGGTTGCTCCTGTCCTGTGAACTGTGCTGATTCGCATGTCTCGAGAGCCGACCGTTGGAAAACCTGGACGGCCAGGGATTATCGTTATTGCTGCCGCTCGCATTGGGTGGCGATGATGATGGTTCCATTGACTGGAGCCGTGCACGAGAGGTATGGGGATAATGTGATTGTGTATGACTGTGTCTGTAGGGCTGGTATCCATTGTCGTCCTCGTCACTGTAGTCTTCATGTCCTGAGGAATCCTGGTCAGGGTACAATGATCGGGATAGCAAATTGTCTCGTTGCTTGCGAGGGAGACAGGGGCAGAACATTGATAATCGTCTTCCCATTGTTGACAAAGAGTCTGTATTAGGGGTATATGTGTTTGTAGCGAGTGAGCGGGTGGAGGTGAGATGTGGAGGATGAAGAATGGGACACGATGAAGGTGATTAGGGTGTTCTGCACTTTTTTTTTTTTTTCTGTGGGGAAAGCGAATGTGCTGTTGTACTCATAGTTTTTTTTATTTTGTGTTTGTCATGACCAAAGCGCAAAGCGAGGATGTCATTTGTCTTTGGACAACCATGGCTGCTGCAATGTTTGTTACACCTGACGGGAAGTCGTCCTTTCCAGCTCACTTGCCCGCCTACTGTACAAGGCGGGAAGGGCAGTAAGGGCAGATCTCGCCTATCCTCACCATGCCGTTCCGTGCAATGATTCTTGCGCCGAGGACAGGGCCCATAAACGACCTTCTGGCGTGTTGTAACTGGACAGCTCATTGACTGCGCCTGAACTTGTCAATAGCTACACTCAACGCCCTCAAAAGTCCATGACCAGCTGTGGTGTGATGGCCTCCAAGGAATCGAGCTCAATCAACGTTTCCTCGTTCCTCAATTCTTCGTCCTCCTGTTCCCGCTGGTATGCTGCTGTCCGATGCAATGCCTCGATCGTAAACAGTCGTAGGTACTCCGCTGACAGTTCCAACGCTTCCTTATGGGCTACATAGAGACATAGCGAGGAAAATGAGAGTATTAGTCCACGACGCATCTTGTTCAAGTTCTCGAAAACGACAAGCAGAGACCTTGTTGGTGCATCACCTTTGGTTCCAGGATCTGTCCAGACGCCTTTGAATATAGCTCCCATTGTAGCCTATCAGAAAAACCAGTTGATCTGCTGTCAGTGTCCAAAGCCCTGGATCCTTTATATCACTTTTTATAGCTCTTGGTGAAGCAGCCTTCCTTACCGGTCGAAAATTGGGCTTATCCTCGTCTTCTTCTTCTTCCTCAACCTGCTGATGTTCATCGCCATCACCATCGCCATCATCATCGCGGTCGTCGTCTTCACGCGGTACACCTCTTGAACTTGACCCTCCTGCCTTCACACCGCGTTTTCGTCCGCCGTCATCTCGCTTGAGGTCGTCAAAGTCGTCGATATTGTCGTCAAAGTCATCCTCAATCTCCCGTGCGGGTCTCTTCCCTAGACGACGTTGAAGGGGCGTGTAGTTCTCTTCGCCTTCGCTCTCGAATTCGATGCTGTCGTCCATGGTTCGCAAATGAATGATTGTTCAAAAAAGTGATCTCCCCCATAACTCGCGGGGTCATTTATTGGAGGTGCGTCACATGATGCACCCCATTGAAGAATCAAAGGAGGGGTGGAGTCAAGGAAGGCAAGGACCTCGAAAAAAAAAAAAGATCTATGTATTTTCGGTGTCAAGTCTTATTTGAGTGGCAGAGTAAAACATGGTAATAATACAGAAAAAGTAAAAAGCATATATCAAATAAAATAGAGTCGGCCTCGTTTAGACCAGTCCATCCTCGCTTCCGAGCGTACTCAACAACGGCCCTAACAGTCCGTCGACCTCATCGATAGATACATTGCAACACAGCGCAATCAACCGCTTGTACTCGTGTCTTCTCTTTCCTTGTTGACTCTTCAGCTGCACAACCTGCTCCACCTGGTCCTTGCGCGTCTGCTGGAGATGTGCCAGACTAGACCTCAATTCCGCCGCCTCCTTTTCCAGCGCACGCACGCGTTCCAAATCAACAGCACCTGTTCCTGTCGCCCCAAACGAGTTCTTCTCCTTTTCCTTTTCTTCCTCCATCTCCCGCCTCAATCGCGTTTCCTCCTGCGCAACCAAATGTTCTAGCTTCAATCGCTGGCGCAGGTTGATCTCGTGGCGAATCATACCCTCCAGTGTCCTAACCTGGTCCTCCGCCTGACGCAAATACATCGTCTTGGAACGCAGCTCGTCAATCGCCCGACGACCATCCTGAATATCGACCTGAATCCCCTGCAGCATGTTTCGCGCATCCAAAAGATCCTGCTCCTTCTCATACAAATCCTTCTCATATGCCTGCGTCAGCTGCTCAAAGAGCTCCGTCACTACCGGAATCATCTTCTTAGATGGCCGACCTTGAGCTTGGTCAGGGCCGCTGCCATTGTGAGGTGCAGAGGCATATGCAGCAGGATCCCTGGACGAAGATGGAGTCCGCTCCATCGCCAATCCTCGATTGCCTGCGGGGCCAGCAGGATGGCCATTAAAGCCCGGGTGTCCACGTCCAGACGATGGGTCGTACATAGGGTTGGGACGAGTGGTAGGTTCGAGACGCTGACCGTAGAGAGGTGGAGAGGCCGCCGAAGGACCAGGCAGGTGGGATTGGAGCGGGTTCCTGGGAGATCGATTGGGAGGGTAGTCCTGATAACCTGCATTGGGTGAGCGATCCAGGTTGTTTGACGACAGTGATGTATGACCTCCTTGTCTTGGAGGTGGTGGAGTGATCGATCGCATGGTCGAGGAGGGGTGACCATGCGGGTTAGGGGATGGGTGATTAGGTATGCGTGGAGTGGTTGATGCCGACGGGGGCATGGCGCCTTGGTGGTGATGCGGTTGCTGCTGGCTGACAGTATGGCTCATGCGCTGTGGGTTGCCGTTGCCACTGCTGCCAATATTGCTGCTGTTATGATGATGCTGATGAGGATGGGCAGGGGAACGCTGTTGTTGTTGTAGCTGCTGGTGATGATGATGAGGCGGTGGTTGCTGTTGCTGCTGGTGCTGTTGTGGGGAAAGATGATGGCCTCCAGAAATTGCTGGTGATGGTATGGACGAGGATGATGAAGGTGGCAGCGCTGACTGCTGCTGGGGACGAGGGAAGGAAGAAGACACAGGAGGTCCACCGCCACCGCTGCTGCTGCCGGCGACATTCATTTCTGTGTCCTGCAGGAAATCATCCGCATTCCGACCAGACTTGTTTCGAATCTTTGGATCTGCGCCTTTTTCCAGAAGCAATCGCACGACCTTCTTGTTCCCAATCCGTGCGGCAATTATCAGTGCCGTATCGCCGACAACATCCTGCACGTTGATGATCGAGGCCAGCTCCTGGGGGTGCTGTGTCAACTTGTCGAGCAGACATTCCATGTAGTACCGGGATGCATGCACCTTGCCACGCATTCCCGCCGTCACCGCCACATGGTGGAAAACAGTCTGGTCGTTCTTGTCAATCGTGAAGATGGTCTTTTGGAGGATCTCCAGCAAGGTCGGGAATGTTTTGAGATCAAAGTTGTTGGTGAACAGAACCGATCGCATCAAAGCGGTCTGCCCTTGATTATTAACTCTGTAAATGTCTGCGCCATGTTGTACCAGCAGCTTCACAATCTTTGTTCGTGCCATCGCCACCGCCCAATGCAAAGGTGTGTGTCCCTCTTCATCGATGATGAGGTCAAAATCGAGATCTGGAGGAGGGTGGGTCAAAATTGAAGGCAGTGTGACCGAGTCCGATACGAAATAGTTGAGCAGCGTCTCCGCATACAGGCCCTGTTTGGATTCATCCGCTGCCATTCCAGCATTCGGCAAACGATCGTCCTGCCATGACCCTGGACCTAAAGTCCTGCCACGTTCACTTGAAGGCCCACGACGAGGGGACGGCGACGGTTGACGCAAGGATGGTGAATGAGGACTGTCCCTCAAACGCATTTCTACATCCTGAGCATGAAAAGCAGCTGGGTTGTGGTATCCAAGCTGCGGCTGCTGCTGCTGCTGCGAAGACGGGTGCCCGCTGTGACCGCCATGGTATCCAATGAAAAGTTCATCTCCTGGGCGGCTGTTCTGCTTTTTGCGAGGTCCTGGTGCGTGCTCGACAGATCTCTGGCGCCGTCGTCGTCCTGATGCATTTGTTTCTACATCAGACATCTCACTCGAAGAGAGATCTGCACGCGACTCAATCGGTGAGGGTGTTCTGGTTTGAGCTGACAAAATGCTCATGGTCTCGTCCATACTGGCTTCAGTGCCTATTCATGTCCGAGAAAGCCATAACCAAATAGTATTAGTACCGCTCCGGCCATTGACATCGGTATTCGTAAATGCTAACCAACATACAAAATAAACGACAGTGACGTACCAGCACGACTTTGCGTTTCATCGTCAAGATCCGACGTGCTCACATCATCATCGCCATCATTATCAAACGTCGGTATGGATCCCTCGCGACCAGCACCGGAACCTTCGATGATACCCATAACTGGTCCTTGCATTCCAGGCTTTGGCAAAAGATGAGCGGCTCCCTTTGACTTTGACTTCTTCATCCTTGATTTTCCTGGGGCTTTTGGCTCCCTTGGTTTTCGGGGTCTGTTCGTTGCGGCAGTGACGTGTTTGGGCGCCAGAGGTGGGCTGTTGATCTTCGAGAATTGGTACTCAAGTAATGGCTGGAGCAATTGAAGCACGTTATATTCCTGACACAGCTGAACTCCACGATCGTACGGCACCCATGTTCCTATGATTAGGAGGAGTAAATGAGTAAGTGTGAACGAAAATATTCAACACTGGACACTATTCATTTCAATCCAAGCAAAGTTGACAGCCTAAAAAACCTTCGTACCTTGGTACTTTCCATAGCCTCCTTGGACCTTCTCGTGCTCCCCAGTCTGGACCTCCCTTTCCAAGATACGCGTTCGCTGCGGCTTGTCAAATTCGGCCACCTTTAAAATCTGGGTCGCATTCAGGTAAGAGTCCGAGCGACGACGCATCACCGCAACTCCCCTGCATATCATCTCAAAAACCGGGACGCCCGAGTAAGTTGCTTTGAAGATCTGGGGAGATTTTCCTACCGGAGGACTAACGCCCTCTAGCTGACTGGATGGGATCGAATTGCTGGAGCCCGGTGCTTCAAATGATCCGGCAGAAATGTTCAGTGGTTCACTCATAGGCTCAGGCTCAACTCCGAGTCCAATAACAGGTGATCTAGGGAAGCTGACGATGTGATCGCTGCCGCCAACGTTCGAAATTTTGCTCCCTTCCAATACTGGTGGTGTCTGTTGCTGTCCTACACTAGGAGAGTCGTTCACGAGGACTGATGATTGTGCTGAGGGTGAGGAAGTTGGTGGAAGATGTAGTCCCGGGACGTCAGCGTTGTTGCCATTGGTTGTGCCACTGCTGTTGTTATCGCTGTTGCTAATCATGCCCTCCAGTGGTTGCATGGTACTGTTATTCTGAGGTGTTGGTACCGGTCCTCCACTCTCAGCTGGAGCCATTGCAGCTGCCAGTCGTGCATTGTGTTCCTGCAGTTGCTGAAGATCATGCTGTTGTTGCTGAGACCGTTCCTGAAGCTGCTTCTGACTAGATGCGTTACTCAATGGGGCGATAGCCGGTTTTGCCAAATCTATGGACGAAATTATTGCGCCGTCCTGGTTTGCTACAGACACTTGAGAAGTCTGGGGCATCTGTACCTGCTGTGTCCGCATTGGAGACGATCGCTGCTGCTGGAGAGACTGCCGTTGGGGTTGGGGCTGAGACATATTTTGGCTCTGAGAAGGCTGCTGCTGTAGCTGCTGGAGAAGCTGCTGTGTGACAAGTTGTTGTAAAGGCTGAGATTGGACTGGATGTGAAGGCTGTGCATTGAGCAACAGTCCTGGCGTTGTTCGTGCTTGCTCCAGTGTTTGCTCCGATGCTTGTCCTTGTTGTGCAGTGCCAGCCAAGGGGTTCGCTGCCTCCTGTTGTGCAGCCAACTGCTGCTGCAGAAACTGCACTGAAGCAGACATTGGTTGTTCCTGCTGTCGCTGCAGCGGTGCCTGTGCCTGTGCCTGTAGGACTATGTTTGTCGACGGTGAAACGGCTACTGCTGCTGGGTTTGAGGTTGGCGCTTCCATTATCGGCTGAATGGAGCTGGCGCCGTTGGTGTCGATTCCCGGGATGGCCGAGATGCTCGGCAACAGCGATAAAATAACATTTGCATCAGGCTCAATCGAGGACGCGCTTGGTGCGAACACTGCCTGTGGTAGGGACGACGTCGTGACCTCCCCGATAGAGGGCTGCTGCTGTGCTTCCGCGTTCGAGGAAGTGGTAGGTGTAACAGTGACAGTTCCTGCCGCGGGAAAGAGTCCGAGAAATGGTCCAGAGGCGATATTGGTCGCGACGGTTGTTGCATTGCTCGGGTCGATGCTGGTGTTGGTATTACTGCTGCCGCCGAGGGTGTTTATGCTAGGGTGGTTGATCGTGTTCGTGTTTGAAGCATCGCGTTCGCCGGTACCATCTGTTGGGGTAGGGGTGTTCGTGTTATTTATCGTGCTCATGATCTCTTTATTTGTTGTTGTTGTGATAGTTGAAAGGCGTTATGGCGCGCTTGCTCAGAAGCAGACAGGGCGAGAGATCGTTTTCGACGTGACGAAGCAAGGTAAAGTACACTAGCAAGATGCGAACATGGGAGGGATGAGTTTGAAGCAAGGTGCGAGGGATGGGTGGATAAAAATAAATAAAAGAAAAAAAGGCAATGCAGCGCAATGCAATGCAAAGGATGAAAAAGGGTGATTGTGGAGGAACATACAAAAAAGAAAAAGAAAAGAAGCAAGCAAATAAATAAAACAACGACGCGTGTATCCGCTCGCGCGAGACGGTAGAAGCGAGAAGGAAGCGGAGATGGAGGATGAGGGGAAGAATGAAGGGATGGAGGATGGAGAAGGATGATGATGGTGGCGACGACAAAGAGATGATGAAAAAAAGAAAATAGAGAAAAGAGGCACCAGCCCCGTCCCTTCAGCTGTGGGGTGGCCCACGCAACAAAACATGTACGCGCGCCTTGATCCGCATGAAACATCGCAAATCACCATGGGTCTGCCTAAAAAAAAAAAAAAGAATACGCGTTTCTGGGTCGAAATACACCCGCTACCAATGACACACATGCTAGACTATGTATCCCTTTCGCTCCCGCTCCCGCTTTTCGTCCTCAGACCCATGTATGAATAAACCCTCAGCGAAGAAGCGACTGACCTTGTTGTATTCATTCCTGAGCACGCGTCTTCACAAAGCGCAATCACCCTTGTTTACTCTGCTGGCCTGTTGTTCAACTAGACCATCCCATCCCCCTTTTTACATGCTCATATGGAAACACAAGATAGGGTACCGTCGAGGCAACAGCGGACATGCTCTACCGTACAAGATGACGCGATAGGTATGAATATGAAAGAGTGTCGCTCTTTTTCCTTTTCGATTGTCATTCATTTATTCTTTTTTTCTTTAAAAAAAATAACGAAGACTAAATAAGGAAGGTTCGCCTTGGCCTTTGGTGGATGCCGATCAAAAATGGTGTTTAGCTTTTACGCCCTCTTCAAACTCGACCACGCGTCTTGTTCTACAAGAGTCAAATAAAATATTAAAAAAAACTTGTTAGTATCCTTTTACAGACAACGCTATCATTCTCATAAAGCGAAAGCAAAAAAAGTCAAAAAACACTTACAAAGCATGCACGACAGAAGGCCTCGCCCTCACCACGCGTAAGCGCGCTCGAATCCAACACCTTCTTGCATCCCGTGCAGTTCAAGCACTTCTTATGCCACTTCTCATTCTTGGGCCCAGGGACCTGTTCCATCACACTCACGGCCAGATGGCAACGTGGACACGTCGTCACACCTCCAAACTTTGGCAATGGACGCGTCCTCGTACCAAAGAACGATGTCAACACCGGAGGGGTCGCTCGCTCTGCCAGCGGAGACGGCATCACCAACACCGGTGACGCTGCTCCACTGCCGGCGGTCTGGTCCCTCACATCGTTAAGAAAATTGTTCGTAGATCCCGAGGGCGAAGCTGGTGACCGCAGTGGAGATGCTGAACCAACAGGGGATCCGCAGCCGGAACCAGAACCAGATCGAGAGAGGTTTCCATTGGCATTGGTCGCCATCATACCTGGGCCCGAGGGCTCCATAGGCAGGCTGGCCCGTCGGGACAAACTGTCGATCACTGGCATCGGGAAGTGTTCTGCCGCTCGAGGGACAGGCACGATCTTGGGCGGCAGATGGGACGCATTGTCGCGCTCGTCACAGCACTGCTCGCACTCGACCCGACCTTCGACTTCGAAGAAGCGACTAGTGCTGGTGAGCGCCTTGTTGCAGTGTGTGCAAGCAAAGCATTGTGTGTGGTAGTTCAGACCAGCAAACCGGATTGACTTGCCGGTAATGACCTTGTGGCACTGCTGGCACTTCGTCAACGCACTCATCGCGCTCGATGGGCCAGCCATAGAGACGCACTATCGATGCCATAACACAAAGATACAGATTACAGCATTAGTAAGTCAATTCAATTCAATTCTATTCAATTCAATTCAATTCAATTCAAGAATAAAAAATGTAATGATTTCTCATAAACACAAAAGAAAACTTACGCTTGGATGATAGGGTCGGCCCAAGACGACATGGAATTCCGATTCTGTAAAGACCTGCTTGCAGCCGTGGCACAAAAAGCAACTGATATGGTATCGATCACCATTCTGTAACCGGACCCCGTTCTCCGTCACCTTCTCCAAACACTTCAGACAATGGTTCTCTGGAATGGATGCACGCCAAAGACTCGGGCTCACTGGCGAGTCCACGTTCACGGAAGGGAAACTGACGGCCTCTCCGACAGTGCTCGAACGTTGGCGGCCATGTCGCTGCAAGGACGGACGCTTGGACTCGGCCTCTGATGAAGCAGCTGCAGACGGCGATGTCTCTTGCTTGGACGGGTGGTTGAGCATAGACGAGGCCCGGTTAACAGTCAAGTTCTGGCTCGAGCCGAACATCTGGCTGTTGCTTCTTGTAGGTGAGCTACCGGACTTGGCTTGGTTCATATACGCCTGTGTTCTCGCTCGCACCGAAGCTGATGGTGCTGGACCAACAGAGGTCCGAGAGCGCGCACGACCTATAATCGGTCGTTGTGGCCCAGTCGAAGGCTCTGCTTTAGGTTGCGGACGTTCTACTGGCGACAAGGAGAGCTTTTCTGTGGGGGCTACAAGGTTGGCGTCCACGGACGAGGTAGGGTATTGATCTACACGGTTATCTGCACTGGGCGTCGAATGCGACCTTGCCCGATGCAACCCGTGAAGGGTTGACTCGGACATGTTCTCGGCGAGTCCTTGGTCCTTGCCGGGCGTATCGGTCTCGTCATTCGACTTGAACCCTCCATCGGAGTCTTGTTCATGTCGACTGAGCGCAGGTGAAGATGGCCTGGAGCTGTTGTACGAATGAATGGACAGGGAGGAGCTGGGTCGGCGGTAGGACAGGACTGGGCTACTTGTGGTTGAGCCGTGTTCTGCCCTGAGCAGGTTAGAAGCTGAACCGGATGGGAGAGCCGAGGGCGTGAGTGAATCAGAGCCCTTACGTCCCAAGCTGGAATAGGTCGATGAGGTACCGCTTGTGTATCCACTCGATCCAGCGTTTCTGAAAGACGATGATGCCCCCAATGATGACTGGCTAGAGGTGCTCTGTGCAGACAATGGTGGGCTTGTCTGCATGTGGCTCCTGTCCAAGTTGATATCGAGGGGAGACAAGTTGGGCTGCAGGCGGGAAGGGATTTCCAATGATGCGTCAAGGTAGGGGCTGTTGGATGTTCTTGTGTTTGCAGGCAGGGGTGATGAAGAAAGTGCTGGTGAGTTGGCGGCTGAGCGGTTTCCGGGTGTGGGGCTATCTCTGAAGGTTGACAGATCCTGATCCTGAAGAGATGGACTCTGGTTCTCTGCTCCTGCCTGTGCCATAAGACATTCCTCGCAGCAGGGTCGTCCACGCAAGTCAACCATGGGCCTTGAGGCTACATCGACGTGACACTTGAAGCACTTGAAGCAGACTGCGTGCCATGTCCGCTTATTGTGTGTGATATAGGGGTCGGTCTTGGACAAAACGGGCTTGGTGCAGGTCGGACAGCTTCCCTTAGTGAACTTTTCGATATAGCACTTCTCGCAGTAGATGATAGACGGCTTCCCTGGCTCCACAAACACCTTGGCCTATCAAGGTTGCAATGTAATTCCGGCGGTTAGTATCATATTGGTCTCTTCCAAGAATAGGACACACTAGTGCGCGTGTTTTTGTAAATGAGGGAATGTTGACGCACCTGGAAGATCTGTTTGTAGCAACCATTACAGTGCTTCTGAATGACGAGTGACTGCGACTGCGGTTTGGTCATGGAAGGAACAGCGGGCATGGACATACGCTTCGAAGGCTTTGAGATGCCTCCATCAAGGATGTTTTGATATCTATATATATATATATTTGATGAGAGTGTAACGTTAGTGCCTCTCCGAACAGGGTCTGTCCTTCATTCTTCTGGTTTACAGGATATCGATCAGCTTGTCCATCTGGTCTGTTTCCTGCGACCCCTTTGTGTGTACGAGTGTTTTTGCCAAGGTTCGATACCGTTTTTTTCGATTCCACAGTCCACCCCTGAGTAGAATAGGACAGGCCACGACGCCCCCCTCCCCTTCCTGATGATCCGCGTGATCCGCACTGAAATAGAAAAGAGTAAAGAGTACGCCATGTACAGTGTCCGCGTGGATTGAGGTGTTTATGTGTCGTTTTGTTGTGGGTCCTCAGCCCTTTCGCCTACAAGGCGGACATGCCTTTCTGTCTACTTTGCTTGCCTGCCCGTCGACAGCTGCCAATAACAACAACAAAAAAAAAAGCAGAGGTAGTACTTACGCGTTGATCCAAGGGTCGTTCCTGGAGTTGGACTGGAGCCCACTTGTGACGGATGCTATAGGTAGTTTCATTGGACGAGGGTTAGATTCATCAACGCGTTCTCTAGATGACGATCGATTGAGAGGATAAGGCTGGGGAGGTAACGACGAGGAGAGGGGATCCGCACTCCATGGTTACATTTATGATAGCGCTTTTGGCATTCGCGAGCTCAGAAAAGAACGTACATACTGAACGGCCACCGCACTTTAGACAGTTTGCGCCGTGGACAAGTTCGCCGCAACGATGACAGAATCCCATGACGGCAGTTGAATATATTTAATGGGTGCAGATAAAGTGAAGACGAATTGACTGTATATGGCCAAGTCGACTGTTGGGAATGAAAGGTGTGAGAGAGAGGGGAGTGGGCGGCACGCGTAAGAGGGAACGATGAAGAGAAGGAGAGAAGGAAAGAAACAAGGCAACGCTGTATAAAAGCGGGTGGAGTTTTAAGAAAAGATGCGTTCTTTCAAAAGGCTTTGGCGAGAAGCAATGGGGGGAGTTTGGTTGTATGGAAAGGAAGGACGAGTGTGGTGTTTTTTTAGGTTTAGCAGGTTGCTTTGCGTTGCAGTGATTGCTGTCAATTGTTCGTAGCGTGTATGAATGAAAGAAGGTATGAGAGAGAAGCAATTGACGATGAAGACGTTTGATAGAAGTAGCAGAAGTGGTAGAAGAAAAAGAGAGAATGAGAAAGTGTGTGTGTGAGAGAGGGAGAGGAATTGGTTCCCCCTTTCTGATGTCTGTGTCCTTTTTATGTTCCCAAGAAGTCTGAACAGAGTACAGAGCATGGAGCATAGCTAGCATACAATAATGACAATGACATGATCAATATATCTCTCTATCTTCCGCCATCTTCAACTTATTCCCGGTTGCCCTGAGCAGCGAACCTTTTCTTGCATGACAAACATCCACCCAGGCCTATCCATTCGTCCAGACGCCTCTGTTCCCTGCTCTCGTTCATGACTCGAATCGAATCGCTGCCATTCATAATCCCCCAGGTCCGTGCCGTTGTTTCTCTTCGCCCACAGCGATGACGCCTGAGGGTCTCAGGCTGTGTGGTCCTGAATAAAAAAAAAGGGGGGAGAGGGAGAGGGAGGGATTTTAAACCCGGTGCCTGTCCCATGTTCCTGTGCTACGCCGAAAAATAATACCGTGGACCACACGCATCTAAACTCCACACTTCACTGTCACAGCGCCAAAGGACAGGGCCGACACACTTCCGCTTCTGGTCCTCATAGTCATAATCCTGCATCCTGCTTAAGGATATGGACAAGGACAAAGAAGCAAATATGTCGCGGGGCATGTATTGGGGGGGGAGGAAAGGGTTTACATCCACTGTAATCTAGTCCGTATAGAGAGCATCATGGCTTCCCTTGTCATAGACTATGCTCCGCCTCCTTCTTGACTCCAGCCAAAAAAAAAAAAAAAAAAAAGAGTATGTAAGCCCTGCATGTCGGCATAGAGAAAGTACTATGTCATCTTGCGTCGAAAGACAATCCCATACATATTGTCCAGAACTATCTATCCCTGGATGATGATTTCTTCTTGCCCAAACACAACCTAAAAGGTACAACGTACAAAAAAAAAAAAGGTTGCCCCTAAAAAGAAATCAAATATGGTATTGGAGTCCGACAACGCATGAACACGATCACCAGGGCATCATCCATGTTTCCCGCTGCCCTGCTTCGCTCTGTCCGTTCCCCTCTTGTTGTGCCTAGCTTGCTTCCGCCCAAGTACTGTTCAGGACCAAGCCCATCAATCCGGTTATCGTCCGCTGGGGTACGAGAAGCCACAACAAAAAAAAAAAAAAAAAAAGAAGCCCGTTACAGATCATCTATCATGTAGACTATATATGTTTGAATAAGTCGTATTACGATATTATGCGCCTGAACCACATTATCATCATTGAAAGCCGCACATGCCTAGCACAAGTGTTCCCGGTTATCCCATCATTGTAGAACAAAAAAGAAAAAAAAAGAAAAAACCCCGGGATCGCGGATTATTACATTAGATATTATTATTAGGTAGAAAAGTTTAATGGATATGGAAGCAATTGTTGCAGCTGCCACGCTTGAAAACATTGGCAGAAAAGTCCGTGCACTGGCACTCGCGACACGGTCCCATGTCGGCCTCGGCCGGATTGAGCGCCTGGTTCGAGAAGTAGTCCTTGGGGATGTAACCCATCATCGACGCTGTAGAGGGCGTCGATGGGACAGCCGTCGGTGGAGGCGATGGTCCTGCCGACACAAGTGGTGGCGACACAGCCGGCGTGGAGCTATTCGAAAAGACTGCACTGTGTCTCATCGACTCAACGGCTGCTCGTCGAGTTGGTGGCGGAGGTGGAGGCATCCTGGTACCGAGAGTCGAAGTCCTGTTCATTGGCGACAGTGTCGATACTGGTCGTGCTTGCGGAGGTGTTGCGCGTGCAGTACCATTCGCATGTCCGTTAGTGGCGCTGCCATTCGATGCTGGGATCATGTGCGACGCTTGTCTCACTGGTGGCGGTGGTGCCCTCCTTGTGACTGGAACGGGAGGAACGGTCTCCTCTTCTGGTTCCGCATAGTGAATAGTTGGCTCAGTCTCTCGCTCGTAGTAGGCAGCCTCATCCTCGTCCATGTAGCGCCCTGGATCTGATGAGTTCGAGTGGATGGACCCCTGTCGATGGGTCGATCCAGAATCACTCATGACCTCCTCACAGTAGTTGGAAGGAAACATTCCAGTGTGTCGGACACCGTTCGTGTCGACCAGCTCACCCTCCCACCACCCTTCATCGATCTCTTCCACGATGCGGATGATGTCGCCTTTCTGGATGGACAGTTCGCCTTCGCCTGTAGCATCAAAGGTATAAAGTGCCCGCACTTGCTTTTGAGTCCGGCCTCGACTTGGGACAGCGGGAGATGCCATCAGTCCGTTGGAACGAATGCTTCCTCCACTGCTGTTCTTTCTCGTTTGTGCCGCATTGGGTGTCAGATGCGACATGGATCGACTCAGTTCTGGGTTCAGATGTTGGCTCATGTTGCTGCGACGCAGATCTGCAGTGGATGGAGTCCTATCAAAGGGGTGACGTCCATTGGGTATTGATTGCGTGCTGGATTGGTCGTCCGAGAGATTCGAGCGTTCGTCCTCTGGTTCCTGTGAATCCTTCCCGCTCAATTTCTTTGCTGTGCCGTTTCCAGCATAGAGAGACAAGCGAGATCCGTTGGGCGAGGTCATAAATGTGTTTTCGGGAATGGCTTCCAAGATCTCGACCATCTTGCGTGCATACGCCAACTGCGCGTCGTAATAGGATTTTAGACTGATCAGGTTGTCATCCTACAATTACGATCATCACAAAGATTAGTAAATGAGATGAACAATAGTAATGTATTCTTTGCTCCTGCGGAATACCCATGGTCCTTAGACGTACCTGTGATTCATTAATGGTGTACATCAAGTTCAGGACATTCTCCCTAGTTTCCTCATACTTGGCCTTGGATGCCTGCATCTCTTCCTCCCATTCAGGTTTCTCCTTCTTGGCCTTCTGAACTTTGGCTAGCTTGGCATCGTAGTCCTGTCGCCTTGACAGCAGCTTCCTTTGTAATGCTTGATATTCCTTCATCTGCGCCTGCGACTTTTCCAGACTATCAAGATACGAGCTGTTAAAGCGAGAGATCTATAGGGACATCGCCAAAGGCAAAAAAGAAGATTGGTGGTGATGAGCTTTAATGGCGTATTCTTTGCGCTGTCAAATGGACAGTTAGCACTGAAGATCACGTTTACTGCCCATACCAATTCCAATTGGGCTGCGCCGATGTTTTGATGCGCATCGCCCATGCGCTGCAGTGCCCCCCGGTATTGCGATCCTTCACGGACGGTGTAGCTTTGGGCCGACATGCTCATACCAAATGTCTCGATAGCTAATCCCTTGTGCTTGTCGTCGCCCTCAACACGTTTGCCTAGAGATATGCAGGGTTAATATCATCTGTTAGTATTGAAAAATAACGTTTTTTTTTCAATTTTTTTTTTCCCGCTGTGTTGCCAAAATGGCGGGAACAATGTGAGAGGACGATCTTTCCCGCCCAAACCCTTCTTTGGGTACTGCAATCCGATGCATCAGCCCTTTCTATCGGCATGCATGCGCGTAGCATAGTCAAGATCTTTAGGGATGCAGCACACAGCCTCCGTAGGAATATGAATAAATCGTGTTCAAAACCAGGTTGCCAGGTAATATTTTGTATCCAGGTAGGGACCTGGGACAACCAACAGAAGAGAGAGCTCGCTTTTGGGCCATTGGAGAGTGGGGATGGAAAACTGTGCTTAATTAAGCTCAAGGTTTTGTTCATCTCCATGCGCGCCATTGGATTGTGCGCTTTTTACGCTGTCTGCACCCCGCTCGGTGCCCCCGCACCTTGGTACTCCTGTGCACCTCTTTGTGCTACGTTAGCAGCAAAGAAAATTAATTGGCCCATTTAATTATAGAAAGAAGAGGGCGCCTGGCAACCGCCCCACAAATTGTCGCCGACACCCACACTGGCGCGCTCCACCTGTGGTGTCCCAGTCTGAAACGGTACTTTTCGAGAAAAAAAAAAAAATCGAGATGGGGAAAAAAAGGAAGGGGAAAGGGCTGGGTGTACCTTGTGTGCCATATGGCAATCGAAGGTAACCAATCAACACCACGATGCCTTTGGGGCGTTTCTCGGTTAGGAGATATACACAAGGAAAAAAAGATCCCAGAATCGGGCAAATGAACAAATGGCGGCAGTAATAATAGGACGGATGGAGAGAGTGCTCAGTGGTGCTCATGTTTGTGTCCTTTTCCTTTCTTCTCCTTTCTTTTCATTCAACAAAGGATAATGAGCAGCTGCTGACTCCCAAAATGAATGTAACCCACGGCTTACTCACGCTTCCATTCGTTCACTCTCTTTTCTTGACTCATCTTCCTAGAGCCGTATAAACCGCATAAACACATCCAAATAAATAAAAAACATATCCGAGAGAACAAACTGAGAGAAAGCGAACAACATGTGGCGAGCTGCATAGAGCTGGCGTGTCCGACATCTTTAAAAAGGCACGACGCCATCTCTTGTTTTTATCGATGCCGAATATCATGCCACCATTGTCCCCATCATCATCAGGTTCCCCAAAACAGCAAATTTGCTGGAAACGTGAACACTAAAAAAGGGGGGATCCTTTTTAGGTCGTGTTGTTGATGCTGTGTCTACGAGGTCTGCAGCGCGTGAGAGAGCGAGAAAGGATTGCTGTTGAAGACGATGTGATAGGATGAGCAAGGTTGGGAGGAGCTGTCGAAGGAGAGCTAGTGGGGAGGAGAGAGACATAGAAGAGAGCAATGGGAAAAATACATGTGTTCGCATGCATAGTACAGCACACGCGCGGGCGTGTTTCTGCATAATATAGATGACATGTATACGTACTGATGGCCTTAAGGTACGCATGTGAGGTCTCGCTCAGCTTTTCCAGGGCAACGCGCTTGGCTTCTGTTTCGCTCGTCAGGCTGTGAAAGTCTTCATCCATCCGGGCCTTTGGGCCCTTGCCCATCTTCTCGCCCGTCCACTACGTTTTCATTCAGATCATCAAAACGAAACAACGGAAGAAGGGCCCAATGTCAGTAATGCATTCATTCGGCATTTTGAGCTCTCAGGGCACTTGCATGTTCACACGTAGCATAGCATAGTATAGTATATGCAATGTTTATAATAACAAATCGATCGTTTGAGATTGAGAGAAAGAGACATGGTTTCCGTGGGTATGTTGGAAGACTATGCATAAGCAAGAGAACAGAGAGCAACAAGGGGAGCTTCTGTCCTTTCTGTAGATGAGGTTGCCAGTGTCGAAGTCGGATGGTCCCATGCTGAGATGCTGATATCAGTCCAGTCTTCGTTGTATGACGAATCCATGAACTGCAGATGGAAAAGCCCGAAAGAAGTGCCCAGCAGACTGCTTTGAGAACTGCAGTGACTGAGGGGAGGATGGACTGTGGTGTGTTACCTGTTTGAATTTGCCGATGTTCTTGATCATGTTGATGCGATCAGGGGGGAAAGGAGAGAAAGAAGGAGAAGGAGGCGATGGGTCAATGTGCGATGAGGAAGAGGTGATGAGAGAGTGAGAGAGAGAGAGAGAGAGAGAGAGGAATGCACGAGAGGGAATGGGCGATGTCGTTTGCGGGGTGGAGTGAGGAAAGACTGGTAGTAATTAGTGGCAAACGAGCAGTGTGAAAGAAGGCGGGGCAATTGCGAGCGGAGACGTAAAGAAGGAGAAGAAAGAGGGGAGGCGAAGGGTGAGAGGGAAGAGAGAGAAAAAGAGAATGAGAGAGTGAGTGCGAGCGAGTGCGAGGAGGGAGAGCAAGAGAGCGGACAATCCAAATTCGATTAAGGTCAGTCAGCCTGAACATTGTCGTCGTGTCGGGGCAATAATAATTTAAAACATGAATTTCATATGCGGCTAGGATAATCAAGGGTCTCTCTCTCACCACCCACCCACTCTCTCGCTCCCCACGACCCCTGGTCATCCCGCTACTCAATCGACTGCTGTACTCACTCTTTAGATGTCAGGTCAGCGACGTGCAACAAATGTCCATGACTGGTATGCCAATCCGTTAGCATTCGGGTCTTTTTTTTTTTTTTTTGCACTCAACGTCATTTTATTTTTATTTATTTTTCCCTGTACGCTAAGCTAAAGAGCAACCCAAACGTGCCTTTTACCCCTGGCCAGTGGTATTCATGTGTCATTTTCATCCGCTTGCCATACACTGCAAGTCTGCAACAGTCAGGGGGGAGGGAGGGGCGGAATGTCTTTGACTGACTTCATACTCATCGCGTTATGTCATGCACACACTACTCAGGTACGCCCTTCCCCAACGAGTATATGCTATAACCGCGTATTTGTGAGGCCTTGTCATCGTTATTGTCGGTATGCCTTTTTATTTCATTCTTATTTTTGCATAGAAGTGCTTCTTGCTGAAGAGTATATTCATTATTTCACATCGGTGACAAAAAGAAAAGGGAAAAAAGAAGCTATAACGTAAAGATATTGTATAGGAGAGGGGGAAAAGACACGCATACACACACAGCGAAGAAAGTTAGAAAGAAAAAAAAAAAGAATGGAAAAGTAAAGAAAAGAAAATTCACCAAGCTGTATCTCCACATCCTTCATGTTCCTCAGCAGGCACAGGCGCCCTTGTCTTGCTGTCCGCCAAGTCGCTGACCATTGGCTCCAGACTGAAGATCCACACGACCATTGCTGCCACTCACACCTCCAGCACGGGCACCGCGTGTAGACGACAGAATGTGCTCCAGTGGAATCTTCTTTGCAATCTCTGTGAACACCTCCGCGACTCCCTCGCCATTCTTGGCCGATGTCTCAAAGAAGAGCAGACCGGATTCCTGTGCATACGCGCTTGCCTCCTCTGTGGGGACCTGGCGACTGACGCCATAGTCCTCATCGTCTTCCTCGTCCTCGTCCAGTTCCTGTGCGTCCTGCTCATCGTCCTCGTCCGCATCGCCGTCGCTTGTCCTGCGGCCTCTACGTCCTGTAGACACCAAATCGACCTTGTTTCCTGTCAACGCAATCACAATATTGGGGTTTGCCTGCCTCTGCAATTCCTTGACCCACGACTTTGCCTTCTCTAGCGACGACTATCCAACACACAGAACGAAGAAATCAGGTTAAATGAAAAATTCCTTTGTCTGTTGCTTGATGTCATAATCATCGGTCCACGAAATACATACAGCCTTGGTGACATCGTAGACGACCACGGCAGCCTGTGCATTTCTGTAGTACATGGGAGCGAGTGAGTGGAAGCGCTCCTGTCCGGCTAAAAAAAAATTAAAGTGAAAAACAAAATGCAGTTTAGAATAGATGCATCGTACCTCTTCAGCACCGTTGAAAAGATAAAATTAGTATGTAGTTACCAGTGTCCCAGATCTCAAATTTGATGACCTTGTCCTCCAGACGGCACTTCTGGGTTAAGAAAGCAGCTAAGGTCACCAAAAAATAACAAACAGAGAAACGTGGGGTCAGTCAGGCGCATGTTCACATATTTTAAAGGAGGCATGCGTGATTAGCTGGGGGCCACACACACGCACACACACGCGTATGCACGCACACAGACACGAAACCATGCCCATGTGGACCAGGATGGTTACAAAACGGCAGTCTCACCTCCAATGGTAGGTTCCTTGTTCTCCTGAAACTCGTCATTTACGAATCGAAGGACAAGACTTGACTTTCCAACGGCAGCCTCACCTAAACGAGTTTTTTCAGAAAGTAATGCGCAGTTAGATATCTCGAGGTATAGGCAAGTGGAAACATGTAGGGGTTTATTCTACGCAATGGGTCAGTTCTTGGCAACATATTTCCAATAAGCCCAAAAAAATGAAAGGCGTGGGATGTACTAGAGTTGCTGCCAGAAGATAGGGGGCAGCAAGTCAACCCAGTTCACCCATTAACTGCTGCTAATTAAAAATATATCCCCGATGACCCTTGTCCTTTTCCTGTGTCAATGTGTGTCGATGTCATTTATTGTCTGCAGTATCCTCCCCGGAACGCTCTGCATTTTTATCACACTGGCTCCGGTCCAACCCAGCCCAGCCCAGCCCAGCCCAAAAATGAGAACCATAGAACAACAATCACACCATCGTCATCATTCCCCGCCAGTTCTAACACTGTCGCACACGCGATATCATAGATCGATGCAAAAGGATAGAGATATTCTTTCAATGCATCGTATCATACGATAGCCTGCACAGAACCGCCGATGGTATAGGCAATATAGATGAGAGCCATGATCCAGTCAAGATCAGTGCTGTCAGTTGGACCCTCTCCAGGGCTATCGCCATTTCTTCTTGTTCTAGGGTTGTCATAGATGTCTCCGCATAGTTGAAAATGTTGCAAAAGCTCAGTCGGGATGGAATAGTAAAACCGGGTATCATTTGAAAAGACACTGGAGGTTCTCACGCAAGGCGAGAACCGTGTCCCGAAGAAAAAAAAGAAACAACTGTCATACGCACAGTGGGCTCCGCGCAGCTGCAGTAACAAAAAAAAAAAAAAAAAAAAAAAAAAAACGCCCTTCACAGTTCGATTCCACAGAAGCAGAAGGGAAGAGCCAAGGCGAGTACCCCTTGTAATCCTTGCCCTCCAACGAACACACAGAAGGGTAAGGTAATGCATGCAGTGTGCAGATGTGCGATTGTTGCAGTGGCGTTGCTTCGAGTGACAGTACGTGCTATCGAACGGCAGCGCAGGTTGTAGTTGATATTTACCAAGGAGGACAAGCTTGACTTGCACTGGCTTCATGTTGCTAGCAATGGCCTGGCCTGCTGCGTCGTTGGCTTGAGACATGATGTATATGTATTAGGAAGACTGAAGGAGGCGGTGGTGCTGTGTTCTTGGCGTTGATATCGCAGCGTTGTATTGTTGTCGTCAAAGTAGTCGTGGTGGATTGTAATGGCCGTGGGGGTGTCTCCTACTGCACAATGAGGAATGCAAGTTGCAGAGAATTGTCGGCGCTGTTGTTGTTGTTGTTGTTGTTGTTGTTGTTCAAGAAGGGAAGAAGTAAGAAGTAAAGGAAAGGCCTGCAGGCGCAAGAGCAGGTGCGTTAAAGAAAAAAATGACGATGGGGTTTCCATTATTGCACAATAGCACACATCTCTCTAATTGCACGTTTGTTTAGACAAGACCTTTGTACGGCATTCGACCATTCCTGCCCTTTTTGTCTTCAGACTCGACCTCGACCTCGGGATCACGCCTTTGCCATGTCGTCCTCAACCACCAACACCATGGAGATTGAGTCGAACGAGTACGTGACTCATACGTCCAGCCAATCAATACTTCATTGTGTGTGTATTACTCGGCACTAAAACCTCAGGACACTTTTCTCTCGCTCACATAGTGTCATTCGACTCATTCAACAATTCTTGAAGGAAAACAACCTCCTCAACTCCCTGGCCGCGCTCCAGGTACGCTATCGCGATGCCCTTCTTGGTGGGCTATATCAGGATGCGAGACAGCAGAGGAATTACAATATTTAACCAAGGGAAATTCATTTTCTGATCCGCAACACAGGAAGAGACCACGGTTGCTCTTAACACCGTCGAGAGCGTCGAGGCATTTTCGTCCGAGATCTTGCAGGGCCATTGGGATAATGTCCTACGCATAGTCTCTCAGCTCAAGATCCCCGACAAGAAACTGATGGACCTTTACGAGCAGGTAAACATCTCAATCTCAGTGTTTTATTTTTACGCAAATCGCCCTCGTTTTTGCTTGATCTGATCTTCTAGTCCGTACTTCCTGGCTACATAACAACATGACAATATAGATTGTGATCGAACTAGTAGAGATGCGGGAGATTGGTACAGCGCGCACATTGCTTCGCCAAACGACCCCTACACAAATGCTCCGTGAACAGTTCCCCGATCGATACCTACATCTGGAGCATGTGCTTTCTCGGTCACATTTCGATGCCAAAGAGGCGTATCCAAATGGAGTCTCCAAGGAAAAACGGAGGCAGATCATTGCTCAGGCACTATCGAGTGAGGTCACTGTGGTAGCGCCGTCCAGGCTAGTGACCCTGTTGGGACAGGCACTCAAATTTCAGGAACAGCAGGGCATGTTACCACCGGATTCGGCGTACGATCTCTTCAGAGGAACGGTTCCTGTGGCCCAAGCAGAAACGGATGATGTCCCCACAAAGTGCTACAACACCATCAAGGTAACGTTCGTGGATTGATGTCTTTAATGTGGAAGGACGGCTCCTTTTTAATCTGAAGTATATTAACGTATCGAGTCTCGATTGTTTCGATCTAGTTCCCCAAGAAGCAGCATGCGGAATGTGTGGCATTCTCGCCCAACGGACAATATCTGGTCACAGGAAGCATGGATGGATTCATTGAGATCTGGAACTATCTTACTGCCAAGCTGAGAAAGGACCTTAAATACCAGGCTGAGGTACAGGGACCCTGCATTGACGCGCAATTGGAATGAACCACTAATTCCAGCAACTAGGCAAATCTAACCCATTTCACAATACATTAGGATAATTTGATGGCAATGGAATCGGCAGTTTTGTGCCTAGGGTTCAGTAGGGATAGCGAGATGTTGGCATCAGGAGCACAGGATGGAAGGATCAAAGTATGGAAGATTCAGACAGGTCAATGCCTTCGACGTTACTCTCCCGCTCATCAAGCAGGTGTCACGTCCGTCTGCTTCTCACCCGATGGGACCCAGGTCCTTAGTGCCTCATTCGATCTCACCGTCCGGTAAGTCGACGCTGCCGGGTCGATTTTGATGGGACAGCCATTGCCCATGCACAGGAACGCTCGTGAGCAACCGTTAACTCATCGATATCTGATATTTGATAGATTGCATGGATTAAAGTCGGGCAAAATGCTCAAGGAATTCAGAGGCCATACGTCCTTTGTAAACCATGCGTCATTCTCGCTCGATGGCACACAAGTTATGAGCTCTAGTTCAGACGGTACTATCAAGGTATGATCCGTCATTCTACTTTTACTGTGTTTACGCCACTAGTGGCTCAATCTTTACATTTGATCCGACGATACTGATCGCATTTTCTATTCCACTACTACATAGATTTGGGACTATAGGACAGCCAACTGCTTAAAATCATTTAGCCCACACGATGGTACAGGCACAATGGCAGGAGTAGCAGGGTTGACGGTCAACTCTTGTGTCCCGTTCCCGAAGCCCAATCAGATTCTGGTCTGCATGAAGTCGCCTACGGCGTATTTGCTGACGATGGAGGGGGAGCCGATTCGCAAGTTCACATCGCCCGACAGCCAAACAGAAGGGGCGACGAAGGACTTGACCGCCGCTGCAGCAGAAAGAGCAGCAGGAGGGGAAAATGCCAAGAAGGAGGGACTAGGCGTACCAATGACGGACTTTATGGCCCTTAGTTTATCGCCCCAGTCAGAGATTGTGTATTGTTTGGCAGAGAACAGCCAGGTGCATTGCTATTACTCGGACTCGGGGAAGCTGATTAAATCGATCCCTGTGGCGGAAGGAGAGGTCATTGGCATGGCATCACATCCGTTCTCGAATGTCCTCGCTATCAACACCGTTGATGGACGCGTTCTTTTGTGGAAGGCATAGATGTCTTAACAAAGTCCGATAATGATTTTCTGCAGAGATACGCGTTCATGGCGTCCTGGGTTTGTTTGTTTGGCTGTTGATGTCAAGCTCCCCGGCTCGGTTCGTCGAGCTGCAGGATAAGGCTATCCACAGCATTGAAGAACCGCAAGCATTCGTCGTTCTTTCTTGGTCTGAAGGATGAATAAAAAAAATCATCCCACTTTATTTTTTTTCCCCTTTGCTTCTTTCCTTTCCTTCGCTTTTATGCAGAGGAGACACTGCTAGTCTTTTTTTTTTATGCGAATGCTCGTTGTGTAATAGGCGTTTGCCTCGATGGATCTGTCTCTATGCTGATGTCCTTGTCGCGTTGCTGTACTGCGCCTATAGTAGCAAACAGCGGAGAGGATAGAACGTTATTGACGCGGTTGGAACGAACAATAGACATCAGGCCACTGAGAGCGTCTGTGTTTGGTATATAGAATTGTATGCATCGGCCAGTGGCTGTAGACTGCAGTGGGCATGATAAGCATATGTTAATATTTTCCCTAGGAAACAAGTTCTTTGCGCACGTATCGACCGCGCCCAATATAGATTTGTTGGATGGCCGTTCATGTTCCTGGATACTTGAAAAAAATCAGGCCATTCTTTCTCTCAGCGGCCACCCCTCCTATATATTCATCTCTTCCTCATCATACCGCCCCACTCCACTCCACTCCACTCCACTCATCAACTACAGAAGAGAGTCTCACTCTGCTCCGACACCGCTTCGACATTCACATTCACATTCACAAACAGATTCGATGACTGGTGCGGCCATCAATAAAACCCACAGCCCCACGGATAGGACCCGTTGGCGTCTGCGCGCCGACGAGGGCAGGCAGACCTGGCACTACCTCACTGAGGAGGAGAGCAAGGCCAACCCACAGACGGACACTGACAAGTACTGGCTCGATCTCAAGCTGGTAAAGACCCCCATCCCTTTCTCCTTGGATCTGTATTATCAGCTGGGCTTGGATCGATCTGTCCGCTCCCCCCCCAACAACAACACATGAAATTAACTTGGCTCTCACTCTAGGACGCACCAACACTGCCAAAGGCAACGACCGCACTCGAGGCTGCCAGAAACGGATTCGAATTCTTTAAGCGCCTCCAGAATGAGGAGGGCTTCTGGCCGGGAGAGTACGGTGGACCGATGTTCTTGCTCCCCGGACTGGTCATCACATACTATGTCACCGGCGTCAAATTTCCCGAGGGATGGTCTCAGGAGATCATTCAGTACCTGTTCAACAGGGCTGACAAGGAGGACGGAGGATGGGGCCTGTAAGTCCACCGAGCCATCATGGTTCCTTGCGGTCCAATATATGCGCCGATAAAAATGATACCCGATGCTGAACTTCAACCACTACATCGGATCTTTTTGCTCCTTAGGCACATTGAAGGCCACTCCACCGTCTTCGGAACCGCACTCAACTACATTGCCCTTCGTCTGCTGGGTGTTGACGCCGACCACCCCGTCTGTGTGAAGGCTCGTGGAACATTACACAAGCTTGGCGGCGCGACCGGATCACCGTCCTGGGGCAAATTCTGGATGGCAGCACTGGGCGTCTACGACTGGGAGGGCATGAACCCTGTCCCACCCGAGCTCTGGCTGTTGCCCCACATCCTCCCCTTCCATCCCGCACGTTATTGGTGCCACACCCGCAATGTCTACATCTCCATGAGCTATCTCTACGGGCGCCGTGCTACCCCTCCACTGACGGATCTTACAAGACAGTTGCGTGAGGAGTTGTATACGCAACCCTATGATACCATCGCCTGGCACCAGCAGCGGAACAACATCTGTAAGGCGGATGAGTATTATCCTCATACACGCCTGTTGAATTTCCTGAACAGGGGGTTGGTCCTGGCGGAGAAGGTGACTGGAAGCGTTGGTCTACGTGCGGCTGCGCTCAAGGCGGCGTATGTACAGGTCAAGTACGAGGATGAGAACACACATTACTTGGATATCGGACCTGTCAACAAGATGATGAACACGTTGTCGACGTTTTATGAGGAGGGCAAAGATTCGGAGGCTTTCCAGAAGCACGTCAAGAACAACATTGATTTTATGTGGTACGTTTCTATTTCCTTGTTCCTTTTCTTGTATGGTTTTTGTAGACCTGACAATGGATGCGGACCGATTTCCTTGAGATCATGTATGTGCTAACGAAAGCAAATTTATATGAGAATAGGATGTCTGGCGGAGGAATGATGATGAACGGAACCAATGGTTCGCAGCTCTGGGATACTGCCCTGTTGATCCAGGGCGTAATCGAGTCTGGATTGGCAAAGGAGCCACAGAATCACGAGGCTATGAAGAAGGGTCTCAAGTTCTTGGATGACTGCCAGATCAAGAAGAACCCGCCCTTCATGAAGGAGGGATGGCGTGATCCTACCTTGGGTGCTTGGCCCTTCAGCAACAAGTGGCAAGGGTACACCGTCTCGGACTGCACTTCCGAAGGTCTCAAGGCCGTCTTGCTCCTCCAGGGCAAGCTCAGGTAAAGAAGAACCCTTTTGGCCCTACCGCACTTGACATCGCATTGTTAGTGGCAAATCTGAGATCCTAATTCAGATTGTATTCCATGTATTCCATCTGCGATATCGCGTTTAATTAGCTACACGGAGGTACGCGTGTCTGACAAGAGACTGGAGCAAGCTGTCGATATCGTGCTGGGCCTGCAGAACAAGAACGGAGGTTTCGCCTCATACGAATCCGTCCGTGGTCCTCAATGGCTCGAGTGGATCAACCCCGCCGAGGTCTTTGGAAACATCATGATCGAGTACACCTACCCTGAATGCTCGACCGCCTGTGTCCTCGGATTGACCTACTTCAGAGAGCAGCGTCCCAATTATCGCCGCGACGAGATTGAGTAAGTCCTTTCTGCATGCTTGTCTTCTACATTTCTTCTTTTTCCGCGAGACAAAATTTCGTTTTTTTCGTTTGTTCTAATGCGCGTCGTTTATCGTGTTCTGTAGTGCAACAATCGAACGCGCGATCCAGTTCATTTTGAAAGACCAGCGCGCAGACGGATCGTGGTACGGCTCCTGGGCCATCTGCTTCACGTATGCGACCATGTTTGCCTGTGAGAGTTTGAGCAGCGTTGGACTGAGCTACAGCAACAGGTAACAACAACGACTCCTCCTTCATTCTCCTTACGTCTCCTTACCCAACACCCTGGTTATCATTCTCTCTAACACCCCCTATCCTTTGATGATGATTTCTACAGCGAGGCCGTCAAGAACGCCTGCGGCTTCCTGCTCTCGAAGCAACGCGCCGACGGCGGCTGGGGCGAATCTTACAAGTCCTGCGAACAGCACCGCTATATCGAGCATAAGGACACTCAAGTCGTCCAGACCGCCTGGGCCCTGATGGCCCTCATGGCCGCCAAATGCCCCGACCACGAGGCCATTAAGCGCGGTATCCGCATGATCATGTCGCGTCAACAGCCTGACGGCCAGTGGAAGCAGGAGGCCATTGAGGGTATCTTCAACCACTCATGCTCGATTTCCTATCCAAACTACAAGCACATCTTCACCATCTGGGTTCTGGGTCGCTACGCCAAGACCTATGGAGACGACCTTTGAAGCACAACCATAAAACAATAAAGTTGCATAGATTCATATAGATAATCTTTTCAGAGAGGGAGGTTTTTTTTAAACATTTTGTATGATATGAAAAAGTACATTAATGTATTGTTTGTGTGAGTGGTGGGAGTGTCTCTGTGTGTGTGCGTGTGCGTGTGTGTGCGTGCGTGTGTGGTAATGGAAGGGGGCTAGATCGTTCAAACAAAGGGTGCGAAAGGGAAGAGAAAGGTGTTTGCTTTTTACAAAGAGAAAAATCATCGCTGTGTTTTCGGCACCTTAGAATCCTGCCGCTCCTCCTCCACCAGCAGCCTCACCAATAGCGCCCAAATGATGCACCTGCTGCTGTTGCTGCTGCTGCTGCTGTTGGAGGTGATGGGTCGCATAGCCTACTGGGAACCCATTCGAAAGCCGCTCGTTTTCCATCACCTGGCCGCTTCCGCTGCTGTTCCCATTACTACCTCCATTGCCGATAGGGCCATTGTTGCTACCGCCACCATCGATACTACCGCCACCAAGTCGCACGGGTGGCAGATGGCTAACCGATTTCCTGCCTGAGCCCACGGCCAGCCCAAGTCCACCTCCGCCATTGCTCGCAAGGTGACCGAACTGATTATGCTGCTGTTGTTGAAGATGCCCAGTGGATGGTCCGATCGGCATAAGTGGGCTATGCGATCCGTTATGCAAACCACCCATGGTTGGAGGCGGTGAGAGTGCCCTTGACGGCGACGAGCTCAAACCTCCGTTCATATGAGGTGGCCTCATAAAATTCGTCGTCGTCCGTCCCCAAGAACTGGATCCATTCAGCGGTGGTGAGCTCAGTCCCAGCTGCTGTTGTTGCTGGAGCTGCTGAAGCTGCTGTAAATCCTGCATATTGGAGTGCATATACTGCTGTTGCTGCATGTAGAGCTGCTGCTGTTGTTGCTGCTGCAGACTTTGGTGCTGGTTGTGTGGTGGCGATGTGAGATGCATCGGATATGAGGACAAGAAATGGGCAGTATTAGGCAATGATCCATGGCCTTGTTGCTGCTGTCCATACGACGAAAAATCAGCCGATTGTAGAAAAGGATCTACAGATACAAAAATGTGCCATGGTGAGTTACAGATACCACAAAGCATATACCATAGATCAAATAGTCCATTTTACAGGTGGGACGACCATACCATGACCGTTCATTCGGCTGCCAAAGAACGAATTGGAAAAGAATGAGGTATCGCGCTGGTTGCGATTGTTTGGACTCAGCGTCTGAAGTGGCATACTTTCGTTGGGGAAACCATGTCCTAAACCCTCCGATCCGCCAATTGAAGACCTCATGGGTTCCTTGCTAAGAGGAATGCCATCCAGATCCAAAGACGATCCCCCCGTCAGGTTGAGCGGTGGTGATCTGGGTCTACGCTCAAGTTCTGATCCAATACTCAGCCCTGAGAGTCCCAGAGAAAGTCCATCAAAACTATTGGCAATCGTACCGGAGACGGTGTGGTGCTGGTTATCCTTGGGCCGTCCGATGGGTACCGGCCGCTGAATTGGTTTGATTGTCTCTGTTGATGTTGGACCATAGGGAGTCGATGTTCTCCTCGCATGCCCAATGGGCGAGATTGGACCAAACGAGCCAATGGGTGTTCCAATAGCTCCCAAAGTCGATGGACTGTGCAGAGGTGATCCTGTGCTGTTGGTCAAGTCGTGAGCGCCAGAGGCAGAGTTTGGATTCATCAATGTCAGGAGCTGTTTCGTAGGAACATTGGTCTGACCGTATCCGATTGGCGCCAATCCCGGTGACCGCAAACCACCCATTTGTTGGGGCAATTGATTAGAGGGCTGCTGATGCTGCGACATCGACTGGAACGGTGTTTGACCCTGAAGTGATGCGCCCATATAAGCGCCTCGTCCAGCAGAGTGTCCCATCCGTGGAGAGAACGTGTCAAGTTCACCGCCAATATGACCAAAGTGTCCTGGAGGTCGGAACAAGCCCTGCTGCATAGCCTGTGGGAACATTTGCGGAATCGGAGGCTGAGGAACGGCCTGTGTTGGGTATGTGTTCGACCAAAGACTGTTTGTGGCAGGCATCGTTGGCCCCTGTGCCGACATAGCAGGGCTAACAATGGACTCTAGCACTCGAATAGGCGATGTCGGTGTTGGGACAATAGGCGAGCGATTTTGTGGTACTTGAGAGTCAGTGGAAGCTTCTGAGCCAACTGTAACAGTCCTGTCGCGACCTGGAGATGTTGGACCAGTACTCGCTTCGACTTCTATAAGTGGACTGCTGCTTGACACCGTTGCGGCTGCTGTGACTGCCTGTTCTTGCTCTTGTCGTGCAAGTTCTTCCTTTGCCTGCTGCTCCTGTTGACGCAATTCCTCCTGCCTCTTCTGCTCCTCGACCAATTGCTGCTTCAAGAACACCTCACGCTCTAGTCGACTAGCCTCTTCCTTGGCTACAGCACCCACTCTCCGTGTTTCTTTTTCTCTCCTAGCTTGCTCCTCCTGCTCCTTGGCTAGCTGCTCCTCCTTGCGTTTGCGTTCTTTCTCCGCTTCACGAGCCTTTTCCTCCTTTAGCTTCCGCTTCCGCTCTTCTTCCTTCCTGAGCCGTTCCTCCTCGCGAAGCCTCTTCTCCTCTTCCTTGGCCCGTCGTTCTTCTTCTCGTCGCTTCCGGTCAACCTCAAGTTTCCTTTCGCGCTCTTCCAACAGTCGCTTTTCTTCTGCTAGACGTTGTGCTTCCTTGGCTGTTCTCTCCTCTTCCTTTTGCTGCCGTTGCAGCCTATCATGAGAGAAAATTAGCGCCATCAGTACAATGAGTCAAGTCCGTAGCCTACTGAACATACGCAAACGCCTCCTAAATTACCTCTTCTTGTCACGCTTTTTCTCCTTTTCGCGTTCTCTCCGCTCTTCCCGCAGCTGTTCCTGGCGAGACTCCTCCTCAAGTTCAGCCAACAAGCGCTCTTGCCTCTCCTGCGCAACCTTTTCGCGGTATGCACTTAGAACCCGTTGCTCAAACATTCGTGCGGCAAATGCTTGGAACATACGTCGTCCCTCTTCCATACGCTGCTCCTTGGTCAAGGCATCCTATAGTATGAAAAACAAAAAAATTAGCCAAAAAGACACCTGGGATGCTGAAGTTTATATCAAATTCTTAACACCATTGAGGTAAAGCATGCCATACCTCTTCAGGCCCCTCATCCTCAAAGTCACCATCCTCTTCGTCGTCGTACTCCTCATATACGCCACGATTATCCATGAGCTCGTCGTCGCGCTGGACCTTACGGTCAGCCAATCTGTCCATCATCTCAAGGAATTTTTTGCCGTCATTTTCTAGCAGGTCTTCGGCAACAGTGAGGATATTGCCTATAAATGGACATAGCGTATATAAAAAAGACATCGGTGAGCCGAGAACGATATCAAAGTACCAAAGCGCAATGCCCTCTCGATATCCGTCCACACCCCTTGCGAAGCATGCGCATACCTTTGGCCTGGAGGGTATTTGGAAATCCGCTGCGATATGGGAAGGACGCTTTGCGACTGTTGATCTCATCCTCGTACTCCTCGTCGTCTTCCTCGTCCTCGTAACCCTCCTCATCATCTTCCTCGTCGTCCTCTTCATCATCTTCCTCATCTTCCTCATCCGAGGGCCTAGATTCGTCAGAGAGATCCTCATCCTCGAATGCCGGTGAATGTTGAGAATAAGTGAGAGCGTGTCCATCCGACGGTTGCTGCTGGTTGGCGTACTGCTCCAATTCATCATAGTAGGCGTCGTAGAGAAGTTCCAGTTCCTCCTCGATCGCAGTCCTATTCAAACAACAAGTATCGATGTAATAGCATCAGTGATCCAATTGATACCAAGCATGATATGCTATTAAGAACACGGTGGGTATACGTGGCGTACCGTTTTCGACCGCAAAGGGAACATGAGCACGAGTGCCGCTGCTGCTCCTTCATCTTTTTCAGGACAGCTTCCTTTTCCACACGAACTAGAGATCGACGCTCTTCCTCCCGCAGTTGGAACCAAAACTCCCTGATCCGCTGGCGCTCCTCCGCATCAGAATAGTGCCAAAATCCATCGTTCTGCGCGTGGTTGTCGTGCATGTGCTTGACCACGGCCGTATGATCATGCCCATTCCTATGACTAGACTGGACCATTGCCTTAGAATTTGAACTGCTGTTTCCATGAGTATGGCTGTGGTTGGGTGAGGCGCCGTTGCTGTTGCTAAAGGGTGATGGCATTGCTCCTATAGTCGAGGACTTTTTTCTCTTTTTCTTTTTCTTTTTGGAGGAACTTGATTCAGAGTGCTCCTTTGCGGTAGGCTGGGCTGTTGGTGCTGTCGATGATCCAAAGTGGCTCTGACCTCCTGCGCTGCCTGCGGCAGTTGAAGAGGCAAGAGCAGGTGTCTCGGGATCGTATGCATCCTCGTCCGAGTAGAAATCGTCGTCGTCCTCTTCGTCCTCGTCGTGGTGATGAGGATGGCTAGAGTCATGGTGATGATGATGGTGGTGGTGAGGGTGGCCGTGGTCATGCTGACAGCCAGGATGATGTACGTGGTTCTTCTGTCTCATAGGGCCGTTGGAGTTGACCTGGGCTGCCCTGCTGCTTGATTCCTCGATCCTGTCCAGAGCCTTCTTCTTTGTTCTTTTCTTCTTCTTTTTCTTGTTGGAAGGATTTGCGCCGCCAGATGTTGAGCCGTTTTGGATGGGGCTAGAAGATCTTTTGCTGTTGTTGATCACATCTGCATAACCATCGCCCCTAGATGTTGTTGCGGCAGAGTTTGTTGGAGGCGTCATCGAGTGGTCGTGAAGCGATGGCGCAAAATGCTTGGTCATATCAATGTTGAGGCTCCTCTTCCTGCCATCTCTGCTGTAGATAACCGCTGACTTTGGTGGGGGTAAGGCGTCCTCGGGGGCGAATGTGTGGGCAGCCATTGGTTTAGTCGTTCAGGTGATGGAGGAGGGTAGGGGTTGCGATCGTGAGCTGAGTTGGTTCGCTGCCTCCTGCGGGGCGGGTGGGGATAGTCTTGTGAGTCCTTTCCTTGACGCTGACTGAGTGAGCCTTCAATAAGTTCTGGCAGAATGGACTGGCTGGTGTTTACTGTTGGGTGTTGGTTGCTGCTTGTTCCGTATTTAAAGTGATGAAAACGGGAAAGAGGAGGGATGGATGAAGGAAAGCAAGCAAGAGGAGGAAAGAGACACAGGACAAGAAACTATGTCGGTCGTTATTTCCTTGAAGTAATTACTTTCTGTTCTCTTCAGTTACTGGCCCTATGCAGTCGGTACCCAGTCGTGAAAAAGGGCAATAGGCACCGTGTCTTCACTTTTTTTATTGAGTTTGCCCTGCAGTGAAACGTGTTGTCTTATGGAGGTGTATTTGAGAAGATGGCAGTAGCGGTGGTAGGTGTGAGAGAGACGGAGCGGGAGAGACATAGGAAATAAAGGTTCAAGGCCTGGGTGACTTGACCGCCCGATCGGATTATCTTCTGCAACGTGTATTTGTTCACGTCAAGTTTAGTTTCAGTTAGAGCATCATGCGAACAACCCATGCCATCGCAGTGTATTGTTCGTTGTCATTATCCTTGGGGGGGGGTTTTTCTTGTAGTTTTTATTTACAACATGGATTGGACTGCATTGGATTGGCAAAGATCGCTGGAATTCCTACAATATGCTGCAAAAAAAAGGCATCGGGCGCCTTTAGATCGTTTGCGACTTGGAACACTTGGCTGAAAGCTCAATTTTTACTTCTTTTCGTTGTTCTTCTTGAGCTCAGCGATCTCCTTCTCCCTCTGGGCGAGCTGCTCCTTCAGCTTCTTGATCTGCTCGGCCTCCTATAAGAAGTACAATTGAATCCAAATGCGATTGCAAAAGAGAACCAGTGATATCAGCAATTTAGAATTAGGGTTGAGTCGATACTAACAACGCAACGCGTGTGTAGACAGAGCACCGCGCTCAGAATGTACAACAGCAATAAAGAAAAAACGATTCAGTGATTCAGTCAAACAAGAGGTGGTTCCCGAGATCGCACTTTACCTTGGCGCGGATGTACTTCGCCTCCTCGGCTCTCTCCTTGTCAGAGAAAGCGCCATCGGAGTAGTTGCGGCGGGGAATGGCCGAGACCTGGGCAGGCTTGAAAGCACGGACGGCAGCGGTAGTGGTGGTGCGAAGCATGATTGATTGATTTTGGGGTCGAGATGAGTCGTTGGATTGTTGGTTGAGAAGAAAGAAAAAGTTAGCGCACCACATATGCTTCTTCATTCCCCGGTGTGACTATAGCACTATGAAATCTACAATTACGTCACCTAAATCGTAAAAATCGTTGCTATTATCGGCATTTGGGTGTGTGTGACCTGACACACAAAAATTAAAGTTCTTTAGCCATCTTGGTAGGGCGTTTCCTTGATGTTGGGGTTGCGGGAGACGATCGTTTCTTGCGAGCACTCGTGCTTCCAGTGGACTTGCTGGTTCCATCAACTGCCCCTTGATCGGATGTCGATGGTTCGATCCAGGGATACCTTCCATCTGCTGTTTTGGGCTGCAAGTAGAGAGGTCTTTTCTGCTCCAAAAGGTGCCCTTGGACGATATTGGACATGTTTTGCGCCGCCATAACATCTCTGTGATAATACTTGCCACAGTGGGGGCAGAAGAGCTGGCGTATTGGTCACCTGGGCCACAAACTCCTCACAGTTCGGGCATTTTTTTGAAGTATAGTACTCTTCAATACCAACAACAACGTATCCGAGGGAGCGCGCCTATGTACTCATTTGCGGTCGGTTTTTTGAAGGTGTTATAGATGATAAAAATAAATACGTTGCCTACCAGAGGGATGAAGTAAGACAAAAACGTCCCATGCAGAGATGGTAGCCGCTTCGAGCTTCTGAAATCACCCAGGCTCACACCAATCAATACTGGACTCTTGCAACGTTCACCAATGCTCCCACCAACGATCTTGAGTAAACTGTTGGCAATGGCCTGGTATTCGATGTGTTTGGCACGCTCCATGTCCCACGTGTTTTTCTTGAATCGATTGTTGTTCCCATTGTAAAACTCCATCAGTTGGTCCTCAACTTGTTCCAGTCTTGCGACATAGTTGGTTACACTAGCCTCTGGACCTCGAAGAGGAGGAAGTTGGGACTCGATTTGCTCAATAGACTGTGGTTGGCCCTCAGGAACCACCTTACTCGCTTCCTGAAGCCATCGCCGGTATCGAAATGTGGGCTGTATTACCGCCTTTTGGTTTACGGCAAGATTATGATGAGGCGTCTTGTTGTGGTGTGCCGCTGAAGGTGATGATTGTGTCGAGTCCTGCACTGGCGGTGGTGCCATTGGTGTTGTAGGAGACGCAATGGTGGACGGGGCCTCAAAGGTTGATACAGCACCAAGCACTGGATCCTTGCCTTTGCTTGATTGTGGTAGATGTGCGTAGGCGCCTACTACAAAAGCCTGACCGGCATCGAGGGTGAGTGTCTTGATGTCACGGGAATCGACATCTGGCCAAAGTTGTGCTATGTCCTCCTTGCTTCCAAGGACGTTTCGAATTTCAGTCAGGTGGTCGCCGGTTCCATGGAGTGTCGTAGTCAATCGTCGTGGCAATCGATCTTGAGGAAGCCGTTTCCACTTGACTGACAGAAGCTCTCTGCGCTTAAAACATAATAGCTGTAGATGGAAGCCATCGGTCCGCACTGTCCCCCTTGGGACATACTTCTTGGTGAGATAAGTTTCCGGTCGGAAGTCCTTGCTGTCCAACATATGAAGATCGGTCTCGAGTTCCTCAAGGTTTAGCAACTCGATTGCCCCACGATGCCCTGCTTTTCGCCGCTGGCGACTGGTCAGGCCCTTGAGACCGATATCAGCCAGGAATTTTTTAATGAGAATCCCAGGTTCCATATTGCCTATATGCTCCTGGGCATCTGCAATAGAAGTGCAGATGGTACCGACCAGTTCCTGAACCTGAGCTCTCAGAACCCCTCCACGACTGAAAAAGAACCCAACAAGGCTACGCTCCGTAAAACTCACAAACGGTTGCCTTAAACTTGTTATGGGAATGATCCTTCGAGGGTTTGGACTGATTCTGTTAAGGGCAAGGAAGTTCTCAACAGCAGATACTTCCCCCTGAATCTCCACATCAACGTCGGAACCCAAGAGACCCTTTTCCTTTCTTGCCATGAGCTACAATCCAAGAGATAGAAAATAATAAGTAAGAATAATTACCTTTGTTTGCTGTTGGCTTGATGCATATTGAACTGACTAGCAGTTTGCAACACTTACCTTTTTGTACAGATCGCAGGAACCGTTCTTGTACATCTTCTTGAGTTCGACCCTGAGTTGGGTGGAGACGGATGCTACCAGTTCCGATGGTGTAAAGACTGCTTTGTGCTTGCAGCCATCAGATGCCAGTGGTGGTGGTGTGTACAGCTGGAGATGAATGGGTCGATCAATAAATTCATTGACTGTCGAGCCAGTACCAGCATTCCTTGGGCGGTTTCCAGGATATATGGATGTCAGGAAAATCAACAGGAAAGAGGACTGAGCAGAGCTTCTGTCACCCTTTGGCTTGTCGTCCAAATCGTCCTCGCTGCCCCCATCCTCCTCCTCCTCCGTCTCTTCATTCTTCTCATCCTTGACATCATTCATGGATACTCGAGGACAGAATAGATCCATAAATTGACGATCAATGGGTCCTAGTCTATGCTTGTTGATGTAGTCGACAAACTTCCTGATCACTTGCTGGCCTTTCCGCTTTACTCGGGCTGCTTCTTGCACCAGATCTCGGATGCAATGTATGACCTCTTGTTGGAGAACACCATTGTTTGGTACTGCTCGCTTGACGTTCGCGGCCAGAGTACCAACTTTAAGGGACGAGGTGGGATGATGGTAAGCCAAGTGGCGCATGACTGCCAGCTTCCTGGTATTTGCAGTCGAGGTAGCGAGGGTCTTGATCTTGAATTTGGGCTTGGGCTTGAACTTGGGTTTGGCATTACTGTCCAGGGTTGAGTCTTCAGGAGAGTCGGTCCATTCCTTGTATGGTTTAAACTTATAAACCTTCATCTTGTCTGGCGGTGAGCGCTGGGTTGATCCTGTCCTCATCTTGAAGGAGTACCTTTGACGATTTTTTGGGATATTTGCCCTCGCTAATGGTGGGCGTCTCTCTAGTTGCTGAGACGACGTTGAGGAGACAGTTGACTGGTCCTGCACATCTGACTAAAGCTCTTGTGATGGCAATGATCCCAAGTGACCAGAGACACGTTTCAGCACAGCAGGCGACTCCACAGTCTTGAACCTGATCGCCGCATGAGAGCGGTGCAGTCGTATAATGGGCACCTCGGGAGGACTATAAACATCAAAAAAATAAGGCAGAGATGAGATGAATGGAGTGAATGCAAAGCCATTGCTCAAAAAAAAGACCAAAACAATTTACCTCGTTTGTGAAGGGCCGTTTTCCTTTTGTTGCCTATACAGGGCACAAAGATCCAAAAAACCGTCTGTGAAGAATCGCCGTAGGCTGGGCTTCCAACAGAGGGGGACTGCTGGTGACAGGAGTCTGCTTGAGATATACGAAAACTTTGATGGCCACTTCAAATGTCTTTTCCTCGTTGTTACGGACAGCAGCATTCTTGGATGCAACCTTGGGATCGTTCAGATACTCGGCTACTGT